GCCTCCGCTAACGCCGTTGGCCCTAAAATATCTCCTGACGGATCGTACGATGTGCTGTTCCTCGTCGAGGTCATTATCGAGATCATAGTTGGGAGAGAACTGTTTTTCCATGGCATCAGCGAAAACCTCGACCTTATCCTCCGTTCTGAAGACTATGCCTACAGGACCGTGGATGTGTGGGAGTTGTTCTCGCTTTCCGTTTCTGAGTGACTTTGCGACCCTCCAGAGAGGAATACTTGAAACAAGCATTCCCGCCAGAAAGTCGCTCCATTGCTCGTTGCGGAGTTCGTGCAGTGCGTTTCTCACTTCATGGACAAGATTTGTAGCCCTACGAATGTCATCAGGATGACAAGACCTTTTTGCCTGCTTAATAGCGGCTCTTTTGTCAGAGATTTTCTGACGAATGTCCGCAGGCAAAAAAGGTCTGCCGTGTCGTTGTACAGGAAATACAGCTGCACGCTGTAGAGCTGCTTGAATGAAACTTGTCCATTCCGCTTGAGCGGCATCTATTCCAGACTCATCATCTATAATCGGGATATTGGGAAACTCTCTAAGGAGCAACTTGTATAGGTCCCAATCAATGCGTTTCCTTGGAGGAGCTGCCTCCTCAGAAGTTTGCTCATTGCCCACATCCAAGACAACAGGTAGATGGTCACTAGAGATATCATATAAGATTCGAAAAGAGATACTGTATCTACAGTTTTTAGATATCGCGAAATCGATGACATCTGGTGCCTGAAGATGGTTGAATGGATGATGTGTCGGCTCTTCAGTGCTATGTATAAGGTACCCATTTCGCATCACATGGTTGTACAATCGAACCCCACTAGTGGAATTCAACCTAGAATTCCATGCTCGATGTTTGCAGTTGAAGTCCCCTGCCACAATAAGCGGACCCGAGTAGTCCAAAAGGACCTCCAGATCCGCCTCTCGTAGCCTGGCACCACACCTGACATACACCGATGTGATCTTCAACGAGACACCTCCCGCCATATTGACCACTACAGAGGCTGCTTCGATGCTATGCATCTCCGCATTAGTGCTTCTATAATAGTCTATACCGCGTTTAATCAACACTGCTAAACCGCCGCCTCGACCATTCAATCTGTCACCTCGGATAACATCATAATTCGGGAGAGCTAAACGATCTCCCGGATTAAGCAGCGTTTCCTGCAGCAAGGCCACATCTATACCTTCATCCAAAAGAGCTTGATGAAATTCCCGTTTTTTGGAAATATCCCTCATGCCCAAACAATTCCAAAAAAGAATTTTGATGAATGCAGGCTGTCTACTATTGTACCTAGACATTTACAGAAAATATCGCCTGCAACGCTTCGGTAGCGCTAATCAGTGGGCTTATTATTTGTTGTAAGGACCTTAGCGCGGTTGCCAGGTCCACATTTTGCGTGCTCAAGGGAGGTTGGGCAGAGGGGGCAGGCAAGGTTGCCTCCCGAGCTGCGTCCGCGTATGATATATTGCGCCTTTGCGCTATAACTTGCAAGTTCCTCCTTGGAGTGAACTTGCAAGTCCGGCTATTTGCGGGATGTCCCTCTCCACAGTTCGCGCACTTGCGTTCTTCCTCTTCTGTGAGGGGGCACAAATGTGTCATGTGGTCCTTTGCACATTTTAAGCATTTGGGTGGTGCAGTGCAATATGACTGCGCAGGCCCATACTTTTGGCAGCGGTGACACTGCCCAATGAGTCTGGAGTTCTTCTGAACCTCAACTCGAATGGCCAGTCCCAGCAGTTCGTGTTCGTTGAACACTTGCTGAGACTTTTCAGTCTTGGGCAGTATCACGACCACCAAAGGCATGGGCGCGCCGCCGCTGCGCTTCAATCGAATAATGTGAAGAGGGCTATATCCCCTCTGCTCCAGTTCTCCCTTAATCTCAGTATCCGAAAAGTTGACGGGAACTCCTCGAACCACCGCATGGATGTTCCGTTCCGAAGGGAGAGGAAAAGTGTGATGGGGCACTTCTTCCTCTCGGAATAGGCGAACGATCTTACGGTAGTCGTCCTCGGATTTAGGAATAATCCTTATTCCCGCATCGACGGCAACCGCGCGATCTATTTTAATACCTAGGGAAATAAACTTGAAATTTAAAGTACGCCATCTCGTCCCGTCGCGTAAGACGATCGGGGTTATGCGCCCTTGTCGTGAGGGTTGGGTTGATGCCACGACGGTTGGACGAGATGACGGAGGAGCAGTAAGATCGGCTGACGGAGTCACCTGACAGGTAGATAACGTGGTCCCTGGCTTGGTAATAGAAGCATTAATAGTGTTTCGATTTGATGAATTGGGGGAGGTGTGAAGTGGAATTGATCCTGTATTCGGAAGAGGAGGAAAGTCTTGGGTTGATCGATCAGCCTTGTCGCCTTTCCTCCTTGTTGATTTTGCTTTTACAAATCCTTCAGTCTGTACGTCTTCGTCTGTGGATGTGAGATGATCATCGGAAACGTTTCTCAGTGGTCTTTTTAGGGTCTTTGTCCGTTCTTTAGGGGATTCGTTTGAATTTAGTAATATGGTTACCTGGGCGGTAAGGCTGTCAATTTTGGCTGTCTGGTCCTTGATGATCTCCATTAGGTCTCGAATCTGCCTCGCCTGGTCGTCTATAATCTAGTGCTGTTAACGAGCGGTTTTCTCCGGAGGATGTTTACGCGCGCTTTTTCGCGGAGATCTCCGGAGAACAACCGGATTCATTGGTCTGTACAGAATACTGATTTGATTTTGAAACGGAGCGGCGAATGAGATGTAGTTGCTGTAGCGTAGTGGGCAAAGGCAAGGGCATATCGTATGATTCCCCCTTGGGTTGAGGGTTCGAACCAGCCCTTGCGAATTTTTTGTATAAGATAAAAATATGTTACACGTAATGGTTTTTGCCCTTTCGCAGTTTATTTTTAATTGGATTGCAAACATCGATTGTAGCGTAACAGTGCATTTGTACCACCTTACAAAAAATATATATTTTATATTTTTTTTAATGTATTGAAGGCGTGCGTGCACTTATCGTTCTTTGACTTAGGCTGATTTTCTGCAAGGCAAAACTTTTAAAAGGAACTTTTTTTTCATTTCTGGAAAAAGGTTGTGAGAAAGGAATGAGGTTCAATGTGCCCAAATAAGAAGTATAGTATGATTTATTTCATCTGTAAAGTGAAACGTCACGACACATATTTGACGAATCAAATAAAGTTGAAATGTTGATCGATTGTTATGAAAAATGGAGAAAAAGATTTTAATATATGACAAACATTATAGTAATAGGAACTATGAATTATAGATGAAGTAAAACACCATATCCAAAATAATTTAAAGGAATGACTATCACGATATCTAAAAAATATAAAAGGATGAAAGTCTCTATACCCCAAAAAATATAAGGGGATAAATATCAATGTATCGCAAAAAATACAAAAGAATAGATATCAAAATATCAAAAAAAAGGAAAAAATATCACAATATCCCCCAAAATACAAAGTAAACATCACTATACAAACAGATATGGAGGTGTTACTGTAACAGGGAGAAAATATTCATTTTAAACAAATGCTCTGTTACCATGTAAAAAAACTAGCATTTTTGCCTTTGCCGGCGATAGCGAATTTCGTCGCTCGGTAATAACGTAACCGGCCTTTGAAAAGAGGCGTTCTGATGGAACTGAAGTGGCTGGCACACACATATAATATGATGCCCCTGAGCAAGGGGTTTACACTGAACGTCAACGTTAGACCAATACTTTATCGGGTCTCTTTGATTGTTGATTGGCTGCACTTCCACATATTGTCTAACGAGAATAGTTGCGTCCACAGTGCAAGTGCTGGCCGTTGAATGTCTCTCGCCTTGATGATTTAGGTAAGAAAGAAGGCCGACATATGGAGCCGGGGTAAGGTTTCCTCCTTGTTGTGTCGGTGGTGGCATCCTCTGAACCTCTGTCTTGACTTCGGCCTCTATTTGAATTCGTGCATCCTCTGCCCGATTTTCAGATACAAACCCTTTCTTTTTAAAGTGGGGGTTCATGAGAGTTGCACCTTTTGCAACGCTGCGTTGATCATATTGCAGCAATCTATCAATCGCCGATTGCTTAATATTGTCAAGAAACTCCTGAACCTCATATTTGAGAGCAGACCGGTCGATATCGTCCAGCATTCGGATCAACCCCTTGGCAAGAGGAATAATGAGAGAAGCCGTGACATAATTCTCACCAGACAACGTCCTCGTCATCTCTTCAAATGGACGTAATATTGAATCCAGCTGGACCAAAATCTGCCAGTCATCTCCTATAAAAACAATAAAGAGGTAATCGTAGTTTGACCATGCAAGATGAACAAGTATTCCATCTTTTATTTAAAGGAAAAAATTATATACAACTTACCGTTTAAACCTTGCGGCGCGTTTGGCAATTCAGACATGCATAAAATTAGCTCCTCGCGGAGTTCAATGAGACGACGTATCATCGCAAGCTTACTGTTACAGCGCGTGTCTACCTGCTGCACTACCCCTAAGCAACTTTTATTGGCGGCAGAGCGCTTGGACTTCAACTTCTATGTTGCCAGGTAAACTTAGGACAACCTGCACACAACACTGTATACTTACATTAGATATCGTTTGTCTACATGGTAATTTGTACCGTGGGTCAAGGGCCTTCACAAATTCAACGAATCCGTCATCTTCCACAACACGAAATGACGGTCGAGGGCCTTCCGTTTTGGACTGTTCTTCTCATAAACACCTGCGACCCCATCAGCACGTGTTGCGATGGCTCCATTTTCCAGCACCACGCGATGAAATCTTTGCAGATGATCTAACAAGTTCTTTGTGCCGCCACCCCTTTTGTAAACATCTCCGCAAATTTTACACTTTGCCGAGTCCGGCTTATCATCTATTCGCTCAAAATGGAGCCACGCTTGGGACGATTTTCTAGGAGCCATTTAAAAGTTTCAAATTGGCCAAATGGCAGATTCGCGACACATACACACACCCATAACTTATCTCCGTTAACAGCACTAGACTCCGTATCACCAGTCGCCTCGTTCCCCTCCGGAGATCGCCCTAACTCCCTACCTCCGTATCCCTCCGGATTCTCCCCACCTCCTACAGTAGTACCGGATATCACCGTTCGGTGCCAGCTCCGCGATCTCCGGTTACTCCTACAGTTGCTCCGTCTCCGCTAACAGCACTACTATAATCAGCATCAGTTTTTCGATCGTTTTCTGCTCCGATGACATCTGCGTCAGTGAGCTCATGTTTTCTGCTTCTGCTTGGTTTCCGCCACCCCTCAGCTCTTTCCTCATAGTATGTGGAACTGCGTCGTCTGTTGATCCTCCTGGGTCAACTTCCATCTTTTAAAAACTTTTTCTCGCCAACAAATCTCAGAAAACGTATAGCTCGCAAATGTGACAATGTTGTCAAAACCCTTTTTACAGGGCGTTTTTTTTTTTGAAAATTGTGATGTGTCGAACGTTGTATACAATGTTGCAAGTTGCAAGCATTGTGTGGGACCTGCATAAGAAGTATACGTAATAATATTGAATACTTTCGAGAAGTTATTTCTCAAATCATAATCCACTAGATAGTATTTTATCATTTCTTCAGTAAATGAAAATGGCGGTTAGAAATATATGTTTCTTGTAGCTTTCTGATTGTTTTCTTCTCAATGTTCCTACGCTGTGCTTATTGGGGGAATCAAACAGTTATGTTGGCAGCACTGACTGAAACGTCATTCTCCCAGCTGTTTTTCGAACGCCATTTGACGAATGTCTTGAACTCTGAAGGAGTTCGATTTTTCGGTTTTAAGAATCGGTTGTGATCTTCACCATCTCAGCATATTAAGTTTTATTTTATCATGACGACTGGAATGCCGGAGCTGGGCTCCAAAATAAGCCTAATATCGAAGGCGGATATTCGTTACGAAGGCCATTTATTTACAGTTGATCCCCAAGAATGTACGATTGCCCTGGCGTCCGGTAAGTATAATTATTTTCTGATAATATTATCACTTGCATCCTAATCCCGCCCAAATTCTACCCTTTTCTTCATTCTCTACTCGATTTACCGTAAATGATTTTATCAAATGTTCGAAAGTTTCATCTAAAATTGGCTAACTAGAGCATAATAAACAGTTACATATACCGCTTTTCCATTGTAACTCATTATTTTACGTAATTTCTTGCAAATTTGTCAAATTTCATCATGATTTCATTGCAAATTTCATCATATTCACAACATTTTACTAGTCTTCACTTTTTGTAATAGCTATGTACACAGTTTTTGTACTAGGTCATGATATAAAAACAACTCTGGAATTCTAGAAGAAATATACTACCTGTACTGAAATATACCATTTTTTATAATATGGTTTTGCCAAAATTTGTGGAATCTATTCTCCTTACTTTGTATTCCAGAATATTTTGGTATTAGAAATTATGTAATAATGCCTTTGTTACTTTTGAGTATTTTTAACACTGGTGGTAGATACCTATGCTCTGCCAACATGGCATTTTGTATGATTTAACCTTATACAGAAACATGAAATTGTGCATGAATCAGCCAAATTTTGTAGAAAGCAGCAAATTGTTGAAAAAAAAGATATTTTACTTACTGAACTATTTGTTTGAAAGTCTTTATTTAATCCAATTTTTCTGCAATTGAATAGTATAGTGTTAGTTAAACAGGTAATTTCACACTTTAAAGATAGACTTATGAGTAGAGTAGGCTGTACTGAACATAAAAACTAGTGTTTCAATGAAAAAAAAATGTTCATAGTACTTACTGCTACATATTGTTACTCAACTCTAAAAATTATAAGGAACATGAACATTTTGTAACTATTTGTAAAAAATGTCTTCCATTAGAGTTAAGGAAGTATTTTGTGTTTTCAAACTAACATCAGTTAATTTGTGAATCTAATGATAGTACAACCCTAAAACAGTTGAGTGTTTTCAGACATTATATTAGACACCTCTGCTTTATGCAGCTGTGATTCCAAACGGCTTTACAAAAAGCTTTGCAACATGTTGCTTGAAATGTATTGCACTGAATCGAGGTTATACTCACACACATATTTAAAATATATAATACCATATGATACAAATATCTCTATTTCAGTACGTTCTTTTGGTACTGAGGATCGTGAGACTCAGTTTCCTGTTCCTGCACAAAGCCAGGTGTATGATTATATCCTCTTCCGTGGTAGTGATATAAAGGACATACGTGTGGTGAACAGTGTAGCACATCAACAGCCACTCAATGATCCAGCCATTATGCAGCTGTCTGTCCCACCAACTTTGGGTAAGTGGTTTTTAACTCTCTAAATGAATATATAATACTTAAATCAAATGTAGTTTGATTTTTTATAAATAAAAGTATTTTATAGTAAATTGAAAATTGTCATCTAACTTTATTTATAACTAAAATCAGCATAGCATCATGAAATACCATGTTTCAAATTCAACCCACACCATTGAGATCTTGAATATGGCAAGGGATACAAAGTATCTTGAATGGGAATAAAGTTGCTTATTCAGGTGACAAACAAGATGTCATCTAGAAAGTTTTGATAATCAAAGTATTTCTAGTGAGAGATCGAAACAACCAATTTTCCCAAAAACGTTTAATGTTTTCCTGACTTTATTTGTAGTAGGATTTCAATTTAAATTATATATAATAATGACATTGACACTTTTGTCTCCTTTACAAGGTGGTATAATTACAGTTTTATGATGTTTTGTCTCTTGTCCTCCAGCATCAACTTTATTTTTTCTAGTGGTTGCCATATTGGATTTTTGCACAGATGAATAGAATTTCTAATTCATGTAAAAAAAAATACTAATCTCTCCAGGATGAAATTTACTAACATCTAAGAGAAATTATGTCATCTATCAGAGAAATAAAAAAAATAATTCAATAATCAGTAAACAATGTTATCACCTGAGAACTGCTTCCAACTGGCAACAGAAATTTATTACTAGAACATGCCAATTGCAATCAAGCACTATTTTGTATTAAAATGTTGAACAAGTGATCATAGATTTGTTTGTTGAAGTATGAAAATCTTGTTCATTCTTAACACTTTACCTAGGCTTCTAATGGCTTTGGCTCTGATGTCACTAGCAGGGATTCAACCTGACAAAAAATATATCACAAATTACATATAAATTATGTCATAAAACATGACCTAAGCCTTCACTTTTGATTTTGACTCTTAAGTTGATGTCAGTAATGGCAAACATAATCTTGATTTCTGATGACTTTGATTCTATGGTATGTCAATAGAACAGGTTGCATAGTCCTTTCCAGAAGCTGCAAATTTACCTGTAAAAATCATGTTTCTGGTTTATTGTCCATCATCAGTGTAACATAATTCAATTACAGATTAAGTATGTGCAGAAAATATCATAAAAATTAATAATGGATACAGCTTGTTTAAAATACCACACTCATGTAAAAGGAATTGGTCTTGAACAATTCATCAACCTGCAAATTATATATGTAGTCGTGCCATAAGTTCTGTCCCATGATAATCTCATGATAAAAATGAAACAAGATAAGATATATTTATATGAAAGATATTATTTATTCGACAACATTTTTAGAATTCATAATCAAACAGTTTTATTCAAAATGTCCCCCCTTGGCCTTCACACACTGCTTCAATCTCGCGGGCCACTCATCTATCACTGCACGCACAGCTTCCAAAGGAATAGCTGCCGCTGATCGGATCAAATCCGCTTTCAGGGACTCGATATTACGGTGGGCTTTGGAGCAGGCCAACTGCTCTAGCAGGTCCCACAACTTGTAGTCTAAAGGATTGAGGTCCGGACTCCCTGAGGGCCAATCTTCCGCAGCAATGAACTCTGGCACATTGCTTTCCAGCCAGCGCTGCGTACTCTTAGCCTTGTGAGCGGGGGCGGAATCCTGCTGGTAGACCCAGTGTTGGTTGGCAAACAATGTACCACTTAAAGGCTTGACGATAGGATCCAGTATGTCGCTCTGATAGTTTGCCGCTTTTGTTTTCACGCCCTGTTTACAGAAATGGAGCTGAGTGACCCCTTCGTAGGACACCCCCCACCAAACCATGACTGACGCAGGGTGGTGGCCTCTCTCAACTCTCGGAATGATCTCCGAAGCTTCCTGTGAACTCCTTGCATACACTTTGTCATTTTGTCGGTTGAATTTTTCTTCTATGGTGAAGATTTTCTCATCCGTGAACAAAATCTTTCGGAATCCCCCAGCTGCGTACCTCTCCAAGAGCTTCTTGGATCTTGTCGCCCTGATGTGTCGCAAGGTGGCCGTAAGTCGCTGGCCCGTACGTCTCCGGTAAGCCCCTAGCCCTAGGTCTTGTTTAATGATGCGCGACATCGTCCGGACAGGAATCTTCATTTCCCTGGATAGGATCTTCTGCTTCCGGAGTGGATTCCTTTGAATCCTGGCTTTTACAGCTTTGATGGCTGCTGGAGTCCTTACTTGACGAGGTCTTCCGCTTCTTGGCCTGTCATCAACAGAGGACGTCTCATTGTACCGCTGAATGGTCCTAGACACAAATTTACGCGATATTTGAAGGCCGCGTAAGAGTTCAAAAATCTGACTAGCACTGTGATTACACTTATGTAAAGCTATCACTGCAATACGGTTCTCTGCCTTGCCCCACTCCATCGTTATGCTTCGAGAGATCAATACAAACTGAGGTATATGTAATTACCCGAAAAGCGCTTAATCAAGTGACACCACAATGTAAACAATCGGACAAGTATTAACTGGTCTACACTTGTTTGAAAACGAGGGACAGAACTTATGGCATGACTACGTAGTTACAAACACGTGTCCTTTCACAGTCATTCCAAAGTAATTATGGAGCTAGTACATTCATTAGATGCAATCCCACTACGCTAGTTACTAAAACAACTATCTGCACTATCATCACCAGATTCAACCAGATTTATAATGAATGACTGATTTTAAATAACACACCTTTGGAGCATACAAACAACCACAACAAAATACAGATCTGTCTACCTGGAGTTCACATATCCCTCTGAATTAATTATGTGTTCTGTGCTGATATGGGGAATTTTGAAATATCACCAGATAACTAGCTATCGTTGTCCCATGATGGATACTCCTGAAGTAGGGTGTAATAATTTCCAGATACCTTCTCTCAATAAATGTGGTGTTGACAACTGCTTTTGACCTTGACTTCAAAAAGGTGGTCTTGGCCCACCCCATCCCTTTGATCATAACTACAAATCCATATTAGTGACTGCAAAGATTGCAAACATTTATTTATTTTCCTGTGACCTCAGTTCCTTTAACTGTCCTTTTGACCTTAACACATTAGAATTCAAGGTTGTGCTATTTATTGATGAAGCTTACCTCAGGGACTGATACCTCTGAAAAATCAAGATTTTTTATGCAATTTACCGTCACGTTAATGACCTTTCACTGACGTCATTGGAGTTAAGGTCACTAGTCATCAAGATCGAGTATGTGGTATGTCTGTGACTTATTGGAAAAAATGATGGCGAAATATACTCTTGCTTAATGTCAATTTTGTTTCCTGCCACAGGTGGTCAGACATTCCAGAGACATCCAGTATTGGGACCAATGACCGGCCCTCAAATGGGCCAATTTGGCGGCGCATATGGCAGCATGGGCACCGCAATGGGCGGCTTGGGAGCAGCCTCCCTTGGACCTGGTCTGACAGGCATGCATCAGAGGGACATCGTACCCCCTCCCAGAGGGCTGAACTCCAAGCCAAGTGAGTTGATTGTCGGCCCGAACGTGCCCCAGTCTGTACTTTCAGCTACTGTCGAGCCGCCTAGGCCCCAAAATGATAATGGTAACTTCACTTTAGTCACACTTTCTGTTTGCTGATTCTTTGTTTTTGCTCACATTGCTATTTAGCTAATGCATGTATTGCTTGCTGCTGCTTTTTGGTATGTATTGTTGGTTTTTAGAATGCTTCAAACTTCTAATAGCATATCACCTTCAGATTAGTAACGATCATTCATTCATATAGTTTCTTCCCAGTAGGAAATATAAGATTGACTGATTTTCAATTAGAAAACCTAATGGCATTAGTGTTTTTGGAAAAACCCTGCACTCTGAAAGGTTGGATTAAGGTAACAATCATCCAATAGCAGAATATCTTCAAATAATCCAGGGAGTAACCCTTGAAATGTTTACCATATGTTTAACATGGATGAGCATTTTGGTTTGCTTCAAAATTAGAAAAGCTTATATCTACTGTTAATTTCTGAAATAAATGCCAGTTCATATTTTTTCAAAATACTACCATAAGATAGTTTCAGTATTTGACTAATTTGATTTTGGAAATTTAGATAAATATATTGTTAAATCTTATTGAACTGTTTGGTTAAGTTATAGCAAATCAAAACTATGAGCGTACACTTTGGAACAACCATGCTACACTTAAATTTGAATAAGTAATTTTACATAATATGTATACAATTCCAGTGTTTCATTTTTCATACCTAAAAGGCTCCTTTTTATTTTGTGACATACAACAACCTGCACCAGAAAGGTTTTATAGATATACATAGACATTTCAAAAATGAGATATTATGGTGTTTGGATGTTGTATGACGAAAAACTGTAACTCATTTCCGTCTGTCTGCTAATCCTTGGCCCATCTATAAACACTGCTAGGATTTTGATAAAATTTTTACACAAGCTTGCTACTATTCTAAGGGCGAAAAAGCTTTGTAGTTTTTGAAAATTGGCCCCGTGACGGCGGAGAAAAATGCCAAAAACAAGAAAGTAAAAATCGCTCAAACTTTGTTTTGTTTATTGTTTCAGAGGGTCCTGATCTGTTTCAGAAACATTTTTGTCGGGGTGCAATTCGGGGGGTTGTAGGGGGTGGGGAGTATATGAAAATTGTTTGATTTTAGAATATTTATACGCTCCCAACCTCGGTAATTCTATGCACCTATTAGCTATATTTCACACATCATGGATTTCCCCTTACGTTTGTCTTTAAAACTTAAAATGATAGAAAAATGTTTTCGATCCACGTACTCTTGATATCTAAGCTCACCGCCTGGCGAACCGGTCCGGTTGACTAATCTATCCGTATTGCATCGGAAAAACATTCACGGACCATGCACGAAGTGAATGATGACTTGCTGCAGTGATGCCGCGCAGATATGGAAAGGGACAACGTTGCCAAATGGACAGTAATAACTGGTAGGGTAGGGAAAGAATGTCTCTATGGACTAATTGTATGGGCCTGTTTGATTGACTTAAGCTGTTTAATTTAAGCTGCGCTGAACTTAATTCCTTATGAACTGATGACGGCGTTGCGTAGGAAGTGCAGAGTCAACCCATTGACGCCATTTTTAAAATTCTTCCTTCGCGTATGCTTATTTTTCTTGGATACTCGCTAAATAAACACTTGGGCTTGAAAATAAAACATCTAAATGTTGCTTCTAATAACTTTTTTGAATTTAATGGGAATAGACTATTTAACATTTCATTTGAAAACATCTATATACTTTGATCGTTAATAGTGCTGCTATAGGTGCTTTTTCATCTTTTACATTTTTGATGCATTATTACATCCATTTTTCTTAATTGATGCAGTTATCCTTGCCTGTTTTCTCCAGCACATAAAACAACAAAGAAAATATTTGTAATTCGCACAAAGAAAGACAAAAGAGGAAGATGCCTCTAACATCCTAGATGTTTTCAAAATAAATGAATCATCAAGGCAACTCAGACTAGGTTCCTTTCTAGATTTGATAGGCGCCGCAGGCAGCGGAGCCGGTGCTGGTGTAGGCGGTTCCCGTAGCACCACTCCTGCTAGTTTAGGTAGCCGAAAATCGCCGACGGTCGAGCAAGGGGTGCAGACGGCTGGTGGCCGTGCTGGACAGGTATTCTATTTGGTTTTGCTTTGCAAATGATCTAGTTTACTTTTCCCATCATACCCATATCACATACAAGCAACAGCATTTTGCTCGTCGAAAAATCATTTGAACCAGACATAAATCGTCAATAGAGCACACAGGCCCAAGAACAAGACGGCTAGAGTTAGTATATGCATCAAACTTCGCCATTTCATTCAGCAATGTTTTTTCTTCAATTTCTCCTTTGTTTTATTCATGTGACGTCATGAAAAAAGTGAATTTGTTTTTTTATAGGACAAGCGGGTGCGCCCCATCCAACCGCCAGGAAGTGTTGGTGGCGGACAACGTGGCGGTGGTTCTGGTCAGCAAATACGTAGGAAATCCAGAGAGCGAAGAGACTCGAGAGGAGCTGATGTCCAGAGAAGTGGACCTGGACAAGGATCTCAGAGGAATCAACAAGGTAAGAAACTAATAATCCATCCCAATGCATGCACTGTAGAGAATTCTTCTGTAATGCCAAAGACAAGCACAATGTGAAAATTGGGCACAGGGTAATGTTGCAGCCCAATGGCAGTCAGTCTTTCTGAACACTGGCCAAGCAGATTGAAATGAACCTCTCACAGAGTAGCCTTCCACCAATTACGTGCCAGGATGGAACGATTGTAATCGACTCAAAGGCTAAGGCGGAAGTGCTTGCCAAGATCATCGCTGCCAACTCCACCAACGCCTGAATGCCGTCGATCAATGGGTTCCCTACACTATGCGGGAAGTATTTTTCAAGCATAAGACCGTGAGACGAGTACTCGATATCAACAAAGCTTGTGTCCCAGACTTGTTGTTTTGAAGAGGTGTGCAGCGGAGCTTGCACAAGTTCTCTCGCTTCTCTTGAAGATATTTTACGAATCCGGCACACTCCCTGAAAACTAGTAATTTCCTTTCCATCGAATCCCAAAAGAGGTTTCTAAGATCGACCCTTAAATCTACAGACCTGTATTTCTGCTTTCTGTTATAAGTAAGGTGATGGAGAGATGCATAAGATACATAGAGTACCTCGAACGTCACGGCTTGATTATTAGCGACAGGCGGTGTGGTTTCTGGCACCAGTGATCATCAGGGGGCCTCCTACCTTACGTCACGCAATTGTTAAGTAAACTCATCCAGTCTTATGGTGAGATTCATGTCAATGCTCTTGATAACAATAAAGAGTTCGATCAGCTGCGCCATGCCCTCTTATTGTATATACTCCCAACCTATGTGGCCTTCCAAGGAAGCTTTACAGATGGGTGGGTGACTTCTTTTATGGCAGCAAGATATCCGTCGCAATTGACGAGTTCTCTCCTTCCCACAAGTCGACTCGGGTGTTTTCCAGCTTTGCTGATGACAGCACTCTACATGCAGGAATTCAGATTGACGAGCTGATCTCTGCTGGTGAGCTGGAGAACAGACTTCCATATCAGATTTGGGCATTGATTAAAGGGTCCTCTCCGATTGATCAATTTTCGACGCCATTGAAAGTGACCATAGGTGTTCCCCAGGGCTCCATTCTGGGTCCGTCAATGTTTATTATTTACTCTAATCTATACTTCAGTCTTCACTCCTGCAAAGTGAGTTTTTATGCAGATGATTCACAAGTATACTTCTCATTTCCTCCAGCTCAAACATTACCTGCTGTTGAGCTGATAAATAAAGACCTTGACCGTCTCATTAAAGCTTCTCATAACATATGTTTAGACTTGAATCCGTCTAAAAGTACAGTAATGTTATTTGGGCCGAAGAATTGGAGAGAACATTGCGAACCTCTGGTAAAAATTAATCTCCATCACAATACCTTAGAAATAAGCTCAATATCGCGAAATTTAGGCTTATACCTTGGACATGCATGTTAATAAGTGCTCTAGAAAGGTGTATGACAATTTAAAGATGGTTTATAGTCAAAAGCCTTATATGAACCAAAAAAACTAAAACCATATTATGCAATTCTCTTGTTCTGTCGCATTTTAACTTCTGTGATGTCGTCTATGACAAATGTTTAACTAAATTTACCTCCAATAAAATACGTCTACAATATTCTTCTCTCAGACTTATTTTTGGTTTAAGGAAATACGATTCAGTGTCATCAAAGCTTACTGATGTTGGTTGGCTGAATATGAAGCATCGCAGGTTGCTACATAGCCTCGTACAGAATCATAAAATTATTATACATAAGCTACCATTCTACTTACACGAAAAGATACATTTCCGTTACTTGGCTCAAAACAGTAATACCCGCAACAAAACGAAACTGACACCTCCTTTTCTTTCTACCACCCTATTCAAAAGGTCCTTTTCGTATATCATTTGTAAACTTTATAATAATATCCCGCGAGAGTATACTTCCCTTCCGATTGATTGGTTTAAAAAACGCATCCGGTATTACATTGCAGCTAATTGCATAGTATGGTTTTAGGGTCGTATGTATTTTTTATGTATATGTATTTTATAGTATCATTTCTCAATGTCCATCCTCTGATACTGCTTATACTACAATTTTTTTTATCTCATTTATATGAATGGGTTGAGTGGAAGAGCGGATGTGCCGAGAACTTCGACCCTCCCACAATATGTTGTTTTGAAACTGGTTTCGTAACTTGTTTCATATATTTTTGTTTGTGGGAATAAACAATTATTACTATTAAATATCCGGTTCATATTTGATTCGCCCTCGTAGATCAGTGCGACTCAAAAAGTGACGTCAAAAGGAGCTATAGAAGTGGCTGATTGGTGATTTGACAATTATATGGACCTGAACTAATCGTATGTTTTTATCGTTTCAGGCATGCATCAAATGCAACATGGTGGATACCACCAAGGCGGCGGATATCAACATCACCAAAGCGGATACCTGCAACAAGCAGGGAACAACAGGGGCGGCGGAAACTGGGTGAACAGGGGCCCGATGCGTCCTAATCGCGGCAAACCTAGGGGCATGCAGAACGGAACTTACAGACCCAATCAAGGCGGGCAGAGCAACAAGGCCAAGCTGAAGTTTGAAAATGACTACGATTTTGAACAGGCCAATACGCAATTTGAGGAGCTCAGGAGCCAGTTCGGAAAGGTTCGTTGAATCTGTATTTTAAATGGTTTTCCAATGAAAATGGCATGTTCACTGTGCAAAAACGTCAAGTACATTGGCTCTACTCCCGACGCAATTCTGGACAAATGGTATCATATATAATAAAGTGTCAGTGAAAATAGTATTGTTGACTTGAAAACATTGAAACTTCATTATTATGAAGACACTACTATTATCTGAAAAATAAACCAAGCAATTACTAACTTTTTATACTGTATTCATCATATAACTAACTTTTTGTGTGGTGGATAGGGTGAGTCTATGTGGTAATATAGTAGGATATAACCTCAAAATGGCAAAAGTAAACAACTGCTTTAATTGCGAAATTCTGTTTTTTAAAAAAGAAAAGGGAAAAACCTTCGGTTATCCATGTGATGTTTGCCGTCGTGTGATATGTGAAAACTGCAATGGAACAATGGCCAGTAAAGTCAGAGTGATACCAAGTCAATTGAGAACTCTTGTTTATGTATGTCCAGAGTGTCTGGTTCTCTTCAAGCAGTTTTCTAAATGCTTGAACGCCTTGAATTATTAGAAAATGAGGTGGACCTAATGAGGAAGCAGGTCACATTAAATAATATATCCAAAATCCTGTACAAACATCTCCCCAAATTGGCATAACCACGGAACTGGCTTCTGTTGTAACGGATTCTTTTGAATCATGTAGTAAAGCTATATCTGAAAACCTTAGACAGTTAAATGAAACAGTAATGATGCTAAAAACAGAACCAAGCAAACAACAACCATCATACATTGCAAGTGGTATGAAACCAAATGCTCCAAGAAAAGCAGACAAAGTGCCTCAAATCTCTGCAAAAGCTGTTAATGCAGCAATAATGGAGGCCCAAACAGTTAACAAGATAAAGGAGGTACAACAGTTAGGAAGGACTGAGTCCAGAGATGGTGAGTGGCAAGTATCCCGACCACGAAGATCGCGGCGATTTGTGGTGGGACGAAATGATGAGCAAAACCAGATTCAATCAATCCCAAAGGTCTCCTCGCTACACGTTAACAGATTAGCCGCTGGGACTAAGCCGGAGGACCTGCGGGCCTTTCTTCAACCAAACTTTCCAGATGTTCAGTGCGTAGAACATTTGTCGAAGCACCCAGAAATTTACTCGTCAATGAAAGTTACAATCAGGCAGGATGACTTCAAAAATGCATGGCGTCGTGAGGTATGGCCAAATGGCGCAGTGATCACCAGGTTTTTTGTGAAAAAGAGGATGCCGCCAACCCAGCCGGATCCTTAGGTCAGAAGCATCATATATCGACATTAGACTTACAAGTTAGTGAACTCTATACTAACTTCTTAGCAGAAGAATATTATCTAGTTGTTTTAACCGAAACCTGGCTCACAGATGGTTTCCAAGATGCAGAGCTCTTAGATGATAGATTTATCATAGCGAGGAACGACAGGAAAGATGGAAGAAGAGGCGGAGGGATTCTTGTAGGAGTGAGGAAAAACATGGAGCATGGAACTCATCCCCATTAATATTCAAATGATTCCAGTCTTGAGTGCTTACTGGTAAAAATAAAAAAGAAATTATTTTATGTGTGTGGTGTTTATATTCCACCAAATGTTAATATTGATACATATGTGCAATTTTTTAATATCTTGGAATAGATTCCAATTTTTTAATATCTTGGAATCTATTTTAGATAAGGATGTAAATATTGTCATTTTAGGGGATTTTAATCTACCACACTATGTGAATGGAGGCTGTGATAAGAGTGAGTTGTTAAATAATTTTCTAAATCTATATAATTTGGATCAGCTTAATAGTATGTTCAAAATAATAAAAAGAAAATTAGATCTTGTACTATCAAATATGCCCATAATCAATCTAGAACACTGTGGTAATCCTATTCTTAATGAAGATCAATACCATCCGGCTTTGAATATGGTCTTATCGATATCTATAATTCACAGATTGAATCAAAATAACAGTACATATGAATGTCTATGATTATTCAAGTGGTGATTTCTATTTGCTGTACAGATTATTGAGCGATGTTGATTGGTCAGAACTTGAAACAACCTCAAATGTAGACAAGTGCAGCGATATGTTCTACCAAAAGGTTAATGAATGTTTGGACCTGGCAATACGTAAAAGGAAAATTAAAAAATGCACTTCAAATGCCCAAAGTTATCCAATATACTTTTCACAAGAACTAAAGAAAAATATTAAATTAAAGAAACGCCTTCACAAACAAATTAAAAAGGGTAATGCTAACTTTCAACTAAAGAATTAATATAATGAGATTAGAAGTGCAATCAAATATCAGACTGCAAATGAACTACAGGACTATCATGAAAAAATCGAAAAAATGTAAAAACTGATCCAAATGGCTTTTGGAACTTTGTCAGGTCTAGGCATTGTGGACCTGGTATCCCTGGTGAGGTATGCTATGAAGGATGTACTATTGGTGGTGCCCAGGAAATAGCTGATACATTTGCTCTATATTTTAGCTCTGTGTTCCAATAATCCGAAAAACTTAACTTTGACGTTTGTAATGGTAACTTCTCATTCTCTCCTATCTCAGAAATGCAAATAAAGGCAGCCATTAAGAAGTTAAAAGCAAAAAAGGCAACTGGCAATGATAATATTCCCTCATACATATACAAAGGTTGTTCTAATATCCTGTGCACTCCATTACAAACTATTTTTAATCTTTGTCTTAAAACAAACACATTTCCAGACACTCTTAAATATGGTTTGGTTGCTCCAGTCCTCAAAACGGGCATTAATTCTCTGGTTGACAACTACAGGCAAATTAGTATTTTAAACTCTTGCGAAAATATTTGAGAATATTTTGTATCAAGATATTTTGAGCTCTCTTATGCATAGGTTCTCTCTGCAGCAGCATGGTTTTCTGCCCGATGTCTCAACTGTTACCAACCTCAGCATCTTGATTGAGGCAGCTGCTGGGGCAATTGACAATAAAGAACAGTTGGATGTTGTTTTGACGGATTGTGCGAAAGCCTTTGATCGGGTTGATCATGGTCTGTTGGTGAACAAGTTGGGTAAATCTGGGTTCTCAAAAAGTGCATGTGAGCTTATGGCATCATACCTAACCTTAAGGCCACAGCAGATTAAAGTTGGTAAGCATTTATCAAAGATGAACATAACATCTGGGGTGCCCCAGGGCAGTAATCTTGGGCCTCTATTATTCATAATTTTTCTGAATGATTTGCCAAATGTCTCATATTTGCTGATGATTTTAAAATATACAAGCCTATAACTTGCCTTCAAGATTGTATTGAGATGCAAACTGATTTAAGTTCAGTGGTTCAAGGAGAATAAAATGTCGTTGAATATTGCCAAATGTCATAGTTTAACTTTTACACGAAAAGCACAATTTATAGATTTTAATTACAAAATTGATAACTTATTGTTAAGTAGGAAAAGTGAATGTAAGGATCTTGGGGTCTGCTTTCAGACTAATCTAAAATGTAATCAGCATTATGAAACTATTGTAAACAAAGCATATAGGATCCTGGGTTTTGTGAAGGAATACAGAGCACTTTAAGGGAGCTAAGTCTATAATAATTTTGTACAACTCACTGGTCCGACCTGTTTTGGAGTATGCCTCTGTTATTTGGGCACCCAAAATAATGGTGCATGTTGATCTGATCAAAAGGGTACAAAAAAGATTTTTAAGATATCTGTACTTACCGACACACAATGCTTATCCATACATGATCTCTTATAATAGTATGCTAACAGAATTTAAAATTGTGCGGTTGAGCGTTAGGCGTGGTTTGAGTGATATCTTGTTCATTTATTACATAATTAATAATTTAAAATATAAGAAGTGCTCTCTGATAAATAATATTCTTTGCTGTTCCTAGAATCAACTTGAGAATTAGAGGCAACAAACTCTACTGTTCACCTGTAAGTTGTTCTTCTATTAATAGAATGATGAGTGTAATAGTTATATACAAAATGTGGATCTCCTTTCGACTACTGTGAGACAAATTATGACTGATTTTAAATTTAAGTAAAACATCCTTATCTCATTTTATTTGTTAGTTAATTTTTATTGTTTTTCTCTGTCGTTATTTTTTAGTTATAAGTTTTTGTGTATTCTCTGTTTTTCTACTAGCCAGTAAGCACTCCTACATGTAACTACATTTAAATGTGTTTGTAAGAGTTTAAATAAATAAATAAATAAAAATAAATAAATTATTAGCACTCCAACAGTAGGCGGAAAAGGCCGATGACACTCTTGTGTAAAGTCTTTTTCATGCTGGATAATGCACGAAATGTGATGCTCTGTCTTCTAGTTCCTTATGGATAAGCTGGAGCTTATTCGTGAATATATTGACAATTGTTACTTCACTAAGAGAGTTCCACCAATATACCACACGATTTGAAGTGAAATTTCTCCTCTCGTATTGAATATTTGAAGGGTATGCCATTAGCAGCCACTGAGGATATTCAATGTCTCAATGAGGTCCCCTCGTAATCTTTGATCAGTAGATCTTGACAATTCATAGCCCTCAGTTTTTTTCATATAGCAAATATCGAATTTCTGGTGGAATTCGCGTTATTTTACGTTGCAACCTTTCCAGTACTTCAATGTCTAACATAATAGGGACACCATACACTGTGTGCATGTTCAAGTTTTGGTCGAATGTACATCTTGTATAGCTTTTCTATCATAGCATGAGAATGGTTTTTAACAGCTTTTTTGATCAAACATAGGTGTATGAGTTGACTTTTAATTTTGTTGGTTCATTTTAAATTATGTGTTATTATAACTCCTAGATTTTTCTCTTACTGTACATTTCTGCGTGCCCAGTGCTGTAGTTTATATGGAAAGTTGTCTTCCCAATCTGAAATATTGTGCACTTTTCTGCATTGAAGTATGTCCCTTTTAATTTCGACCTTTTGCAATGCAGTATTTCTTAATAGCTGCTGTGATATGTTAGTTTTTTATCCATTGATAGATCTGACGTGTAAACAAGGAATAGAAGAGATGCTTGTACAGAGCCGTGAACACCACTCAGCACCGGGTGTGGCTCACTTAGATCCCTATTTGCTCTTATTGGAAGATTCTGTCAGTATGAAATGCCTCTGTCCAACCTAAAAGCTCACATTGTACACAAAAATGCTCAAGTTTATTAATCAAAGGTTTATACAGAACTTTATCAAAAGCTTTTACATAATCAAGATATGTATTTATGGGATTACCTTCTTCATCCATAGTTGTAAAGCAGAGAGCAAGCTGGTGATCACACACATCTTCCAGGTAAAAAGCCATGCTGTGTGTCTGGTATGACGTTATTTTGGACTTGAATATATGTATCCGAGTCAAATTTCGTATGTATCTTTGCTATAAGCCTGCAATGTAAACCTTTAGAGCTGATGATGTTATGGACTGAATATAATTGAATTGTTAATTTATTTTTTTTTGAAATCACTGCTGGATTTGGATCTGACCCTCCGCAGTTAAAAGATATCGCGTGGTTTTATTAGCTGGTGTTGCTTTAATCACAGATGTGAATATCCGAAATACATGTATATGTGATATTGTGTCCTACAGGTGTGCAATCACAAATTCATGAATAGTAAAGCGTCTTTCAGTGATACTAAAGATGCAGCATTTACAACCCTAACGAATAACTTGAAATGATCAGGATTCTGAAAGGCCGAATTTTTTGCGATTTTTGTTTATTTTTTTTTTGCTCGTTTTTTTTTCTAGCTCAGCCGCTACTGGACCGATCTCTAAAAATTAGTGAGGTTTTGGTCCTTGGCATTGCAGTATGCTTGTGTAAAAATGCCATCAAAATCCAACAGACAAACCGACTGAAATGGATTTCGTGATTTGGATGTCATAAAACATCCAAAAGACATATCATTTTCGAAATAGTTCCCTGTTACAATACTTCCTCGTCAGTGACATAAAAAGTAAAATCGCGAACTGACAGTTGTGATTGTAATAAACGCAGAATGCTCTTGGAGTCTTGTAGGAGTAGGTCTGACCTCAATTGAGACCATTGGCAACCTCAAAAAAAATCTTTATTAGAGATTTTAGGCATTGGAAGTGGCCATTTTTTCACAAATGTTACACATTTGAATATTTAAATTGATGAAAGTGTTAGAATTCCGTGTTCTTCGAAAGTTTTCCTGAATGATGTTTAAACAAAAAATGAGCCTAATGTTTCTCTTTTGAGCTAAAAATACAATTTGAATATCACTAGACACTCCCCAAGTGGAAATATTGAATAACAAGTGTGTAAAGACAAATGCATAGTAATGCTTAAAAGACCATTCTGGCTTAGGAGGGGTCTCATTTTGTTCAGTTTTTTTGCAGACATGTTTTATGTGGCTGGTAAACTTGAGATCAGAGTAAAAAAGTACCGAATAGCTTTGCACTGGATTAGAAATATATCCGACTGTTATTAAAAATATGGTATGGTCATTGCTTTTCTATAAAAAAAAAAAAAATTAGAAATGTTTTGTCCTCATTTAATATTGGTTTATGTTTTTACCAAGACCACCATCTCAGACATAACACAGATTATTTTCCCTTTAATCTCTACTCTTACTTCCCCTGCCTTTACCTGTTTGGGGAACGCGTTCGCAAATGAATAAAAATTAATGGTGTCAGCACTGACCCATGGGGGATAGGACGCCTAACGTTGACAGACTCCGGACAAATTCTCTACATTCTACCATATTTTTCCTTGCAGGTGAAGATCGAGGACAGTACCGGCACCAACAGCACAGCAACGACGTCATCTGCTTCGAGTACGACGACGCTAGGCGCCAGCGGTACGACATCGGCGACCACAAACGGCGATGCGGACAAGAAAGATGACAGCGGCAACGAGACGGGCGCTGGAGAAACGGAACAGGAAGAGGACCACGAGGTGTACTACGACTGGACGAAGTCGTTCTTCGACAAGATCTCGTGCGAAGCTGTCGAAAGGGCCAAGGGCAAGTCGCAGAGGACCGATTGGCGCACCGAACGCAAGTTGAATTCGGAAACGTTCGGAGTGGCTGCTACCAGGCGCGGAGGGTGAGTGTTTTAGCGCCTAATCGGACTTCCATTTTGTTATTGATTCAAGATAATATGAAAAGTAGCTTTCTAACCTCTCTATGTTTTAAGAACCTGTTAAACACCATTTGATTTGTACTTTCATAAATAAGTTCAAAATTATTACTAAAAAGTAATTTCAAAAAATCTTACATATCTTTAACTTGAAAAATATGTGCCAAAACCAAACCTGTTGTGCATGTTGACACACATCTTACCTTTTCACATAGGATTTAGGGTCCATTTTTTTTATCCTCATATCTCGATTATCTTGAGACTTTGTTGCTTGTGTTACTAAGAAAACTTGCTTATTATAGCATTTCCTATATACTCTGTAAAGGGAATTACCAACTTTCAGGACATCCTGTATAAGTAGAAAGACATATATGCATAGTGTCTCAATAGTCTGTGGTCACAGAAGTATCACATATTTTCAGACTCGAAATAAGTCGATTGGACATGATTTACTTCTATGCAAAAGTTATCCGTTTGTCCGTTAGAGGGCGAAAAGGTTTGGTTTTAAAATACATTTACTCCGATATTTTTGGAAACAATAGTCCGATATGAATGAAATTTCTGTTTTGATAGACGTCCTAATATTTGACTCTTAATTTTTTTATGTAAAGGATCTTTTTAATCACTTCATGTTTTGTCTCTTATGAAAACAGGCTATCTCGCATAGTTTTCGAGAAAAAAGTTTTTCGTTGCTGTTTCTAAAAAATAGTTTTATTGCATCGTGATAAATTTTTTTGCGCTGTATTGTTATTTATGCACAGGAACGACATGGTGAACACCTGTTATGAAAGATACTCCCTATTTTCTGTATTAAACAAAATTGTAATAAGTTATATCATAGTTGTTATTTTCGCTAAATTTGAATTAATAAAACGCTTGGGACCCATTTTTTTTTTCTCTTGAAAACTATCCTAGATGGCCTGTTTTTATATGAAATAAAACATTAAGCAAATAAAAAGATCTGCTAATTAAAAACAATTTAGAGTCGTCAGGAAAGTTGCCAAAAATTCCGCTATGATTTATCTAGAGGTGGGGGTCGTCTTTAGCCTTGTCGAACCCTTTAGAATTTTTTGTAAAAGTCAAATATTAGAACGGCTAGCAAAATATATGTGTTCCAAATTTCATTCAAATAGGACTACCGAATATTTGTATCTGAAAAAAATATGTTTTAATACTTTGACGCACTTTTGCATAGAGGTAAATCATTTCCTATCGACTTACATGTCTAAAAATATGTGCTACGTCTATGTCCACCCAATATTGGGACACCCTGTATATGCATGTATCCGGAATAATAACGAAAATTGTGGACAAACAAGTAACATGTGACGCCAGATCAACTATGGTAGAAACTACTATTTACACATGTCTAAAAATATGTGCTATTTCTATGTCCACCCAATATTGGGACACCCTGTATGTGCATGTATCCAGAATAATAACGAAAATTGTGGACAAACAAGTAACATGTGACGCCAGATCAACTATGGTAGAAACTACTATTTGCACATGGAAATAATGGAGTTTCAGGTAGTGCAAAGCCAATGAGACCAGGGATCCGCTTTATGGGGAATCCGACCATGTTTCTCTACTAATGATAATAATAATTCAATCATAATTTATTGGTGCTATTAAACAAAAATGTCAAGTCGATCGGAGTAGAACATCAAAGAGAAAAAACAACAAACAGTATGTAAAATAACAATAAATAGATGTGCCTGTCAGACAGACCCGCCTGACATTGGCGTCACACCCTAACTGTGTCGAACTTCGTAGTAGAGAGTAGTATCATCGACAATTAAGAATAGTCTACTAGTTATTTTACTAATGTAATGTTTGTCTCCAGATACCGGGGTCGCGGAGGCTACCGAGGCATGGGTTACCGCGGCGGTTACCGCTCTAACTACCGGCCCATGCAACGTCGAGACCAACAACAGCAGAACAACGCCACCGGCGGCAACCAAAACCAACAGCAAGGCCAGACATCATCTGGATCTACAGGGGCGCCATCTACGGGCAACAGCAGCCAAACTCAGCAGCAGCCGCAGAACCAGAAAGGTAACGGCCTGTTGGATCCGACGAAGGAAGTCGACTTTGAAATCGTCAACAGCGACGACGATGGCGACGAGTCTCACGAACGTCCACTTCAAATTAGCAACAACACATCGGCCATCGCCGTACCTGCTCCTGCAGGTACTCCTGCTTAAAGAATATTCACGTCCGTGTTGTTTTTTCTACAACTGGTTATGCTTTATTAACTTTCAAAATATGGTATCATTCACTTTGCACAACTTTATAGGGATCAGTTTTTCAATGTTTGCAGTTAGTTTGGAGAAAAAATAATAGAGCATTTTCCACCTTTCCCAAATTACATTTGTAATAGCCCATATAAATTGTTTATACCCATACATATTGACAAACATATTTTAATCCTGTATATCAGTCACCAACATTTTTATTCCACATACCACCAGAAAGTGTTCATGAAAAATCACAGCTTTGGCGCGAAATGTTACATTTGAACTTAAATGTCGCATGTTTTCCGACCGCCTGTCTGGAGGAGTATTCTTAATACTTTTCAACTGATTGTTCCATGGTGGGTATAGAGATAACTGATAAACATTGTTGTTTAGATCTTAAAAAATATTGACTTTTAGTAGCTGTAGCCACAGTTGCAGTGTAATTTTATATAACGTGATGTTTGAATGCGTAAAAGAAATTGGAAGACGATAATATCAGCACGGAAATTGATACCGAATTGCAAGTTTTAAACATTTACATCTTTGTTGCATTTTTTCTTCCATTGTAACTTGTTAGCAAATAATAGTGCAGCTCATGGGCGCCCATTGGTGGGAGGGGGGGCGGCGGTCAAGGGGGGACATATGCCCACTGTGCATTCTGCTTCAAGGTGAAATATTCTTAATAAGATACACCCAATCCTTGGGTAAGAAGTGGAACATCTCGGCATAGAAGACATTATTTCTGCTACCATTTTGAATAGTTGCAACCTCTCCCCTCCCCTCCCCTCCCGTCTTCAATTGTCACCAACGGGTTGGCTAGTTCTCAGCATTTTTGATCCTGCACAACCTGTAAACCAAACATGCCCCCTCTGGATTTTGCTATATGGGCGGTCATGGTGCTGCTCTAAAATTGTATGTGAATATTCCACGTTTATGGAAGGATAATTACTTGTTTCCTCATTGCTTATTCTTTAAAAAATCCTTGCTTTTCTTAAAAACCCAGTTTGTTGCAAGATGAGATTTCACGGAATTGGTCTTGACTCCGACTCTGTTCCTCTTACATGTCAAAAACCTCCTTTCCTGTAAAATCAATCCCATCCACAGCTGCTTTGCTGACGACAGCACTCTACATCCAGGAATTCAGAGTGACAAGCTGATCTCTGTCAGTGAGCTGGAGAAAAGAAGACTGGAAGAGACTTCCTCTCTGACGAGAGACCTGGAGGTTATCACTTCCTGGGGAGGCAACAACCTTGTAAAATTGATGCTTCCAAAACACAGAACTGTACCTTCTCGAAAAAAAAGCAGCCTAAAGCTCATCCGGTCTCGATGGATGGCCGAGTTCTGCCAAACAGCCGTTTATTTCGGCTGGTCAGAGTCCAGATCACAGAAGGACTTGATCTGGCACGCACACATCTCGTCAATAGGGGCAGCTGCTGGGAAAAAGCTAGGATATTTGTTTAGGGCTAAGAAGCATTTTTCTCCACACGACCTCTTCACTCTGTATAAGGCCCAGATAAGACCTAGCCTCGAGTATTGCTTACATGTTTGGGGTGCTCCCGCCGCGACTACATTATCTAAACTCGATGCTGTTCAGATTAGGGATGTCCGAATGATCGATGACTCTTCTCTAACGGACAGTCCCGGGACCCTTTCGCACCGGCGGCCCGCCTGCGATCTGACACTCTCTACCCCTACGCCGATAGGCTGTGTTCCCCAGAGCATCCTAACAGTTTCGAACTTTGTACATACAGAACTGGACATAAAAAATGTACTTTAGGACAAGAAAAGTGATAACACTGTTTTCTAGTCATCTCTATACACACCATAAAATAATCAAATGAGAAGAATTTAGAAGACTGCTCCAAACAGGCAGTTGAAAAAAGGGAAACGTGCGACCTTAAGGTCCGTTGAATCACTTCTCAGTCATTAAAAAAATGGAAATGCTCTGACTTGACTTCTCAGTGGCAAAATATTGATGTTCTGTCGAAATAAACATTTTAATGAATACCCTTTTGCACATATTGTCTCCAAGTTAGAGAAATCGCAGCAGATGCCAACCACGCAGATTCTAAACATCCTAAAGGTGTTTCTTGAATCTGCCCCAAGAATTTGACTTTTTGCTTGCTTAAGGTATTTTTTGTAACCCTTGAGAACATTTTAGATGCCTGCTTTATAATCGATAAAATATATTATGAAAAGTTTATAATGATTTTGGAGAAACGATATGTGTTGGTTTGAATGTTATTCTAGATATAAATTATTGAGATATTTATTATAGAATGTAGGCAGTTTCTTTTGTAAATAAATAAATTAAAAAACACATAACCTCTTAAAATACACTTTCTAAGCGAATTTAGTTACCTTTGAGTTGCTGAGTATTTTGCAATCTCAATAAGCCCAGTTGTAGAAAAAACATTTTTTGTAATTGTCCTTTCTTTTACCACTCCATAGTGATTTTAAAAAAGTTATTTTCTTCTGTGTATCTAAGAACTTGGATATTATGTTCCAACTACACTCAAAAAGATATGAAATGACAATAAAGTTGTTTATATATTTTTCTCCTGATGATGGCCTCAAGAATATTATTTCCCTTTTTGTTGCGGAAAGAAATTGAGACTTGTTTGCATTGTTTTTAGATTTAATGCTTGTAGTAGTTGGTTTATTTTTGAGCATGTATATTAATTAGATCACTGCTTGCGTTCATCCATATTCTACCACGAGCAGTATTGTGTTCTAGTAAACGGCACGGTTTCAAATTTATATAGGGTGAGTTTTTAGTGTAGGCCCGTCGATAACTCCGCTATTTCACATAGTATCTAAACATTGGCTAGTTGACACATTTTTTAAGTAGGTCTTTTGTACGCTACAGATTCATTGTGCTGGTAACAGCTCTTTTATTTAGAAAAATTCATTTACATACAAAAAACAACGCTACAAACAAGTTTTACTAGATGTACACACTTTTTATTATTGCCAACGTTGCAGACTAACACAAAAATATCACTTGCTGATCAGCTGTTCACCTTAGTAGACGTCAAAGCGTGATGGATACTCGTGAAATAGGGTATAGATGGAATTATTGAGAGGTTATGTATGAGCTTAGTTTTGAATGACTTCTGAAAAGGAAGATTGTGTATTACTTATTCTTTGTTTTCATGTCTTATCATTATATCAGATGCATTGTACTTACATAGAAGTATTGATTTGATGAAAGCCAAAAAATTACCAACTTCAATGTGTCAATTTTCGGTAAATTTGTGCCCTGTGCTTTCACGGATCCAACGTCCGTGATTGTTTTTTTTTTTTTTCAATAAAACGAAGAAACGGTAACATTTTACGTTCATTCGAAGGATGACGGATGACGTTCCTTTGTTTATAATTTGTATGACGTTACACCATGGCCAATAGTGTTCTTGCCCTTTAAAAAATTGAAATCGATGTATTTCGATTTCCTAAGCCAAATGCTGTAAGAAATATTCATTCTATGAAATTAGATGAGTCAAGTAGCCTATTGTAGCCAACGGTAAACTCCAAATTTGGAAAAAAATGTTTACCTCTACAGGGTGATTCATCACTATAACACAATAACTATACTCATACTTTTTTTAATTACAGATTTGGATAGGTCCTTTCACACGAAGCAGTTTGATTTTCAAGTTGTTGAGGTATTGGACAGTGCATTAAAAAAACACTCAACTTTGACAACCCTAACCTCTGCAACAATTACGGAATTTTTCGTCAGACAAATTTGATGATCCCGTATGTTCTCCCTGTCTACTTACTGTCCATTTTTTTTTATAGTTTATATAGGCTTTTCACATTCTTTGATCCCCCTTTTCACAAGCTTTTTTCTCATACGAGGTTTATAAGGATTTATATGACTAGCTTGTGAGCTACTAAAAACAGGGACACCTTCTTGACTTTTCGACTTTATTGCATAAGGTTGGGCAGATTTAATATATAATGAACATCGATGAATTCTAATGATACGCTGTTACCAGCTAGATGCTATTTTTTATTTTGAAATGTAACTCTAAATTCACCATGACAAACCCCAAAAACCCCATATCAAAAAAATGTTGTAAAAAGGAATCAAAGGATATGGAAATATACAGGGCGTTCCATTTGAAAGTTTTGAAAAATCGTTCATTTTGAGTTATTAAGTACCATCAAAAAAACTGAAAAAGTCAGAAGACAGGAAAAATAAATATAATCACAAAAATTTTCTGTCGAAAAATTTAGTACTCTAGCTATAACAGTTGAGATGCCTGTTGACAAATTTTTTTTCGATAAATTGCCCAATATCTCAACAAATTGAAAATAAAGCCCTATAATATGGTACAACAAATTGCTTCATTTGAAAGGACGTATCCAAATCTGCAATAAAATGTAGACCTTCCCTTAAAAAATGAATGTTTAGGTCACTGTGTTGGTTTCAATCACATCGTAGGGATAAAAATATTTTCCAAGGAGCTACAATTTTTGTAATTAACTTAATTAAATAATGGAGGGAGTCCATATTAAAAACTCACCCTGTATATTATGTATGAAGTCATATCTATTCACTTTTACCTTTATGAACAAGATATTTTAAATGCTACAGTAACAGATGCGTATCAAGTGCATAGCTAAATGAAGTCATCCACAACTTTTGCATTGAAATCGTGTAGTTTGCAAGAACGAAAATATTGCTTTAGATGGTAGAAAAGCATGTAATATACAACTACAATACTTTTTTAAATCACACCTCCATCGCTTATACTATACTATACTTATTGTTAAAATTAATTGTCCGGGTGCCCAAGGCCAAACTGGTAGAAAAATAATATGTATATATGTTGTCTTAATTGAAAAAAAAATACATTTTAAAATGAAATTTGAAGTTACGACCTTTAAGATGATTTCAAAAAATCATAGAATGCTCTAAGAGCCTAAGAAACTAACTATACAGACTATCTTAACTTTGCTAAGCTGCGATATTGGAAAAAGGCATGAGATCCTTTGCGGCACCTGTAACTGGACACATTTTACAATAAGGGGATTATTACAAGGCGAAAAGCTCGTATTTGCGGGAGAAATTTTACTTTTTTAATAATCACGTTCATTGGGCTGCCCCTTTGTTATATAAAACTGGACAACGTCGGCCCTGGCAATGTTATTGTATTTTCTCAATAAAACTTATTGCAAAATCGAGTGTTGAGTCTCAAATGCCCACAAAAGAGAAGATCCAATACAGTCCACTGGCAGCATTTAACACCCCATGTTTCAAATGTTTTTAAACAAATAACATTCTGATCAAAAGTAACTTCTCAAGTTGACCGTTTTCGAGTTTTTAGGCTTTGAAAGTAGAGGTTTAGGGATTTTAGAAAATAAATTGCTTATAACTCAACAACGGTCCACTTTAGAGGAAAGTTACTAAAGGCATTTTCTGTTAAGAACTAATGAGAGACCTTGCTGACCGGAGAAAAAAAAATGTCTAGTTTGCTTAACAAGAAACGTTTACACTTTGCTCTTGGTTACCACCAAGCAACCTCTTGATTCATATTAAGGGGCATGCAAGAAACGTAATTCTGAAAAAAATGGCATCAAGCAAGTTGACCCTTCACTTGCCACGCAACGCCGTCATCAGTCCATAAAGGATTATGTTAAACCCTCTGAGAAAAAAGTTAGTTACAAACGTGTATAACAGAAAAAGTAAACGGATCAAGTTTGTCAAGTAGGCCCATATAATTAGTCCATAGATATTATTTCCCTGCACTACTGGAAGTACCGCCCATCTGGTAACGTCGCCCTTCCCCCATACCTGACCATGCCCGCCGGTGAACTCGGAACTTCGAAAACATTTCTCTATCATTCTAAGTTTCAGGGGTAAATGTATGGGGAAATCTGAAGTTTAAAATATGTATTATAGGAACGAATAATTACCTGTGTTGGAGAATATATTAACATCATAAGATTAAGATATCTTCTCCCCCACCCCCTACAACTCCCAACCTCCAATTTTTAACCTCGTACTAAGTTTTTTCTAAAAAACAACTACTTTTTCGTCCTTGGCGCAGTAGTAACCTTGTGTGGCACCTTCCAAGTTACAGATGCGCCAAGATATTCGCACAGACCGACGGAAATGAGTGACAAAAAACGTAATATCTTATTTTCGAAAATTTCCGCAAATACTCCTTAGCGAGTAAGCGTGGAAAGTAAGAATCAAGTTTTGCAAATTTCTCCCGCGAGTGTTAGGTTTTCACAGCGTCTAACAAATTATGTTTTTTAATTTATATAGCCATTTTCATCGTTAGAGTGTACGTAGAAATCTGTATGTAAATCAGAATACTCGTAGCTTCTCAATAGTTGCACTCCTACTTCTACCAGTTTGCGTCCAAATTATCTGTCTATGCAACTGATTTTCTATATTTTTCTACATCGTTTTATCTTAATTCTCTCTACAGGACTATAGGAGGATCTGACTTGAGGAAAACTGACACTGGAGCAGGATGGGAACATGGAATGTCGCGAGGATGCCGATCTGTGATGGTTTCTCAAAAAAGAGTTTATAAAAGTCGCATTCGCGTGTTTCCAAGTTTACCAAAAAATATAGAACAAATTGTACCCGCAGTTCATCCCGCGTTGGTGCGTGATTATTATGGCAAAACGGATTTTGATTGATTATATTTCCTAGTGTCAGTATTATTTGTAGCATAAGGTGTACCTTAAACGTAAGTGATACAGAATAATTGTTTCATATAAAGAGAAATCGGAAAATAACACAAAAATTCTTTGTGAATATTTTTACGTCTAGAAAGGAATTATTATTTTTTTATATGATTGTTTTACATTCAGTTTGAACATTAGGTTTCGTTTATACTGTGTGAAAATTGATTTTAATTTTTGAGGGTATTTTGATTGATTATAGGTTCGAACTGAATCGTTTTGCCAACTAGGTTGTTGTAAATTATTTCCTAATTATTATATTTGTTATCATAGACTTTTTTAATATTACGTACATTTTGAAATAAAACCACTTTTGGAAATATCTTCGCCTTTTTATCACCTATTTGTTTTCCTAAACCTAAAGTTCCACTCTTAAGACGAAGTGTTTCGTAAACTTGAAATTAGAGAAAATGAAAACGAAGATTGTATGATGATGTTTCGTTTCATAGTCGTTCAATTACGCATCATTACAAGGTGCTAATTCGTTTAAACGAAAATAGCGGAGGATAATACTTGTTTTCTAGCGTCTTTATTTACTTCTCGCCTCTATGACAGTGTTTGATGACGAGACAGCAGTATACCCGATTTCACGAGTATCCATCACGCTTTGACGTCTACCGAGGTGAACAGCTAATCAACAAGTGGCCTTTTTGTGTTACTCTGCAACGTTGGCAACAATTAATCGGGTATAAATCTAGTAAAACTTTGTAGCATTTCATTTTTGTGTGCAAATCACTTTTCTAAATGCCTTAGCAAATACAAAATGAATCTGTAGCGTACAAAAAACAAAACAAAATTCGGCTCTGTCTACCTAGTTTTGACGAATCCGCCTGAATTATGTGTCCTGTGCCGATATAGGCAATTTTGAGATATTACTAGATAATCAGCTGTTATTCTACCGTGATGGATACTCCTGAAATAAAGCGAATTCTTTAATTCACCGGTTGAGCCACCGGTGCAACCAATTTTACTTCTTTTAATGTCCGTCTGAGCGACCGGTTGTACACCAAACTTGTCTATACACCGGTGAATTAAAAAATACGCCTTTTGGGTATAAATATTGTTTGATGTTGTATGAAGCACAGAACACTAAATTTTGACATATATTGTCACTTTTCTAGGTTAGGAGAGGTTGTTACATTTCAGAAATTATTTTTAAATGTCCAGGTTTCAATGAGAGTCCAAAGGAGTTCTACCATCAAACGCATATTAGACAAATGGCCTGGTAAAAAATATTTAGGAATATACAGATTCCTTCCAATTTTCTTCGTCTTAGGAGCCGCTTTGGAATTTTCCATGATAAACTGGCAAGTAGGAGAAACAAATTTCTGTAAGCAAGACAGTTCTAACACTTACAAAAGGTCATGACAGAATTATTAATTTCAGATAAAACTTTCAAACGAAGGCAAGCCAAAAACCTGATAGAAAAAGAACTGTACGAGGGTCAGATAGAGTAACACCATGCCGGCTGGAGTCACTTGGGGTACCTACCTGAAATTCTTCACAGCTGCAATGTTGAGTATGATGGCTGGTTCACAAGTTGTACATATGTACTACCAGCCCTTGGATGACTTAGAAATATACATTCAAAATGAAAAGGAACATGTGAAAAAGTAGAATATGTCCAACTAACAACTATAGAACTATTACACAAAATTTGAAATCTGATGGGAAACAAAATTCAGCATAAAAAAGAACTGCATATTTTATTTATTGGAAATATTCTGCTTGTTTTGCACAATAGTCACAATCAGGTGGTATTAGTTCTGGGAAAGATAATGTAGAATTCGTTGTAAATATTTAATTCATACTTTAATAAATAAATAATTAATTGTGCTGTGTTTCATTGGAAGCATACACATTTATCTTACAATGGCAGATTATCAAATTCTTGGTAAAAATATATACAAGAGTATTAGAAAACATATTAAAAATTGGCAGTGTCTTAAACCTTTTGTAGCCACTAAAAGTCCATAAGTTGCTCACTATATTCCTTATAAAGCCTCTGCCATGGTAACTTAGACTTTATAACATCTAATACTTCTTTCAGTAGTTCTGCTTTAGAAACACCCTGCAAGTAATTTGTAAATTTTGTAAGAATTTTTCAACTCACATCCACATAACAATAACACTAATGAACCCTAGCCGAAGGCCATACAACCTATGGCATTATTATTTGGGGATCAACAAATAACCTTCTAAATTATTTACAAAAATTATTCATAACAACAATATAAAACTTTTGAATATAAAAAAGTATTTTGGTATGTTATTTATAAAAATTATGACCACTGAAATATAAATTAGCAACCCCACAAAAAAACAGAAATAATGAGACCATTTATGCAGGGTGATTCACAAATCGTGACCAAAAAAGAAACATCATACACAGGACCGCATTTTAAGGGGGGGTCTTCTATGGAACATTTTTTCCTCGAGGGCTTCATCAAGAAGATACGGGGTGTTAGAAGTATAAAAATAAAAAACATTTTTTTTTTAATATGTTCAAAACCGTCAAGTGGAATTAACTAAAATTTGATATGTGGATTTAACTAAGTATTGTCCACATTCAAAAGTATTTACTTAAAATTAACGTGCACCAGTGGCGAAGATACAGGGAATTCGTAGCAATATTGTTCCAAATAAGAATAGTACGCCAGTTTTTTTTTCGAAACGCGCATTTTTACCTTTAATTTGCTACAAATAATTACGCTTGTGTTTTATCCTAGAATGCACTGTTTTCGTAAAAATAAAAAACAAATTAGATGAAGCTTGATTTCAATAAATGTTCAAAACGACAACCATTCTGACGGATATAAGTGCGGCATCTTTTTAATAAAGAAAAACGTATTTCCGCTAAATAAGTTGTGGCTTGAATTTGATAAAACCCATTATCAATTCTTCCTTGTAACTGATCAACAGTATTAACTTGCTCAGCATACACTAGTTGTTTAAAAGCGCCCCACAAAAACAAATCCAGGGGGTTCAAATCAGGCCAATGTACCGGTCCGTTTCTGCCAAACCATCGTCGGCTAAAACGATTATTCAACCATGCGGCTATTCACTACAAACATGCGGTGGGGCACCGTCGTGCTGATGCTCTGGTTGTGAACGGAACATCATCTATCACGTTCTATGTAGTTCTCTAGAAAAGCTAAGTATGAGTTAACATTTGAACGTTGTGGCAATACGTGCATAAACAGTTGGCCATTGAGAATGCCGCAGCAGACATTTCTAGAAAATCTGTGTTGAAACGAGTCGATTCTTACACACTCCTCGTAAAACGCGATTCATCTGACCACAAAACCAAATCAATAAAATCTGCATTTTGATTATGAATTTGTAGTAACCACTCTGAAAAATTTCGCCGTTGCACTTCGTCGCCGGGTTGCAGACATTGCACATTTTGCCGATGGTAAAGATGTGAAACTTCCCGATTTCAAATTCTCCAAGCAAGACTTTGGGAACATGGTAACTGGGCTGCAATCCGCCTAGTACTTGTACTAGGATCATCCAACGCCAACACTTCCAGTTCCCCTTGAACAGTATTCCGGGCACCATGTCCTGTAACTCCGGGAAGTTTGGCAATTCCATATTGTCGAAGTCTTAGAAATGAACTCGTAAAAACCTTTGGCGTCTGTTGGGAAATCTACGTTGATACTCCCGAGAAGCCGCTAAAGCACGTAAACGTACGTACTTATCATTGCTAAATTCCTTTTCGCAGTCAACACAGTCAAAAAAGGAGAAAACTTTTGACTTGACTTATACAAAAAAAATGGCAGTAGGAGTGATAACAACCGTATAACACAACTTTGACAAACCATCTATCGTACCTCAGGTATTTTTTTGTTAGATTAATATAGCGAAATTCACAAAAACATCACTTTTTAGATTCAAGATTGCAGTTACGCCCCCTAACAGCCATTTCAGAAACTTGAAAATATTTTCCAGGTTTTTCTCTTGACCGTTTCAGTAATAACGCAAGCCCCTACGATGGATAGGTTCCCAGATACAGTACCTCGCATTCTTAGTTGAGCACCCTGTACAAGACGCGCTGTTGTCAAACGAAACAATGATGCAGAATTTGTGACGATCCTGAAATTTCATTTCGACCTAAAATGGAGCGTCGTTAGGACGAATCGTAAATCAATCCCAAACAGATTCGACGCAATTCACAATTAAAAAATGTGTACGCTCAAAATTAAACCATTATTTGGGCGCAAAGAATAAACTAGCGCATATTTTCAATATGCATCTTAATTCAAGGAGCTGGTGTAACATATTGGCAACACGGCAGATTGCACGACCTTCTGCGTCACCGTTGCTAGGCAACGTGGCGATGAGTTTCGCTATCCAGCCGGCTTCAATATCTTTCTAACATATGTGCCTTACGCACATTTCTGTCTCGTACACATTGAACTCGCGTCTGTCGGCAAAATTTGGTCTGCACCGTATGAATTAAAATAAGGAATGAACAATCCTATAATCAGGATATACAATTTTTTGTGAAATACATACCACAAGACAATTTTCCTCCGGACGACTGGACTTGGATCTGTGAGCTCTCATAAGATCATCCAAAATTACTCTTAACCTGCATTCAGGACCTAAAATAATGAAAGATGTCTTCTACTGATATTTTTTTGGTTCTTCTGTGATAATGTCAAAAGTAATTTCAATCTACAAGTAAGCATGGTAACAATACTTTTCTCGCGAATAGGTGGGAACTATGTGAGAAATACTTTTAAAAATGAATTTGAAAATAGAGTGACACAAACCTTTCTCTAGTAAATGATTGACAGTAGCTAATAACCAATGCTTATATTCTGTAGTTGACTGCAAGACACTCGTTGCCGTAATTTGAGATTCTAGAAAACTGAGCAGTACCCCGGGAGGTAGCATATCCGCATTTCTGTGGACTGGCATAGATTTTTGTATTGAGGCCAAAGGCAGCATTGGAGACACTTTTTTTCTGAGGTCACCTCCAACACCACTCACTGGATCTAGAGGATTTGACAACTGCAACCTTAAAATAACGGAAAAATGAAAACTACTATCGTGTCAAATGAAAAATAAGCACTCCCATTCTACATAAAATTAGATTATGGTACCCAAAATTCATTCTTAACATGACCTTATTATTCAAAACTTCAAAATTAATAGAATTAATGGAAAGTAAAAAATATAAGGGAGATAAAATGCTGTGGTCAGAAAAAATAAATTTGAGAGATTGGTAATTAAACCTTCTTTTGATAAGAACAAAAGTAGCACTGAAACAAAAAATGTCCTAATACAAATATTGAATCCTGGAGACACAGAAATACCTGTAAAGCACATACACAAGTAAAACAAGGATATTTGGTCATTCTCGTAAAAGTCGAAAAATCATTAGCATAAATGAATAATGAAACCGAACTAACATTAGGAGAAGATTATGAAATTGGCTGTACAATTAAGCTGAAAATAAAATTGTTTGTGACGCTGGACTGAATGATGAAGGAGAATGTATGTATTCCTGAAAAACAAAGAAGCAGTGAAGTGACAGTTAATTTGCATTTCAACTCAAACTGAAATTATTTGAAAAAATTACAAAAAAGCATTTCAAGAATAACTAATTTCTTACCAAGTTTGTAGCTCCATACTATACGCATATGCTCTTCCATCTGATAGAGATATAATTGGTTGATTTGATGAACTGAGGTTACAACTACTTATCGTACCTGCAAAGTGCATTGTTATATATTTTTATACGGGGTCAACTTTGCTGCGTTCCCAACCTTTTCCTGATAGCAAACTTCTGACAGATACCCTAGACAAGATATTCTTTGCACTTTCCAAATGCCACATGTGTATCAGACCCGTTTTCGTCAATACTAAACAATGGCCCTCCTGAGATATACTCAACGACGAGACTAGGTCCTCTATCAGTAGCGGAGGCAGCGGTCTAGATCCTGATTTGAGGTCATAGCAATTGATCGTGAGATCTTCGCAACACGCTACTATTTTTCTCCTATTGGCTGCTATACACCTTATGCAAGATCCTAGAACAGAATTTACAGCAAGTATTGATTAACATATCCCGTCAAAAGATACCCAATTCATTTGCCAACCTCTCATACAACTAGACAGTGTGATTAGGCCGGTTTACACGCACGTTCCAGTCTGTCTGTTTTGGAGTGTTGTTTCGGGCATGAATGCCATTCAGTAAATATACTGCGTACTTCCTACGCAACGCTGTCATCAGTTGGTAAAGGATTGTTTGGCAGTTAACTAGGAACACGTATAACAAATGATTAAATGACCCTCCTCCTCTCCCTCAGGAATTCCTTGCGATGACGAATCCCGCGTGAATGACGATATTGGCCTTGCCATGCACAATGCACACAGCAGTGCGGAAGCGACCACCGACAATGACGCTTGTCCATCGGGGGACCAAGTTGTATGTATCGACACCCGACTGTTGGAGATATTTTTAAGTTTCAAGGGTAAATGTACGGGGACATGTATGATGAGTGAAATATGCCTAAAATGTGCGTAGAATTACTGGGGTTGGGGCATATAAATATACCACGTCAAAAATTATATACTGCAACCAACAAGGCATGCTGGTAAACTGACTTGCAGCATGGTCATTGAGCATGCCGTTGAATCATTTCTCCATAGGTGACGCTCACAGCACTCATAGCGAGCAAGAGCAGAATGAATTAGGAGCTGACTAGCCAGCAAGTTGACATTTTGCCGTTTTTTATCTTTATATAGGTTTTTCATAAGTAATATCATAAGGGCATCTAATATTTCTAATAACGTGTTGGTTTCTTAACCGGTTGATGCTCCACCAGTGCTGCCAGGTCTAACCGCTGTGAGAATGGCTACCGTTTTACCGCAAAACGTCTGATTTTCATTGCTTTTTACCGCACAAACTTCGATTTTTCATTTTTCTAATGGAGTATAGTGATGTATCTCTTTAACAGCCGCCAATGGCATACGTTCGGTGACAAGGCTAAGTAGTGCTGCTTGAGCAAAGACCACTCCCAACATTTTGATATTTGGAATCTACAGTGACTGTATCTGAACTTCAAAGTACAGCATATAATTAGGCATCTTCTTGGACAACAGGTTTATCGACAGAGTAATTCAAGTAAAACAAATAATCGATAGCGGATTTACCTAAATACGTTTCCCATTTCGGCTCCTTGTCATTTTGATTGTCAAATACTTCAATCTTGGATAATGAGCCCCTAGATGTCTTGTGGCAGTTGTTTGTTATCTTGAAAATTGAAAAATACGTTGAAAGGATAACGAATCCGAATAATAACGGCGAAATGGTCTCATATTGTTAAAATGTACCTGTATTTTCATAGCATTACACTCTTTTGTGACAGAAATTCCAGCAGGCATTTTTAGAGGGTCCAATACATTGATGAATTTTACTATAGGTTCATCTCCAGGAATTTCACAACACATTAATTGATTGATATGAATTCCGGGCAGCTGAATGGACATTCGATTCACATCAGTTTGTGCTCTGAAAACAATATTTCTCTTCAAGATATAACAGTACAAAAATACTTCTAGATAATAATATTGGCTCTTACAGATATATAAAATATTTACTTAGTGTTTGATAATCACTATACTATTATAATTTCAAAACTTACATTGCCTGTGATTCGGCAACAGGTTTAGGTTTCTCCTTTGGTTGTTGGACTGTTTCTACCACTATTTGACTTTTGGTAGGCGATGATTTGCTAAAAGATGTCTTTGACAAGTCTGCATTTATCCTAAAAGGTAGTGTGAATCAGTTAGGTCACATATATAATAGCTGCAATGCATTAGCAATATATTCTATACCGGAACTTAACGGCAGTCTGGCCAAATACGTTTTTTCAACTTCAACAATAGGTAATAGTAGGTACCGTGAAACACTAAAAAACAACTGGCAATTCAGATCCGAAGAAGAGGAATATTGAGCAAAAACGTATGTATTCAGTCTACAGTCCTGACTTTGCACTTAGTGACTATCGCTTGTTCCCTAAAAGATTTGACAAGGTTTTGACGATGTGAAATATGAGATTTATGCTTTTTCAAGGACTGGCCACGAGCTGATATGAGATGGCATGACAAAGTTCCAAATTGCGGTTCGGCAACTATATCTTTTTAATTATGTAGATCTTCCAAATTGAGTTTGATAAACATGGTTTGACTATGTGAAATGATTATTAGCCCAGCTATTACTTCTTATGCATGTGTGGCTTGGTGTTTTCTTGCCAAGACACACATACAAAATCTTCAAGTACTACAAAGTATGACTTTACTAAGAATTTGCAATGGTCTATCTATGGTATGTCTCAAATGAGACACTACATAGAGATCTTGACGTTATAGGCAAGCGGAATCGCACAGCAACCCTCTGTTGCGTGACTCAGTGGAGCAAGTCCGTAAACAGTCAACGCTACGGCTCGCACTGTGATCAAAAATCAGCGCTAACTTTTAGTAGACCCAACATTACACTTTAACAAAATCAAGTAAAAAAAACTAGGTAGTATTTCCTCTTAAACTGGTACGTTCAAGTTTTTCTTGACAGGAAACCAAGACTGACAGATTCAATAGCAGATTGCATAAGCAAAATGCCACATCTTCTATAAAGGCTGTCCTCAAAGTTGGGACTTTACAGAGCATATAGGTCAGGCAATAATAAGCAAGGTTTCCTAGTAACACGTATACCAAAGCCTTAAGATAACCAAGACATTAAGTTCCATAAAAATCTAAATAAGCCATCCCGAGTATGCCGTGGTTCTGTGACTATATGAGTCAATATCCAATTCAAGCGCCGCGCGGTGTGTAGGTTAACCTAGTTTCTACAGTAATAACGTAGTGGGTGTGATGTTAATTTAATGTGAGCATCTTCAAGATTCTCTTGATACTCCGCGAGTGTATTCGAGTATTCAGAACGCGTAGGTTTGTTTGTATCGAGCAAAAGCCCTGGGTAGACACAACCACAACTTTAAACAAAACATGTGACAGTAGTACTTAAAATGCCGTACCAAATTTATATAGTGAGTATTTTTCTTCAATTTCTTTTTTACATTTTCGGTTCTGTTTTACATTAAATTAACTTTGTTATTCCAAACATACTTGTTTCCGAAAAGGACCCCCAGCTTTCAGGGCACCTTATATAGGTAAATTGATCAGTGTTTAAGCTATAGAATAACGTATAAATTCTAAACTTTTGCATTTAGCCACGTATTTTCAAGTACCCTGTAAAAATCAAATAATAATCATGAGTTCTTACTGCAGCAAACCCGTAGGCGCGTCATCACTCTTAGAAACATTCGACACCGTAGTGAGCAGCATAGGAGTTATCCTTCTCTTTCCAGAAGGCAACCTGGTCTCAACCTGCTTGTTAGCAGGCACCAGAAAGCTCTGGTTCAGATTAGGAGACTCGAAGGATCGATCTTTGCTCGGCGTTGTCACCACGTCTTCCCTCTCATCGACACTTATCGATGGAATGTTTGATTTTTCGTTCATTTCTTCGATTGTGTTCAAGAGTTCTGGGTTCTCTACGATCTGGGTGCCTTGCAGGTTCAGGTTCCAGCTTTTCTGTAGAGATTTGTGGTAGATTTTTTCATACAGGGCGTTCTGGAAAGAGGAATTGTAATGTTGGTGTAGATAGTATGTGGTAAAACTTAATAAAATGGGGACCTAATTGAAAAAATTATTTCAGAACTAATACATTGTATTCTTGAATGTGGAGTGTTCCTTTACGGGACGAAAAGTTATTGTAAATAATAGTCTTCCAGTAATATGTAATATATATAACAATTTCGAAATATCAGATTATGATTAACTCGGCACTCAGCAATATCGCGCTAGCGGAGGGTAGGTATACAGAACTGTTAGTTCATAAACTATTTTTGAAAAAACTGGAAATGATTGGTTTATATATATATAACAAATTTGATATGATTCTATTTAATTCGTACAAGCCCTTTTGAAATTCTGATTTGTTTGTTATATTGATAAAACTTTATAAATGAAAGTCTATACTTCCTCTAGTAGAATAACTATGGTACTCATTGTGCAATTCAGTATGATTTTCTAAATTCAATATGAAAAAGAAAACGAAATAGATTATCGGATCTTTTATATTGGACAATTGTAGTTCTGCCAGCATAAAATGTATTCTTGTATATGTATTTTTATCTGAAGAAAATGGTCGAAGAATATAACAGATGAAGAATGAGTATTGTATATATTTTTTTTTTAGAATAAATACTTAGGATATGTGAAATTCTGAAAATTTAATTTATCTTTTTGGATCATTTTCCTGGACGTTCCCATCCTGCGCCGCGTAGCTTTGTTATCTCGTGCAAAGACCGTTTGTCGAGGTGGGCTCAGAAGAAGACCTAGACAGCTCCGAATGTTGTAAATTGACAGAGTTAAGAAACGAAAAGCGAACGTATTTATAAGCAACATGTGACACAGTGATGCTTGTTTTTTTATCAAATAGACGAAGTATAGTTTCCTTCATTTTATTACGTTTTTGTTATACGAGTATTTACGCTGCATTTTAGCTCCGCGGAAAGTCCAAACTTTCAAAGGTGTATTACTATCAAACTTAGTACAGGATATGAGGCTAATTTTAAGAAATAGTGCATATTCCATTTTCATCAAAATTCTTGGTCCAATATCTCGAAAACGTAGCTGAATGACAAGGTTAATACAAATTTTAGAACTGAAATGTCGAAACTTCAACAACTCACCAGCACACCCCATTCTTAAAGAAACTTACCTTTTCTTCCATAGACAATGGCGTCCCAATTTCATCTTGCGTAAACGTAACGCACGCCACTGTACCGTCCCATGAGCAGGCTAATAGATACAATCCGTTGCTACTCCATGTGATATCCAATACACTGTCATTGAACAGTTCCTTGATTACCACGAGAGGTCGCTTGAGAGATGTTAACCATACGCTGATCGATCGGTCTCTTGATCCGATCGCGCAGCAACAGTACTGCGTAGCTTTCGAGTTAGTCGTTTTTGATTTTTTCAGGATGTTGGAGTTGAATCTCTAAAAAGGTACACCCTATTTCACGAGAATCCATCACGCTTTGACGTCTACTGAGGTGAACAGCTGATCAGCAAGTGACATTTTTGTGTTATTCTGCGACGTTGGCAGTAATAAATCGGGTTTAAATCTAGTAAAACTTGTTTGTAGCGTTTTGTTTTTTGTAAGCAAATGAACTTTTCTAAATAAAATGAAATGAATCTGTAGGGTACAAAAAAACCAATAACAAAATACGTCTCTGACTACCTGACGTTGACGGATTCGTCAGAATTATGTGTCCTGTGCCGATATGGGGAATTTTGAGATATTACTAGATAGTCAGCTGTCATTCTACCGTGATGGATTCTCGTGAAATAGGGTATAGTACTGGTAGGTAGTGTTATGGTTCAGCAAAATAGACGATACTTATGTAAAAGGCCTGAAAAAGGTATAAAGCATTTATGAAAGTAAAGGTTATTTACTTGTTAAGTGGTAAGGTGTAGCACAGGTGTGAGGGTTTCAAGAATCATTCTGCAAAGAAATAACGAATTCTCTAAAATTCAGATTATTTAAGATTTTCGGATGACTCAAAAAATTGACATAAGAAAAAATTGTTCAAACTTTCCAAGGATTCGAATGATTCAAACGATTGGTTGAATAGTTGAAGGAATCAAGGCTAGAGGGAGTCAAAAGAGTCAGGAGACTCGGAAGAATCGAAAGAGTAAAGAAAATCAAAAGTTCAAAAGGGTTAGAACAGTCAAAAAAATCGAAAGAATCAAAACATTCAAGAGTCATACGAATCATTCGAGCCAAAAGAATCAAAAGAGTCAAGAGCCAATAGTCAAAATATTCAAGAATCAAAAAGTCAAAAGAGCCATACGAGTGAGAACAATAAAAAGTTGAAAGAGTCAATAGTAAAATGCGTCAGACGACGTAAAGAAGTCAGAAGAGGCAAAGAAGTCAAAAGAATCAAACCAAATGAGCAAAGAGCCAAAAGTCGAAACAGCCATGCGAATGAGAAGAGTTAAAAGTCAGTCGAAAGAGTCAATAGTATGGTAATTCAGAAGAGGCAAAGATTTCATGATAGTCGTGTCATAATTCAAAATTTATAAGGTTCAAATATCAGGAAAAATTAAACACTGAGTGTTAGTTTTAAAGAAATTCAGTAGATCCAAATTATTCCGAAAAAACTAGGAACATAGAACTATTTTGAGAATTCTGTAGAATTTCGGAAAATGCAGAAAAGACCAAAAGAATAAGCATGGCTTCAGTCTCACCAAATTATAAAAATGATATCCTGCGATTTGATGCATTTACTTCCACGGAGCGCATTACCAACTTACCACACATGTGACCGCCTTCCGATGCCCCACGAAATCCTTATCCTGTCTCCATCCCTCTCTTTCTATGATCTGTGCTGTAGGGCCTCCGCCGTTCATAGCGTGCGCAGACACCAGATATTGTCCGTCTGGGGACCAGGCGGGGCGCAGCACGTGCGTCGTTGCCGAGCATTCGGCGAAACAGTCCGAGACAACCTCCTGTTGGGCCCAATCGGATGTGCGCCATACGCGGAGGGACTTGTCATCGGATTGGCTAGCCAGGTACTTGCCCACAGGGTCCCAAGTCACCCCCTGAAGCAGAGGGATAGATGAGTATGATAAGGTCTATTGGTAGTGCAGAAATAGAAACATTCAATAATGAAAAAAAAGATAATTACTTCAAATACAACTCTCCTGATTAGCCCAATTCTCTAACATTGTTCAGATTTTCTAAATTCCCTAGACTTTCCCAAATTCTATAGATTCGCCTAAATTCACCCCAATCCGTTCCCTAGATTCTATAGACTCAAATTCTCTAGATTCACCTAAACTCTCAAGATTCAGGCACATTTTCTAGATTCGACCAAATTTTCTAAATTCATCCAGTTGCTCTAAATTCGTCCAAGTTCTCCTAATTTGTATGGGTTCCCTAGATTTTTCCAATAGATTCTCCCAAATTCTTCAGAGTCGTCCAAATTCTCTAAATTTTTGCAGTTTCTCTAGATTCGTCCAAGTTCGTCTAATAAGACTAGATTCTCTAGATTTTTCCAAAGTCAATAGATTCACCGTCTTAATTCTCTCTCGGTCTCTCTCTCTCCCTCTCTCTCTCTCTCTCTCTCTCTCTCCCTCTCTCTCTCTGTCTCTAAATGTTTAGAGATTCGTCCAATTTCTCCAGAATTGCTAAAACTCTTTAGATTCATCCAAATTGTCTAAATTCGCTTAGATTCACCAGATTCGCTCCGTTTATTTAAATTCGCCTAAAGTGTCCAGACTCGCCCAAAATCCAAAAGATTCTCCCAGGTCCAAAATTGTCTAGAGTCTTCCAAATCCTCTAGATTCACTCAAAGTTTCCAAATTCGTCTAAATCCTCTATATTCCCTCAGATTTTTTAGATTTGTTCAGATTGTATAGTTTTGTCCAGATTCTCTAGATTCGACCAAATTTTCTAAATTCATCCAGTTTCTATAGATTCGTCCAAGTTATCCTAATTTGCCTAGATTCAGTAGATTTTCCCAATCAATAGATAATAATAATAACAGGGCTTTATTCACATAGTACAAAGTAGCACAGGTAAAAAGGTGAAGTGTCAGCATAGCTGTTTTTCAACTTAACCCAGGTAAAAAACATCAAGATTAAACGTTTGCACAAGTACACACCATAATCTACAAAAAAAACAATACAAAAAATATATAAATGATAGTAATCTAATGATGTTTCATAAATTTGATTGAGAACTGTTTCACGAAAAAAAAAGTAAATAAGTATTTCAAAGCATGATAACCCATGTCATAAACCTAATTCATAGCCAGGGACTAAGTAACTATGACATCAACTAAAAGTTCAGCATGTACTTCAATCTCCTTTTTTGAAGTTGATAAGTGACAGGTCTTTAAGATAATCTTGCAAGGAGTTGTGCAACTTAGAGGCACTAAAGGAAAAGCTTCTGGCAAAGATTGCCGTGGTGTGACGAGGAATAAGTAGGGTATGCCTACATCGCTGTTGACTACGATTCGAAAGCGGGCGTAGCTTGTTCAACAAATATACAGGGGCCTTGTTAACAATGACCTTGTGAACAAGTGTCGCTAGATGTAGTTTTCTCAAGGTATCTAATTTCAACCATCTACACTCTTTAAACTTGGGACTGATATGGTCGAACTCTCAAACACCAAACGCGAATCTCAAGCAAGAGTTCTGTACACGCTGGCGACGAACTGAATCAACTACTTTGAGTGCCGGACCATACACAGAGTCACAGTATGACAATCTAGATATTATCAAGGACTCGCAAAGTTCAAGTTTAGTATCCAAAGGAAGTAAGTGACGACTAGGGAAAAGTTGTTTCAAATAAGCATATGATACTTGACATAAGTAAGTGATATGCGAAGTAAATCTTAATTTGTTATCAATCCACAATCCTAGGTTTTTGGCTTCATTTGCAACACATATCTGTTCGCCTTCTATTCTAATATTAATACAGTCTTTAGCTAAATTTATCTTTTCCTTGCTGCCAAAAAACATAACAATCGATTTTTTGGGATTGAGTTTCAAATTGTGTGCAGCAGAGATCACTATGTATTCTATTTTCAGCATCAAAACAGTCAGGTATTGGAAAACTTATATAGATCTGGGTGTCATCCGCATAATGATGGATAGAACAAAAATTGACGATCTTACAAAAATTCAGATATGTATATAGCAAAAAGAAGGGGTCCTAAAATGGAGCCCTGTGGGTCTCCATAGTTTTTAGGAAGGGACTTTGAATACTGACCGTCAACTAGTACACTTTGCAAGCGGTCTGATAAATACGATTTAATGAAGTCAGCAGCGGGGCTTGAAAATCCATAATACCTTAGCTTCTCGTATAATATATTATTGTCCGTCGTATCAAATGCTTTACTGTAATCAAGCATAGTGAGACATTCTACTTTTCCTCCATCAACATTTTCATAGATGTCATTGGTACTCGATAAGAGAGCAGTTGTAGTGCTATGCTGAGTTCGAGAGCCAGATTGAGCAGAGGTAGGTATGCCATGCTCGGCAACGAATAATGAGATCTGTTCTTGCATTGCCATTTCAAGGAGCATAGAGATTAAAATACTAATTGGTCTAATGTCACTAAACAACAACAATTGTGAAACTAAAAGTATGCGATGTGTTTTGATGGACATACATTCCTAAAAGCTTTTTCTGTGCATCTGTTCTATCAATGACGTTTACCTCAACAAAGCTTCTATTAATAGCGTCAACATCAGACAAGTGAACAGGTAATTCAGGTGTGTCTTTTTTCCTTATTACTTTAAGTGAGCGTAATGTTTTCCATACCTGCTTTGCATTATTATTTTTTATCACGTAGTTGAGATAGCATTTTTTTTCGCGGACAATAGCCGTATTGACAATGTTTCTTAGTTCTTTATAAAGGCTCCAATCTGAGGTTTTCCGTGATTTTTTAAATTTTCTGTATGCAGATTGTCTCAAGGCTATCATACATTTCATATTGTACGTCAACCAAGGTGCAGGAGGTTTAGTTACTCTAATTGCATAAACAGGAGCATAGTGATCAAATAGTTCTAGTAGAGTTGTATTGAAGAAAGATACTATCTCATCTATGTTGAGCAAGGAGTAAACATTATACCAGTTAACCCATATTAAGTTGCTATGGAAAAATTGTAAATTGAAATTCCTGAAATCCCGGAATTGTTTGAAGCTGGGGCGACAAGAGTTAGATAGAATATTCAATTCACAAATTATTGCTAAATGGTCCGAAATACCACACATATCGAACCAATCAAGAAAATAATGTACCACTTTTGAAATAGGTTTCTAGCAGTCCAGATCTGTCAACTATTGAAACTTTGTGGCAGGACATGAAAAAGGTTCTACGACAACATCCTGCTCGTACAATCACCAAACTGATACAAAAGCTTCACGAAATATGGGATTGTTTTACACCAAATTATTGCCAAAACTTGATTAACACTATGCCCCAAAGAATTTCAGCCGTAATAAAAAACGCACATTGTTCATTTGTTCAGATGTTCTATTAGTTATAGGTCTAAGTGATTTCAAATATGTATTTTTTACGACTAGAGTGTATCTAAAATGTTTTTGAGAAAATGGATTGCTTTAGAAGTAAATAGTTTCGTCATGTTTAGTTTATAAAGGCATATTTTGGTACAAATCTTTGTGGGCCAACTGAAGTGGGAAGGGGCTTTGTATATTCTATGTATCTGAGAAGAACATTCAACTTTAAGTTTGTTGTTTATTAACTCTACCACCTTTGCACAATCATCCACTTTGTTTCCAGGATCCAAGCTGTAGACGACGACAGAGTACTTTTTTGTTTTTTGCTCTGTGGTCTTCAGTTTTTTATTTAAAATAGCAATTTCTTCTTTGAAGTGTTCATTCTGCTGACTTAAAGCGCTCAGATCGTTGGAATATTCTTGACGTAATTTTTGTATTTCTAGCTTAATTTCTTCTTTATTATTCTTTATTTCTGTTTCAATTTCCAAGTTTTTATCCAAAACAGTTTTAAGCAGGTCAAATATGTCCTTATTGGATATTTGATTTACAACGTCCGTCATTATGTTTAGTTTATATGTTTTTTGACGACTGGTCTATAAACCACAATACTGACAACTTTTTGTGCCTAGGTATGTTGTTGCCAGCGTTGGATGATTTTACTCTTTGTTGCAGCAGTTGATTAAATTTTAGCTACATGTGACATAAATACCTGGAGCTGAAGATAATACTGCTGTCTGTCGTCTGTTAATGAGTCTTCACAAAAAAATCCAAAGTAAATCGCTGAGATAAAACCACTTTCATTGACTTTGTTGACAACACAAAATACATGTGATACTTGTTCAAGAGCTAAGATCCTCCTAAATTCTTCAGATTCGCCCAGATCTGTCCAAATTCTCTAGATTCACCCAAACTCTCTAGATGAGCTCACATTTTCTAGATTCGATCAAATTTTCTAAATTCATCCAGATTCTTCCAAGTTCTCCTAATATGCCTAGATTCTCTAGATTTTCCCAGTCATATTAGCCCAAATTCTTTAAGTTCACAGAGATTCTTCAGATTCACCCTGATTCTCTAGATTCACCAACTTCTCTAGATCTGCCCACATTCCTTAATATTCGCCCAAATTGACAAGAATTGCCAAACCTCTTAAGATCCACTCAGATCCTCCAGATTCACCCAGTTTCTCTAAATAGATCTAAAGTTTCAAGACTTGCCCAAATTGCTCAGATTCATCCAAATTCTTTAGATTCAACAAAAATCACTAGATTAGTCCAAATTCTCTATATTTACCTAGATCTTTCAGATTCTCTAGATTTGCCCAGATTGCCTAAATTTCTCTAGACTATCCCAGATTCTCTCAATTTGCCTGGATCCTCTCAATTCAGAAAAATTGTACAGTCTCTAGTTTATTAGAAAAGTTCTCTAATTTAATAATTTCACAATATTCTGTAGTTGCTCAGGATTCTCAAAACACCCTAAATTCTCTATCTGGTCTAGATTCTCTAAATTTGTAATAAAGTAATGCAATAATTGTTGCAATTGTCTAAAACATCTAAATCATGAAAAATATCAAAAATTGTTAGATCAGGAAACTCTGTAAATTTAGATGTAACATGTGAAGACTGAAGCATTGCTGCCCCACTTAGTAGTACAAATCATACCTTCACCATTCCTGTGTGATTCTTCAAAACAGCAACCTTTTCAGGGAACTTGTGAGCATTCCAAATGATGACAGTATTATCAACACTACCAGAAGCTAACCACCCATCATGAGGTGCCCAAGCAACATCTAGAACATCTCCATTGTGAGCGTTCAAAGTGTGAACACACTTCCATGTTTCAACATTCACTTTGCCACTGCCAAAGATTGAAGAGCTGCCCTCATTAGACAGCTTCCATATCATCACCAGCTTATCATCAGCCCCAGAGGCTAACAGGTGGCCACTGTTGCTCCAGCGCACTACATTTACACAAGCTAGAAAACATTTTTAGTTGATGTTGGAGATATATTTAGAGATGAAGCTCTTATGTCCTACCTATGTGATTATCCATTTGACACAACATTTTTGGAATCTTATGATTTAATTCTTCATCTTCATGAAGTACAGGGCCAATGTTCCATATGACAATTCTTCCCCCTGAGCCACCCTGGCCCCCTGTGGCAAATCGCCCTCCTTTGGGGTGAATGTCCACAGAGAATATTGGTTTATCTAAATACAGAATATTACGTTACTTGTAAAAAAATAACAAAACTGGAAATATACCAACCTTCATGATTCACCCAAGCCGGTTTTAAAATAATCATTTTCTTATCCAATAGGTAAGAGCTACAAAAAAAAATAAAAAACTAATCACACATGGTTTACTCAATTATCATAAAATGTGATAAATATTCAAATAAAGAATTATACAAACAAGAACTAGGGGTATAAGGGGTGAGGTTAATTTTTTGGCATTTTGACAGAATCCACAAGTTGTCAAAATTAGAAATAATCCATGAGAAGTAGGGCGTGCTCAATGATCCCGTGATTTACCTTCTCTTTGTTGATTGATCGAACTGTGGAAAATATAAAAAATACAAACCAAGGCAAGCTGGAAATCGGGACTCTGTCGTAAAGCCGGGTTTAGACTTACGTCAACACTGTGCGTTGTAAAACATTGTGCGTTGACTGAAAAACTAACGTTTTACTTAAACTGATTTAAGCCGGAAGACCGCCTAGAGAACTGACCGGATCACCCATTGTTTTCCAATAAACCGATAGTTTTGCCGTACAATCTTGTACGTGTAGACACTCGTCTGTTTTGAACTGTTGATTTAGCTCATTTTGTGTTGGCAAACGTGGCGGCTACGTACGTATTTATATACATGTCGGAGTTACGACAATGGTCCCCTGATTTTTCAACGGAATTTATTGAACTGTATTGAAATTTCCCATGTCTATGGAAAGTTGAGACAAGCGATTTTAGTGATAGAAAGAAGAAAAATCAAGCATAATGCTGTTTTGGTTGAGAAATGCCATTAGGTAGATCGAACTGCGACTAAGGATTCTGTAACTAAAAAAAATAATTCTTTTCGATCGGTTTATCCCTTTGGTATTTTAACCTGCTTTCATTTCTAAATGATCAAGAAACTCTAAGGACATCGATTAGCAAAATAGAGGATAACAATTTACAACAGTAAGAGATAAGCTTGAGTTCATTTTATTTCTATACTTGTATATGTATAAACAAACAAAATTATTTTACAGAATGATTCTTTATAAAAAAACACCAGCAAACCTGTTTTTACTTTTGCTCGCAAATGTTTTCTGTTGAAGGACGTACCTTAATGCGAAAAAATATATGTATTATTTTCCTAACGGATTTCCTTTTAAGAAAACTTGACCCAAATCATAGACTAACAGCCTTATCTTGCCATGGCACCGCGCCCTCATTATTAAAATACATTTTAAATGAGTTTCTCACGCATTTTGCATCTGCCAGAACTGACCCGCGTCTGCCCACTTACAAATTATGTATAATATCTGGATTCCACCTATCTCCTAATACCACGGACGCGTCGTCTATATTTTCCCGGTCTAATACCTCAGGAGCCGTATAACTTAGAGGGTACATTTTTATGGCAATATCGCTTCCAAACCAACAACCACATCAAATTTCAATAAATGGTGGTCAGCCCAACCCGATGATTTTCATTTGCCTCAACAAAGAGCTAACACTAGTTACACAAATTATTCTTGTTCTGAAGCTGTCAGACAATTAATTATTAGTTTTAACGAAAAGTCGTATTAATAAGATCTTAGTTTGTAAATTTTCGTTACAATTAATTTTTATTTTTGTAAACTTACTTACCTTTGAAAAAATCCATTCTTAAGTAATTACGTAAATCTTCAGGTTCATCACGTAATTCTCGAAGAGGATTTACGTGGGAAACCTTCCTCTTTTCAGCATCCACGCCCTTGACCATCGTGAAATTCGAGAAGCCTTTCTTTTTCTTCTCAATTTCACTAAACACAGCGCTATTATTGACAAAGGCAGTGCTTCCTCCATGGTCTATCAAAAGCTGATCTAAAAACGTAGGTTAAAACTTTCAAGTGTGTATGCTAGTCTTTTGACCATCATACCTGACCCTTTTGTCTGACAGGCAAGACGTAAGGTAAACTGTTATGTATAGACCGGGCTTAATGGTACACTTGTATCAGTCTTATGGTCTATTCACACTCAGACTTAACATGGCAGTGCCGTGACGTGCTAGTGATTCTCGCTGACGTGAGCTCACAGTGTTTTCAATTCACACCGGTCAGTATTTTCTCCGTGCTCTGACAGTGCAGTTGTGTTAACGTGAGGTCCAGATGGCAAAATTTTCAGAGGATTGCAATTATTGCATTAATTCTGGATTTTTTTTATACTCCAGCTACCATGCGAAGGCCTAATGCCACAACACCCATGGGATACCGTGGTGCTATAGGGGGAAACACAAGGGAATTGGGGACGCCACACGGACTCTGGTGAGGGAACACGTGTGCATGCTACATGCACACATTCTGGCCCCGCCTACGGAATCCGCCAGGTGGTACCTCCGCGTTCGACAGTCAGAGACCATTTACCACCTGAAGAAGAAGAAACGAGAAGGAAACGGAAGCCCGTGTATTTTGAATTTGACTTATGGTTCTACAGCACGGGATGCACGCGTACAAATTCAATTAGTTTTACATCATTCATGTTTTTGACCAATTTTATCAAAATATTCACGAAGTCATGTCAAAACACGGGCTTGAAAATCGAAAAATAGCGTTCCAAAACAATGCGATGATCACGGTACGGCGTCGTCAAGGGCACTGAGAACACGGCCACTTCCACGTGCCGGTCTAGTGTGAATCAGTTCATCCAAATTTCAGGAACAATGTTTTTAGTTTCGCCGGGCGGATCACGTGCCGGTCACAGCACTGTCACGTCACGGCTGAGTATGAATAGGTCTTTATGTGTTTTGTGCTTGTGCATTGTGAATTGTGAAGAACTGCGGAAAGTGCGGAACGCCGGAACGGAACACACAGGGGGGTGAAACTCATATGAGCGGCTTATTCACAACTGACGTCTGATTTCTTCCTGTGGCTGTACTTTGCAAAAAAAACTTACTTTTTCCGCAAGCCATTTTCGTTGTGCGTCATAAACATTTCATTTTGGTTGAATAAAGTCCCTATTATGTTATTTGCGACATAATGCATTTTGTTCAGAGTTGTGAAGTATAAAAATGTAAGTATCCAAAGCTGTAATATGTATATTTGTAAATACTATAAGACAAACTCCAAATCAAAACTGTTTCTTTTTTAAGGTGATCCAAAGTCATCCCAGTCAGTAGCCAGGCTTCTGCAGATGCTGAGGAACATCACAGATGCAGTGCTTACTCATTTGAGGAGTAATACTTGAAGATCATACCTGTTGGAATCTCCACATACCTAACTTTTTGACCAAAGGATCACTACGAAAAGTTCAGCTGCCTGTGTCAACCCCTGAGGTCCTGAGAATTATCAGAAGTTCGGAGATTACTTGTGATCTAACCAGAAAGTCGTGAATAAATTTGATTATGTTCTATGTTTTTTTGTTTATCTTCATAGAAGTCCTACGCTCTATGTTTTTATTTAATGTTTATAATTATCTTTCATTAAAATTTATTGATTTATTATTGTTGTGTCATTATGCTTAACCTAACCTACACGCTGTTTGAAGTTAACTCCTTTTCATTTCTCCCTTTTGTCCTAAAATCGGACTCTAGTTCTGGACTAGTATTTTCAGACTCGAATTCTGGACTCGAATTTCTAGACTCGAGTTCGGCCGGACTCGAGTCAAATTTCGAATACCAAACACAGAATTCGAGTACTGGTCTCGAATCAGGGAATCGAGTCATGATTCGAATACCGTATAAACTGACTCGGTCCATCTAAACAGCGACTCGGCACATCACTATAAGAAACAACACGAGGTTCGGGATGGGGAGCGTGGGAATGGCTTTGATCAGATCGGATGTCTGTTCAAAAACATGGTTGCCTAATGCTGCTTGTTCAATGTCCCAAATGTTATCGAGTTGGAGAAGCTTAATGTACTTTATATAAAATTTCACAGGAAACGTACCAGACTCAATCAGAAAACAACTATTTACGAACTCTAGGAAATTGTTAATAGTATAGGTATGAAAAAAAGGATATATCAAAGGAAGACGGAACGACACACAAAGATCAGATTCAGCCAAAAGCATTATATAGACGCAAAAAAATGCATCATTACAAAAGTAATTATAACAAGAAAACAATCTGTAGCTTTCCAAATCTGAAATATCAGTATGTAAAAACCTTGGGAGCTAGTACCGGTGATTGTGATGAAAATTCTGCAATCTGGCAATGCACCTACGACACTCTTTATAATTGTCGCTTCCCCTTTCAAGGCGCGATATTTAAAATTTATTGGTCATGAAATGGGGAAACATCGATATTATAATTAATTCTCAATCACACTTTCATATTTTATTATTTCAATAAGGTGGTCGATGATTTTCACCTAATAATGACTAATACATATGTTTACACGGCATTATTATTTATAACAAAGCTCACAAAGCATTTTAGGTTCGATATGCGTTTCTATATTTTTGGGACCAGGATGTATCTACAAATAAATTAGATCACCCAATCACTTATCATCATCATTCGGACATTCTCTATTTGGAAGATTACAATTTAAATTTATGATAAAATGCCACGTCGCATCCACGTCTTTTCCACGTGTATAAATAACCAACACAGGTACAGATGTATTTGCGGTCACTGTTTCACGTGGATAAAACGTCCCTCGTCGACCAGTGACGAGCTACACCGGATTTCCACGTTTTATCGATTATATTATAAGAATATAGGAGAAAATTATAACAAACTACCTTAATTAATCGGTTAACTGCAACATAACCGGATTTTATTCGCGGCAGTGGAAATTGGTATAGAGGTGTACACACGTCGTAATATTCACGTTTTATCGACGTGGTGTGGTTATATCGGACAAATTTAAGCGAAATTTGATCCATAACTGACGTCGAATAAGCGTAGAATTTTCCCTAAATTTCAACTTCGACCAAAATCACCAAATATCTACGTCGATTCCACGACACCGTGCTGGCTGGGAAGGCATAGCTCTGAGGATATTTGCAGACCATAACATTTGTAATCTATTCTTAGAGCAGCAGGGTTGATATGCAAAGCTCAGTATAATTTCAATGAAATCGAAGCCATATGTTATTGAACAATAACATGGGTGCCCACAGGGCGGTGTCAGATGGGCAGTGGTCTCTTCTGTGAATCCACTTTGATTTTAAAATTTGCATGTTTTTGTGTACAATTTTGAAAATTTTGTAGAATTTGTCGCCCCTGAAAAAATTGCTACTTCTAATCATCAAAAAAATTTTGAGGGCGGGTACAATTTCACAATAAGTTATGCCTTGATGATAATCAGCACCCCTGAGAAAAATTCCTGTCGGTAACCATGAACAATAATATTATTGTTCTAATAAAAAAGAAATCTGAATTGTAGTAACATCAACACAGTTCAATTTTTTGCTAACTTTTGGTTTATGCAGGTGCCAACAAAGGCTGGGAAATGAAAACATCTGGACCATAATAATGTTAATATTGATTTGTTTGTGGAAAAACGTATGAGATTTATATAATAAATATATATTTATGTATTTGCAGTATGTTTTTCTTCTGAACCTTTCCAGATTAGTTAGTAGATATGAGTGATCTTATAACAGCTTATATTATTGACGTTGCTATTTTAATATACAAAAAAGCACTTATTCGTCAAGATAGCGCAAAATGTTAATAACACATGCTGTTATAAGATCTCCCATATCCCACTCTATACAGGGTGACTTCGAAGTTGAGTCATTTATTTTAACAGTGAGTAGATCTGATCAAAAGAAATGTTTTTTTCCTTTAACATTTTTCTGGTAAAATTAAAGTAACAAAGTTATAGCCCTTTAGAAGTTTGAGTACCGCCCTGTCTCAATAATAATATTATGTGCTCTTGTTTGGCAACAACGGATATAATCCGCGTTATCGGTTCATCGCATCGGAAACAAAAAAGCGAAAGAATTTGAAATGTTTATCACGATGTTTTTCGTCAGTCGGTAACGCGTGAGTGAATAGTGGTGTTTGTTGCGTGGCTCAAACGAAATAAAAAATAGCACATGTTTACGAAAATGCTGAACTTGTGGACATGATTCTTATTTACGGGTCTTTACAAAATGCTGCCGCGGCATCACGGATTTGTGCGAATCGGTTTCCCAATAGAGTGCAGCCAACCCCTCATGCCTTTGTTAATGAAGTACAAAGGGCTCGTGAATCAGGAGACTTAAGACCTTACAGGGGAGGCCCTGCCGGTGCTCCAAGACCGCACGATCAAATACAGGTCCGCACTGAAATACTTGTCGGGAGGATACTTTATAAAACAAGGTAACATTTTTTTTTTAATGTTTTTTTATTTTTACACACATATTTTGGTTTATCTTCCTTCTACAATCATTATCTGAAAATTAATGACTCAACTTGAAAGTCACCCTGTATATATAGCAATCTCAGATTTATTTATAGAGCTGGCTACGTTGCGGGGTATTAATGCACAATATGGCAACCGTGTCGCACCCTCAAAAAATGGCCGATGACAACCACACAAGTCACCGTGTCGCCATTGAATAGCATGGAATTAAACCTAACCTTCTTCGGTATATCGGTGTATGGTGTATGTTTTGTGTGCACAACGCTCCAAAACGCCCAAAATGGCTGACGTTCTAAATACGTGAATACGAAAAAATGGAATCTAAGAAAATCTGATATACTGAGAATCATCGATAAAAAAGGTATATTCATAAATGAATTATTTATAAGTTCAATTTGTTCAAAACTAATATTTTTTCTACCGTGACAGCACGCGGTACTTCACATCATACCGCAGAATGTGCTTATGCTAAAATATTCTTAAAACTTGTGAATGTATGCAATTTGAAATATACAGGGATATAGGGCAGCCACTCTACAGTCACATGCACTTTTCCTAAAAAGTAGTGAGGCGTAGTCGGCCCTTCTGCTCCAAGGTGTAAAGTCTGTGCACCTATAGATTGCTGGCCCCCACGATACTTGTAAAAAAATGTCTTGCAATATTAGAATTCATACTTAAGAATATGAGAATAAAAAGCCCTGCTAAAGGTTTTTGAATCTGTAACTGGTGAGATTGTTTCTGTGACCCAGCGTATTGCATAACTTTACCATTTACCGCTACATGTACCTACTTGTGCGTCTTGATACCTTTACCTTTCAGTCAGTGTGCCATAAGTCGTTGTACAAGAGTGGAGCTCTCTAACATGTGAAGGGTCAGTTTTTCAAACACTTCATAGCCCATGTGGGGTCACTCTGACCACCTCTCCAATATGCATTGGTTTTTTTTCACAGATTTCAAAATCCATTGTAGCAACAGATTTACAGAAGATAAAATATAGAAAGTAAAGATCTATACTGCTGATGAAAAAGCATGTTTTCATGATCTGCAGCATATAGGATCTTTGTACAAAAAAAAACATTTGGGAAGATAGCTTATATATGCCATGTGATTTTTGTAAAGCATTTTTTGATCTCAATTTGTTATTTATAGTTGCAAGCATTTAGTTTGTTATACCCCAAGAAAAAATTATTTTAGCTTTAAAAATTTCTGTTAGCTCTCTGTATTGCATCAGTTGTTTAATTAGAACATATTTTCAAATATTTGAAGTGAAGTTAGTACATCTATTTCTGCAAGTTTCTCCACAAAAAGAGTAAACTGCCAGTAATATAATAAACTTTGGCCTCAGTAGTAACAGGTTAAGACATTGATTGATCTAGTCTTCTAGAAAATAGATAACCCAAACTTATGCTTCCCCATCAAATTATCAATATCCAGCATATAGAACTCAAGTATGTGTAAGTCCCCAAATATTAATAACCTAAATATGTGAAACCTTTGGAAATATAGAATTGCCATGATATAAACACATTTAAGAATATGTTGAAAAAAAATTGTAAATAGCTTTTATAGTGTTGTGAGAATATTGTGATATATGCTGTAAAATCTGATTTTTTACCATTTGACTGTTTCTGTTAGATATAGGTTTTTAGATTTAAGTTCAAAATGTATGACCTTTCATATGCAATGTTTTTTTCCAAGAGGATATAAATAAATATCATATACACTCATATGCAGTGCCATCTATGAGATGCTAACCTTTTCAAAAAAAACTGAAATGTGAGAGGCCTTCAAGTCATTTCTTTATCATTATCTTTAACCATTTCTGGTATATTTGCAGGTTCCGAAGATGTATCTGTACAACTTGACTTTGCAACATGCAACGGCAATCACACATGCTGTACATGGCAGTTTCTCGGGAACCAAGATCCAGGAAATTGCCATCTCCAGAGGCAAAACACTGGAACTTCTTCGACCTGATCCCAACACAGGAAAAGTGCATACACTACTAGCTATTGAGATATTTGGTATTGTTAGGTAAGTGTTGAACAGCTAAACTATTTGACATAATATGGATGCATTAAAAAAATATGATTGCATTTCTGTGCAAATTGTAATTTTAATGTATCCAAGATCAAGATTCCTGCACATAGTACCAAAATATCTACTTATAGTATTTTGGCCTCCACGCTTGAGACACTGCAATCATTATCATCATCAAACACAAGTACAATGAAAACTGTAATTGAGGAACCTACAAAATTCTATATCTATAGGTTACAAGTTCCAATATGTGAATGTATGTCTGTCAGCACCATGCCTGAATCACAATATGGAGAGACATAAAAATATGGATACTTACTAATTGAAACCTAAGAACGGTTATATACGTTTTTCTCGCGAAAATATACAGGGTTTTCAAAAAGTAGGGATAGGTCAAACTATCTTGAAAAATATGTTTTCTAGTGGAAAAGTAAGGTTTGAAAAGATTTTTCTAATAGTAATCTTGAATGTGACCTTGACTTCATAGTTATGCCTGAAGGTCATTTGATGGTGAATACAGTTTTCTTGAACAAACTTCCTATTTTTGACTCCATAAATGGAAATAACAGTAAATATTATCATTATTATATTATTAGATAATGATTTTACTGACTTTGATCCATAATTGTTGACTATTTGTTATATTACTTAGTGTTTTTTTTTTTGTGTATGTGTTATTTTTGTATTGTTTTGTTCTCCAGATGAGTGTAAGCACTTTTGTGTAGAAACATGAATAAATTATCATTATTAACTCAAATATGTCATTACCTATGATCTTCATGAGTATATGAGGATGTCCACAAACCAGTAAAGGGCAAAATATATCAAAAATATGTTTCATAAAGAAAAATGTGTAATAAAGTTGTGATTTGAAAATTGTCTTCTAGGGTTGACCTTGAAGCTCATTTGAATGTCAATACATTTTTGTTAAATTGGAAACTTCTATTTTTAACACTGAAAATAAAAAGGGCAATTTTTTAGTTCAAGTATATCCTTGCCATTGAGCCTGACCATAACCTTTATCAGATAAATTTTCAAATAAAATCCTTGCTCTCTGTCAAAGATGTAGAAAAGCGAAACATTGAAATTAACTTTTAGTTGCAATAAATATTCATTATCAAAGTAACTATTACATTACTTTTCATATTGCATTTATTTCTCTGAAACCACTCTTCTTCATACTAATGCAAAATTAATTACTTATACTGCAGATTTAGTCTAGTTAACTATAATAATGACTTACTAAGTGTCAATTAATTGTAATCATTAAAGCTATCATCAGTTTGAATATGGGATAACAGTACATGAAGCCTGTAACTGTCAACTATAGCTAATTGTCACTTATTACTAGCAATTAGGCTATTTGTAACTTTATTATACCAAACAGAAAATTAAAAACAAAGAAATCAAGTCTTGTTTCTTTTTACCAGGTCACTGATGGCATTCAGACTGACAGGAGGTACCAAGGATTATGTTGTTGTCGGCTCAGATTCTGGTAGAATTGTCATCTTGGAATACATTCCACAGAAGAACATTTTTGAAAAAATTCATCAAGAAACCTTTGGCAAGTCTGGATGTAGAAGAATAGTACCTGGACTTTACCTAGCAACTGATCCCAGGGGTAGAGCAGTCATGATTGGTGCCATTGAGAAGCAAAAACTGGCTTATATTCTGAATAGAGACAATCAGGCAAGGTATGCAGATTTTTTTGGTTTTTTATTGTAATTGAAACATTTTAAGGTTGAATTGATTTCTCTATGTAGGAATGCTTTATCCTTGAAATGGTGGTCTTGGACTGTGTACTGAATTGGAATTATTCTAATATCATTTCTCTTTTACTTAATGGGAATTACTACTTTGATCTTGAAAAAGAATTTGGTCTGTGGCATTGCTTAGGCCCTAATTCCTTTTTTTATGTGAAGTAGTCTTCTGATGGTGCCTTGACTATGAAGTTGAATAGGTGTTGTTTCAAGGTTATTCCAAATCGCTGCATTAGACTTGAGAATAGAGGTAGCTGATAATGTCTTGGTGAATATAATTTGGTCAAATTGAGCCTTTGGAATAGAATAACTTATACCATTGATAAAAATATATGATTCAATTGAAAGCTGTACCTGCGCGAAAATGAGCCTATCTACCATGGTGGCTCCAATCACTTATAAATATAACTATTTTCATGTTAACTGCCATCTGTTGGCCTCAAAATTTTCACCCCTTCTTGTAATAAGCTGTGAGATTTCGTTTTCCATCTTCTAAGACTACAAAATATTAGGAATAATTTTGAGGGAGGATGAGGGGTGATCTTTATTTGAAAGTTTACTGTCATGTTTAAGAATAAACAATTTCCCTTAAAATGGTGGCTGTTTTATTACTTTTATAGGAATTACCTATTTGGCTGTGTCACCTGAAATTAAATGTGAATGTCTAAATGCGGTAAAGGGTTAGGCATTTCTTTGGATAATACATTAATTGTTTGATTTTGTATTTACAAATCTTATATTCTTCATCAGATTGACGATTTCATCGCCATTGGAGGCCCACAAAAGCAACACGTTGGTCTACCACATGGTAGGCGTGGACGTCAGTTACGACAACCCGATTTTTGCCTGTTTGGAAATCGACTATGAGGAAGCCGATGCCGATCCGACGGGGGAAGCTGCTCAGAAAACTCAGCAAACCCTGACTTTCTACCAATTGGACCTCAGCGTGAACCATGTAGTGCGGAAGTACTCAGAACCGCTCGAAGAACACGCGAACTTTCTCGTGACAGTGCCAGGTGGTGATGATGGACCATCTGGGGTGCTGGTTTGCTCTGAGAATTATCTCACTTACAAGGTAATGGTCAGATTTACAAGCAAAAGCACAGGGTTTATTATTACATTTACAATATAAAACACAAAACTTGACCCATGCAATTACATTTGTACATGGTGCAGCAGCATAGTTTCCTTTTTAAAAATGCGCGCCATTCAGTCGGTACTTTGAAGTTTTGTCCAGACACAGTTCTATCGCCATCATGCATTGGAACAGTGAGGAGAGCGCTTTTGCCGTTTGCTCAACGCGCCTTTCGGAAAAGCTTCAATCTGGCCCTGTTGGTCCCTGTCCCTGACCGAAAATCGATTGCTACGTTCAGATAAACTGCAAGAGCGACAAAAACGAATTTTTTGATTCATCTAAAGGTCTTTATTAAGTTTTAAAAAAGGAAGTTATGCTGACCCACCTTGTACTAATTATTGCCTTGATGAACGTATATAAATTATTTTTTCAGAATTTGGGCGACCAACACGATATCCGTTGTCCAATCCCCAGGAGAAGAAATGATCTGGACGATCCTGAACGCGGCATGATTTTCGTATGCTCCGCCACGCACAAAACCAAATCAATGTTCTTTTTCCTAGCTCAGACTGAGCAAGGAGACATTTTCAAGATTACGCTTGAAACTGACGAGGATATGGTCACAGAAATCAAGTTGAAATATTTTGATACGGTGCCCGTCGCGGCCGCAATGTGTGTACTTAAGACTGGGTTTTTATTCGTCGCCTCAGAATTTGGCAACCAGTAAGTATTTGTGACAATAAAATAATTTCACTATTTTAATTACTTATCCTTAAACAATAATAACATTGATTAATACATAGAAGCATTTTTCCACAAAGTAGAGTATTAGAAATAATGAGATAATTCCTCCCTAGACAATTCCATTTTAATAGAGTAGATTCTTTACATTAATTGTTGGAAGATGAAGCAGTCATCGTCGATTTTACTTCCCACGCCTAGTGGGGAAGGATTGTAAACGCGAAAAATTTTGAAAATATACTCTGTGACATGAGGAGTGTTACATCCAGAAAAAATAATTTGTTCAACTTGATTTTTGTGCAATGAGGTAGTCTTGCATCAAGAATGAAACGATAACATTCTCACGAAATATTATTGACAAGTAATGAGACAAAAAAATGTGTTGGGCACAGCTGAATACGCTCCTACACATTTTGCCTTCCAATGTTGCGGTTCTCTCCTCCAGTTCAAACTTTGACAGTGGTCCGCAGTCAGAGGAAGCACTCACCGTGGACGGTATGAAAAAAGTCCAAAAGCTCGAATGCGACGATAGAGTGTGCACATAGTAACAGGTCTACCTTGTCCAAATCATTGGTCAGCGATGTGACGCGTAATCTCAAAACAGTCTCGTAGGGTTAGTTATCTAAAGCGCCTATATTGGCGATCTGTGATTCGGCTCGGTGGATCAGTTGGCCTTCGTGTTCCTCTGCCTTCTATTCACAAACGCATTACCGTCATTGCAGCACAATTAACACGGCGGCCAATATGTCGCGGTAGGACAAACCAACATCTTGATAGTCAATAATTCTTCTTTTGTCACAGTCGCTAATATGGTGATAATTTTGACGTCTTCGAACTCAAAGCATTTTGTTATGCTTAACACTAGAAAATGAAAGAGCAATAACTAAAAATATCTGTACTACTCGACTCTTTCAGAAACTGCCTTCTTCACAGAAACTAAGAGATAAACTTAAACAAAGATAAATCGTTGACATTGTTGCCACAGCATGCTTTAAATATAGCCATTATATTGCCAAAAAAACAAGTTGAAGAAATTATTTTTTCTGGGTGTAATACACAAAAAATTAAAATACCCCTATGGATATTCCTTTCCCCTGATGTTGCAAAAGTGACATTATGCAATTATCAAAAGGCATATATCCAAGATAAAGATTCCTACACATAGTACCAAAGTGCATATTACATAGTGCTTTGGCCTCCACGTTTGAGACATTTGTGTTTGTGTTTTTACTTTCCACGCCAATTCACGAAGTATATCCCAAAAAATTTCGAAAATAATATCATGTTTTTGGGGTGTTACATGACAGGCTTTGAAAATCGGCTCAGTGCCATCGTAGGGTTAAAAACAAATATATATATATATATATATACATACATTGAAAACTTCGTGTTTTGACGTTTCCGACGTCCTAGCACGTTTTTGCAAAAAACAGTTGGAGTTGTTGGTAGTGGGGGTTAGGAAAGTGTATATTTAAATTTTTCAGTGTTAGTATATTACGTTTATAACCGCGTTGATGCATCTATTAAACATACTCGACACTTCGACTTCCCTCTTTCGACAATAAGAATGATATATTTATTTTCAATACCCGCATCGAGCGCAAAGAAATTAGAATATAAATCTGTTACAAGCTCTGGCCACTAGAGAGGTTTCTAGAGCGCAGCATTGTTAAGTGGGAACTATTTTGCTGGCTTGATCCAATAAATTCCTTTGTTATACGAGATGTGGCATCCTTCGAAGTAGTTGATTGATCCACGAACTCCTCGAACGCAGATTTTGGAATGGCCTTCAGCTCGTGCGTCGCATTACTCTGAATCGTCTCGATCGTCGTCGAACCTATGAGCGCCATATTGAATTCGGAGATATCCAAAGTCGGAACTGGACGGAGGATGGAGAAGCTGTAAAATGTTTCGTCCAAAATTGCTGTATAAGGTTCGATTAATGTTCAGGCGGGTTATCGTGGTGAAGAAGTCAGTCACCGTTTGACCAAAAACGCGGTCGTTTCCTTCTCACGGCATCACTCAAGTCTTTTCAGAACTTAAACGTTGTTGATCGTCTGACCTCTTTGACGATTTGCAAATTCATAGTGCACAACACCTTCACAATCGAAAAAAATTATCAGCATTGACTTGACATGGCTCCGACTTTGACATCCATTTTTGGGCAGAGGCTCGTCTGGACGCTTCCGCTGATTGTTTAGTTTCAGGATCGAAATCATGAACTTACGCTTCATCACCATTAATAACCATCGTAAGTAAATTTTCATCACTGATAATTTCCAAGTTGCCCTGAGCGAATGTGTTTCTGTTCGGTCATGTGCAATTTTGGAATAAATTCATTCCCAACATCTTATTAAAATTTTCTCAAACTGTAATTTTCGGTATTCCGGGAACATCTAGTTCACAAACAGTCAAACAACGATCACATTCAATCACAATTCGCACACGCTCGATGTCTTCCAGTGTTTTGTCAGCGAAGATCGCCCAGTACGAGGGTTACTGTCGATAGATGTGCAGCCATATTTAAACCGCCTGTATGTACCACTCCTTTATCCGTGTTCTGCTCATACTTTTATCCCTAAAGACCTTCTGTATCACTTCATTCGCCTCCGTACAACGCTTGTCGGGATTGAAGCAAAACTTGATCTAAATTCGTTGATCTCTTCTTTCTGTCATTTTCAATAGAGGGTAAAAACACGTTGAACATAAACAGACGCTGCGCGCGACCCGAGCCACCTGGCCGGTAACTACAGCATTCAGGGGGTTCGTGAGGGATTACTGGTTACGCTCATAACCTGCAGAGGCCGCTAGAGCCCTTTGGCGTGAAGATATGAACGCAAGTCGGATACTTTCCGGACACACCGCTTAGTTAACTTTTTTCAAGAAAAGACAGACTTGTACGAAAACAAATCTTTTATAAAGCGATAACAATATTCTTTGGAAAGTCCTTTTTTATTACATTTGCAGTTGATCGAAGTCGCTGATTACTAAATAACCTTCCTTTTCCAGCTACCTCTACCAAATAGCCCATCTCGGAGACGATGACGACGAGCTCGAATTCAGCTCGGCGATGCCCCTAGAAGAAGGCGACACGTTCTTCTTCGCCCCTCGACCTCTACGCAACCTGGTGCTCGTCGACGAAATGGAGTCCCTCTCTCCCATTCTTTCGTGCCGAGTGGCCGATCTGGCTGCAGAAGACACGCCCCAACTGTACATGATGTGCGGAAGGGGGTCGCGATCTTCTCTGAGAGTGTTGAGACATGGTTTGGAAGTGAGCGAGATGGCCGTTTCGGAACTTCCCGGTAACCCGAACGCCGTGTGGACGGTGAAGAAGAGAAGCGATGGTGAGTTGGATTAGGATTGGGCGGGTGGATGTTTGCTCAGGAGAGACTGGCGAGGAGATTGAGTTGAAGCTTCATAAACATAAAAGTCTACACATTGAAAACAAATAACTTCCAGAAATTCATGTAACGTCTTCCCACACCCCAGTGTATTACCCCTAAAAAGAAATATAAACATCTTGATCTTCTGAAACCCTATAAAACGAAGTTTGAGCGATTATTTTTTCGTTTATGGCATTTTTTTTGCCGCCACCGACCTTGTGTAAAAATCTCATCCAAATCATTCCAACTTTTAATGGGCCAAGTATTAGCGGACATAGACCGGCGGAAAATTTTCACAATTACAATACTTCGTCGTCAGTAGGCGTGGAAGTAAAACATAATTTGGAAAACGTTCGAAAATGATGAATTCAGTTTAGACCACATAAACACTGAAAAAGTTGTATAGTGATGAAGGGAAGGATTCATAGATAATACTGGCGACGCTGGTTTGACCAATAAGCGATCTATTGAGCGGTAGGCGGTGTTGCCAAACTGACATAAAACTGTTAGAAAACGCTACATTTATACTGAACTGAATGGAGTTCTTTTCACAGTTTTAGTGGTTACGTCAAAAATTCATATGAAATAGGTAAACATATCGTCTTGAGGCTAAGCCAAGGCCAATCATTTTGAGGTTAGAAAAAATTTTAATATCATGCTGACATTCCTCTTTTGCTAGATCGTGTTATGTTCCCTAAAAGTTTAATAACTGGTTGACATACTGGTTTTGAGAATATCTGTTTTTTTCATAGGGCGGAAAGCAATTACACCGACGGTTGGCCACATAAGCAATTAGCGATTAGAAAAACTTTGATAAATATTTCTCTTCTGTTATTAAACTGAATCGTGTAATCTTCCACGTAGGTCTCTTGTGGGCAATTAAGTCCATGTCTAGAAGTAGAGAAATTAGTCAGATATGTCGGAATTAAAATAAATAAAACTGAAAGAATGTAAAATCAGTAACACCTCATTATGTAAGATGTAGACGTATCTAACAAGGCCTGGTAGTTGAATATTAATCAACACCAGTGCTTTTTTTTATTTCAGATTCGAGACATTGGACTATGGAGACTGTTAGTTGAGTAAGTATCAGAAGTTGGACGACTCGATTAGAAGCTAAGAAAAACAAGTTCAATAAGTATAAGAAAGCAAATAATAAATATGTGCCTTCTGAATAAAGCTTGCCGTTATGCAATTGAACTCACTTTCTTGCAAAAAAGTGTGCAAGATAATATATATCTTTTATCTTTCAAACTATTTAGGCCAAAAAAGACAAAAACATAAATTTGAATGTGTAGTATGTATGTATCAACATTATAACTTCAAACTCCCGGTACTAGAATATTATGACCGCGCTAATTGTTCATCTGATATGAAAAACAAAGAGATGAGGATTTTCAAATTACTAATTTTTTTAAAAACGTGACCATTCACCTGTTATCATGATGACACTTTTTGTCCGTGTTTCACCTGAATGCACAGTGATTACAACCAACAAACCTGATGTAAACATATAAATGTAATTCATTTGACATTTATTTTGTAACATGATTCATGTGGTGGGTATTTTTGTTTGTTTCAGACGAATTCGATGCGTACATCATCGTATCTTTCTTGAACGCCACCCTGGTACTGTCTATCGGCGAGACCGTCGAGGAAGTGACTGACAGCGGGTTCCTGGGTACCACACCTACTTTATCATGCTCGGCTCTCAGTGACGATGCACTGGTTCAAGTATGTGATATATTTTTGAGTACTTCATAATATACCTAGTCATGCCATAAGTTCTGTCCCTCGTTTTCAAACAAGTGTAGACCTGTTAATACTTGTCCGATTGTTTACATTGTGGTGTCAGTTGATTAAGCGCTTTTCGGGTAATTACATATACCTCAGTTTGTATTGATCTCTCGAAGCATAACGATGGAGTGGGGCAAGGCAGAGAACCGTATTGCAGTGATAGCTTTACATAAGTGTAATCACAGTGCTAGTCAGATTTTTGAACTCTTACGCGGCCTTCAAATATCGCGTAAATTTGTGTCTAGGACCATTCAGCGGTACAATGAGACGTCCTCTGTTGATGACAAGCCAAGAAGCGGAAGACCTCGTCAAGTAAGGGCTCCAGCAGCCATCAAAGCCGTAAAAGCCAGGATTCAAAGGAATCCACTCCGGAAGCAGAAGATCCTATCCAGGGAAATGAAGATTCCTGTCCGGACGATGTCGCGCATCATTAAACAAGACCTAGGGCTAGGGGCTTACCGGAAACGTACGGGCCAGCGACTTACGGCCACCTTGCGACACATCAGGGCGACAAGATCCAAGAAGCTCTTGGAGAGGTACGCAGCTGGGGGATTCCGAAAGATTTTGTTCACGGATGAGAAAATCTTCACCATAGAAGAAAAATTCAACCGACAAAATGACAAAGTATATGCAAGGAGTTCACAGGAAGCTTCGGAGATCATTCCGAGAGTTGAGAGAGGCCACCACTCTGCGTCAGTCATGGTTTGGTGGGGGGTGTCCTACGAAGGGGTCACTCAGCTCCATTTCTGTAAACAGGGCGTGAAAACAAAAGCGGCAAACTATCAGAGCGACATACTGGATCCTATCGTCAAGCCTTTAAGTGGTACATTGTTTGCCAACCAACACTGGGTCTACCAGCAGGATTCCGCCCCCGCTCACAAGGCTAAGAGTACGCAGCGCTGGCTGGAAAGCAATGTGCCAGAGTTCATTGCTGCGGAAGATTGGCCCTCAGGGAGTCCGGACCTCAATCCTTTAGACTACAAGTTGTGGGACCTGCTAGAGCAGTTGGCCTGCTCCAAAGCCCACCGTAATATCGAGTCCCTGAAAGCGGATTTGATCCGATCAGCGGCAGCTATTCCTTTGGAAGCTGTGCGTGCAGTGATAGATGAGTGGCCCGCGAGATTGAAGCAGTGTGTGAAGGCCAAGGGGGGACATTTTGAATAAAACTGTTTGATTATGAATTCTAAAAATGTTGTCGAATAAATAATATCTTTCATATAAATATATCTTATCTTGTTTCATTTTTATCATGAGATTATCATGGGACAGAACTTATGGCACGACTACGTAGAATGAAAAGCGACAAAATCTTTCAGATAAGCACTTTAATGTTTTGAATGTATTTCCATGATGTTCATAGTATGTATGGATACACTGGCCATCTACTCCTACCGATATCTTCCGCCTTGCAAACTTCACACCATCAATCTCCACTCTATGATATTTCTCTTGGAGATAGGACCTCACCAATGCAATGCGGTTGGGGGAAAATTTTTGGTGAACATTAGCACTCTCATCATTTTAGTTTTAATGCATTTCTCATTTCAACCATTGACGTGTGTAAACATATTTTATGTATTGTGACATGAATAAAAATTCGTATTTGAAAGTTATATCAATCCAATTTTTGTCAGAAAAATTTCGTGATTGACGCAAAGGAAGGCTTTTTTGCTCAAGTCATAGAACAGAATTGAACTGCGTCGTGTGAAAAGGCTGCATCACACTCGTCAGCAAATCAAGGATTGCGTCATTCGTTTTTCTGTTCGCTCTAAAACCATACTGCTTTTCAGAAAAAAATCTATTTTTCCAAGAAGAACTGCCCTCTCGCAAATAATTCCACGGCAGCATTTGGAAGTGACTGTTCACATGCAGCCACCCTACTAACCTACCATAAACTGCTCCCAAAAAACTTTCCATTGCATCAAATACAAACCAAATCGAAGCATTTTTTAATAACGGCGAAATGTTGCCATTAGCGATTTTTTTTCGACTTGAGCTCTTGTTTGGGATATTGTTTAATCCGTCGCTTATCCGTGTCCACGCATCATGTACTTTGTTTTTTTTTGTGATCATTATGTGAAGCATCCCATAGTAATCTTTCAGCCGCATATAGCCCTAAAAACTTTAACACTTGATCACTGCTTCAATCAATCGTGGTCGAAGTGTATTTTAAAACGAATAATTTTCCATAAAAAGGAATAAATTAGGTTAAGATACCCTGCGTCCACGTGGTAAGGACATGACTGACTGTTGGTACAGCGGGCAGCATATAAACGGTCGCTGCCGCTCGTGCTGCTGGTCCTTTGACTTCCATCCAAAAAACCGCGAACGAAGGGAGCATGCGGCAGGGGCATGAGCATTGGCAATGCGAGCTGGCGTATTTACATATAAAAGAGATATTGGTCTGTGATCTGGGAATGTAGCATCGTCTTTTTTGAAAATTGGTCATGCTCTCGTACTTTGTTAAATGTTCTTTAAATGAAAATACTGTAAAAGGTACAGTTTAAATATTATTAATAGGGTCACAGTGTGTAGCAGGTGTTCCCCTCTATAATATTATTGTCTACTTGAACAAAACAATCATTAAAATCATCTAATGCAGAATTTTTCTTTTCACACCTGTTTACATTCATTAGGTCTCGGGTATTTTTTATTGGATTTATCCAGATATTTATTAGGTGTTTATTGCAGTATAAAATTACTGACTTTCAATGTGCAATGGCTTCGTTGCGGCCATTTTTAATAATCTTATTATTTTGTTACTGGTGGATTTGAAACAATTTGTACTAATTCAGATATTGTTGAAGGTATATCCGGATGGTATCAGACATATCTGCGCTGATAAAAGAGTGAACGAGTGGAAAGCAGGCAAAAAGAGCATTGTAAAATGTGCCGTGAATCAACGACAAGTGGTGATTGCTCTTTCTGGAGGGGATTTGGTGTATTTCGAGATGGATCCCGTAAGTCACATAGAAACAATTCTTATATACAGGGTGACTTCGAAGTTGAGTCATTTATTTTAACAGTGAGTAGATCTGATCAAAAGAAATGTTTTTTTCCTTTACCATTTTTCTGGTAAAATTAAAGTAACAAAGTTATAGCCCTTTGGAGGTTTGAGTACCGCCCTGTCTCAATAATATCATGTCCTCGTGTTTGGCAACAACGGATATAATCCACCTTATCGGTTCATCGCATCGGAAACAAAAAAGCGAAAGAATTTGGAATGATATTTATTTTATTCAGTTCAGTTATACATACAGTCAGTATCAGTCGCATGTGAATAGTGTCTGTTGCGTGGCTCAAACGAAATAAAAAATGGCACATGTTTATGCGGTTCGGTTTCCCAATCGAGTGCAACCAACCCCTCGTGCCTTTGTTAATGTAGTACAACGGGCTCGTGAATCAGGTGACTTCAGACCTCACAGGGGACCTCACGATCAAATACAGGTCCGCACTGAAATACTTGTCGGGAGGATACTTTATAAAACAAGGTAAAAAAATTTTCTTATTTTTTTTTTATTTTTACACACATATTTTGGTTTATCTTCCTTCTACAATCATTATCTGAAAATAAATCACTCAACTTCAAAGTCACCCTGTATAATTATGATTACTATCATGAAATAACAAATATACAGAGAAGGAAGAATTGTTGATTGTTACGGTAATTTCCTAGCAAACATGCACTCAGCAAAGCAAATTTGCTGTAGTTTCCTATTAAGATAATACAATTATTTATTTTCCAAATAAAGTAGAGGTCGCACGGCAGCAGTCTGACTGATCTTCACCCAATGTTCAGTTAGTTTACTAGCTGTGCAAGATAAACATTCAGCTTGTCGCCTCTGATGCTGCTTTGTAGAGTGTTGGAGTGAATCAAGATGACACAATTTTGAAAACTAGTGATAATTATGTCAAGTTATTCTTATCTACTTTTTTGAAGATCCAAATCATTTTGCGCCAATACATCGGTTTTAAAAATAGTGTAACTTGACCCTTGGAATAATTACTCAGGCCCACAAAATAAATATGAGTGGTCTGTGCCTGGGTCCTACTATGTTTTCTCCTTGTACTTTTTCATGTTAAACACTAATCTGAAGTCAAAATTAGAGATCGGAAAATTAATAAGAAAGTAATTCATGTATTAAGATTAGACTTTTTGGCATTTTTTGTGGATGTGTATCTCTTTGGAGGTCCCATATTCCAAAACATGGCGAGACCTCAGACACACACCACTTTTTTATTTTATGGGCCTATGTTATATAATCTATTTGAACGATATAAAGTATGGCACGCTTTATAGCGTCAAAAATTACAAAGGGTACTATAAAAGTCTTGCAATATGACTTAACAAACGGACGCTGGAGGCTGCATATTGAGACATGTCCATGAATGCATAGTAGCCGCCAACAGCACGTCTGTGATTTAGTTGTACATCCGTATTGACAGTGTAAAGTGCGGACTACGTCATCGTGGTCACGTAGTGAGATAAGGGCAGTTTTACGGTACAACTTAACGCGTGGTTTAAACATAGACCAGTGCTTAGAAGAAATGACGCTTGCATTAAAGAATGATTGTCCTCATCGTACGACTATATTCAGGTGGTACAGAGAATTCCAAAGGGACAATTTCACTCTGGAGGATTCTGAGAGGGAAGGAAGGCCGCGAACATCAGTAGCAGGAAAACATTACTGCTGGGAGGAAAATGCTTGACGAAGACCGGAGAGTAACATAGCAACATATAGAGGAGACCTTACACATTCAGGCACCAGCAATTCATTTATGTATTCTGCATGACCATTTACACGTCAAGAAACTTTGTTCTTTTTGGGTACCGGATAGTCTGACGGAAGAGCAGAAGACTCGTCGTACGACTTGGTGCCGAAAAATGCCTAAAATGTTTCATAAGGGGCAAATCTCGGTATGTGAACAGCATCGTGACAGGTGACGAGACTTTGCTTTATTATTACGATGTGCCTACCAAGGCTCAAAACAAGGTTTGTGTCTTTAATGAAGAAAATCCCGATCTGTTAAGAAAAAAATTATAGCTGTTTTTTTTCAACTCGAGCGGGAGTGTGGAGCGTGTCGTTTTGGACACACAGAATACAGTCACAGCTAAGTGGTACAGTGTCTGCCTAAAGTCAAAGAGTCTATGAAGAACTTGCGGCCAAAGTCAAGAATGGACACTTGGTACCTCCACCATGACAACGCTTCAGCTCACCGCGCCAGAGCCTGCACCGAGTATTTGACCACTACTGGACTGAAACTTATTGAGCATCCTCCTTACAGTCCAGATTTTTCTCTCTGCGACTTTGCACTTTTTTCACATGTGAAAATGAAGCTAAAAGGAAAACGGTTTTCTAGCGATGAGGACCTTCTGAGGGCTTGCGACAACGAGTATGCCGCACTCCCGGGTGAAACTTGGCAGAGCTGGAGTACAGACTGCTTTTGGCGTATGGAGAAAGAAGTGTATTGAATATGGTGGAAATTATTTTGAACGAAGTCGATAAATAAGCTGTATTGCAAAACTTTTATAGTACCCTTTGTATATAGATTAGATTAGAAATTGTTTACGAATACTTTCCAATGAGAATATATAGATCTGTCAATGATTCGTCACTGATATATGACGTGACAGTAAAAAATGTCTTGCTTGTCTGAACCTCTGTATTATTGCACCATTCCAGACCGGCCAACTGGACGAATACAAAAAACGGATGCGCATGAACTCTGACGTCCTCTGTATGGCTTTAGCGAACGTCCCACCTGGTGAACAACGCTCTTGGTTCTTGGCAGTCGGTCTGGCTGACAGTACCGTGCACATCATCTCTTTAGATCCCAGCGATTGCTTAGCAGCCAGAGCGATGCAACCGTTGCCCGTTTGCGCAGAATCGCTGTGTATTGTGGAAATGGGATGCACGGACCGGGATCCTGACAATGCGGCTGCTGCAAGTACAACGAGCACGTTGTATTTGAATATCGGATTACAGAACGGCGCGTTGCTGAGAGCGGTGCTGGATCCGGTGACGGGAGATTTGTCGGACACCAGAACTAGGTTGGTAGAATGTTTTTAGTAGGGATAGTGACATGCAAGATCGTAAGCAATTAGGGAATAATAATAAATTGGCATTCTTACGGTTGCTATATGATACATGATTAGACATTAAATTTCTGACTCTCCAGTTTCCGACCGTTTTACTACCTGCGCCACTGGCGACCAAGTATTGTACTCGCGAAAAATTTCGAAAATGACTATACTATGTTTTTCCGTCTGTCTTTCCGCTAATACTCAGAACATCCCTGTTCAGAATGAAAGGCCAGAGTGAAAAAATTATAGATGCGCCATGTCTTGTTGTGAGGTGTATATAGTAGTATTAGTTTATTGGTCATTTAGATATAATGAGTATATATGACAGGTCGTTGTTATGAGATCTAACGAAAACATCGCCAAAGTTCACCAAATGATGCTAGACGTCCTACGAAGCAAAGTGAGAGAGATAGCAGAGGCTATGAACATGTCAAAAGAACGTGTTTGTCTTATATTGAATCAACATTTAGACATGAGAAATCTGTCCGCGCGTTGGGTGCCGCGTTTGTTCAAGTTAGACCAAAAACGCGTTCGAATGAAATTTCCAACGCTCTGCTGGTGCAGTTTAGGTGCAATAAATCCGAGTTTTGGCGCTGATTAATTACTATAGATGAAACTTTGCTACACCATTACAAAATATTCCAAACAGAGCACTGCAAAGGGGGAACCAGCATCAAAATTGCAAAAAAAATTTTCGGCTGCGAAAGTGGTGGCGGCTGTTATACTAAGTGACATATAAATCCGAACACCCAGTTTAAATGGTTTTATTTTAATGAAATTTTGTATAAGTACTTAATGAAGCATAATAAGTAAATGATAAAAATTTCAAAATGATTGCACTGCTTTACAGCCCTTTGACCTTTAATAATGTGTCTACACTTCTTTGCACTCTAACTGCAATTGCCCGAAAAGAAAGTCCAGCTTCCCGAAGTCCCACTATACGGCCCCTATCAAACTCACTAAGTTGACGAAATCGTACAGGTCTCCGTACTCTAGGCATCGTAACCGATCGTAAAGGATGTCAAGAACCAAAATCCGCCAACGTAGATTCTTTACTGCGGCTGAAATATTCATTTTTAGAGCGTTAGTGAATTATAAAAAAGCAGTATAAAAACCGGAATGTCCAACTGATAAGGCTGCAAATTTTTTCACTTGTTATTTACAGTAAGATAAATACATTAACCAACTTTTATTAAAATAAAACCATTTAAACTGGGTGTTCGGATTTATATGTCACTTAGTATATTTGGAATAGTCATGGAGTTATTTTAATCATTTATCTTCAAAAAGGAAAAATCATTACAGGAGCATACTACTCAACAATAATTGACAAGCTGAAGGCAGAGCTTGCGGAAAAACGGCCACATTTGCAGAAAAAGAAAATCCTGTTTCACCAGGACAACGCACCGTCTCACGCCTCAGCGGTTGCCATGGCGAAAAAATCTACGAATTACGGCTTGAACTGCTTGACCATTCGCCTTACTCACCAGATCTAGCCCCAAGCGACTTCTTTTTGTTCCCTCATAAAAATTGCGCTCGGAGGATAGAGATTTTCGTCAAATGAAGAGGCAATCACCTTCGTGAACAATTATTTTGCAAAGAAAAACGCCGAGTACTATTTAGACAGGTTACAGCGATGGGACCTTCACTGGGAGGAGTGTGTAGAGTTACAAGGAGACTATTTTGAAAAATGAAAAAAAAAAACTCAGAAAAATGCCTTGTAGCTTTGTTAGGCCGGAAACTATCCAGACCACCCTCGTAAATAAGATACAAATACAAGATTCAGTGGAAAGATGCGTGTCTCCGCTTTTGAATAACTCTACCTCATATGCAGAAAAGTCTTTTTTATAAACGTAATGCTAAATTCAATAGCATTATAAAATTATGACCTTTGCATCCTTTGACAAAGCAATACAGGGTGTCCGCAAAGTTGGGGTTTTCCTTTACACGACGTGTAGATCTTGAAAACATAAGCAATTTTTCTTAATACCATATACACCAATGTCTTAAGGGAACCGAGATAAAGGGCTCTGCAACATCAAAAATATCTGAATACCGTCCTGTAGCCGCGACATCCCCGAGTGGTACTAGGACACTAGCTCAACCCGACGACAGAACTGGGTCGGGGTCAGTGTGTCCGGTCAGTATGCAACCTTCAACCGACGGTTACGGTCACGCGTGTAGAGGTAATCGCGTAGACGAGAATCCCTCAACAAGCACTAGAGACGTGGCTAGAGAAGTTCAAGTATCAAAAACCAAAGTGTGGCAAACGCTGCGTGAAGAGGGGCTGTATCCGTTTCACGTCCAACGTGTACAAGCCCTTCTACCTGACGATTTTCCAGCAAGAGTGCGGTTTTGTGAGTGGTTGTTGCATCATGACAATAATCCGGACTTTTTGAAGTGCATATTGGTGACAGACGAATTTACGTTCACGCGTAATGGGGTGAATAACTTTCGCAACACTCTCATGTTTGGTCAGTAGAAAATCCGCACGCTGTCCGTCGGGCACAATTTCAACAAACATTTTCGGTGAATGTTTGGGCTGGCATGGTGAATGGTATGCTCATTGGACCATTTATTCTCCCAAATCGATTGGATGGGATGCAACACCTGGACTTTTTACGCAACATTTTGCCTTCCTTGTTTGCCTGCGTCTGCTCGGTAGCGCATCAGCTGATTTCATTTTCTGTTGGAGCGGTATGATTTCGGGCAGAGACGCACTTAGCCCTTCTCGTCAACTGGAGAGCGAGTACTTTTTCCTTTATTTTTTTTTTACTTGGTTGCCCTCGTTTCACTACACATTACCTTTGTTATTTCAAGGATAGTTGTTTATGAAAAGGAAAACCCCAACTTTGCGGACACCCTGTATTTGTCTGAACCATAAAATAATTTATCCTCAGTCAATATGAATAGATTAGCACCTAAGCAAAAGTACTAGCTTGTATCGCATCGTCCACGAGCTCGAAGTTTAAAATTTCTGAAACTCAAGCCCACACCATGCTGAAAAGTTGCCAATTAGCACGAAACAGCTGTCCAGGGTAAGCCGTCTTTGGTCGGAAAACGAAAGCTATATTAATATTACTAGTCTCACTTTGAATTATTGAAGTGAAAACTTGTCAGGCATGTCTTATGACAGAACAACAGAACATGAAATGAGAAGTGTATCCAGCTGCTGATAGCACCATCAAACGTGAGGTGTATGCTACTTTTATCAATGTTCATTTCAGTCCATTTAACCTCAGAAGATTCTGATCATTTCTGGAAATAATTTTGCAGGGGTTTGTTCCCATAAGACGTCTTTCATACATCATAGATTTTCCCGTACGTTTACCCTTGAACGATAGAGATATATTTTCGGTATACTCGTGTCGGATATCTCAAGTGTACCTCTATCCACTTCGAATGTGGGATTGGGCGAGAACCAATTTTGAAATCATTGCTGGCGTATTTGGACGCCATTGGAATCGACAAGGATGAAACTATCAATTGAAGCTTCAACATGTAGTTAGGACGGGATTTTAAAATCGTGCCACAATAATAACCAATTGCAGATCAAAGTCCGTTGGAGATTTCAAGATTTCGGTCGTTTAAAAAAAACAAGGATCTAGCCGTTTCACTCCTATCAATTATATCGTCTTTACAGATATTTGGGGTCCCGACCTGTGAAACTCTTCAGAATCAGGATGCAGCAGTCCGAAGCTGTGCTAGCTATGAGTAGCCGATCTTGGCTGAGCTATTACTACCAAAACCGATTTTACCTGACGCCACTCTCGTACGAAAGCTTGGAATATGCGTCAGGTTTCAGTTCAGAACAGTGTCCTGAAGGCATCGTAGCTATTTCCACCAACACTTTGAGGATTTTGGCTCTTGAAAAGCTTGGTGCCGTATTCAACCAGGTATGATAATGAATCATTAAATCCACAGTACGTCTATGTTGTTGTTCGTTTTATTCTGCTTTTCCTTGTGAAACATTGAAAATAACATCAATTTTGCAGGTATCCTTTCCGCTGGAATATACACCGAGAAAATTCATCATCCACCCCGAATCCAGCAATCTGATAGTGCTAGAGACAGAACACAACGCGTACACTGAGGAAACAAAGAAACAACGTCGATTGCAAATGGCCGAAGAAATGAAGGAGGCCGCTGCCGAGGATGAGCAAGAATTGGCCAAAGAAATGGCCGAGGCTTTCCTGAATGAGGATCTTCCTGAAAGCATATTTTCCGCTCCTAAAGCTGGCCATAATATGTGGGCGTCTATAGTTCGGCTCATGGACCCTGTTCAAGGTTAGTTAATAGAAAAAGAAAAGAAATAGTATTATCAAGGAATTTATTTCGTGATACCATTAACAAATTCTATTGCATTAATTCGAACACACTGATCAAAATTAAATTATGATTTTGAGGCCAACCAACATTGTTTCTTTACAAAACCGATCAAAATTGTTTTTTGAATCACAAAATTATTCGAGTGTTCAAACCATTAATGCTTAAGCGTTTTCTTCTTCAAACGATTCGCTTCATTTTTTGCTATATTTCTTCATTCTTTCGCTTTTTCCCTTGAGCTTATTTGACATCTGGCTAGTCACATCAGAAACACTAAAAGACCGACGAGGCTTTTAACTAAGAGCAAAGGTCCACCGGACCGCTCTGGCGAACGACGAGGAATATACCTCAAACGTATCTTGTGGTTTTCATGCTGAAAGAATTCCATGGTTATATGGCCGCTTACTGAAACCACATGTTTGAACTCTTTTTATTGACGTTTCGGCCACTTTGAAAAAGCTTAAGGCCGCTGCACAATTGCCCGGTAACGGGAACGAGAACGCAAACGGAAACGAGAACGGGAACGAGAGACTTCGGCAGATGCACAATTAACGGGAGCACATTGGAAGCAGTTGACAACTATGACAGAATTTTTGTAGCTAACCTTACTTTATGCAATTTTGACAGTTCCTCGCTGCTCGTAAACAGTTGTGGTAAAAAATAGTTGATTTTTTTATTTTTAGACTATTTATCCAAAAAAAAAAAATGGATTTTGACGAACAGTTTCTCTTTCTGTCCTTTCTTTTTTTGGAATGTGTCTTTTTGTATCTAATGACACAAGAAAATAGAAGGTAGGCCAAATTTGAAAAAACAATGAATCACATACTAATTGGAATTTGTATATTTTATAGATGGTGGGTCAGACCAATATTCAGAGAAAGGAATGAGAAAGGGGCTTTTCGAAATATTTTTACCCATATGAAAACAAAGGATCCTGAAATGTTTTTTAAGTATACAAGAATGCTACCAGATCAGTTTGACAGTATCCTGTGTCTCCTCAAGCCAAAACTACTAAAACATAGTAGGAGAGAATATTTAAGCCCTGCATTAAAGTTGGCTATGACTTTGAAGTTTCTGGCTCATGGAGGATCATTTCAAAGTTTGTCATGGGAATTCCGCGTTGGACATTCAACTGTTTCAAAAGTGATCTTTGAAACATGCACCGCAATTTGGGATACAATGCAACCTATTTACTTGAAATCCCCTACTGAACAAGAGTGGATTAATATCAGCCACCAGTTTTCAAATAGATGGAATTTTCCACATACACTTGGGGCCATTGATGGAAAACATGTTCACATTCAATGCCCATTGAATAGTGGGTCATTGTATTATAATTATAAAAACCACTTTAGCATTATCTTACTAGCATGCTGTGATGCTGATTATAAATTTATTTGGGCAGATATTGGTGCGTATGGCTCTGAACATGATGCTAGTGTATTTCGGAGATCTCAGATGGGAAAACAGTTAGATGAAGGATCAGTTCAGTTGCCAAAGGTAGATCAATTGCCAAGTAGCAATGTTGAAATGCCCTATTTTTTTGTTGGCGACGAAGCTTTCCCTTTGAAACCATATCTAATGAGGCCATATCCAGGGAGGCAACTAACCGAACAGAAATCAGTTTTCAACTACAGGTAGGTATGTGGAAACAGCACAAAATGAATATTTCTGACAAATTTTGTTGCAGATTATCACGAGCAAGACGTGTCATAGAAAATAGTTTTGGGATACTTGCAAGTAGATGGAGAGTTTATCGCTCTCCTCTGCTATGCTCCATAAAAACAACAGAGGCTGTGGTAAAAGCTACAATATACCTACATAATTATTTGAAAACTGAGGCACCAACGACATATGTACCACCTACATTAATAGACTCCTTGAAGGATGATGGTGGAACAAATAGGGATGGTGAATGGAGAGAAATGATCCAAAATGACACCAACTTGACACCAATTGGCAGAGTGGGAGCAAATATATCAGCCAGTGCAACTATGGCTTTGAGAGACAAGCTAGCAGAATATTTGATATCAGATGCTGGAGCAGTGTCATGGCAAATGGCATATGTTAACAGAGGAAGATTTTGAAATATGCTAGCATACTGTCTATTGTATGGAAATTAAAAGCATAGTAGTATTTTTTAGTATCAATTTTTATAAATAAAAGTAGCAAGTATACATTTTTGTATATTTTATTCCTACACATTAAAAGAATGACATAATATATTTCAGATATCTTCATTCTCAATATATTTAACTAGTAACTCCATGACTTCTTTTTTAAATTTAATTTTTTTCTTCAGTGGCAGATGTTGCATGTCATCGAGAATGGACTTCATAAAATGTGTGTCACTGTTTTCAGTATTTTCACCAAATCTTTTCTCACATATTTTTGAAAAATTTTGTAAAGCTGTGGCCATTGACTCCTGGATGCTCTTTTTGTGTCCACATGCACTATCAGGTCTGGATGAATGTGAGCTGGTAGGTCTAGACTGGGTAGGCTCAGGTGACGATACACCATCTGATCCCACAACATAATCATCTAGTAATGGTTCAGACTCAACCTCCTCAATGTATGGCACTTTTGAAGCACTTTCTGGGGCAGTCGAGGATATCAGCCTGAAATATAATAGAGTTGTCTTAACATACAAAGAGGACTGGTATATTCATAAAAATCAAAAACAAATAGTTCATTCCACCTGACCATTATAAACTTCAGGTGTAATTTTTATTGAAGTACTTATAAATGAAGGTTTAATAATTGGGTGACAAAAAGTACACACTGAACTCTCAGCGCCAGCCTACAATGGGTGGCACTATGTAGACCTCAAAATGATTCAATTACACTGTATGACTTACTTTCTCTTCCTGATGAATGGTATTAACCACATCATTATTTCAAAGTATGGGAAGTCCGGTTGTTGTTGTGTTCCTCCACCTGAACCTGAAGGAAGCACAGTATTGTATTGTCTATAGGCTCGAACAAACCTGTCTCTCAGGTTGTCCCACCTCTTTTTCACTATGGCTGCTGCAAAAGAGTTAAATCTGTTATGAAGTTTTATCATGTATTGTTGAATTATAAATTCTGTGCACTAACATAAACCAGCGTATAATGAGTTAATACAAAATGACTAAGAGCTTCAATTTACGCTATTTAAATGGAATCTTGTAATACCATTATGAGTGGAAAGCTAAAAGATTTTTCGCATTTGTTCACATTATAAACAAAAAATGTATAATCGTATCGCTAAGGACGCTAAGCACCACATGTTCATACTTACGTTCCGAATCGAGAAACTCTGCTATTGATAGCCAACTATTATCTTTCATTTTATCATCTTTGTATTCCTTCAACGTTTTATTGTAAATGTGTGGGCACTTTTCCACTAATTGAATCAATAATTCGTCATTCATAATGAAATCGTAGCGTTAGCGTTACTACTCCAAACAAAGACCAAAATAAACAAAACTCAATTTTTAGGTTAATACTGTAATGCGCATGTCCTGGTTCTGAGCATTCTGATTGGCTCCGAGAAGGCGACGGAACGGGAAAGTTGAATCTTGGCCAACTCTTCCGTTTTCGTTCCCGTTACCGTTGCCGTTTCCGTTTGTTGTGCATGTATGTATTGGATTTTATGTAATTGAACTTTTCTCTCGTTTCCGTTTCCGTTCTCGTTCCCGTTCCCGGGCAATTGTGCAGCAGCCTTTAGTCTGGCCAGACAACCATGTAATCCTAACAAGCGATTTGGTTTGGACTGGTCCATACAAAGTGATGTAGTGTTTTCCTTCTGAAACATTCAAAGTAGATAAACAGCAATTCAAGTACAGTTTAAAAATCTGCTTAACAAAGTTTCTTTAAGGTAACAAAGTTTCTTTAAGGTTCTTTTAGGTGCCCTGGTTATTAGGCTCCTAGCTGGTCGGATGCTTTGATATATAAAAAAGAGGTATGATCTACAGAAAAACACAATATGTTGTTCGCTAAGAGATGACAACTGCCACCTCATAAATAGATCGCCAAAGCGTAACACATCTTTAGCCCATACACTGAAAATGCATGGTTACCTTTTTGCATGTTTTTCAGTAGATCATACCAAACCTACTTTTCTACTTTTTGTGTCTGTCGCCATACAACTAGAATTAATAAATATGAAACAATGTTGTATGCGGTTGGTCATGGTTACACATATGGCAAGCAAATAGATCCAGTTCAGCCAAAAGACCTATAGTTTTAAGAAACCTCAGAAGAAAAAATTAGCACACCTTAGACATAAATCATCCTACTTCTAGGCACGACGTACAACCAAATTCGCCTAGAACAAAACGAGGCAGCAATGTCTCTTGCCCTACTGAAATTCCACGGTCAACCCGAACACCAGTGGTTCCTCGTAGTCGGCGTGGCGAAAGATTTTCAGCTGAATCCACGGTTGTGCACCGTAGGGTTCCTGGATACGTACAGAGTGGACCCGTTGGGCAAAAACCTTGAATTGGTGCACAGGACGGTCGTAGATGAAGTGCCAAATGCGCTATGTGCGTATAACGGCAGATTGTTGGCTGGTGTCGGGAAGATGTTGAGGTTGTATGATCTTGGGAAGAAGAAGTTGTTGAGGAAGTGCGAGAATAAGGTGAGGCATCTAAAGAACACGGTATTTTTTTCATTTTTTACAGTCCCACGGTTTTATGTTAGGGCGTGGAAGTATTTGTTATTAAATGGAAAAAACCATTGTACAAATGTTCAGTTGAATATTGTTGATGATATGATATTGAATTCGTAGAAAATTTTGTATACCTTAGGGTTTTTGTTGACTCAATTCAATTTTGATATTCATTATGAGGAAATTATAAACAGGAATAGTAATAAAGAGGGATATTTATCAAGAGTTTCTGGATGTCTTGAGTTCATATGGTAGAAAAATTATCTATAATACTATAATTCTTCCACATTTCTTGTACTGATCGACTTTTCTAATTTAGGTAATCATTCAATTTTTAAAAGACTGCAAATTTTACAAAACAAGTGCATGAGAATAATACTTGATAAAGATACATATACTCCAACTAAACATATTATTGCTTTGCTAATTAAAATGGCACTATTTGACCATCATTTACGTAATACCACAAATAAAGATGACTTCCATTCAATGTCCAAAAATTATGTTTTAAATCTGTGAGTTTCTTATAATCTTTCTGTTTATGTAGCCAAATGGGCTAAATAAATCATTCTACAACTACTAATGCTATAGCTTTGAGGCAAAAGTCCTTGGTGTTTTTTCGCCCATGAAAATAGCTCGAATTTTAAGATGGCCACGTTTATAAGTTATTGCATTTAAATATTCCATATCGTACATATTTTATTATTTAATTGTTATTTGAAATCGCAAGGATCGCAGTTCTGGCATTTTGTCCAAAATTCACGCACCTTCAAATATTTATAGTACCGTTTTTATGAGCGCATGGTCGTAACAGTGCTTACTCCAAACATATAATAAAACATACGGACTGACTGGTAAAACATAAAGTGGAAACAAATGAATACACAATTGTGAAAAATTAACTTCCGTTTGCGTTGTGGGCGCAGTGCGGCAATCTTTTATACCTTTTATTATAGATTTCAAGTAGGGAGTGGTTGCAATAATGCGCTCATATAAAAATAAATACCCCAAATTTGGAATTTTGGTCGAAAATGCGAAAATTGCGGACCTCTTGAGCTTTTAAAAATCAATCAGTTAGTAAAATAATGTGTATAAAAGTTTAAAATAAATTTTATAATTGCGATCAACTTGAAGTTTGAGTTGTTTTCACCATATCGCCACCTTATGGACCCCCATCCTCTTACATTTTGACAAGTTGTGCCACTCTTCCCCATAGACAAAAGTCACATCTAGATTAAGGCTCTTTAATACTGGATATTTTTTCAGTTTTTGTTCCTGTTTTATGAAGCCATTAAATTAATAGACTAAAATGATGATAACTAACGGATCTGAAATTTGATGAAATCCTGCAGTTCTGATCTTTCAAAAGAAACTACCAATATTACAAATCGTTAATGGCCGAATAAGATAGATTACTTCTTTGTGTTGCAGCACATTCCAAATCTGATTGTGAATATCCAGGCAATGGGAAAGCGGATATTTGTATCTGACGTACAAGAATCTGTATTCATGGTTAGGTACAAAAGGATTGAAAACCAGCTGATAATATTTGCTGACGACACACACCCCAGGTAATGACGAAATTATTTTGTATTTTTTTTTTCAATTTAAAACAAAATTATATACCGAGTGTGCCACCTTTTATGTCGGCATTGAAACATCGAATGACTGATATTTACCGAGTTATTTGGTTATACGCGTTTCTGAAACGCCAGTTTACTTACAATTTTAGTCATGAATCGCTTTATTCAACTTTATTCTCATAGCTTTATTTTGTAGGACTTGTAATTTTGAGAATGTAGCTGTTTTTTTCAATTTGTACTAAGACCATGAAAGCCTTATAAAAGTCATGTTTTGCAATTTTTGAAATAATTCGTTATAATTATTATTCATTATAATATTCATAGTGATCCTCAAACTTCAGTTTACTATCAATATAAATAAATACCCAAATATTTAATTAAAATTTTCCAATTATTCCATCAGTTATCCTGTGATAGTATTTTCATTTAAGTATCTCGCTAATAGCATATATTTTGTTTAGAAGCATTTAATTTTGGTTTATCAACGTTTAACCAACTCGGAGTTTAACATTTTTAAAGCAGTGTTTATATTTGTCATCTGATAATATCTGAATTTTACAATCTAAAATATGACAAATTTCATTAATGTGTTTATGATTTTCCATTTTAATATGGCATTTAAGACAAACGAAGTATTTTTTTGAAGTCTGTTTTCATTGTAGATAAATTGATGTAAAAATGTTCGTTTCAGATGGATAACAACGACCTCCGTTCTGGACTATGATACGATAGCAACTGCTGACAAGTTTGGTAACATAGCAATATTGCGATTACCTCCAAATGTTAGTGATGATGTAGAGGAAGATCCCACGGGTCACAAGGCTTTATGGGACCGTGGACTTCTTAATGGTAAGAATTAGGATATATGAAAGAACTAATGACTTGCTTTTTAACAGGAAATTCGGATTCCATTCGATTTTTTTTAATTTTTGTCGAAAAGATGGATGTCCTTCTGATGCCATAGTGCTACACAGATTTAAATCAACTGATTCTTTCAATTTAAATCGTGATTTAAATTAAATTAAAAATTGTTGTAAAAAGAAATCACTGAAGCAAATTACTGGAATAACTCATCAGGAATATAAAAAAACTGAAGGTATATTTAAAACTAAAAGTTTAGGTACATTATGTAAATTTAAACGTATAACTAATCCTCATTAGTCCAACGTGAATATTCATAAATTAATTTAAAAAAAAACAGTTTACAGCAACAAGGCATTAGTGATATGACCTACATGAATAAGTAATAAAAAATCATTGACAAATACATAAATAGTATTATAACATACAGTGAACAACTGTAATACTTATACAGGAAAATTAATTTAGCTGCTTTTCGAAGTTTGCAATGTACCAAACCAAACGATGAAAATACTCTTTTGACAGATGCTAAAGAAAGTGCAGCAGATAACAGTTTTTTCATGGTGTCCAGTACTTTTTGATAGCATGGACATTTCTGTTAAGATTTTCACCAATTTAAAGCTTTTGAAGTTTTGAGAAATTCCTCATCAAACATTGCATAAGTTATGAAATGGTCCGTCTCGCGTTAAAAAGTCAGTACAAAAACAAGAAAAAAACGATTTAATCGAAAAAATCACATTTTTAGAATTCCTCGAAAAATCATGATTTTGTATTAGAAATTGTTTCGAAAGCGTAGGAATTATCGAGCCAGACTACTTGACGCAATTTCTTTTAGGTGCATCTCAAAAGGCAGACACAATCTCAACATTCCACGTGGGCGAGATGGTGACATGGCTACAGAAAGCCACCCTGATTCCAGGTGGTTCAGAATCGCTCCTGTACACTACGTTGTCCGGTACCGTGGGTGTTTTGGTACCGTTCACGTCGCACGAAGATCATGATTTCTTCCAACATTTGGAGATGCACATGCGCAGTGAAAACCCGCCGCTTTGCGGAAGAGACCATCTGTCGTTTAGGAGTTATTATTTTCCTGTCAAGGTAATAGATGAAAATATTTTGCAAACTACCAAGATTTTGAGAGATTATAAGTATTTTCAGTTATCTTTATGTAGAGACACCTAGAGAGGCACTATTAGAATCTCTTTTGGCTATGCAAATCGAGTTCAGGGGCGGAGTCATGGATGACAGATGTATGTCATATTGACGCAGATGTGGCTTAAGTTGTACGCTCTGTATACATCGGTAGCATTTTAGCAATTAAGAAAGCGTTAGTTAGGTACTACTATACTGTTTTCATAAAATGTTTTGCTTGACTATTTCTTGATGTCCACAGCGGATCTCCTTCAGCATATCATCAGATCACAAAGAGGTAAGCAATGTTGCTGAACCGAAAAAGACGAAATCGGTAGATAATGCGGGTAAAATTTGGTAGATTCAGGGACAAAATCGGTAGGAAAGAAATCAGACCCGCCGCAAGATCAGCGGTGGTTCAAGGGACTTTGTGCCACGCAGCGCTGTTTATGAAAAAAAATGTATTTTTGTTTTGCGCGCGCGCGCGCACACAACATATTTTTTAGGCCATTTTCCTGAAAAAAATATTAACCTCTTTATTACAACTTACACAATGATACTGGCCGATCTTCAAACTCCTTTCTCCATTCTTGATTATAAGATCGTGAATATTTTTGTTTTACCTCTGAACTTGAAGCTTCATTACCTGGTATTTGTATTTAATATTTAATAAAAAGTAGACAATCTTTGGTAATGATGGTGATCTACCAGTCGGTACCTGTTGTACCCACAAAAACCAATACAGGGGAAGCGGAGTAAGGGCTGTGCATGCATAAAATTATAGGCAACCCAAGTCTACGTTCCTCGTGTGCCCAACTGCCTAAGTGTCCATATATGTGATTGGTATGGGTCACAAAACTACATATAATTTTTTTTTTGTTTTTAGCTTACTTTTGGGTTCAGTTTTTTTTCGTAAAAATGTTTTAATCGAGGAAAATGACGTTTTCGTTAAATAAGGTTCCATTTCGGTAGAAATACCGAAAAATCGGTAGGTTCGGTAACACCTGCAGTGAGGCACAATATTTAAACTAAACGTGCTACTTTCGACCGTCTGACCAAAGACAGCAAACCATGCAGAGGTGTTTTCGTGTTTTTTTTTTTTTGTTACTCATTGATCTCTCGTCTCTGGGACAACAAACGAAGGGATAGCAACTATATACTGTCTAAATCAGTCGAAATTCCACTACAATCGCCCACTGCGAACACTGAAGAGCAGGTACTGGTTGGGATTGTAAAGATCTCAGTCGGCAATTGGAGGCCCAGCCACCTCATGTCCGCTAGATGGCGACGATTCTAGTTGTATAGTAGATTGTCATTGAAACAGCTAACGAGAGTCCAAGCCTAGACCTTGCTGATGAGTAGCCAAACAGCATGAAACAGCTGTACTTGACTGTTTTTGGTCAGTTGGACGAAATCAACGTGTTCAGTTTTGTTCAATGGCAAGTAGACCACATCAACTACACAGCTAGAATCGTCGCCATCTAGCGGTCACGTGGCGGCTGGGCCTCCCAATTGCAGACCGAGATCTTTACAGTCCCAACTGATAACTGCTATTCACTGTTCGTAGTGGCAAATGGTGCCTCGCGCTGTCTCATTTCGGCAGTAGCACACAACAAAATGGAAAAGAAATATTTTCAGATAAACCCAGCTAAGTTGTGCAAAACAAACAAATTAATATCACATTCCAGGGATGCTGGCAACTCACTTATTTCGATCCATCTCACTTTTACTCTCCATTGAAAGCATTCGCTTACACTTTGTAGTTAATGAACGTATTCAAATGAGCTATCCTCTCAAGACGAAATTAAATGAGATTTTTTTATAAAAAAGTTAACTAGGATTAGTTTAATACAAAATCGTTTATGAAGGCTAAAGTTGCGCATTTAGGTAACTAAGTTACTTAGATAGTTTGGCAATTCAGAATATTTTTGGAGAGACACAAAAAATACGAATTTACTCTGAGCCATTTTCATTTTCTCCTGGCATAATTTGAACTGGGATTTCAATATAAATTGCACTAGCAGTGGCACTTTTTACAAGTCTCGTATAAATAACTGCTAATATGCTAGTTCATTCGTATGCATGTGTGGAACAAATCCTGAAACTGAATTTTGAGCCAATTGTCCAATTGAGTTGAAATTTTGTATGCCTGTCTAGTTCGTGTGACAATACCTAATAAATGCTGCCACCATTTTGAATCTAATATGGTGTATACTACATAATGGCATTTTATCATTTCCAATATTATATGTGTATCAAATCAAAGAGATTGATGAGAGAAACACAATAAGCAATCTGACGTCATTCTAAATCCAATTTGATGGAGGCTACAATTTGGCCATTTATAATTTCCATGGTCACTCCAATGATATGGATATCTATTGAAAGGGCTTGAGAGACACAATAAGCTAAATGTCGTCATTCAAATATGTCGACCGCCGCAAGATGGCGTTTATAATTTCTAAAGTTACCCCTACCATTGAAAGCAACGTGACATTATTCTTGATCCAATATAGCGGCCGCAGCAAAATTTCGATTTATAATTTCCAAGGTCGCTCCCAAATTACGGATATCAAATGAAATGGATTGATCAAATAAACACAATAAGCAAAACATATTTAAATTACAAGTAGACTTTATCATTATTTAGTTTATTAAATTCAAGTAATCCTTTCTGAAATATTGATTTGCCAGTTATATTACTGTTGCAATTTTGTAAATGAAAATCTATATTTCTATATATGGCGGACGTTTAATGTGACAACTGACAATGCAATATTATTATGACATGGAGATTATGATGCCAGGAAGTGGTCATAGGATCCCATCAAATAGAGCCCCACTTGATTTATAATGACATGTATTCTAGTCTTACGGTCTGATGATGAAACTAGTCAACTATTGTGTAAAAATACTCATCTATAATAACTTTTTAACATTAGATAGTTCGGTAAAATGCACGTTGAATCAATCGGGCAATAAAACTTTGACACGTCGACTGCCAACTACGAGATAACTCGTAGATTGCGTTCTTTTCTAGATCGCCAGAAAATTTATTAAAAAACGAACACAAAATAGAATCATCAAAATTAATTAAAATCCATGAAATAAAATAATATTTTATTGTTTGTGGAACTTTTGAAAATTGCCGGGACAGTCAAAGTGTTAGTAGACATGAGTACGTCTCCCGTATTTACAAGAATTTGTTATATTTTCTATTTTTCTTCTATGCATCATATGCATTTGATCCTAATATACATACGAGTGCTACGCTATATATTTTGAGATACATGAAAACTAAAAACTATTTTTCGAAAACTAATTTAATCATGTTCAAAGTATTCTTCTCCAGCATCAATGCACTTGTAGCCTGACACAAATGAAATGCTTTTGACCAGTCAGTTTTTGGGATCACTTCAACAAACGAATTAATTGCTTGATCGATTTTCTCTTCGAACGAAAATTTTCGACCACGGAGATTTTTTTTCAAATTGTTGAACGGCCAGAAGTCACACATTGCCAAATCTGGCGAATAAGGCGGATGTTCTAGCAGCATTTTGATGCGGCGCTGCCGTAAAAAGTCTGCAGTTAGTTGGGCAGTGTAGCTAGAGACATTGTCGTGATGCAGAATTGCACCTCTAACACTCACACCTTCGAAAACTTCTGGCAAACATCTAGTGTCGTACCAATTTGCCGTAACTGTACGCTGTTCTTCCAGCTTAATTGCTTTTACCAGTGCTGCGAAAGAAAACGGCGTACATGACTTTTCTCATGGCTCTCTGCTTCTAACACGCTCCTCCTTTTGAAAACCAAGTAAGCTGATATGGCACCCATCTCGCAATAACTTTTTTTAAATGATGATCATGCAAAACGGTGTGCACTGTTGTGGATCCTACCCCAAGAGTTGCCTCTATAGTTGCATATGTGCCGCGAGAATCTTCAATTAGCCGCTGAACTTCAGCAATGTTTTCTGGAGTCACACTAGAACATGGCCTACCCTACCCTCTTCATCAGCCAATGAAACACACCTCCTTTAAATCTGCGAAACACACTTGCGCAGGACGGAGCTTCATTACCAAATGCCTGTTGTAACAGTTCGATACATTGATGTCGAGTTAAACCGGCTTTAAAATCATAGCGCGATAACTCTTCATGACAACTGCATGTATCGTCTTAAATTAAATTTGTTTACACCACTTGACCACGCTTGCAAATGAACTGAATGCGGCGACTTAGTAATACAGGACTGCTCTTTCTAATAGTGCACTGTTGCCGGTGTTAACTAATATAGTTAAGCTCGAAATATACAGCGATACTGACAAAAATTAAGAAATCGAGATAAAAGGTTATTGAGATTATAGTCTGTACCTAGCGTCCTCTAAAAATACAGTAGAATCGATTCCTCATTCTCAGAATACCGTAATTCACTTTTTGGAAAAGGTATTATGATGATTCACCATTTCACATGCTAGACTTATGATTAGTATGATTACACATGTTCACTGATCAAAATCCGTAACATCACAATTTTCACAGTTTCTTAATTTGGTTAATATAATGCATTGTTTTTATTCCAGAATGTTATTGATGGAGACATGTGTGAGCAGTACAATTCTTTGGAGCCAGCCAAGCAGAAAAGTATCGCATCTGATTTGGATAGAACGCCAGCAGAGGTTTCTAAGAAACTCGAGGATATCAGGACGCGATATGCGTTTTAAGTTATTGTTTAGTGAAATAAGTTCTCTTTTTTGTATTTGTGATTTTTGATTAAAACTTATACTAACTATATTTTTGTTGTTTTGAATGATTTTTTCACCCGTTAATACATCGATTGTTCAGAAATAAATGTGACCTTGAACCGTGTGACTTGCACTTTGAATAGGTGGGATTCGATCCATACAGAACTGTTAACAAAACGTATTTAAATCATAAAAATTTATGTCAGACTATAAGCAAAATAACTTCGTCATCCTCTTCCTCAACAAGTTCACCCTCATCAGTTGCATTGGCAGGTGGAAGATGAACTTCTTGATGAAGACGGTTATCCGGGGCAATGCCCGGGTACAGCTGGAGGATATCTTCCAAAAACGTCTCCGTGGCTCCCAAAGGGCAGCCGGTTCCTCCTGTACACGAATTCATCGATGTACAGAAGGGCATGGTTCCAGGGCTGCCCCTCTTCAACCGGGCATGCCCTAGAAAGTGTTGAATGATTAGGATTGTAAAGTGTACAATTAGGCCCGTATCGTCAGTCGTCCCTACAATTGTAGGGCGCGTTTATGGCCTCCTTGATTGTCATACTGCTTTCTCTCCTTCAAAAATTTCTAGATTACATTGTCCCGTGTCAGCGTCAGCGCTCTCCTATTGTGAAGATGTTTTCTTTTTAAATTGTAGGAAATTTCAGGCTGATATAACTCAAAAGCAAGCACAATTTGATGCAAATAGATGTTTGTGACATAACCTCAAAATAGAGTTCTGATACGGAGAAGTAGAAAACTATGACAATCAAGGAGGCCATAAAGGCGCCCTACAATTGTAGGGACGACTGACGATACGGGCCTTAGACTATTGCATATATATATATAAATAAGGTGTTTCTAGTGAAGGTAGTTTGTATACTGTGATTTTTTATACGAAAGCTTTCCAGCCCAATGTTGCGCATCCTTAAAGTATTTCGTATGCAGATTGTAAAGCGAAATACCCTCTCCACCCCCGTACTTTCCTGATCTCAAGCGTTTTTACCTCTGAAGTATTTTTAAAAAATGATTAGAATCCTCTGAAACGTCAAAAACCAATTTTTTGTGATTTCTACTTTTTTAGGCTTTTTTTCAGCCGCCACTTGACCGAGTTTTCAAAAACTATACAAATATGTTGCGACCTTAGCATATTAGTAGCATTGTGTAAAAATTTAATCGAAATTCAAGTTATAGGTGGTTATAGGATTATCGGGCAGGCATCCAAAGAACGTAATTTAATAATCGAAAAATTTCGCGATTACAATACTTCCCCGCCAGTAGGTGTGAACGAAACGTAAGTCTACATTCCTCATCTGTGATTTTAGTTGGTGGCAAGTGGAATATAAAGATGCAAAAAGTACTCGTACTTGGGTGAATAATGCGAACGGATTTATAGGTCTCCCCCCACCGGCACGGGTATCATATAAAAAACCTATAAAACGTCAAAAAAAACTTATAAGATGTCAACTTGCAAACTAGGTAGTTTTTAGGGCGCAAACAGTCATTCCACGTTTGCTCACTAGGATCGTTGTGAACGTCCATCTATGGAGGAATCACTCAACTAAACTACACGCATTATTGGTTGCATAGTTTTGTCAGGTTGAGTGATCCGTGTCTGTCGTTTTCATCTCTGAGAAGAAAGTTGGTTGAATAGCAAGATCGCATCAGGATGATTATGTGTAATGGTCTGGCTGTGTAAAAAATCAGTGTTATTTGCTGTGTGAGAAAATCATTACTGAATATGACGGGTTATTTATGTGTTGTGCTTTCTGAAGAGAGGTTATGTTCAGAGTTATAAATTACGAAAAACAGGAGAATTACGGGAAATCATCACCGCGCCTGCGTTGTGTGTAATTACTGTTAGCATGTATATGGTTTGTAATTCGACAGTGCACAGTGAATATAATGATTTCTTATCTCTCTCATTTTTTAAATTCAGCAAATTTGTATATTTAATTTCCAAAATGGATAAGAAAAAGTGGATGCGCAACTAATTTCTAGTTTTGAATCCTTACTATGCACCTATACATTGCCATTTCAAATTACAAGTCATATACTTGCTAACAGTAATTACACACAACGCGGGCGCGGTGGTCATTTCTTGTAATTCTCCTCAAAGTTTTTGAAAACAAAAAAAAACGTAATTTATAACTTTAGATAGATATACTTCATTGGCAGCATATTCAGTAATGATTTTCTCACAGAGCTGAAAACGACAGACTACTCGGCTTCACAAAACATATGCAACCAACATTGCGTGTAGTTGAGTCATCCCTCCAACGATACTAGTGAGCAAACGTGGAATGACTGTTTGCACCCTAAAAAATACCTAGTCTGCAAGACGACATTTTATAGGTTTTCTTTTGACGTTTTTTAAGTTTTTTTACATAATACCCGTGCGGAAAAGCTACTCTCTCAAACTGTCCGGCACTGGTATAAAAATCTTAAGATGAACTAACCTGCACAATCTTATATGTTTTTTTAGTTCCTACCACAGCCGTTCGATGTGGTTGGTTGTCATTTGAACTGTGGTCTCCTCTTGCGTCTCTTGATGGACCACATGCAAATTTTGGACAAACCAACGGCTGTTGTTGATCCTAAAATACTCGGCTATATTACAGCCTAGCAGAGTTTCGGCATCATACGGTCTGTCGATGCCTAGGTAGCCTCGCCATTCGTCCGTGTGGACGAACGACAGCTTCTCAATGTTCTCCCGGATAATCCTCAATAGGTTCGCCTGATTTCGCACAGTGGCCGCTACGCAGAACCTCTGTCCTATGAATTGGAAAGGTCAAATGCGAGATCAAACAACATTTGAAAACTATCCAAGAAAACACCACAATACCAATGCTTTAGTCAGTGGCGGATTTAGAGCCCCCCCCCCCCTTGACGTCAGACACTTGCTTTTGTAATCTAACACCATTGTGTTACTTTCTGACACATCATGGCGACAGAAGCATACTAACTATAATTTATAGCTATAGGAACTGAGCATTGCGATTTTTGGTATACTTTGGTATTCCAAATGCTGACCCTCTTTGACATTACTTGCTTACAGCACAATTCTTACGATTTATACGTATATACGAGTATTGTGGCTTGTGACAAATCTATGCCTGGGTACCTAATATATTAGTTATACAGATTGGGCTTAAAATGTGATTTATGTTCTGTTTATTGCGCAACAGTAGTTTGAAAAGTGTGTAAAGCTTGACTGATTTTGTTCGGGATTGGTGTTGCAGCGACACACTATGTTAGATGAACGCCTAAATTGGAAATAGACACTTATGAGATTTGTTTAGCGGTGCGCCTGTGGCCTGTCCAGAAACTGCATCGATCGATGCTCAGTCAATACCACACGTCCCGCATCTCTTCTCGCTTATGTTATTTTTTTTGCTATATTTGCTTTTCTCTTGCTTATAAAAGTCCGCATGTTTACTCACCTAAGCTATGCAGCGGTTATCTTCCAAAACAAAGACATTAATGATGGTGGATCCCTCCGGATGTAAACTCACTCCATTCTCGGAATGGACGGTTGGAGGGTGGACTCGAGGGAACATCAAAGATAAAATTTGTTTCGCGAACATCTGCGGGATTAACAGCAACATTGATGCTGTACATCACTACTTGTAAAATCTGAGAGTGCGCACTTGTTAACCATCTTAGCTTCCCAAATTACGAGGTGCACTCCAATCTGTGAAAGAAAGGGGGAGTTGTGATCTTTGTCCGCAGCAGTCTTTCCTGCTGCAGAGATGTTTCTCTGGAATCAGACCGGAAGGACATTCTGTGGCTTCGCCTCAACTCCAAAACATCCCCTAAATTTATTTGCTGCCTTTATCGCTCTCCCTCGGACCATGACTGGGATGACCTTCTTGAATACCTCGCCGTCAGGATCGACTTCCTGAACATCGATCACCTAGCTTCAGAGGTAGTTCTCCTCGGTGATTTCCACGACCATAATTTGCTTTGGTTGGGCTCAAACAAGGCCGATGCAGCAGCTCGTGCAGTCGAAGCGTTCGATTTTACTCAAGGGCTGACCCAGCTGGTGACGGGCCCTACTTTTTTCCTCCTCGTCTCGTCACATGCCAGTAGCCTGCTGGATCTCTTTCTGACCACGCATCCTGTCCCTTACAGCCCTGCTGTCATGTACCCCCTGGGTAGCTCAGACCACGGTGTTGTGGACGTTAGGTTTCGGCCGGAACCCGCTGTGGCAGCAGAAACTCGCACAGGCCGCAAAATTTGGCATTACGGACATGCCGACTGGGAGGGGCTCAGATACTTCTTTTCCACCTTTCCTTGGAGATGTCTGTTTCACTGACAAGGATGCGTCGGCTGTCTGTTCTTCGATAGCCAAAATTATCCACGTCGGAATGGAGGAACACATTCCTCATACAGTGGAAGTGCCTAAACCAGGGTCGCAGCGCAATGGCAGTCAGTTTTTCTGGACGCTGGCCAAGCAGATTGAAAAGAAACTCTCACACAGCAGCCTTCCACCACTTACGTGCCAGGAAGGAACGATTGTATCGGACTCAAAGGCCAAGGCGGAAGTCCTTGCCAAGATCTTTGCTGCTAACTTCACCATGGACGTCCCCTCCAACGCCCAAGTGTAGTCAATTCAAAGGGTTCCCTACATTATGCGGGAAGTATCATTCAGGTATAAGACCGTAAGACGAGTGCTGTTGTCGCTCGACATCAACAAAGCTTCTGGACCGGACTTGACACCTGCCATTGTACTGGAGAGGTGTGCAGCGGACCTTGCTCCAATTCTTTCGCGTCTCTTCCCAGAAAACTGGAAATTCGCTCATGTCTAACCCATCCGAAAAAAGGGATCTAAGACTGACCCTTACAACTATAGGCCTATAGCTTTGCATTCTGTTATAAGAAAGGTGATTTAGAGGTGCCTAAATCGCGAGCTTCTGGACTACCTCGAACGTCACAGCTTGATTAGCGACAGGCAGTATGGTTTCCGGCACCAGCGATCCACAGGGGACCTCGTAGCTTACGGCACGCAATTGTGGAGTAAACTCATCCAGTCTTATGGTGAGGCTTATGTCGTTGCTCTTGACATGACGAAAATGTTCGATCAGCTGTGACACTGTCCTTTTAAGCAAACTTCCATCCTATGGCCTCCCAGAAAAGTTTTGCAGATGGGTGGCTGACTTTATCGCTGGCCGCAAGATATCCGTCGTAATTGACGGATTCTCCTCTTCATCCCACCACGTCAACGGGGGTGATCCCCAGGGATCGGTCTTGGCTCCGACACTGTTCCTCTTACATATCAACGACCTCCTTTCCTGCACGATCAACCCATGTACCACTAGTTGATCCCAAAAACGTGTTGCTTCCACCTTTGCATATTAAGTTGGGACTGATGAAACATTTTGTGAAAGCTATGGTATGGATAGAAATGGAAACAGGGTTTCTGCATTTAAAACAAACATTTCCGACACAGTGAGGCAAAAATTAAAGAGGGCATATTTGTGGATCCAAAAATACGGAACATCATGAAGGATTTGACAGTGCTCTAAATGAAACTGAATTTCGAGCTTGGAATGCTTTTAAATCAGTTACTGCAAATTTTTTAGGCAATTTGATGGCGGACAATTATAAAGATATTGTGAGTAAACTAATTAATGCTTTTAAAGGAATGGGATGTAACATGTCTCTAAAAATTCACTTTTTGGATTCCATCTCGATTTTTTCCGGAAAATTTAGGTGCGGTAAGTGATGAACACGGTGTACGGTTCCACCAAAAATTTCTGCTATGGAAAAACGGTATCTAGGCAAATGGAGTGTCAATTTGCTTGCAGATTACTGCTGGACATTGTTAAGAGATACTTGAGGAGCAACATATCGCCGTAAAATATCGCCAACATTCTGAGATTAATGTTTATTCGCGTGTTTATTAGTACTACACACATATCCTTATATTTTACGAGTATAATCAGCAAATAAAATGCCTTATTGAAAGAAAACCGTGGGTGATAGAAAAAATCGAATGCTATTTCCGGCTTTACATAATAACCACCTTGTTTTGTCCATGTCACAAAAAATTATTTTAATTTTGTTCAGTGTTATCAATACTGCAACCACAAAACACTGCAACATGAAATGCATAAATCATAGGAGTTGTTAGCATGTTAGCAAGTAGCGAATGAATCTGTAGCTTACAAAAAAACAAAACAAAATTCGGTATACGGCTCGGTCACCCTGGCCTTGACGAATTTATAATCAAATTCAAGCGAATAACCAAATGGAAATGGTATTTACCATTTTGGCTTGGTATTTACCAATCCGTTCAAGCGAGTGTAGTTATCAGTTTGGTTATAAGATCCGTGACGTCACGAATCAGCTGTTATATGTCATAGTTATCACCGCAAAATTGTGGTATTTACCCAACTCAAGAGTAATTTTATATTTCTGGTTATTATTTGAAATGTGACAAGTTAGAATTTTGCCGGGTATTGGATATTGTTATTGTACTTCAGCTTCATTTTTGAGAAAATTGATACAGGCTGACTTCAGTTTTACCATAAAGTGGAGCACCTTATTAGTTATACTCATTACGGTTGTTGGGGACACTTTAAATGTAGTTCCTATGCTTAACAAAAATCAAATCCAAGCGGATAACCAAAATTTCCGTATTATGTACCGCGGTTATAGTATGGTTCAAGATGACACACAGGATGGTGACGTCAGTTACTCGAATCGCTTGAACGCGTTGGTTTTAACCGCGGTTTGTTGCAAGTTGTTTATTTTAGAAAAGCGCGTATATAATTTCTGATTATTTTTATTATCACTTAATAATCGGCGCTTTTTCGTCTACAACGGGGTATGGAAAGTTGAAAAAAAGAAAACTTTCATAATATTAATGGGAGGAATCTTTTTTTTTCCGAAAAAAATTTTTACTGATGGAACCATGGCTTTGTAGCTATGCTAACTTTCAATTCTCTAATCTTTTCCGCATGTCAAAGAAAATATTTATTGATTTAGCAGAAATGATGAAAAAGAGATATTAACAAAACCGTATACAGGTGGACATCATCCAGTGAGTTTATACGGCCATATTTTAATATTCTTGTGGTATATGGCTATACAGGATACTTTTTTAAGTGTAGGAACTAGGTTTAGAGTGTCCCCAACAACAGTGATGATTATGTTTATAAATAATAAGGTGCTCTCTTATGCTAAAACTGAAGTCAGCCTGTATCAAGTTTCCCAAAAATGAAGCTGAAGTACAATAAAAATATCCAATACCCGGCAAAATTCTAACTTGTCACATGTCAAATAATAACCAGAAATATAAAACTACGCCGGAGTTGAGTAAATACCACAATTTTGCGGTGATAACTATGACATATAACAGCTGATTCATGACGTCACGGATCTTATAACCAAACTGATAACCACACTCGCTTGAACGGATCGGTAAATACCAATCCAAAATGGTAATTACCATTTCCATTTGGTTATCCGCTTGAATTTGATTAAAGTATCCTGTGTAGTCATATACCACAAGAATATTAAAATATGGCCATATAAACTCACTAGATGATATCCACCTGTATACGGTTTTGCGAATTTCTTTTTTCATCATTTCTGCTGAATCAATAAATGTTTTCTTTGACATGCGGAAAAATTTAGAGAATTGAAAGTTATCATAGCTACAAAGCCATGGTTCCATCATTAAAAAAAATCTGAAAAAAACATTTCTCCCATGAATATTATGAAAGGTTTCTTATTTAAACTTTCCATATACAGTTGTAGACGAAAAAGCACCGATTATTAAGTGATAATAAAAAAAATCAGAGATTATATACGCGCTTTTCTAAAATAAACAACTTGCAACAAAACCGCGGTTAAAACCAACGCGTTCAAGCGATTCGTGTAACTGACGTCATCAACCCGTGTGTCATCTTGAACCATATTATAACCGCGGCACATAACACAGAAATTTTGGTTATTCGCTTGGATTTGATTTATGTGTCCTGTGCCGATATGGGGAGGATACTCGTGAAATAGAGTAAATCACGAAAGATGACTATTACGTCATACCATAAATTGTACTGAAGTAATCAATGGACGTATGTCGATCGTAAAATCACGATATATTTATTTATATTATGAAGTTAGGTTATTTCACTGATTATTTTTATTTTAATTTTATTTCACGGTTTCAAGTGACACTTTAATAATAATTTTAGTGGGGAGTTTTTGTTTTGAGAAAAACGGTTATGAGTAGAATACACCTCAAGACACTAACACCAAAGACAAAAGTATTATTCGAAAACAACCTCACCTGCTTTAACATAACCTAACTATTCATCTTTCAAATATGATAGATCACGCAACATGAAAACATCGTCTATCGTTTGTCTCTGTGTAACGTATTTGAAACTACATAAAAAATATTCATAAATCGGTGTCGTTTGTCTTTACTGCAGACTAAAATGATGACGTAATCGTCATCTTTCGAGATTTCGACTATATATGAAAATCAAGGCCATAAAGGCGTCCTACAATTGTAGGAACGACTGACGATACGGCCCTAAAGCCCTGTACTAGCACGACGTTTGATGTGCGTTTACCGTTCCAAAATCACGTTATTACAGACTCTCCCATCTCAAGCCGCATACTTTGACGAAACCGGCAACATCGCATTTTGGCCTCGAGCTGTCAATATGACAAGCACATTGGATGCTGTCAACTTGTTCTGTATGTTATTCTCTACGAATTTTGGAAGAGCCATTTCCTTCAAATTTCACTTTTTATTTTTTTGAACGAATGTTAGTTTTACAATAGTCACTTTAGAAAGCTGATATTTCAGACATGTCGGATCCAGAGTTAGATGCAATCAGACAACAGAGGCGTGCACAGCTACAATCGCAATACGCGGTACCCAAGATGATTCAACTAGAGGTTCCATGATCTAAAAATATTATTTTTTTAGGGAACCGGTGATGCTGAAGCCGAGAAATTGAAAGAAGAACAGCTCAAAGCTAGAGAAGATGCGAAAAATTCAATTTTATCACAAATATTGGACCAGGCGGCCCGTGCTAGGTGTGAGTGATTTTTTGTTGACAAAGTTAGCCACACAATTCAAACCTTTATTTTCTGAATAAAGTCACAACAAATATATAAACTTCTAATTTTTATTTGCAATACTTCTAAATTTGATGATCAGACTTTACTAAATTTACATTTTTCTATACAAACCTTCACATAAGTAATGTTCTGTTTGATGCTCCCTTTCACATTGTTCAAGTGATTTAAGTAAAAAGGAGCAGAGAGATAGAAAAATCAAGGATGTCGAATTAAAAATAATTTTGATACCATTTTGTTGTGTCCACAATCTATTCTGCCAATGTTAAATGATAATCACAATGTTTCATGAGCTTATATGGTTTAATTATATTGCATAAAACACATTCTACCTAAATATAGCCAACCATAATTATGTCATATTCTCTAGTCCACAATGGGATCAGAAAGATACTAATACCATCTATGGGACAGAAGCAGTACAAATCTAAAAAAAAAGTATATTATTTGACGCTGGGATCTTCAATCTATTTAAATTGAGTATCTTCAGGCTTTTTGAACATTTAAATACAATAAATATAAATACAAATTGCTATCTTCAGGGGGTAGATTATGTTTCCCATAATTATTCAAAACTATTGTGAGAATTGAATTTTTATAATCACAGCACAAAACCTCAACAAATATTGATATATTTCTTAATATTTTTTGAATTTATTAGCTGTTTATTAAAATAGTACATTTAAAAAATGAAAATTTATTTAAACATTATTTGTTCCAGTAAATACTTTGATGCTGGGTAAGCCAGAAAAAGGAAAAATGGTGGAAAACTTACTGCTACAGATGGCACAGACAGGGCAGATCTGTTCTAGGGTTACTGAAGATGAGTTGATAAAATTACTAGAAAATGTTAGTAGCCGGACACAAAGTAAAACATCTGTCAAATTTGACAGAAGGAGAGCTGCATTGGATTCTGATGATGAAGATTTATAATTTTTGAAATTATTTGTAATTTCTGATTAATCTATTTCATAATTCATGCAGTTTAAAATGAGTAATTGCTAAAAACTAATACTTTATATTTCATAATTATAACTAATTTATACAATAAAATCAATTAACAGATCCCTTATTGTTAAAATATGACTAGTTATCCCTCAGTCCTTTTTATCATGATCATCTGCAAAATAAAATAAGTTTAGGGAAAAAAGATTATGATCAGTCTTTATCTTACCTTCATCATCATCATCTTCTTCTTCTTCCTGCTCTCCAGCATCAAAATCTACACAACAAATTGTGTAGATGACAAAACTTAGTACAGTCATGGGCAGTCCAAATAGAACCATACCCAAAATTGGATTTGTACTCCATATCTCTGAGAATGCTACATATGCATCAAAAATTCCCCTACGGATTCTTGTGAAGAAACTATTACCGCCATAAGACTAAAAGACAAGATATTGAATATTTGGTGTGTATATTTTCTTGTAAACTCACTGGTATGGAATGACTGAGGATTTTCTCCAAAAAAGCATCTATTTTTCTGGAGTCTATATCAGAAATATCTTCCTCTGGAACATAGTATTCATAGGTAGATGAATTTAAGACCATGATATATGGCAGTGGAAGAGTTTGCATGGCAATACTGTTAGCCAAATCTGGACTACCTATCCAACCAAACTGGTAATACTTATGATACTTATTTCTGAACTCTTTAGCAAAATCTTCCAACAAATTTTTGATACCCTCCATTTCACTTCCTATGTTTTGGAGTTGTTTCTCATCTACTATAGCTAGCACAATGCTTTTTATGTGCATTATTTCATTGATGTTTCCTATAGTTACTTTTGTGAATGTTGGGTAACGTTCCTCATTTACCCATTTGAATAAGGAAGCATTAACCTGTTTTTTCTTTTCTAAATTTTCCCCTAAAAAGATGAATATATATGATTCATTGCACAAGTACCATCCATTACCAGAATCAACCACTGCTAGAATGAATAGCAGCTGATTGTTTTAACCATAAAGGTATTTTACATCTGACCAAAGATGGCCAACAAGGTACAGCTGTTTCATGCTTTTTGGCAATTATTAGCATGGACTAGTCTGGGTCCCTAGGTAGGACCTCTATTGGATGTATAACGTATTATAATGTATTGAGGAAGCTACTACCATTTGTGGTTGGATGGACAAATGCACTATTATTAATATGTTACCCAATCCTAAAAGTTAGATTTATTTACTTACCAGAGAAAAAGAGGGGTTTACTATCTTTATATACTAAAATGGAAGGTACATCTGACACATTAATATGTGACTTTACCAAATTTTCATTTACAGAATAAAAGTATCCATGTGGCTGCATTTTCTTAGCAACTTCTTTGTAAGAGTTCCACAAGGGCCCTTTTTGATCACCAATATACATAAAAAATAGTTTGTTCACAGCTAAAAATTTTGGTAAAATTTCTGGATCTACTATTTCTTGTATGGCTGGTCCAGCCATTCTTACAGCAAAGTTTATTATCTCATCTTTGCTCCTATCTCCAGTAAAAGTAAAGGCTGCATTTGATGTTATGCTATGAATAAAAAAAGGTTTCAAAAACATATCTAAAACACTATCAAAATTTACTAACAATTTGATTGTTGGATACCCCCGGATGCCAAATTCATTGGCAACAGAAGAGAATCGACTACAGTCGATTTTTCGTACGTAAATATTGGATTTTGATAATGCTTCTCCTACTTCATTCCATACTGGTTCCAGTCTTTTACAATGTCCACACCAAGGAGCATAGAATTTCACCAACCAGAATCCACCGTTTTTTCTAATTTCAGGAAAATTTTGATATAGATCTAACACCTCGTAGGAGTGTGTTCTCATACATAATCCTACAAAAAGTATTTTAAGAGCAAGCATATATAAAATATTTTGTTGTTACCTAGAAAAAGGAAAGGCAAGCTCCAAATCATGTTTCTAACTTTTAATAATTCAGTTTATGTCCACATATTTAGTAGATCGATATTTATTCTAAATTCTTCCAGATTATCTGGAAGAACATTGTTTACATTTTACCCAATTTTCCTGATAAACTGACAGAATCCTAAACTTGCTGTTTAGAGCATGAAACCCAAAAGTATAGAACAGGAAACTGTAATGCCACATTTCCGAACTTCGCATTTTGTACGAATGCGTCAGATAAATATAGATGCTAATTACAAGATTCGTCAGTCGTTTATCCTAAATATCGTAAGGAGCAATCATAATATTTAACTTTTATGTCCACCATGAAACTCTATGCCTCACCTGTAATGTTACTTCCCTAACAGTGCATCTCATTCATCAGTTGATCGTCGGTAATGAAGTGCGACAAGCCAGTACCTGGCAACGCCGAAATAACCGGGCTTTTGACGTTTAACTTTTCCGACCAATCAAGTTTCTTGTTCCCTTGCTCGGTTGATTACGTGACTGCCTGTCAAGTCGACTTTTCCAATCATCTGCCACAGAGATCTGCCATGAGAAAACTGTCAAGAGAGCTGGGTGCTTTTTGCTGAGTATTTTACTATTTTTTTAGCTTGAAAAATACATTTCCAAGATTTCCGCTTTACCTAATCCCGCTATAATTTCGCGAGTGTTTGTGAACTGCGTTACAATTGTGCTAGTTAAAATGTGACAGAAGTCATTTTTAAAAATACATTGACGATCGATACCATACTTTAATATAACAATTTGTGACGCTGAATTATGGAAAAAGCACTGAAATGGAGTGGTATTTGCTTTAATTTATTTTGTATCCAGTTATGTAACGGCAAACCGATATATTCAGAAGACACATTCACAGGTGAGTCATAACATGATTTCCTCTATACAACAATCACTTTTTCATGGACATAGTACATACAATGCAGGTCTGTTGATGGGAATAAACGTTATATCAAAGCACAGTTATGTTGTACTTTTGGAATTGTGATTGAGAATCATATCTGGAACAACTATAAATGTATAGTTGCAACATCTCATCTGAAAATATATGTCAAAAATTATGCATCTGTATCCAATTCTTTGATATGTAGAGCTTTTGGGCTTTTAAATAATAGGATTCTGATTAAGATGCAAAAAGCTATATCTTTATATGCTGAATAATTTGTATAAATGAAACATGAATATGTAATATTTACTTATCAATATTTTTATCACTGCTACTTCCTGAAGTTATCTGTATGTAATATTGCATTTCATGTATTATAATCCATGATTTTAAACCACTGAGTTTCACAGAATGTGAATTAATAAGATTTTTCAGTGCTACCCTGATTACCCTCCTTTTATGATAGGATTAAGCACATTTTGAGAGAGAAACTAAATTTATTTTAGGTTAATCCTCAATTATTATTGATTTCATATGCATCTAATGCAATGTCATCATTATCCAGTTCTAAATATATTTATCAGGCACAGATCCAGAATTTCATCTAAGGCAAATAAGCTTTGCTTTCAGTCTGTGATTTTTTTTGAATGTCCTCAGAGACATTCAGGTCATTTTAAGTCAGTACATCTAAAGAGAATATAGATAATCTGTAGATAGTTAAACATTTTTCACTACAACAGAATTTTATCTAAACCAGTCAAACACATATTTGCTAAATATGTGAGCTTCTTCAACCAAAACTGTATTTTAATCTTTCACTGAAGATGCTAACATGATAACCAAACCACATGTTTGATCTTCAATAAACCAGTTTGGCAGTTTGGACAAACTGTTTCTCTGCATGATCATCACAATATCATTAATATGATAATATCACTATGCCACATTCAGAGAGATAGCTGTTATTTTTTTTTTGGTGGAAACCATGCTTAGAACTTAAAAATTCAAGAAAACAAATATTCTCATAATCATAAATTTCAATTGTTTTTTATTTTAAGTCAGTCATAGTGACATGCCACTGTCTTTCTGTATTGAAAACTACTTCCCTGTACCTCCAAAGTTGAGAGATTCAGGACATATACCTTATTTTACAAATATCCATCACATTGTGATGTCTACTGAGGTGAACAGCTGATCAGCAAGTGACATTTTTGTGTTGGTGTGCAATGTTGACAATAATTAAATCGAGTGTAAATCTAGTAAAACTTGTTTGTAGTATTTTGTTTTTTGTATGCAAATGAACTTTTCTAAATAAAACGCGGCCAGTTAGCAGGTACAAAATAAACCTGTAGCCTACAAAAAACTAATACAAAATATGGATCTGTCTGTCTATCTGGCATTGACGGATCCATCAGAATTATGTGTCCTTTGCCAATATGGGGAAATTTGAAATAGATATTCAGCTGTCATTCTACCATAATGGATACTTGTGAAAAAGGCTATACAAAGACACATGTGGATAAAGGTGTCATGTAGGATTTTTTTAAAAATGATTTTTTTTTGCATTAAACTAAGCTCAAGGAGTGATTCATTCATTCTGTGATTACTTTGTTGCAAAAACAAGATAATAACAAACTAATTAAACTAAATATTTAAACTTTCAATAAAGTCCCAATAAAACATGTTTGAAGTCAGTTTTCTCTTTACAATGATTTTTTTTACAAGACACCTATATCCACTTGTGTTTTCATATGTTTGTATGATGTTTACTCTGATTTGGGCCTCTGGCATGACATTGCAATGAAGGTGTTGGAGGCAGCTTTCTTATTTGTTTGTGAATAGCTTTAGGATGATAATATGATGACTTCTTTTGCTTTACAGGAGTAAATGATCCAAGCCAGTTGGTAACAGCATTGGTAGTTCTGTTAACTATTTGCAGTTTAGCATTTATAGGAGGTTGCTTATGCTGCCAAAAGAGAAATGCCCCCAAGGTAAATATTCACTTCATATACATTCAAAGAGTAATATAAACATGCTTAACATTGCTGATATCTAACTTGCCCACTATCTCATAAGCATCTGTGTTGCGTCCATATAAAATTACAAAACTTTAATTTGAGAAATACATTTATTGTTTCCATTTTTTGCACATTTGTAATACCTCTCAAGGATCAAATACATCACAGACCCTCAATATCTCACAGGGTCACACAAGGCCTTGTAAGGTCCCAATAACGTTGTAACACCTCACAAGGTCTAAAGACGTACTTTTTAATGTCTCAAGACTTCATGGGGTTTCAATACCTCACATTGTCCCAAAACTTCATAAGATCTCATTACCTTGCAGTGTTGCAAGACCTCTTTGGGCTTCAGTACATCATGAAGTCTCAGTACTTCATAAAGGCCCCAATGCCTCATGGGATCCGAATAACCCCACAAGATGCAAGACCTAATGGGGTACCAATACCTCACAGGGTCCTAATACCTCACAAAGACTGATAGGGTCCCAATACCTCACATAATCCTAATAAAACCCTCATGCACATGCAAGGCTTCATAATGGTACCAATCCCCCACAGGATGTTAATATCCCTACAAGATGCGCGACTTTATGACGGTACCAATCCATCATAGGATCTTAATACCTCAGTGGATCCCAATACCTCACAGAGTCTTAATACCTTACATGGTCCCAAGTTCTAATGGGGTTTCAATATGTCATGGGGTTCCAATAACTATCCTGATGATACCCATTGCGATTCCAATATTCCCACAAGATGCAATGCTTCATGAGGGTACAAATCTCTCACAGGATTTTAATACCTCACAGAGCCTCACAAGGCCCAATATCTCACAGGGTCTCAAGATCCCAAGGAGTTTTAATACTTCATGAGATTCCAATAACAAATAAGTGCCCATGCGATCCCAATATCCCCACAAGATGCAAGATTTCATGATGGTACCAATTCATCACAGAATCTTAATACCCACAAGACCTCACAGGCTCCCAATACTTCACAGAATCTCAAGGTCTTAAGAGGTTTTAATGTGTCATGCGGTCCCAATAACTCATAAATGCATACAGTTCCAATACATTATGGGGCAACAGCTATTAGCTTACTAGTCAGCCTCAAAAAACCTGTCACAAATAATGCAAACTAATAGACACTCTGTCCCTTCCTTTTACAAGCTCCCTCGTATATTAACGTTTGCATGCATCGCGATCACTTAATAATAGTTGTTAAAACAAATAAAAAACGTGATAGCTGCCCTACATACATAACCCATCATTTTTTCATGCTTTCTGCATTACACTCGTACGTATATTCTATTAATGTAATGTTTCTTTGAAATGCCACCTGAAGCAGGAACCAGACGAGGTAATTTAAATTTGAATTGCTAATAATCAAATGCTTTGTAATTACACACTTCTTGGCTGTAGTTAACGACGTCATTTTGCGGCGTATTTTTTGAGTCCTTAGCTTTACAGATATTAGTATACAAGGTCTGTAAATTAAGTGATGATACTGATTTTCTTTAAATTTCTTTAATCAAATATAATTACAATTTTATCTTGTCATCCTCAAAATAACTTCCTTCTGAAGCCACACAGCGCTGGAGACAGTTCTTCCACTCCTCATAGCAGTGCTGGAACTCCGATATTGGAATAGCCTTTAGCTGGTCAGTTACAACCTTTTGAATATTTTCGACTGTCCCAAAATGAGTAATGCTAATCCGAAAAAAGGTGAAATTGACTTATTTATTATGCGAATCAAAAGACGAAGTTTGAGCGATTTTATTTTTTTTGCCCAAATCTCCACCGGCACTGGATCAGTTTTAAAGAGCTACAAAGCTTTTTCGTCTTTGGTATAGAAATATTGCGTCAAACACCGATCAAAATTTGAGCAGTAACTTCCGAGTTATAGAGGGCGTCAAGGATTAACGGACATACTGATGGAAATCAGTAATATGTTTTTATCTGCGTTAGATTCACACAGAATCTCACATAAGCTCCGCACTTCAGTTCGCTCAATTTATTGCACGTTGGTTTTAACAAATATTAGTTTGAATGTAATGAAATTTCTTTCACAAGTGAGTCAGAAATAAGATTTGAAAGCTTCATGCTTCACTCTAATATCCTTTGGTCCGAATTGAACGATATGAACCTGAACAATGTAGTTGCAGTACTACGTGTCATAATAGACATTTTTGTGTAGGCCATAGGCGCCCATTAGGAAGGACATATGCCCCCCCCCTCCCTCCTGCTTGAGGCGTACAATATACTTGACACCCATTTCTTGGGCAACAAGTGGCGGGTGTGGTTTTACTTCCCATGCCTACTGGCGGGGAAGTATTGTAATCGAGAAAAATTTCGAAAATGAGATACGTTTTTTCGATTTTATATGACATGTACTTCACGAAAAACCATGTCACTAATTTTCGTAGGTCTGTGTCTGTTTGTATGTCTGTCCGCTAATCTTATAACCGCCTATAGCTGGAGAAGTACCGCTCGAATTTCGAAGAATTTTACACAATGTTACTTACTCCTATGCCAATGACGCATTGTTTAGTTTTTGATAATTGGTCCAGTCGCTGCGGAGGAAAAAGGCCAAAAACAAAAAAAAAAAAACAAACACTAACCACTCAAACTTTGTTTTTTCGGATTAAAAATTGGGGGTTAAGGGTTGCAGAGGTAGTGGAGGGTATATCTCAATTTTTCGATGGTATATGTATACGACTCCAACCCCAGTAATTCTAGGCGTATTTCTTTCATCATTGTTGTCCCCTGTACCTTTAAAACCAAATATCTCCTACAGCCGGGTGTCGATACGTGCGACGTCGCCCCCGATGGACAAGCGTCGTCGGTGGTCATACGTCACAATCGACAATTGCTTACACACTACTGAAGGCCAATATCGTCTCACGTGGAATTGGTCGCCGCAATGATTATGTCCGCCTGTAGCAATTCCTCTCAGGGGGAGGTCGAAGGTCATTTAATTCTTTGTTATACATGTCCGTGGCTAACTTTTTTCCCACTTGTGCCAAACATAATCCTTTACGAATTGATGACAGCGTAGCCTGAGAAGTACAGAATCAACTTGATGCCTTACTCCTCAAAAAATACCTACATAGAAATTATTTTTTCTCCCATCACCATCGCTTTAAACAGCAAATCTGCTCAAAACTGTGACTAAGCCTACCTGCTCCTCCTAAGTTTTGTCATATGGGGCACATTATGAACGCATTGGGAATAAGAATATATCTCGCAGGGATGACATTAATTTTGGCCAAGTTTCTAATTATGAGGATTTGGGAAAATAATATGTTCAGTCATCGTACCAGCGTTCAATTCATAATAATTGTTACTAACAAGAATGCATCTCTGATTAACAAACCGAAACATATTACACGGAATCAATTATGAACGAACACGCTAATTGCGTGACAGTTAGCAGTATCGCTATATTGAATATCATTTAAATATATTTCAAATCCATTCATTTCAAGGTCATATATCATCACCAATTTCATTATATGGCAATAACTGTACATTTAAGGACTCAAAACAGTAGTTATGCAAAAATAGGCGAAGAGCTTGCGGCAGCCATATCTGAAAATGTAAATTTTCGTTGATATGGTGTGTTACCATTTATTAGGGATGTACCGAGTACTCGATGCAGGCTCCGGGTTATTTCAGCTACTGCTGGTGATATTATTTGCGTCTATGAAAAGTACATATCTTCTCAAAATTGATTTAATTTTCCGAAAAAAACCTTAAAAATATGTAGCCTAGATATTTTTTTTAAGAGAGGCGCATTTCAACTACAATATTGAGTTGAAATTGAAACAAAAAAAAAATACAAATGTTCAACTAAATATTGATGGTGAAGTTATTGTATTCATAGAAGTTTTGGTTAACTCAATTAAATTTTGAGTTGATTAGTAGTGAAGTGGGATATTTATCAAAAGTTTCTGGATGACGGATTGACGGACAGTCATTTTACGTAGTGACAGCAAGACACCTTTATTGATTCGTGAATGTATTTATTAAATTGTTGTCTAGATTCAGGTAAGCATCTTTTTTCAGTGTCGACTCATCAGACTATAAATTTTTTTCTTAAAATCGCTGATCTCTCCGGTGTTTCTTTAACATTGTTTAACAAAACTCGACTCTTGGAAGATAATCCCGGTGTTGTAGAGATTGTACCCTCTATAAGTGGTACGGGTGGCTCTCGTTCTTTTAGTTGACGTACTGAGGTACTAGGGTCTTCTTCGACTGCTTGTAGTACGATATCCTGGTAAGAAAAGGAAATTATTCCTTCACCAAGTGCTTGATTTTGGAATTGTCCCTCTGAGAGTAAACGGTGCACATTCACTCGGTGATCGGGATGACGAGCCGCATTTCTATATCTGACGATAAAGCCTAGCTGCAGCACTAACATTGCAACTACAGTCCCCATAAATGAGGTGTATGTTGGTGTTTTCCTGTACGGTGTACACAGTAATGCTGGCACTACACAAGTGGGGTTACTATCTGTCTTGCTGCCATTACATAGAATGACTGCCGATCATCACAGGCTGTAGACTTTTCCTACTTATTTGAAACCTATAATTTAAAAAGTATACGGCTTAGATTTTTTTATATTTTTCTGATAACTAATATGGCCTGGCATATCCCCCGTTTCCGGCTTGACGTCGACTTCTGGGACACTCTGTATATAACAACATTATTAATCCCAAGAAGTTTTTACAAGTTTATAGAGGCACAATTAAAAATACAAATAACACTCATGAACAAAATAGTACAATTGAACATTTACATCAACATTAGGACCATACCAGTTTTAATTCATTAGAAATGTTGAGAGTTTTTATTTGTTTTAAATACTCAGGGAGTCTATCATATAGTTGAATTCCGCTGCAGCAGATGCTTTTTCCATCTATTCGAGAACGTTTTGTAAAATTTTTATTATCTCGGGTTCTGTACAAATGAACAGATCCAAGTTTTTTTGAAAGTGACAGTTAAATGATTTATTTCCAACAAGGTGTATAAACATACATGCTTTGTAAAGATAAATAGAATCAGTGTTTAATATTATTTTGATCTATATAATGTGTCAGTTTGTGGCGTACATGGTAAATGGTAAATGCACTTAAACCTTATTCCACGAGTATCCATCTCGCTTTGCGGTGAACAGCTGATCACCAAAAGCGACATCTCTCTGTTAATTTGTAACATTGGCAATAATGAATTTCGGGACCGTATTCAGAGCTGTTGTTCATATATCAGGATTATATTTTTAAGTGGGTGGGAAATGTGACAATAAAATGTACAAGTACAGATATGGAAAAGTTTATTAGGAAATTTGTAAAGTACATCTGGGATTTATTGATTACATGTTATGTCAATAGAGCAGGTTGCATAGTCCTTTCCAGAAGCTGTAAATTTACCTGTAAAAATAATATAGACACGTATTTCTGGTTTATTCTCCGCCATCAGTAACATAATTCATCAAAAGCACATAACTAATCACATCAAAACTAATACATTCACCCAAAATTACGAAAATACCCACCACCATGCCATATTGTGATACATCAAATACATAATACCACTCAAACAGCAAAACAAAAATAAAATCTACTTCCTGGAATTCCTCGATATGTAATGATGGCATAGCATCAACTTGCTGACTTGTATATCCTTAAGAATATCTTGAAATCTCTTTGAAAAAATCATTAACTACGTTTGCGTTTCCTTTGGATTTTTGCAGAGTTCTCAATAGTTGGCCCATGCATGTATTTACGAACACTGCATTGTCCCAGTTGTGTACATTTCATGACTTCCTGCAATAGTTACTTACGTTTTCTATTTTATTAATTGTTAGAATTACCTGAATAATGTTCAGATCTAATTGAGGGAATCGAACCTCTATCAACTCGGTCATATACTGCCCTTCAAGATCATAATTATGGTGTTTCAAGTTCTAAAAAGTAGATATAATTAATATAGTCAAAAACCGTTTAGCTTATTTTATTTCTACCTGACTTGAAATGTAGTCATGGTTATTAGCAGCCACTGTGCTTGTAGCGTTTCTTTCGTATGCAAAGAAACTTTTTTTAATAAAAGAGTTGTTAGCAAGTACAAAATGAATCTCTAGCGTATAAAGAACTACAACAAAATACGGGTCTGTCTACCTGGAGTACACCGATCCCTCGAAATTAATTGTGTCCTGTTCCGATATGGGGAATTTTGAAATATTACTAGACAACTAGCTGTCATTGTTCCGTGATGGATACTCGTAAAATAGAGTGTAATTTATTTTACATTTTTTTCAATGGGTTAAGTGTATGTAAGATACTGCAAATGCGGATACCTCCAGCTAAAATATATGAGTCTAAGATAGGTCTCTAATTTTGTATAGGATGCCCAAAATCGATATCTTGATGAAACCCAAGTAAGACGTTTATTTCAAGAATTAGTGTAGACAAATTACTTGAGGGAACAAGATGACACTTTTCATATGAACAAATGAATTCTCAATTCGCTGATTGGTGTGCCTTGCCATGTCTGTATCAGGCGTTTAATTTTTTACAATGCCTACGTATTAAGGGAATGTGAAAAAATATTGATAAGCTATCTAACGAAAAAGCCCACCTATTATATAGATAATAAATGTCGTTCATATTTCAGCGATTCCGAGATACCCCTGTGGTTGCATCGGGAGCCCCAGATTTCGACCATGGACACGTCAATCCCATCGCCAATGGAGAATTCACCATTTTTACACCGTTATCTCCCCACTTGAATAACAACATCTTTCTTGCCAGCGAACCAGCTGTAAGTATTCATTTAAGAAACTCGAAAAAAGAATATATCATGGCAAATGTTTTGGTTTGGTATACATCAACGATATTCAAAAATGGATGCAAGTAGATTGAAAAGTACAATATATTTCCAAATTATCATATTAACTAATGAAATTATTTGTAATTTGGGCAATCATATTTATACTGTACTAGTTGTTGGATTTTTCTAAAGCATTTGATATGGTTAATTATGACCTACCCAAACTAAAATACTACGAAATTTCTGATTTTCCTCTTTGTTTTTTAAATCTTATTTAGACAATCGCAACCAACGGGTAAAAACAAGTTAAGGACTTTATGGTAGTGCTGATGTTGCTTCTGGTGTTCCACAGTGATCCGCACTTGGTCCCTTATTATACCTAATCTATACTTACGACTTGCATGCTGTTTTAGAACTCCGTTTGTTGTATACAGACTTATATTATATAAAATTAATTTAGACCTGTCGAAGATAAGTAAATATTGCAAGGTCAATTGTTCGAGGTTTAATCCCACCAAGAGTTTTGCAATGTTATTCTGCCCTAAAACTAATTATGAACGTTTTGAAACGACGATTGATTTCACTTCATCACCAAGTCATTAATATATTGAAAGCTACATGTGCAAGCTTGAGGCTTCTATGTTCCAATCTTTCTATCCTCAATTCCAAGACTCGAAAGAAATTAGTTGAGAGTTTGGTTATGTCTAAACCACTTCAATTTTTCATCCTATTTCATCCTTGTCTTGACTTCCTAACAAAAACCAGATTTCAGAGAATTCAGAACTGTTGCTGTCATTTTATCGTCGGTCTTCGTAGGTACAGTCGTGTTACATCTAAGATTTTTGAGTTGGGATGGCTTAAGCTCACAGACCTTTTTGATTTTTAATGTTTTTATACATAAAATAATCATCACGAAGACCAGTTCGATATTCCTCTTCACCATACTCCATTGTACCAAAGACATTTTACGTACAATGCTGTCATACACACACTCAGTAGGACTGACAAACAAAAAAGTTTACCTGCCTTTAAAAACCGGTTAGAAAACAGCTGTTATAGTTGCAAACATTTCTCATTGATTGAGTTATTGTTTTGTTTTTCTTTAATTCTTACTCATTCATTTATGTATCTATTATTACACTTTTTTTCTGGCTTGCTATGCTTGTAAATAGTATAATTTCATAACGGTTCTGTAATTGTTTTATGGTGCGTGTGTAAACGTTTTGCCGTTTTGTCCATATTGTAGTAAAGTGGAAAAGTAGCCATCAAGCTAAACTTCGCCATGATGTAGAAGACTAAAGAGTAAAGTCAATTTATTATTTTTGCCTCATTATTTCTGTCACAGATTAAATCTATACAAAACTGTTTGCCCCCTTAACATTTTTTTGACTGTGCCCCAAAGTGACAGTTGCAAAACGTTGAAAAATCAGCTTTCATATTTTCAGATTTTGACTCCTAAGTATTTTTTTGGTTACACCTAAAAATCATCAGAAACTCCACTGCTACTTAAACAATCTTCAAAACTTTTTTCATTCTTTGTTTGGTGGTTTCGTCAAAGCCCGATCAGTACTTTCCGAGTTTTACGAGGACCAATGAACACTGACAGACAGACCGATGGAAATTAGTGGCGTAAGAAATAAAACATGCCAAATTTATACTTTTGTGTTTTTATTTTTTTGTAATTTGATTTTTCTTTACAGTCCAGAACATTCGAGAACTATAATAATGATGGGATTGATCTAAACCCTTGGTTCAGTAAGTTGAAAATTGCTATAAAGTCTTCATCATTGAGCTGGTTGATATTTCTAGAAAAATATTCGGAGCAAAATACGATTCTAGTTCCAGACATAAGAGTTTTTGTGATTGATATTATTTTCATTTTAGGTGAACATGAGAAAGATTTCCCGAGGATAAAATTAAAATACATAAAAGAATTGGGACGTGGTTGGTTTGGAAAGGTAAATAAAAGAATCGTTTAAAGCTAAGATTTTCTAAATTCAGGCTTTGTTAGGTTGTCCAAGGTGCGGCCCAAGACATAGGAGAAAACGGGCAAATATGGACGCCGGTCGTCGTCAGAATTCTGGATGCAACTTCTAGTCAGAAAGAAAAAGTTCTATTTTTGCAAGACGCTTCTATTTACAAATGTGGGGAACATCCGAATATTTTAAAACAGATAGGAAAATGTTTGGATACCGTGCCATTTCTACTGCTACAAGAATATTGTCCTCAGGTAATTTTGACTTGTGAACATGGAAGACATTTTGAACTCTATTTTTTTTTTCATAATCGTGTTATATGCCCCTTATCATGAACCAACAGGTTGCCGCGCGGTAATCAGGAGCAAATTTGCTTTTCCAATTTTTCTAAAGAAATTAAAAATTTAGAGAGTGCTTCCTAAGGGCCTCCAAAAATACTTTATTTGGAGCGAAGAAAAAAACATTTTTTTCTAATATGCACGTATTCTTCATTCATGTTAAGTAGCATCCAATGTACATGATTAATGAAAATATGAGGTTTTCGCCTCATCATCATGGGTCATGAGTAACTTAAAATCTCTATCTAGGCAAAATATTTTGCGCTCAAGCTTAGTAGGAATTTTTTTTTATTTCGGTTTTTAAATATAGTAATAATATTAATCGTCTTTATTCAAACTATATAATTCAGTACAGAAAAAAGGGTTGGGAATGGTGGCGAAGTTTGGCGACACGCTATTCTTACACTTAACCACCCATGTAAAAAAACAAAAGTTGTATATGTTGCGCGAGAGTTTACTATATACACAAAGGAAGAAAAGAAAAAATAAACAACAAAGACAAGAGCAACATGTTTAAACTATAGATCCAAACTAATTTGAGATTTAACAGCTCTCTTGAAGCAATTTAGGGACATGTTTTAAAATTCAGAACTCAAAGCATTGTATAAAACTGCAGCACTGTACGTGAAAGAATGCTGAAATAAAGCTGTAGAGTGAATAGGATCAATCATATTTGGAAATTTAATGTCTTAACGTATATTATACCTAAAGATCAGCTTTTCTCTAAAGTACATCAGTATTAGTTTATGAATGAATACAAGATAATGGCATTTGACAATATTTTTTGCTTTCATCCATTCTAATTTTATGACTCGTCTAAGCGCCTTAATCCGTAGATGAACCTAGCACAATTATTTTGCACTGTTGATTGAAAAAATAAATATGTTTCAGGGAGACTTGAAAGCCTACCTAAGAGCAAATAAGGCCAATGCAGGAAAGCTTTTAGCTGGTGAATATCCCTTATTGTGGTGTTGCCAGTTGACATCAGCATTGAAGTTTTTGCACGAGAATAAAATATGCCATCCGTGAGTATAACCTACGCATATAATAAAAAAATATGCCGAAAATCATTTTTCTATAATCGTTCGAAAAAGAAAATTAGTCACCTGGGCAGGGCCAGCCTGTCAACATTTTTTAATTTTGTTACCTTCTTTTATATTCGAATACAGAAGTTGATTCAAAAAACAATAACAATGTTTCTAGGGCAGAAAGTACATCTAAAAATATGTCCAAGAATGGAGAATAGAGAATAGTGCTGTCGTTACGATTCAGTTCATGCCTGATAGCCGACCATGGAGGAACTTTTGATTGAAAGTTGTGCAGTTCTTTGTTCGGTTTTTAGAGCTATGTCAGCGAAAAGGTTGAGGGAGTTACTTGAATAGTTGAAAAATCGAAATGCCTCGCTCCCGACTGCCGGGTCCAGGCAAGAAAATCAAACGGGTTTGATAATGAGCATGAGCGGTCGCTGCTCCTCAAATCATTTTCGGAAGAAAACATGAGGAAGTCTCGCTGTCGTCCGTCAGTCTCGTCTATAAAGACGAAATTAACTTTGTGATGAAACGTTCAGCTCTACCTTACATTATACGCAGACGATGCATCAATTATTATATCAGATAAAGCACAAGAAATTTTAAGGATCATCAGCAACATAACTAGTTCAACGACAACCAGCTCCATCTGAACCGTGAAAAAACGTCAATTCTAAGGTTTCACACTCGTCAAAGGTCGTTAACACCGGTGAACTTAACTTTAAATAACAATAATCTTAATACTAACGAGGAAACGAAGTTTTTGAGGTTTTGCTTGGATGATTGTGTTAGCTTCCAAATGCATTGTGAACACGTAAGCAGCAAGCTAAATTCACTGTCATTTATGTCTAAGAACATCAGATCAGTTCTTAATGAGAACCAGGTATTGATGTTGTATTGTGCACAAATTGGCTCTTCAGCTAATGCTCAAAAAGTATTTTTGAGCCAAAAGAGGGTCTTCTATGTATGGTGGGAGTTGTCAGTACACTTAGCTGTAAAGGGTTATTCAAAAAATTGAAAGCTCTTACATTACCTGAACTATTTTTTTACGAAATAGCAATCTACACTTTTCTCGTCAAAGAAATCTTTAATTCAAATAAAGACGTACATGGTATCAGTACACAATAGCAAACCAATATACATGTTCCTCTTATGAAATACAAAGTTGCCTACAGGCCTCCTAAAATTCTGGGCCCAATAATCCTTGATAAATTACGGGATGATCTTAAAAGGATAAAAAGCTTAAAAGTCTTTAAAAAGAAGTTGAAAGGCTATTTTGTTGATAATGCTTTGTATTCTGTCGATGATTTTATATTTATATAAATGCTTGTTTTTTAATCTTGTTAGTTTTTAAATCTGTTAATGTAATTTTTGTTTTTGTTCATATTTTGTATATATTTGTGTTTATATTCTTCAGAATGAATAACGAATCCTATACATAATTTTTAATGTCGAATGGATAGTAAAATAAATGATATGAAGTACCCAGGAACGTATGATTTTGCCGAAAATAAATGCAGTCACAAACTCATTTGATAAATGTCTACAGCTATCAGAGTTTGATGACATTCCCCAGAATTATATTTTTTTGTACAAGACTAGGGATGCAGACAATATAATTTTTTCGATTTCAAAATTATAACTACAAGAACTTCTATGTTTATAACCCGCGTTTATATGAACTTTTCGTATTAGTTTTTATCTATTTCATGTCCTAAGAAAGACGTCACTGTTTTCTGTATTATTAATTCCTCTATTTTATTTTCCAGCGACTTGGCTGCCCGCAACTGCCAGCTTACCTCCTCGCTTACGCTGAAACTGGGCGACTACGGCCTGGCGGTGTTCCGCTACCCCAGCGACTACTACCAGTCCTCCCCTGGGCTGCCTCTGCGCTGGTGCGCCCCCGAGTCCCTCAACTGCACCCAAACGACCATCCAGCCCAAATCGGCTACGCCCGAGAGCAACGTGTGGGCATTGGGTGTCACTATGTGGGAGGTCTACGAGTGCGGTGAGCAGCCCTACGTCGGATTGAATGACGATGAGGTCATTGCGCAGGTTTTGGGGCCGACGGCGATGAGGTTGGACAGGCCGAAGTGCAACGTTTTGTATACTGATTATATGTAAGTATTGTAGAGAAAATCGTTTTTTTGTGATTGGATTCCGTGGTTCTACTCCTACCCCGGATTCAATTCATTCAAGATTCCAGTCTCGTAATCGATTAGTACAATTTGTTCACGATTCCGATCACGGAATCGATTGCTATGATTTGTTTCCGATTCCGGCCTCGGAATCTATTCCTCCGATTTGTTCATGACTCTGGTCTCGGAATTGATTCCTTCGATTGGTTTACGATTCCGCTCTCGGAATATATTCTTTCGCAATTTCGGTCTTGTAATGGATTCGTATGATTTGTAGCCGGTCTTGAAGTCGATTCTTACGATTCCAATTCGGGTCTCGGAATCGAATCCTTCGATTCGTTCGTGATTCTGAATCTGTCTTTAGAATCGATTCGTTCACGATTCCGAACCCGTAGTCGATTCCTACGATCGGCATGGATATCATGTAAAAAACCTATAAAACGTAAAAAAAACCTATAAGATGTCATCTTGCAAGCTAGGTAGTTTTTAGGGCGCAAACAGTCATTCCACGTTTGCTCACTAGGATCATTGTGAACGTCCATCTCAGGAGGAATCACTCAACTAAACTAAACGCATTATTGGTTGCATATGTTTTGTGAAGCCAAATGGTGCATGTCTGTAGTTTTTATCTCTGAGAAGAAAGTTGGTTGAATAGCAAGATCGCATCTGGATGATTACGTGTATTGGTCTGCATGTGTATAAAATCAGTGATATTTGCTGGGTGAGAAAATCATTACTGAATATGCTGTGCCCGACGGGTTATTTTTATGTTGTGCTTTCTGAAGAGAGGTTATGTTCAACGTTATAAATTACGAAAAACTGAGGAGATTTACGGGAAATCATCACCTCGCCCGCGTTGTGAGTAGTTACTGTTAGCTTGTATATGGCTTGTAATTAGACAGTGTACAGTGAATAATTATTTCTTATCTCTCTCATTTTTTAAATTCAGCAAATTTGTATATGTAATTTCCAGAATGGATGAGAAAAAGTGGATGCGCAATTAATTTCTAGCTTTGCATCTCAATTAAGTGTATTGGAGACAAGAACCCAATGTAATTATCATCAACACATGCAACTTACAGCTTAGACCTCCAGTAATGCCATCTCAGAAGCAGATTTTACATCACATCAGAGCCAAAGATTGATAACAAGCCTATCATGACTTTTAGGCAACACGTACAACTAAGTGCTAAGTTAATATCGTGTAGAAAAAACTACATAATCTCAAAAAAAGCATGTAAAAAAAATCGGCATAATGTCACTTTTCAAGAACGTGATACCCCTGCGGTTCACGATCCCGATTCAGGCCTCGGAGTAGAATCATTGGATTCGTTCATGATTTCAATTCTGACTTTGGAATCGCTTCTTCCGCGTCGTTTACGATTCGCTCTTGGAATCGATTCATTCTATTCTTTCACGATTCCTGTCTAAATTCGGATGATTCGTTCACGATTCCGAACTCGGAATAGAATCCTTCGATTCATTCATGATTCTAATTCTGGCTTTGGTATCGATTCGTTTACGATTCCGGTCTTGGAGTCGATTCCTATGATTGGTTCACGATTCCGATTGTGGCCTCGGAATCGATTTCTACGATTCTTGTCTCGGAATTGATTTCCACGATTCGTTCACGATTCTGATTCGCGTTTCGGAATTGATTCCCACGCTTCGTTCACGATTTCGATTCAGGCCTCGGAATCAATTTCTGTCCTGGAATCAGTTCCTATGATTTGTTTCCGATTCCGGCCTCGGAGTCAATTCCTGTCCTTATTATTTTCGTTTGCCAATTCCTGTATCGGAATCAGTTTCGGTCCTGAAATTAATTCCTATGATTTGTTCAAGATTCCAATTCCGGTCTCAGAATCGATCCATATGTTTCGTTCAAGAGTCCAATTGAAATTAGATGTTTTCGGAGAATTTTTTCAAATTGGGGTATTAAACATAAAATTTTGAAATTGAAGAAAAAGTAAGGTGCAAACTCGGAAATACAAATTTCAAACAAAAATGTGGGTAACTTTGACCATTTTTGACTCCAAAGTATAGCTTAAAGTGAGTCAAAATACACTAGAAATTTTGAAATTAAATACGCAACAAAATGAACAATTTACCTTTCATCAACGGAAAATTCTTGAAAATTTTATTCGCGCTATATGTTCGAAAATCGTCAAACGGCAAACTATCTTAAAACGTTCCAAATCGTTATATCGGCTTCAAATGTCGCATGGCTTATATTACTAATAGATGGTAAAATTAAAATAAACAAACTTTTAAATACGTGTTTCGTGATACACAATCCTTGATAATAATTCGTTTATAATCTATATTTAGTTAAAGATAAATACTCTTATCTAATATTTGGAAACGTACGTTTGTATACTTTGATTAGGTAAGTCATTGCACTATACCTATTGTATGTTATCGAAAAGTAAATTCATCCCAAATCAACGATTTGAAATAGTCAAAAAAATACTCATTCATGTCGCAGTTCGCCGACAGTTGATTTTTCCATATTGCTTGAATTCTATGGCAAAGTTTTTTATTTATATGAAGGTACGTTGAATATACAAGTAATTTGAAATAATGTGCGAAATAGTTTCTTCAAACTTGCGCGAAAGACCAAAAACCTAAGGCATATCAGTAGAAAAGGCGAAATTACAAAATCACATAAAAGTGATATTGCTCATTCAACCAATTTTTTTGCAGTGAAAATTTGCAGGGTGTTACAGAATATTGTCAGGACTTCTTCCTACGACAATGGCGAGGGAGTATTGTAATTGCAAAACATTTTGAACATCAGATATGTTTTTTTGATGTTGATGATCTATGGCTTGGAAGGTACTGATTTTGAATAAATTTTCACCCAAGGACGAAAAAGCTTACAGCTGCTATTTCATAAATGAACAATGATTCGATAGAGTCAATATTTTAAGATTTGCAAATCAATGCCTGCATGTAGCACTAGGATTGCTTTTAGTTATATTTGTAATAGTTCGTTTTTATAGAATAAGCACTTTTTAAACAATTTTTTGGAACAGACATACAAAAAGGAAACGCTTTGCTCTCAATATACTTTCAAGTAAAGCAAAGTAACTGCTTAAGGCTGTGCTTTTCCCTACGTTGTAACTAAATGTTTTTTCTAGTTGAGTAAGCAGTTTGTCTACATGATTAGTTAAATCTAATTTATAATCAATGGTCAGTCCCAAAAATTTGATGGTGTCTGTTTTGAGCTTCAATTCATTATTTAATTTTATAAAATCGAGGCAACATTTGGATGTCATAAATTTTGTCTTATTGACATTGAAATTCTAGTAATTGTCATTACACCATTTTTTGATTGACTGTGTATCACTATCAATGTTTATCTTAATTTCATTTATATTTGTGTTTTGTCACAGTATCGTCAGCAAAAACAACGAATTTACTAGATACGTTTAAATTTATTAAATCATTGCGTTTATATTTTCGAAATAAAATGTCTTTAAAATTTTACAATTTGGGATTGATTATTTTTTCTATTTAAATTTAAATCAATTGAGTGAAGTTCTAGTACAACCATATTGCTTAATTTTTTGAATATTCATGATTTACACAGACAAAAACTTTGGAAAAGTCGCAAAAAGAGCTATTGAAATTTGTTTATGGTTTAAAATTGAGTATATCTGTTAGAGTAATGTGAAAATAGCATCCATGGTATTTTTTTTGTTTTTGAAATCCAAATTGGTTGTCACTTATAATTTTGTTGGTTTTTAGAAAGTCTCTTAATCAAATTTGAAGTATTTTTTCTAACAGTAATTAATCTTATGGGTCTATAATTTTCTGGTAAATCGCTTAGACCTCCTTTATAAATAGGAATTGCTATTGAAGTTTTTAATAATGCGGCTAATGATGGTGATTTCTCCGATTAGTAGTGAAAAAAGTTTTATTTGCAGATTCCGGTTGATGCAGTTATGCTGGGCAACAAACCCCGAGGAACGGCCTACGATAACTCGCATCGACCTAATGCTGTCCGACCTTCTGCAAGTGCCGAAAAACGCCAATAACTCCAACGTATCAGCTGATTCTTCGTTATCCGTGGACGACTTCGACAGACGGTGGGAGACGTTCAAGCCTAACTACATCGTGAAAACGGACCACCTATCGGATACCGTCTCCGTTGAAATACACGAACCATGCATGAACACGAAGTCGGCTAGTTTGACGAAACTGCATGGGTCTTTGGACGATTTGCTTAGAACAAAAGGGCCTCCTGCGGAATGTTTCATCGAGGACGAGATAAGTCACAACTTGATGACACAAGGTAGGATTTTTGTTCTCTGAGTAACGTATCATTAATATAATAATGCAAAACGGTGTCAAGTCTTAGATTTGGCTCGAATTTCCCACGTAGGGATGATAGTTCAAACATTTTTTTACACCGAAGCAGCCGCGTAGGCAGAAGCTTAAATCCGGTTTTTGAACTGCCTAAGGTTAGTAGAACTAGGAAAAATCTCCTCGGGTAGATGTCGATACCCTAGGGACAAAGGAGGCTACTTCTTATCTGGGCCTTGAGTAAAGAGGTTATGTGAAGAAAATCACTTCTTAGTTCTAAACAAATAGACTATTGATGAGGTGTGTTTGAGCCAGATCAAGTCCTCGCTGATCTGGAATCCGACCAGCCAAAATGAACGGCTCTGGTAGAACTCGGCTAACCGTCGAAACCGGATGGTCGCTAGGGCGCTTCTAGTTAGTACAGTACTGTGTTTTGAAGGCATTAAATAGTTATAATCTCCAGGTCTCTCGTCAGTGATGAAGTCGCTGTTAGCCCTTTTTTCTACAGCTCATCGGCAAAGATCGGCTTGTCGCTCCGAATTTCTGCAAGTGGAGTGCTGTCATCAGCAAAGCTGAGGATTGGATTAACCGTACAGGAAAGGTGGGCATTTATATGTAAGAGAAACAATGTCTGCAAAGCTTCTCTGGGAGGCCAGAGGATGGAAGTTTGCGTAGGAAGGCAGCATGCCACAGCTGATCGAATACTTTCATGATATCAAGAGCAACGACATGAACCTCGCCATAAGACTGGATGAGCTTAATCCACAACTGTGTGACGCAAGCTAGGAGGTCCTCTGTGGTTGGCTGTTGTCGGAAACCATACTGCCTGTCGCTAATCAAGCCGTGAGGTAGTCCAGAAGCTCGCGATTTATGCACTTCTCTATCACCTTACTTATAACAGAAAGCAGGGCTATAGGCATGTAGTTGTGGGTCTGTCTCAGATCCTTATTTTGGAATGAGCTGGACATGAACAAATTTCCAGTTTTCTGAGAAAGTGCCGGATTCGTAAGATATTTGGAAGAGATGCGAAAGAACTGGAGCAAGCTCCGCTACACAAGTCTTGAGTACAACGCTGGAAATCAAGCCCGGACCAGATTTGTTGATGTCCGGTCTTGTGCCTGAAGGTCATTTCCCGCATAGTGTAGAGAACCCTTTGAATCGACGGCATTCGGGCATTGGGGGAGGGACCTCCATAGTGGATTTGTCGGCAAAGATCTTGTCAAGCATTTCCGTTTCTCAAGATTCTTTAATATTTCTTGAATCAAATGAGAATTCTTTTTTTAAGCTAAGTTACATAGACAATTGGGGTATGGAGTCAATCTACTTGGCGTTCTCTACTTGTCTTTCAGTGCCTGCTGATACGAACTCAATCTCTGATTCCGACCAAGAAGAATTCAAATCAAAAATGAAATCAAAACCAAGACCAGCGTCCAGTCGAATCCCGTTTGTGGACAATTTTGCATTCAACAGAATGAGCAGTGGGAGTGAAACTGAAGAAGAAAATTGGAGGCACAAAGTGGAAAGAGGCGCCTATACGGAGAAAGTGAGGTAATTCAGGAATTTTTTTAACATACATGCTGTTACAGAATATTGTCAGTGAAATTGAAAGAGATGCAGCTGGTTAAAACAAGAAAAGGATTCCCAGAAATGAATTATTTTTTTCCAGTTAGAAAATGCAGCGGGGAATAGCGATGTCCTCAAACATTTTTTGATTGATTGTATATCACTATAAGTTTGATCTTAATTTCATTTTTATATGTGACATGCCAAAATAGTGTGGTATCGTCAGCAAAAACTATGACCATTTATGTTTAAATTTATTAAACCATTGATTGTCAACGCGTGTGATAAAGTTTGTGAAACGTGAAATATCTTCCCCCCTATCAGTCCTTATTAATAAATCAGTGAAGCAAGGTAAATTCCCGAAATGCTTGAAACTAGCTATTGTTATTCCCGTATACAAAAAGGGTGACCGTACAGACCTTGAAAACTACAGACCAATATCACTTTTATCGATGATCTCTAAAGTCACTGAAAAATGTCTGTATAAACGTATATTATGTTTTCTCAATCGCTATAATGTCTTATCAGATACCCAGCATGGGTTTAGACCCTCACGATCTATAGAAACGGCGACCTTTGACTTTTTCCCCATATATATAGAGAAGTAGACGAAAACAGATACGTTGCTGGACTATTTTTTGACCTGTCGAAAGCATTCGATATAATGGATATTTAGTTTATCGTGAAAAATTGTACTGCTTAGGTATAAGGGATTTTATTCTCAGTTGGATCCAGTCTTTCCTCACAGATAGAAAATTGAAAACGAAGGTCAATGGTCATACGTCAACTCAATATTCCGTGAATATAGGTGCGGCACAAGGCTCAGTACTTGCACCACTGCTCTTCATTGTATACATAAATGACTTGAAATTGTCTGGCTTCATGATTAATTATGCGGATGACACATCTATCGTCGTCAGTGCCACGACACCGCAGGATCTTCTCGAATCTATTGAGAAAGTCAAAAGTGAAATGAGCAAGTGGTGCCAGTCTAACCGCCTCATTTTGAATGAAGATAAGACTGTTGAAATTCATTTCTTCAACAAGAAACCACGTATGGATATTGATAGCTTTTCAGATCAAACTGTCTTCTTAGGAACTCATGTTGATAGTAAGTTAAGCTGGCAACCACAAATAAATCACATTTGCAACAAAATTAACAGTGCTTATTTTGCAATATTGAAATTAAAGCCTAACATCCATCTAAACTCACTCTTAGATATGTACTACGCGCTAGTTTATTCTCACCTCACTAACAATATAATCATATGGGGACAGGCAACAATGATTAACAGATTATTCATCCTGCAGAAAAGAGTACTTCGATTAATTTTTAATATTAATAAGAGGGACTCTTGTAAAGAAATATTTAGACGCTATAATCTGATTACATTAACTTCCATCTATATCTACAAATGTGCCATCTTCGCATTTGAACATAGCAATAGATTTGTTCGTAACAACGCCATTAATAGTCAATACAACACTAGAATAGGGCATGATCTGAGTATAGCGACACATAACTCTGCCCTATTCCAAAAATCTCCCACTCTAGCGTGCACTAAGGTATACAATAATCTGCCGAGTGAGTTGCGGAGAAGCACTAATATCCTTGCGCTGAAAAAACATCTCAGGAAATATCTGGTTGAAAAATGCTATTACTCTCTACATGAGTTTTACTAACACATGAAAGTATCTGTTTTTTAAATTCTTTTAAGCTGTTAATCATTTCGTTATCAGTGAATTGTCTATTATCGTGGAGTAAATGTATTTTAATTTCACTTTTTATTCGAGTTTTAACGAAAGTATATATGTTTTCTTTTTAAGCTTTTAACCATTTGTCCTCACTGCTCGATGTTTATTGTGTTTATATATTATGTATTTCAACAGATTCTCCTACCGCTTTTCTTTTCTTTGTATCAGCTTCAATGATTTTTACCGGCTAGACGAACATTTTTTGTGATAAAAAAAGTCGCTGTATATGTATATACTTTTACACATTACGATTCTTGCACTATACCTGTACCTATAATGTGAATTAACCTTTTAAAATGTTTTGTAATTGTAATGTCCTTATTTATTTTATAATTATAAGTATTTTTCTGGCATATTTGCTCAAACGCATATATGACCCTCAAATTGATATTGACAAGTCTTATATCATGTAACATGATCTAATAGGACAATAAACTATCTATCTATCTATCTAAGGCATACAGTTTTTCGCTAAGTAAAATATAGTATCTTGGAAACGTGGATTTAGTTTTCCCATGTTTGTATAAGTTTTATTTTCGTATTTTTTCCTGCTGAATCGTGAATTTTCTCAACAAGTCTCTCTAACGACTTGTATTTTTCTGCTGTTAGGATGAAATCGCGTTCGGTAGCCGATCTGATGGTGCTGACCCACGTGGATTACTCTGAATCTGAATCGGAAACGCCACTTCCCAGTCTGGATTACAGGGTGAACTATAAGAATGTGAGGTTAGCTCCGGCTAGCAATTTGGAAAGTGCCAACTTGACGTTCGGCAGTGAAGGAAATTTGTTGGAAGTGGAGAATACCTTCCAGGAGGAGTTAAAAAAGTTGAAGGAGGGACGTAGAGATAGTCTTCTTTTTGTACCTGATAGTTGTAGTCATAATGATTCTAATAGGTAAGATTTTAGCAAATATTAGTAGCAAAGTCAAAAAGTCTGGATTTCAAGATACAGGGTGTCAGAGTTTTATAAAAATGTTGTTTTTTATTGACATCTCAAGGATACTTGAGCCGATTTTGTTGAACTTCGACAGTGTTCTGTGAACTTGAGGGATGAGAAAAATGTGCGCCAACGGGATTTGAACCGGCATCTCATCAAATTCCGTGGAGCCGACCTAGCCAATTTGTCTACATCGTCATCTGCTAACCAACATTCAGGATCGATTGTTATAGGCAAATTCACTCTTACCTACGCCACTGTTCCTTTGTTCTTCCAAGCTGCACAAATTTCTTGTTTGTAACTCGAAAAACAAAAGAGTTCTGCGAGAACTGCGGATGCATGTTTTACGTAGGCATTTACTGGGGACACTTGGCAACCCCAAAAATAATTTTGAACCTAGATTTATTTTATTACACATTTTATACTTTTTTTTATTTCAGTATTAAGAATGAGGAAGAAGCAACTGCTGTCAATCCTTCAGATTTGATTCACGAACTGAACGATACAGCAGAAATAAAACCCGTGAATCAGATATATAACGTATTCAAGGTTACCATAGAGCATAGTCCCATACATGTAAATAAAAAACTAAACGAAATTATTTTTAATGACTGTAGTCAGCTAAGCTTTGATACGATGAAACAAGATCTTCCAAAAGATACCTGTATATACGAGAATAATAGTTGTGATAGTAACTTAGAAAACATATCTGGCATAGCTAAAAACGAGCTTGAAGATAAGTCTCAGCTTGAAATGTCTGATAGTGAGAATAATAAGGAGAATTTTTGTGCAGAGATTAAGCCTCATTTAGACTTGGTGAAAAATAGTGTAAAACATAACAGTCAAGCTGAAAATGAGCTTCAAAATGTTTCGTCTGAGTCTCAGATTGAACTATCTGATAATGAAGAGGACAAAGACAATGGCTTAGCTGAGAATTCTTGCACGCAGTTTGAACCTCATATTGATTTAGCGAAAGATGGTGTACAACATAATACTCAGGCTGAAATCGTTTCCAGTGAGTCTCAATTTGAATTATCTGATAGTAAAAATAATAAAGGAAATGGCACGTCTAAGATTTTTTGTACGGAGTTTGAGTCTGAAATAGCTTTGGTGAAAGATGGTGAACAACATGAAACTCATGCCGGAAATGAGTTTGAAGATGTTCTGAGTGAGTCTCATGTCGAATTATTCAATAGTGAGATGAATGAAGACAATGGAATTGTTGAGAATTCTTCTACGGAGTTAGAGTCTCATATTGATTTAGTGAGGCACAGTGTACACCATGATGATACTCATTCTGAAAATAAGCTTGAAACTGTTTCTAATGAGTCTCAGTTTGAGCTATCCGATAGTCAGAGCAATAAAGAAAATAGTATTAGGATTTTGAGTGAAAGGCTAGTTGAGGAAATCTTAAGAGAAGCTAAGCAAGAAGAAACTAGTATTAGATCATTAAGTGAAAAAATTGCGGATGAAATTCTAATATATGCAAAGCATGAAGAAAGTAGTATTCGAACTTTGAGCGGGAAACTCGTAGAACAAATTCTAAGTGATGCCAAACATACGATTGAACAGTTTCCAAAGAATGGGAAAATCCCTAAACTCTCAGAAAAGATACTTAATAATAAGATGTTGGTGGAGTTTATTGATTGTCAAAAGTCCAAAGTGTGCAATTCAAAAACGTGTGAAAACACGCTAAACATTAGCAGTGAGGAAACTAAGTCAGAATCTCAAAATATTGAAGGTGAACATCTCGAAAGTTTGCCTACTGTTAAGTTTGACATCAGCAGCAATCAAGAACAAGCTATGCCAAACTCGCTAACTCACTCAAGTATTTTTTGTAGTACTCCATTTAAAAAGAAAGATATTTCTCTACCCTCAGAAGATGTCTACACAAGTATGACTCTGTTTGGTGATGAACATCTTGGAGAAAACGAAAACAAGGAATTGAACTACTCTCTTGAAACTTGGGATAATTTCTTAGGCAAGACATTGGATCAGAGCGAAAATTTGTTCGACAGTTTCTCGTCTGAACCTCAGAGTCTGCTTTTCATAGATGATAAGAACGATACGTACGATGTTGATACTGTACAGAAAAAGGATGGAGAAGGATTGGACAATACTAGAGAAGAACTGAATGGTGATACTTTCGTGCTGGACAGTATCATATCGCCGGCGGATGTTGGTAGAAGTGAAGAAACTTTTGATGTGGTGAAAGGTGTAGCACCGAGGGAGGAACAAGCGAGTCGAACGTTTGTCAAAGATGAGGTTGAATCTCCACAAGCAAATACAGAAGGTAGGCAAAAATAGTTATATAAAGAGAAGACGGTTTTGATAAGGCGAACAAATTAGAGAGAAGAGAGATGTATAAAAAACAGACGTCCACAAAACAGCTGATGGCGTCTATTCACGTGCTGTTTATGTTTGGTCAGCGGCAAATGCGGTGTTGCCAGATATTCAAACCTTTTTGGATGGATTCATTGAGCATCACTTCTAGTTAAAGTACGTTTTGGTCAAATTTATTTTTGTTTTGACATTTGTTCATGGTGGGGATATTTATCATCGGTTCGCAGATTACGAAATATATTTTTCATTCATTTGTTATAAATCACATTTTTGGAGAGAGTTATTCTCTGTAAGTTATCATAAATCTATTCAACTTTTACGCTCGATTTTACTAACAAGAGATCAAAATTCATGATCCGGATCATAATGGACCAACAAAGTGTTTTTTTTTATAAAATATCTCTCAAACCAGAGAAAAAATATACGAGGTGAGAAAGCCCTTTAATTCCCATATTAAATAAATAAATTTCTTATAGATCTCCTGGTTTAGCTACAAAAACTTATTTTTTCAGTTGATCAATAATGGCCAATTAGAAAGCGTTTGAATCTTGAATCTTCGAAAGAGACATGACTATATTTACGAAGTCTAAATACAAACCTACAACATTTTTGTTTTGAACAAATAATATGAATAGAACAAAATTAATGGATAATGTAAAGATGACAGATAACGATTTTTTTTTCTAGTCTTAAAGCTTAGGATGTATATGTTGGAATATAAATTTTGCGTACGTCTATTGAGACAGGTTACGTATGTGTCTTATCAAAATTCAAGTTAGAGTCTAAGACAACACCTAGGTTTTTATAATAGGGATGAGTTCGTTATCTATAAACAATGCGATGACGTCCTTTATGTTATTATCCATGTGTTCAGGAAAAAAGCATACCTGGACCTTTATCAGGATTGATCCTGAGACAGTGCTTTTTGCAAAAACCAGTAACATTAATTAGATCAGTATTAATGTTAAACGACACTTCATTCAACTGAGAAAATTTAAAATAAAATTATAATTGTGTCATCAGCATACGTTTGTATACAAGCTTTTGCACATGAGTGCAAATAAATCGTTTAAATTAAATATAGCAGAGGCCCCAGAGCTGACCCATGCAGAACACCAGAAATAATAATAATAATAATTAACGTCTTTTATTTGTAATATTCTTACAGGAGCCGAGATTTAGATTATATATCTATTCTACCATCTAATCACAGTAGTAGAGGAGAAAAATTTGAAGGAATATTAGCTAGCCCAATGTACTTGAGCTTGCTCAACATGATTTTGCGATTAACTGTATCACACGCTTTTGTACTTACTACGATGTTGTCAGCTAGATGGAGCAAAGCTGAATTACTTCTTTCGTCCGCACGAAATCCTGATTGATGATAAGGAAACGAAGTTATTTTGCTCTAAATATTCCACTAGTTGAATTGCTTTCTCTAATACTTTAGAACGCTATTATTTTCTCGCTTCAGTTTTTTCAACATGTCTGAATGTTTCAGATTCCAAGGATAGTTGGGAGAGTGGCGGCGGTTGGTTCCTGCATCCTCAAACTTACAATGAATGCCCTAGTGGAGAACTGCAAATTCAACCCACAACTTCCGACAGTTACGTAGGATTTGGTATCGACGATGAGATCATGTCAGCGATAAGGAATGAGTTATTGAGTAAACTGCCTCATGCTCAGGTACAATGTAGGATAGAAAATAAATAAATATAAAAACGCAAAAATCGGAATCACGTCACAATAGTTATTTATAGAAGGAGTTGAAATAATGTTTCTAAACTTAAAAGATTTTTCTTTGAGTGGTTTTAAGACAAGATTATATAAATATGCCTCATATTGCTTTATTTTCAAGGTTTAGACTGTCAATTTTTTTGTTGAACCGTTGAAAGTATGCGATCATACATGTAACGCTAAAAGTTTGGATTAAATTGATTAAGAAAAACAAAAACTACTAACGGACTATACGATTTTTAGTAAAAGCAAATTTTCAAAAACAGCCGGACCCACGAGGTCTGTAAACTAAGTGATAGGACTGATTTTTTTAATTTTGTCATCCCAATATAATTACAATTTTGTATTGTCACACTCATAATAACTTAATTATGAAGCCACGCAGCGCTTGAGACGGTTCTTACACTCCTCATAGCAGTGCTGAAACTAGTATACTGGAATAGCCTTCAGCTGGTCGGTTACAGCCGTTTGAATGTTTTCGACTGTCCCAAAATGAGCATCCTTGAGATGCTTTTTAAACTTTGAAAAGAGAAAAAAAGTCACAAGGACACAAGTCGGGCGAATTAGGAGGCTGAGGAGCCACATGATGTTTTTACTGGCCAAAAACCGTGCTGTGTGACAAGGAACATTATCGTGATGCAACACCCAATTCTTGGTCTGATGAACAGTGGTCAGAGTCAAACATAACTCTGCTGCTGCTGAAGCTTAGCAAGAGTTTCCATTGCACTGTGCCCAAGTCTGAACCACAACCTGATAGCACACCGTTGCACGAAGTTAATGTTACTCATTTTTAGAATACAATAGGAAAAACTGTTTTACAAAAAAAAACGACAACAAAATAACTCGAGCGAGTTCAAAGTTGTACTGAAGGCGGATCACATGTGCTCCTGTCTCCCATCCAAGCCCGGCGCCTCCAGTGTTACCAAATCGAACGCTATGTTGCCAGTCTCATCACCTAATTTACATACCTCTATATTTATATGAACTTTCTTCTTAGAACTACTAAAGATTTTAGCTTTTGAAGTTTGGCCAGACCGTTATTTACCCCTTATATACTTTATTGTAGGGCTCATCAAGTGAAAGAGTTAAAGATGATGAAGAAGAATGGGATACTTGTGAGAGAAACGAAGTCTTCCTGAAGTATAATGTTTATAATACTCCACTATCGCCAATCCCAGAAGAAAGCTGCACAGATGAATTGTCTGGCTTGCATTCGCCCAAGTAAGCGCTATTGCCACTTATGCCAATACTTTTTGATGTTTAATAAAAAAGTTACGTAGCAAAATTTCATGTATATTTAGACGAAGGACCACAAAAAAATATAATTCCGTTATGATATTCGTCAATACATTGTTTGACAACAGAGTTCGTTTTTACTTCCTACGCTACTGGGTGAGGAAGTATTGTAAGCGCGAAAAAATCGAAAACGGGATATTATGGTTTTGAATGTGTTTTGAATGAAGCATGAAAAACCCTGTCACTTATTTCCGTCGGTATGTCTGTCTGTTCGCTAATTCCATAACTGCCTATTACTTTGAGAAGTACCGCTAGGATTACGGTAAAATTTTGTCACATTGTTACTACTATGCTAGTTTGCAAAAGCTTCGAAGTTTTTGAAAATCGGTCCATACGTCGTTCTTTTTTTTAAATCTTTTAGGTGTAAAAAATTGTGGGGCTAGAGAGTTGATGGGGTGTGGGAGGTCTATCGCAATTTTGTGATGTTAGCATATTAATACACCTCCAATCACGGTAATTCTACGCGCCCATTAGACATGTTTCACACATCGGGTTTCCCCGTACATTAAGGCTTAGAATGACAGAGGAATGTTTTCGATACGCGTCTGCTTCTGCTATCTGGGCTCAGCGCCCGGCGTACCGGTCTGCTTTAAATTCTGCTCGTACCGCGGTGGTGCTTCGGTGGGCGCTCACTCTTCTGAAGATGTGAGGATTATGTTCCAAGATGGACAGCAACTACCGGAAGGGCAGGGAAAAATGACTATGGACTAATTGTATGTACCTGTTTGACTGATTTGATCCGTTAAATTTATGTATTGCCTATATTCGTAACTATTTTTTTCTCAGAGGGTTTAACTTGTGCTGAACTTAACACTGATGACAGCGTTTTTATATGTTCAGGCAAGAAAATGCGGACAGCGACTGGTCAGAACAAGGGGAAGATGAAGCTCTACCACAAGACACTGGAAGCATCTCTCCCCGAACGCACGATAGCCCTTGTAAAGGGCAGTTGCATAGGCATACGCCCAGTCAAGACTCTTGTTGTTCCAACGATACACTTTTTAACTTGGAAGAGCTGATCGCCGTTGAAAAAGAAGGAGACAATCCTCCAAAGATGACACAATCCGTCGAGGATGGCAGACTGGGTGATAGAGGGGATAGTGATTCCGAAAATTTGAATAAGACGTAAGTAAACAATGATAAGTGACTAGAGACGGAAATAGTTTTCTAATGCAATTAAAGAAACATAAAAGAAAATCTTAATGTTTGTGAAGCTAAAACCAAAGAGGTCTCACTTGTTCTTGATGGTGAACCAATTAAAGATCACAATGTTGTTGTCAATGCATTTGCAGATTACTTTTCAAGTCACTGCAATATTAAAATAAATAACACACAGTAGTGGGCCAGAAAGTTTTTGTAAAGTCTCTGTCAGTCAATCAAACAGCATTTTGTTCCATACATAACAGTACATGATGTTTCAAATGTTTTATCTACTAAAATACCAGCTCTGGCATAGATGAGATGTCATCACATTTATTGAAAACTGTTTATGAGCACATCTTGTTTCCACTAACTAGATTAATTAACTCATCACTGTTAACTAGCAAATTCCTAGATCTTATGAAAATAGCTGAAGCCCGTCCACTTCATAAAAAGGGAGACCCGCGTGTTATTGATAATTGTCGCCAAGTTTCTCTTTTACCCGAACCATCAAAAATATTGGAACGATGTGTGTATAACATAGTCGCAGACTTTGCAGAGCAATATCACTTGCTAACTTATTCACAATGTGGTTTCAGGAAAAATAAATCTGTTGTGTCAGCCTCTTATCAACTTTTCAATTTTGGTTGTGAACATTTAGACAATAATCAATAATAGTAACTATTATTTTTGATTTAGCAAAATCATTTGACAGCCTTAACATCACAATAACCTTGAGCATACTTCATCAGCCGGGCATAAGAGGGTTACTCCTGGACTGGTTCAAGTCCTACTTTGAAAACCGCTATCTAAAGTTGATAATAAAAAATACAGAATCTAAAACATTTCCTGTATCTTTAGGCGCTTCCGAGGGATCACTGCTAGGACCATTGCTTTTTATTTTTTGTAAACGATCGCCCCATGTTTTCACTCTCCTTGGAAGTAACCACAACCTTACAACACACACTATGCTTTAAAGTTTTCCTAATTATAAAACAACAACAACAAAAGATCTGTATTTGACAACTGCATCTACCTATTGAACAATTTACCAAAATATCTAAGTGATATCACAAATTATAATCAGTTTAAGCACAAAGTAAAGAAATTTCTAAACCAGAGCTGCTTTTATATTGTACAAGAGTTTTTATCTTACAAATTTTAGATTGTCATTATCATGTGTAGGTTCTACTTCTTTTTTTAATTGTAATTTTTAATATGTCATGTATCTATTATTTTTTTCCTTCTTTGACTTGTCACAAGTATTAATTTACTAAAATGTGATTAATAAATATCTATCTTCCTAACCATGTCCAAAGGTCACGACAAGAGAAAATTAACAGTACCAACTCAAACTTTTGTATTGAATGGAGTTAATGTAACACCTGAAACTTATCTTGTGGTTTTCATGCTGATAATACTCCATGTTTGACTGACCGCTGAATAAAACCACATATGCTTGAAATACTGTCGTCAGTGAGTATTTCAAGCACATGCGCTTTTATTTAGCAGCCAATCAGACATGGAGTATTACCAGCTCGATAAATTTTGATCAAAATTATCTCAACGATAAAAAAAATGGTATAACATTTTCAAATGTTACAAAATCTAGCTTACACCTTCTGGTGACGAAATATCGTGGTCTTAAAACACTTTGCTGTTTCAAGAATATTCTACGTTCAAAATCTGTAGAATAGGACGACTCTATGTCCTTTTTCCGATATTTGTGTCGTAAAGTTACATCAGAACTATCCAAGATTTTCAGTAAACACTTTTAAGTTGTAATACAGAGCGAGACGCTTAATTAAGTTATTAACAGGGGCATTCGTATACATTACTGTTACAAAAACATCACTACAAAAATCAATATGTGCTAGTCCTGCATCAGAGGGTCGATATATTAAATCCTATTTTCAGTGATTCCGAAAACGCCAACCGGACTTACGTAATCGAAGACGAAAAATCGGAAGAATCGACGTTAAATTGCAAGATGCCATCGGAAACGGAGAAACCTCAGAAGTGCACAATCGAAATTTTTCTAACGCAAGAAAGAGACCACTCGTCTAGACTTCTGTTAGAGTTTCAAGAAGAGACCAGCAATGAAAATGGAATAGTGTTATTGGACGCGGACGAACGTTCAAAATCTGAGATGACTGAGGAGAATGAAAGGCGATCGTTCAAGGCCCAAGAACAATCAAAGGAGGAGAACGGAATGTTATCGTTAGAGCCTCAAGAACAGTCAAAATCTGAGTCAACCGAAGAGAATGGGCCTCTATTTCCTGTAGGACAATTGGTACCTTTACCATCACCTGAGGACAACCCCTGGAGACAGTTGCCAGCGTCTTTACTAACTTACAACACGGCCATTGCACAGACGACAAATCCGTTTTTACATGATGCCCAGCCAGTACCTGGTAAGTACTATTTGATAAAAGCTCAGTTCGTAACACGCTATCGGCCACCTTGGAGCTACAATAATCTAATGACGGGAGACGGAAATGCCATTGTTGATTGTACTCGTACCTTGCTCCTCTGTTCTTGAGATTCAGCGCCTCGCACTCACATAAGACATGTACAGCTGATTATGTTCCATTCCCGCGTTGTTTGCCGTTGAGGTCTCCATAATATAGCCCTAGCGCAGGTGTTCCTTCAGGTCATTTTGTCCTGTCAAAGCCTGTATCTACATGGAGCTGGTTTCTACTCAATGAGAGCAGTTCCGCAGCCGTATTTGGACATGGTCCGAGATAAATCCTTTCCCATGCCTGCATCCAGACACTAACAGCTAATGTTCCCTGCGCTGGTTTCTTACCCACTCTTTGAATTGGTTCCTTATTGTGCCTGTGGCACCCAAAGGCGGGTTCTTAGCCGATAAAAGTGTTGGATAATCATTTCCTGGCGAGCCCATCCGCTCTTTCATTGCCTGCGTTACATGAATGTCCTGTAACCCACATCAGAGTTACATTGCTGTGTTTCGCCAGTGCGTTCAGTTTTTGTTGGCATTTCCACATTAGTCCAGATGTTACTCTAGGACTTCTTAATGCCTGGCTGTCAGTATATAAGGCGATCGTTTTATTATTGTACGCTCGCTCATTATTTACTCTTGCGCAATGCAGGATGGCATACACTTCTGCCTGAAAAGCAGAGTTGTGTCTTTCAACTGGTATGCCCAAAATTGCACACTACGTCTTACTTGACGATTTAAGACTGTCAAGCAAAACGTACGATTTGCTTTAGTGTCTATGTGAGCCTTTAAGACACCTCCCGGAAAATTCAGCACAACCCTAAAATTTACGTATTTAGCATGATTTTTGTGTACAATTTTGGAGATTTTTCTACTTCAAATAGCATAAAAATTAACATCAAGCGATAACAAAATATTTACAAGATATAACAATAATTATAATAATAGCCTTTATTCATCCTGGCGCGTGTCAGCTAAAAGCTGCTTTTCATACCAAGCAGGGCCAAACAAAATTACAATAAAAGTTCATGCATTTGGAAAAAATATAAAGCATGTGAAAATAAACCTATTGAGAATACATTCAGTCATTAGAATCAACATGTGGAGGGATCGTAAGATAGATAAAGCTGCATCGGCATAAGAATGTAGGCACGCAACGCAACGCAATGTAGGCACGTAGAGAGTAAATAAAATCGGTCCTAAATTGGAACCTTGCGGCACCCGGTTCACAATGTCTCGTTTGTCAGAATAGTCACTGCCTATTTTAACTTGTTGAGTTCGATTTGAGAGGTAAGTGCAACTTAGCTAATAACATTTTGTGGTTTAAACAGTGACATGTCTTTGTCAAATCCAGCAAAACTGTTGTAGTTATGCAGAAATTATCTATAGCTTTCAAGTAGTCATCACAATTGTCAACTAATGCAGTCACTGTACTATGATTTTTTCTAAATCCCAACCCGGTATTTGGAATTGAACGGTATTTGTTGATATGTGTTGCATTTGCTCATAATCGATTTTCTAGAATTTTCGACAAAAGTGAAAGTATGCTTATTGGCCTAAAATAGAAAGCAGTTCGGGATTCATATTTTTAGCAATGGTAATAACAGTTGCTTCTTTCCATATGAGTGGAACGACACCATGTTCCAAAGAAAAGTTTATAATATGAGTAAGAGTCTTGAGGCAAAAAGGAAGCATAGAGGAAAATATATCTATATTTAATCGATCTAGTCCCATAGCACGAGACTTTATTTTTTTGCAATGTCATCAAGGCTTTTTCGTCTGAAAGAAACTTAAATTAAAATAGGCCATTGATATTAGTTCCGCATTTAAACCTGATGCTGTTGTTCCGCATTTTGTGTCTCATTCCCTGAAGTTACAATCTTTATTTTTAATATCTTTGCAGAATCTGATAAAGATGATCTCGAGATTGACGAAAGTCCCCCAGAATCACACGAAAACTTGCCCGAAACCAACTTGGACAGCATCGAAAACGAAGATGTAAGAGATGAGAGGGAATACGAAGACTTTGTGAACATGGAGAATGCGAAAAACAGCCTGGAATATAGCAACCTAACTGAAAATAACGAATACATTTACGATCGCACCGAAAACGATAACAGTGATGATGAGAATATTTACGGGATTTTGACTGATATTAGGTAAATAATTTGACCAATTCAGGTGAGATTATCGCGACAGTCGGGGATAAAGTTTCCCCTATATCGTCAGACCTAGAATTAAAGTACAACGACTAGAAACTATGAATTTATTTGCCCTTTTTCTTGAATATTATTTTTCACATATAAAAACTTTATTAAATCCAAGAATGAGAGACAATTGAAAATACAAAATAACAATCATGAACAAAATATACTAAGTGACATATAAATCCGAACACCCAGTTTAAATGCTTTTATTTTAATAAAAGTTGGTGAATGTAAATAACAAGTGAAAAAATGTTCAGCCTTATCAGTTGGACATTCCGGTTTTTATACTGCTTTTTTTTAATTCACTAACGCTCTAAAAATGAATATTTCAGCCGCAGTAAAGAATCAACGTTGGCGGATTTTGGTTCTTGACATCCTTTACGATCGGTTACGATGCCTAGAGTACGGAGACCTGTACGATTTCGTCAACTTAGTGAGTTTGATAGGGGCCGTATAGTGGGACTTCGGGAAGCTGGACTTTCTTTTCGGGCAATTCCAGTTAGAGTGCAAAGAAGTGTAGACACTGTGGTTAGGTGTTGTCAGGCATGGCTTCGAGAAGGCCGTACGCAAAGAGCAAGGGGCACTGGACGCCGCCGTAGAACAACATACCGTGAAGATCGCCGCCTAAGATTATTGGCCTTAAGGGACCGTTGCTCCACTACCAGGTCCATTGCAAATGAATGGTTTGCAGAACACGGAAGACCTATTGGCATGCGAAGTGTTTACCGACGAATGAGAAGTTTTGGCTTGTTTTCATACCGGCCACACTGGGTCCTCCCTTTAACTCGAGAACAGCGACGTAATCGCCTTGAGTGGTGCAGACAACGGTCACTCTGGGATCAGGAATGGAACAGTATTACAGTATTACATTAAGGCGACGTGGTGAAAGGAGGAATCCACAGTTTTTTGTTGAAAGACATGTTCATCACACTGTTGGAGTTATGGTTTGGGGTGCTATAGCTTATGGTTCCAGGTCAACTTTAATCTTAAAGTTCTAGAACCCTATCTTGACACCCTGGCAGATCCAACTTTCCAACAAGATAATGCCCGACCACATGTTGCAAGAGTTACAATAGACTTCTTTCAGCATAATGATGTAACATTGTTACCATGGCCACCAAGATCTCCCGACTTATCCCCAATTGAGCACGTGTGGGATATGATGGGTAGGAGATTGCTCAATTTGCAACGTCCTCCTCAGACTCTAGAAGCACTTCGAGAGGAGTTGGTGGTTGCCTGGAATGAGATACCACAGGAGGACATTGACCACCTGATCAGAAGCATGCCTAGGCGCGTTGGAGAATGCGTAGCACATCAGGGTGCATCCACACATTATTAAAGGTCAAAGGGCTTTAAAGCAGTGCAATCATTTTGAAATTTTTATCATTTACTTATTATGCTTCATTAAGTACTTATACAAAATTTTAGTAAAATAAAACCATTTAAACTGGGTGTTCGGATTTATATGTCACTTAGTATAGTACAATTGAAAACTTACATCGACCTTAGCGCCATATTACAAATTCAATTGATATTTTTTAAATTTCATTTTGAAATGTTGAGGGTGTTTTATTTGTTTTAAATATTCAGGGAATCTATTATTCAGTTGAAAGATATTCCAGTGGGATGTGTTCTCTAATTTTCAAAATTGACATTGTTTTTAGTGTTTCAATATGAATATTCCAGCTCAAATTTGGATCCATGTTTTGGCCAAGAAATTTAATACTGCTAGCATATTGAATGGATTTAGCCGAAAGTTTGAGGTCCCCATATTGTTTCTTTAGATGTTTATGAGTCACTATTGTAAAAAACGATTTTTCGAAATTTAAAGTCAATTTATGAAAATTTAGCTTATCCAGTAGTTTCATTAAGTCCACGTGCATACTTAGCTTAATTTGATCAATATTTTCAGAAAAGAAAATTATTGTAGTATCATCGGCATATCAACTGATATCTCCTTCCAAAGACAGTGAAAAAGCTGTACTGGCATAAATCAGGAAAACAATGGCCCCAAAACAGATCCCTGGGGAACTCTATAAGTAATTTTTCTACTGTAACTTCCATTACCATTAGTACATACAAATTGATCCATATCTTGAAGAAATGTGTGAACCATTTCATAGAATTTCCTTATACTCATTTTGTACAATTTATTTAGTAGTAAGGAACTGGTGACAAATATATTGAGGAGGATCATCCTGTTGAGCAGTAACATTTTAATGTCTCTTCAGTTTCGCACGATCAGTTTTTCAGGCAATTCTATAGTTTTTCTTTATGAAATGGGAAATTGGCAGTACAACAGAAGTCGGAATGATCAACTTTCGAGCAGAAAATTTTATAAACGAGACGGTTGATGTTCTTCAACTTTTGCTGTAACGTTTTAGTGGCGTTCAAGTTTCATGTCATCGGTTTTTGAAGCACTTCTATAAATTTGTTCTTGATGAGACTTTAAATAATACAGAAAATATCAAGTGTCTCATAAGAGCGATAAAAATAGTGCAACATTTATTTGCGGACTTTTGCTGACCTACTAGCCTGAATCTTGTTAACCCTGTATAAAAATTGACCTTAGGTTCAACGGACCTTCGGACGCTCAGCTCATGTCTACTTCATTTAGCGAAAGCAACAATTGTGATGACCAAGAATGGGACAGTGGCTCAGAGTCCAGATCCAGTTCTAGTGGTGAATTCATTTGGAAGGTGAGTTTTACCTGGCTTGATTTTAGTATTCCAGATTTTATTTCATTTCATATTAGCGATTCGGACTATCACAGGAAACTGATAATGCCGATACTATTTCGTTTTCAATTTTCAATATCTGCCCTGCCAGTAGGGCGTGGGAAGTAGAATGAGTCTTAGAAAAAGTTTGATAACCTGTATCCTGAATACGATGCCTGAAGTTTGGTCAGGTGCTTCATTGACATCATGTAAAGTGCAGAAATATTTGAGTTAATCTACTTTACTCCTTTTTTGTTTTATTATCATTGTGTTTTACGACGTTCAAGTCGCTAATAATGAACCACAAATATTTCAAATCCCCACTTGTTGTGCTTATTTTATAATTAGTAGTAACATATATTTTCGACGTGAAAGTTTATCCCAAAATTGTATGTAACCGTAGTTCTTTTTACCTCGTGTTTTTTTTTTGTTGCTTTTTTTTTTTTTAATGGAGAAGTGACTAGTGTTTAATCCAGCATATTAAACAAAAATATATCCTTTATCCCGCCCCGATTTAGCATTCTAATGCACGCTACAAAGCATGGGCGCCTATTAAGGGATGCAAGGGGGCATATGGCCCCTTGCTTTAATAATAATGATAATTTATTGTTCTAAGGTTTACAGTAGTAAACATAGACGTCAACATAAAAATGAACACTTAATGACACATTCTCACATTTTAAAACAACATAGCCAAAAAAACTATGGACAATTAAAATATTCATTCAGTGAACAAAAGGCCTTTTCCATCAAATATTTATATATTAACAGTATAATATCATCATATTATTGAAATAATAACTGTTTTTCCTGTATTTTTCAAGGTTCAGTTCAGTATCAATACATTTACTCAATATGTATATATATGTTACTGTCAAGGTGTTTTGAAGTACTCCTCAAGATGTCATCTGGGGCAATTTTAATGCTGCTCTTAAAATTCGTTTCTGGCATATAAAAATCTCGACAGACTTTGAAGAGTGAATTCAATATGCTATGCTGTATCGTATTACAAATTGCACCTAAGACAAGTGAATCATTTTTAAGACTTCAGTACTGACTTGATCCCTAATACTGTATATTAGGTAGCAGGCAGTGTTCATTTTCGATGATGCTGCTGTTATTGGTTCTATCCAAGAAATGGTCTATTTTCACACCTAGAAATAGTGCAGCATCCTTTTGAACTATGGTTTTTCTGTTTAATTTCACATAAAGTGATTGGTAGTGTCATTATTGAAGTATACGAAATTCGTTTTATCAATGTTCAGATGTAATAAGTTGTCATTGCACCATTCAGCTGCATTACAAGCTTAGTTAACTTTTGAAACAACTGTTCTATGTTTTTGTCAGGCACTATACCTGATATATCAGCGTATATGAATAGTTAAGTCAATAGATTTAGATAGATCATTAATCTACACTAAAAATGAAATTGGTCCTAGGATTGATCTCTGTGGACCCCCATACTAATCTTCGCTTCTTTAGAACACCAATAATAACCATTTTCAGCTGTAATACTGACTACTTGAGAACGATTGCTTAAATGTGATTTCATTAGTTCATTGGCGATGCCTCTGACACCATAATATTCCGGTTTTAAGAGAAGTATCTCATGATTTATTGAGTCAAAGGCTTTGGTCAGGTTAAAGTACACCCTGGTTACTTTATCACCGCTTTCCAATCGAGAAAGTAATGTATTTAGGGAATCCCTAATGGTGTCTTTTTTATCTTTTTGGTAAGACAAAGTTTGATGAAGATATTGACTTCAATAAAAAAGGATATTAAGCTATTTTAGATTATTCTCTGGAATATTTTGGCTTGAGAAGTAAAATGTACCTAATATTGTACCTGTTTTTTAAGCAAGTTGCGCGAAAATAACTTGCTAGATCTGATTTGTGTTTTACAAAATTTTAGTATACCCAATGTCACTCTCATTCTCCAGAGAAATCTAGAGACACTTCATGTATTAAATTATATTTATCAAGCCATGTAACCTGTAGCCTATAGAATAGCAACTTCAAATTTAAAATTTTCGATCAAAATCCATTTTGATTTTATAAAACTTTGTTACACCCATAACTTTTTTTTGGAAATAATTTATTTAAACACAATAATACAAAATATATAACTAGTTTCAACAATAATTCTCCTTTGTTGCACCCAAAACTTTTTTTTTGAATAATTTATTTAAACACAATAATACAAAATGTATAACCAGTTTAACAATAATTTTCCAATCACTGCTTACAAACACTGGCCCAGAGTATAACAAAACATTAATCAATATCTATAAAATAATACACTGCAATGTTTCTCATAATTTCAACGAATAAATTAATTAATATTTTTAAAATCTTTGAATTCTCTAATAATACTTCTATAGTTATTTAAATCTTTTATACAATGAGGTAAATTACTGAATTTTTTCATTGCGTCTGTGATTTGATTTTTTAAACCTATATTAGTTCTTGTAGAAACATTATTTAGTTATCTTGTTTGGTGGTCATGCACATTATAGTAAATCCTAATATTTATGCTACTTTTTTGTAGATTATTTATAATTTTTTAAACAATTTTACATTGTTCCATCAATATCGCTCTTAATTTGTTTAAATTTAAATATGAATGAATTGTATTAGAACTTGTAAGACAGTCAAACTTAAACAATATTTTCAAAGTTTTATTTTGCAAAAGTTGAGCTTTATTAAAATATGTAATTAACTTTACCGCACATTCCCTATACTGGCAAGAGGTACTTAAAATCTGTGAGAAAAGGCATTACAAATTTGAAATTTGCTTTTGTTAGATAATAATAAATAATTTCTACTCTTATATAAGGCAGATAGCTTTAAAACTATGTTATCAGAAATTCCATTCAAGTGTAGTGACCAGTTTAAATTTTCATCTATTAGTAATCCCAAATATTTAATAAATGACACTTTTTCTAGCGCTATATTATTTATGTTACTATTAAGATTATTGTTAACTAACTTATTTTTTTGTTTAAATATAATGTACTTTATTTTTTCAATGTTAATTTTTAATCTATTTGAAAAGAGCCATTTAAGATAAATATTCAGGTCATCATTAATGATTCGTTAAAGCAATTTACCAGTACAGTGTCATCTGCAAATGTAAAATATCTTGCCCTTAGATTGGCCAACTTGAGATTCAGTACATAAAGAGGGTATAACAGAGGTCCAAGAGGTCCACCATAAGTCTTAGATAACCATTGACTATCGATGTCTCCAAGCTTTAAGTACTGTTTTTTGTCATTCAAATAAGTCTTAATCAAGCTGTACAAAACACCTCTAAATCCCATTTTAAACAATTTATCCACAATAATGTCTATGCTTACTACGTCAAAAGCCTTTTTTAGGTCAAGATAACAGCTACAACATATTTGTTGTTTATTTTGATCTATTGAAATGTAATCCACAAAATCAACAACCACATAAAGTGTGGTACTGTTCGTTGGTTTTATACCATATTGAAATTCATCAATCAATAGATTGCGAGTATCAATGAAAGATAACAGTCTTTTTTTTTAATATTTGTCTATGATCTTAGAGAATACACTTACCACTGAAATAGGCCTGTAATTTTTCATACATTTTTTCACAACTATTCCCGCTGTCAAGGCAACTCAAAATCCATCAAGTCATTTAAGCTGTAGCCTGTGGAATAGTAATTTCCATGTTGATTTTTTTTATTAAATCGAAGAACATTCAATTTTAAATTGCCGCCAAACCATCATTCCATCCGCCCAAGACGGAAATGTTGCTGAACATGAATTATGGGACCGCCAATGTGCAGCCCCCACCCTCCCCTTGAATTTTGCTATATGGGCGCCCATGCTACAAAGTATATATATGTCAACTATCTATTGGCCAGTGATGTTATAAGGTGTAAGAAACAATTGGTTATATTAGCCTCAAAGTACGTAGAACAGCCACGAGTAGCTATTTTTATCAGTAAATAAAAAAATCTATGGAAACGACTGCTTTGATGAGATTGTCGCTAGAAAAAAAGTCTGGTTTCTGAGAAAACTGGCACCGCCGTTCAAGAAGAAAGTTTTTTCTGCGCGAATTTGCTTTTCGTAACTTTCATGCTTTGTTGGTGTTAGACCTAAATCGAAATTACATAAAAACTGGTAATAGATGGTTTTGCAATGTATATAAATGTGTTTTGTACATTTGTGTTTATAATAATAGGAAGGGGAGCATGAAGAGTCTTTGAAGGCCTTAACAGCTGCTCCTCAAGATACGGTGAGTAGTAACGTTAATGAAACTTTGGTACAATTATGTGTCACATAGAAATGTTACTCACGTTAGTATATTTAATTATGTGTCATCGAAATTACAATTGATGCAAGATTTAAAATTCTTCATAATTCAAATTCCAGAATGCTCTGATTTGAAGCAAAAATGTGCCATAAAGCCTAAAATGAGGTTTGACTATAACCATCGAGCTCTATGTGACTCATAATTACCTTAGTGTTTAGCGGATACTATGATACTAAAACTGAAGCTATTAATTTGTCATAAAAATATATCATCACATTTTTTTGCTTCCATCCCACAGCTTTTCGTATATTATAAATAAGGATCGGATATTAGGAAGCTTAGAGTAATTATCGCATGGCCATGTAGTTGGAATAGTTGGAATAGAAAATTTTCATCAGCTTTGCTTAATATACATATGTTACCAAGCATGCATTTTGCTTTATATTATAAAATAGGTATAACTATTTGTAGGTATTATTTTATTTACCTGCTACTATTTGGTCTTACTCAGTATCATTAGACATCAACAATGACACCGTTTCGTTACCCTGACAGCACTGTTGGAACTTTTTTTTGAGGTCTGTCAAAATTATCGTAGCATGTTCACCACACATATCTCGCATCTTCCATTTTATTTTCATATTCATGTAGAACGTTTAATACAAGGGGTGTTTCAAAAGTAACGTAAAATATTGGGTTTATCTCGAAGAAAAACTCCGTCTATATATTAAATTTCGAGATATATGGTAGTAAATTGTTGATTTGAGCTAAATGGTATGCCACGTAACAAAAAATATTTTAATAATTTCTATTCACTTCACTGAGCAAATTTAATACTATCCAACGAATAAAAATATGAAAACTTTGTAAATGGGAAATTGCGTCTGAATTCATAAAAAAATTCGTTAAAATATCTAGAGTGGGATGTTTGAAAAAAATTACAACCCTGTATCTGGAAATTTAGGAAGTTTTGCGCATACGTTCATATAAAGTTTCTTAAAATGAATTCGTCAATCACCCCCTTAAATGTTTAACTTTACTTTTGAAGAACCTGAAGCATATGAAACGGAATGTTAGAAACAGACCAACTAGCTTCGATTTGAAACATTCTGGAGAGACACTATCAAAAATACATCTCTAATAACAAATTAACCTTATTTTTATATATTGCTTCATATGTATATAGATGGAAGATATAAAGCCAATGGAATGCATTACGGAAGGTGCCAATGAAGAAAGTGATATTAGCAGTACATTTAGTGATGATGAAGACGGAGAAACTCCAGAATTTGTGCCGTCAGCTTGGGATAAATTCGCAATGCCAGGGAAATCTGCCTTGAGATCTCCAGAGAAGATTCCCAAAAGAAGCGAAGAGGTATACTTAATGCCATACCATTTATTATAATAACAATAATAATAGACTATCGATGCTAATGATATGTTTACAGGGGTTAGAATAATATATAAATACATATATACAAAGAGATAATAAATAATAAACAATACGACACTACAAATGAGACAAAGGCAAAATATGGTGACTAGAAGGTTAGAAAAAAAACTAAAGCTATGTCAAAACCGAGAAGTCCTAAGACATAAATTGACTTGATAAAAGAAGTCTCTCTATAAACCCACAAAAATCGTTAATATCTAGAGCTTTTATCTGACCAAGTGAGGCATTAAAAAGTTTCAAGTTTTCCTTGACATAAATGACGCAGTAATAAATAGCAAAGTCATCAGTCATTTTATGAATTCTCTAGATGCATCTCTGTATGGGTTTGCTATGTACCTAACACACCTCCTCTTTAGAGCAAAAACACACTATTCATATGTGGTGAATGACTTCATGCTAGAATAGCATATGTCATTTTACTGAGAAAATATGCGTGATAACTGAAATTCAAGATTTTTTGGGATACATAATTTTTAAAAATACGAATCAAGTAAATAATTTGTATTAATGTTTTGTTAACATAATTAATGTGTTCATCCCAGTTTAAAGTAGCATTTATATATATATAAATTTAATACAGTAATTTTTTATTATAGATCAGTAATGTCGAAAAGATAGTTATCTATATGTCAGAATTTACATAAATTACATCATATTTATATCTGTATTCAATAGCCACTTGTTTAGATCCTTTTTTAATAATGAATTGTAGGATCTGTTTGACTGGTTTTTTTCTAACTGATAACGGCGTTTCGTGGGAAATGCAGAGTCAACCTACTTATCGCCATTTTTTTATAATGTATAATTAGTAATTAATAATTGCTTATATAATCATGTGTTTATTTCAGAAAAAATCCAAAGCAGTATGGTTCAAAAAGCAAAAATATCAGTGTGTTTATGAATATCCAAAGGAGCCAGACAGCCCAGTATCACAGACAACAGAATTGTGGAAGCCACCATCACAAGCAGACTACACCGCATTCATAGGTAAATATTGTTTTTTCATATAAGTAAAATGTAAGATAAACGTGATTTTTCTCATATATTTGATAAGAACCGTGATCTATGAAAGAACAAGACAACTTAGATTCATATTTCTTCTATGATATCAAAAGGTAATGGCTAATCACAACACTGCATATGTAAACATCAACTTTAAACTTGCTTGACATTCATCACACATAGAGAATTGATCTAATGTCAAATAACATCAACGTTAACATTTACATATACCATGTTCTGAATGCCCATATTGGCGTAAGCCAGGTTTTCAAAACGACAAAATGAATTTAAAAACATTATTGTCGATCAGCAGCAGGGTTTTCGTCGGGGTAAGTCAAATTGTGCCAACTTGATGTTATACAGTATCGATTTGTGCAATTCAATTAAGCAAGGTCAGCAAGTTTATTTGGATTTTTCTAAAGCGCTCGATCAGGTTAACCATTCGATACTGTTGTCCATACTTTACAACTATAGTGTGCAGGCACAGCTCTTGAATTGCATAAGTAGTTACTTATCTGAGAGATCTCAGATGGTAAGATATGCTGGGTGTACCTTTTTTTGGATTCGTGTAACTTCTGGAGTTCCGCAGGGTTCTCATTTAGGTCCGTTGTTATTTAATATATTTATGATCTTGTCACATGTGTAAAAACCCAACATGGTCTCGTCAAGAAAAAATAAAGTTGATGCTGGAGGTCAAGAGACGAAACGCAATATTGAAATTCTAATCATGCTATCTTGTTGAAAAACAATCGAATTTGGTACAGCTGTTTCTGAGATTACTCAGTTGCAAAAGCCTAACCGAAATGTAACCGGGTATTTTCCCATGTTTGAAGGAATTACTTTAATTCCAGATTGGGACTTTGATGGAGAGTCGAATATGTCCCAGCCTGAGGAAAACGAGAAAGTATCATACTACCCCAAATCGAACACTATTTATAATAATCTCTATCAACTAATCAGTATTCCAGATTTCCTGCCAAGTAAGAAATTGCTATTTCTGAAGATGTGTGCTTTGTGTTGATACTAGAATTATTATTTTGCAGACCTTTATGGATTATGTTGCTATATATATATTATATAGAATAGAGAGTGCTACAGAAAATTGTCACGAAAATTTAAGGGCAGATTCATCTTGTAAGGCTATAAAAAAAAGTCCTAATTTTGCATTTTCATTATACGATATGTTTAAACTCACGTTTTCTCCAAGCTGTGTTTCTAATGATGTTCTAATAATTCAGGATGTGATTCCTCAAGTAATTTTATGAGAAATAAAGAATCTATGAGCATGTGGCTGCGATGGCTTTAATTTTTAGGTACAGAGTGTCGTTTTAACTTTATATCTTGAAAGGTACTTCAGATTTTTTTTATTTGTGACATGTTACATATTTTATTGTGAAAAGTTATTCTATTGCGCCACCAGTGGTTTCTCTGCTAACATGCCTTGTGATATGTTTTACAAAAAATTGGTACCTCACTGATATTTTTCAAAGTGATTATTTTATATAGTTAGTTAGCTTGATAATATCTACATAAAAACCATCTCTTACTATTTTGTCCTCCGATGTGCCGTGTTTGATCAAAACAAACAACAAAACAGTAACTGTCATTGAAAAATATCAGTGGCGTGCAGTTTTTGTACGAAATATTGCAAAACATACATACAGGGACATCACTAATGGTGCATTTGAATAACTGTTTATGCCAAAATGTCATTTTACATACCCTTATAATATGCTAAAATCAATAATTATATTTAAAATAATGTCAAAGATAAAAATAAAAACGGTTTGTTTATTAGAAATTCAACACCCTGCGACTGCAGATTTAAAAACTTTTTTCATAGAATTATCTGAGGAGTTACTTGAATATTAGCATGCCATTGATGTTTGATATTAATAAAATAATAAATATTTTATTTCGAAAAAGTTGACTCGTACTCGTACTGGTTTTCTAAAAATGTAAGGTGAGCTATCAAAGGCGGGTGAGTTCAGTATTATGCAAACGAAACACAACTTTTTTTATTTTAACGTCATGAATATGCCCCTAAATGTACCTGACAACACTCTGTATAGTTTAAGGAAAAAGCTAGGAAGGATCATAAAAATAGCAAACAAATGTAATAGTGCTTTTAACCAGTTAGGTTCTTTTAAGATACGACAGCTCGACAGTCGGGAATAAATTTTTCTACTCAACAGAGATGGTAAACTGGTACCACTCTGCCAATACGTTAAGTACATTTCTTTCCCTGATCTTTAACACTTTGCAATCCCTTGTATTTGGGCTTCGCCTTCGTAACTGCTTCAGTGTACAGAGTGTATCCAACCAGAGGACAAAAACTTGCTAATTTTTTTGTCTGTTCTAAGACAGCTTTGTTAATTTTCGAAAAACCGCTTTGTCACGAAGCATAGGAAGAACAAAATATCCCATATACTGGGAAAACCAGATTTGTTTGAAGGCTTGAGTTTAGTGTGTATACTCATGTTAGAAAGAGATAGAAGCCGGCTGAAGAGGGAAGGTCATCACCACATTGCGACGGTGACTCAGACGGTCGTGCAATCTTCCGCGTTACCAATACACCAGAAAATGTTCGCACAGGCTTCTACAATAGGTTAGGTTACTGACAAGCACAAGAAGGAGCTCCGTTCGAACATTCCATTTAATATTTTGTTTTTATTTTGTTTATAATCATTGATTTCAGTTTTGATGCGACTTAGTGTTTTATTTTATTTTAGAATTATCTTTGATTTCCGCCGATGGTGATAAAATAAACATCCTGAGTTACTGTTACATTTTGCGACACCGAGCGGTTGGAAAATGTAACAAATACCATTGCGCAATACAAATTATCACTGCCTGCGTGTACGCAGGTGAAAACTATTTCGAAGAAGGACGACACTTCCCAATGAGCGCTAGATGGGTACTGACCAAAATCGCTCATCTGTAATCATGGAAGTGGAATGTACGACATGCGGTGTTACCAAGCGAACCGATGATGCAATGTTGCAGAATTTGTGGCGAGCCTGTCGTTTCATTTCGACCTAAAATAGAGCGCCGTTAGCACCGATCCTAAACACAATTGTCTACGCATCTTAATTCAGGGAATTGGTGTATCATATTGGCAACATGATAGATTGCCGCGTCAGCGTTGCTGGGCAACGCGGTGACGAGCTTTGATATCCAGCCGGAGTCTATGTCTTTCTAACATATGCGTCTATACACACTTCCCTCGTGCACAATGAACTCAAGCCGTCAGAAAAATTTGGTTTTCAGTGTATATTATACCATATGAAGCTTCTTAATCGCAAGTCAGGATCTGAAAGTCGTCTTTGCACGTCGTCTTAACTATCTGGTATAGTTTAATGATTCCAAAGCACAATACTGTACATTGAATAACAAGAAGCGCTTTAGCGTTCATTCAGTTTCAATGGATGGCTTAGTTCTGCCAAAAAGTTATTCGCTTCAGCTGGTCGGAGTCCAGACCACCGATGACTTGATTTGGCACGAACAATCACAGCCTCGAGTACTGCTCACAAGTTTGCGGTGCTGCCTCCCCGACTGCGTTGTCCATACTTGATGCTGTTCAGTGATGGGCTGTCCGACTGATCGATAACACTTCTCTAACGGACAGTCTCGGGACCCTTTTCATCGCTATGTTGACTGTCGTTGCTTCACAGAGCTCTCTTCCATGATGCCTCCGCGCGTTGAGCCTGCCAGACGGACCCCCTCAAAATTCTGTTTATAAGGAGACATTTTAATTTTTCTAGAAGATACGGGTATGGAAGACGAATTCTTCATCAGCAGCTCCGCCCGCCCTTTCGACCTACGTAACAGCTTAAGTTCCCAGTTCTTCCCTGGGAACAGCGGCTGGCCAGATAGCGCTACCCCGGATAGCGGTCTGGAAGATTTTACGCCCAGTGGTGTCCAAAATGAAGACAGGTTTGCCAAATGTGTGCCAAGTTTGAAGCAACTCGCTTCGGACGCTGTTAATAAGAAGAAGCAGATGGAGAAGAACAGGGAGAATCTAGGAGGATTGAGGCATCAGAAGAATAAGTTAAAGTTGGACCTGCCGCCTAGTCCGAGCGCGTTTACGTCGGAGAAATTGTTTACTATTGATCCGCCATCATTGGAGCCTGTGATTAGGGAGAAGCCGACGTTTACTACTTTCGGGAAGAGCAGGTAATGCACGATTAGTATAGTGTGATAAAAAAATGGTGGGAGTATTTCTAGAGCCGGAAGTATATCGAAAAATCATACGAAAAGTTCATACAAACCTACAAGCTGTTTTAAAATCCTTGACGATTTCCGAAATGCTGCTTTTTTATGGAGATACGAGCCCCTGCAGAACGCTACTGTAAATAGCCTTTTTGAATAACTTTTGAACGACAATATGTAATTCAACAATTATTGAAATAAAAAACTTCCTTTGAAGCATATTAAGATATTGACTTGAAACTTTGACATGTATTAGTAATGTTATCAGCACAGTCAATCCGAAATTTTCCTGTCTGGGGCTACGCCAGTGACGTAGAAAATGGGGAATTTTGAGTACTACAGAAGGAAAAATATTTTTTACGCCATTGACTTGCGGTATTGCATCTTACATGAATTGCTCTTAAGAATTTTTTTGGTCATTCTTTTTAGTGTGAATATTCGAGGTATAATCCGTTTAAAAAACTTAAATCCATTCTACTTTGAAAATACTACAAGATGGCGACTGGGTGCCATCTTGAAATGTTTACGTTAGAACATAGTGTTCATGCGCCATTTTTATTATTCTGAATTCCAGCACCCTAACTTGATCCGTTCGAAAAGCAGTATATGGTTACAGGGCAGTGTTTGTCGCCAACATAACATATTTTAAATGGGTTTACCCACAAACGCCTACAAAAAAGTAAAACTAATATACGAACCCCTTCCCACTTCAGTTGGCCTAACTATACGAAAGAACCCATCATTACAACGTTAAAATGGCACCGCTCAAATCCACACGATAGGGATCGCCTGGGTCAGTCATTCCCGCTTCCAAAAGGTCGTTCAGTCCTCCAAAGAGGCAAGCGACAACCGTGAGGTTATTTGTTGTTTTCAATGTAGATATGTCACCCCCGTCCATCGTCCAAAAAACGCCAATAGTGCAACATGTCTTTAGATGTCGAAATGCTATTTCTCGCATTTCAGATCCATGATCAATGCACATGAAGCGTTTGTAGTAGAAGATTGTATAACAATTAACCGGTGTGTTGCGACAATACGAGCCCATTCCCACTTCAGTTGGCCCAACTATTGAAATCTTAGTTTTTTTCTTATCAAACACAAATAATTAAAATGTAGCAGGGTGTTATAAGGTTTAAAATATTACCAATGAATATTTTGATAATATATAGTAGAAAACACCAACTTTATCACTCCCTAATCAAATTTGCAGCATAAAAATAACTCTGACAGTTATTCTCGGACTTTACTTCATTATTTTGCAAGCTTTGTTGCAATTACAGCATATCAAACTATTTTGAAAAATAAAAGCCATGACAATTGTTTTTATTAATCACATGTGTCAGAATACGTTTAAAATAGTTATGGGTAGTTAAGGTTTTCAAAATGGGTAGAGGAAAGGTTATTAGTGAGAAAATTAGGTTACTGATAATTAAATTTTTTAATTCTGGGAAATGAATCTTAGAAATTGCAACTTTGTTAGACTTATCGAGGTACAGTGTGAGAAATATTGTTAGAAGATATAACGTAACTGGTTCAGTTAATATTAAGCCACGATATGTGAAAAAAGTAATATCACAAATGCCGACCGAAGAGCAGCATTAAGAACAATAATCATGAAAAACAGGCGTGCCAATTATTTACAATTAAGTGCTCTGTGGAGTGACGCTGTTGGAAGGAGAATTTCGAGGTCCACAACTCATAGAAAGGCCCACAAACTGGGATTTAGCACTTGCAAGGTAAGTTTTCTTATAAAAAAAAGTGAAGTAAAAACCCTAAAGTTGCACAACTTGTTCATAGGCCAAAGAAAAGCCACTATTAATTCCACTGCAAAAGAAAAATCGGCTTAGATGGGCTAAAGAACATAGACAATGGACACCTCAACAATGGTGTGCAATACAATGGAGTGATGAGGCCCGATTCGAAGTTTGTGTTGGTGACAGTCGCAGTAGAGTTATTCGCAAAAAAATGAAGCATTCCATGTTGACATCAAAAGGAGTAGAAAAACTTCATTTTATTGATGGAAATGGGGATACAAACAAATATTTGGCAATTTTAGAAGAATCGCTTTTACCAGTGATGGAAGAATGTTTGACATCCGGCCAAGATTTTGTGTTTCATCAAGATGGTGCAGCGTGCCATACCTCAAAAAAGGCTATAAAATGGATGGAAGAAAATAATGTACCACTTTTGAAATGGGTTTCTAGCAGTCCAGATCTGTCACCTACTGAAACTTTGTGGCACGAGATGAAAAAGGTTCTACGACAACATCCTGCTCGTACAATCACCAAACTGAGACAAAAGCTTCAAGAAATATAGGATTGTTTTACACCCAATTTTTGCCAAAACTTGGTTAACATTATGCCCCAAAGAATTTCAGCTGTAATAAAAAATAAAGGTGATGTTACCCAATGGTAATCTTTCAAGTGTTGGTTTGTTAACTTCGCGCATTGTTTATTTGTTCAGATGCTGTATTAGTTATAGGTCTAAGTGATTTCAAATATGTATTTTTTACGACTAGAGTGTATCTAAAATGTTTTTGAAAAAATAAATTGTTTTAGAAGTAAATAGTTTCGTCATGTTTAGTTTATAAAGGCATATTTTGGTACAAATCTTGAAGTGGGCCAACTAAAGTGGGAAGGGGCTCGTAGTGTACAGGTCGCCTATATTGGCCTAACAGATAATGTTGAAAATATCTTCAAAATTATGTAATCGTAAAATACTCTTCAGGGTATTGTATAGCAAGGTCTTAGCTTTAATTTAGATACTTGCCGAATCGGTTAAAAACTATTGAGCACTGAATATACCCATTTTTAGGGCTATTCAGACATTAAATCGCTTATAATGGTCAGCTTTAGAGAGAAGATAATGGGAATCTTTTTCATTTAGAATGATACAAAAAAACTGGAAAAAAGTTTGTCCGTGCAAAAAAATTCAATTTATTAATAAATGCTTAAACAAATTTGATCTCGGTTAGCATGCGGGTATGTTCAGTGCTTAAAAACTCGATTAAAATTATCTAACTTAAAGTTAGAACCTTGCTCTACAAGACATTGAAAAGTATTTTGATATTAGTTTATTTTAAAGCGATTCCAACCTTGTTTTTCATTCCAAAATCGGCGAAATTTTGATAATTACACTGTAATTTCCACTCTAGAATTATCGCCACATTATTCTGAATCTTTCCAGATTCCATGTTCAACACGTGGACACCCCTTCCGACGACCCAGACTCCAAAAATGTCTCTTTCGAGGCGCTACCCTACAAACCTCTCCAAGAAATCCAACTGAAAGACAACGAGAAAGAATTCGTACGAAGTCAGAAACTCAGGAGGGATACTCAAGACATGGAGAGGAACGTCATCAAAACAGAGAACTCAGACATTTGCAATCTGAAAATGGAGATTGTTAGAGGGGAAGCCAGCCTACTGGATAGCGCGGATGAAGACAGCGGGATTGAGTCCAGTACTTTGGAGCGAAAGTTAAGCGCCACTTAAAGGCTATCTTAGTGCATATATCGCTCTTAGATACTACTAATCACAAGGTAGAATTTATTTATTCAGGATTTTAAAGCGTTTTTATTATTATAGCAGGTTACAGTCGTTTAAAATTTATTTATTTGTATATTTTTTTATTTCTAAAGAACACAGTAAAACTGTGCAGTATAAAACTTGGAATGAAAATCTAAACAAATATTTCTAAAATGTAATCTGAGATACTTCAAAAGGCACGAAGAAACTTATTTGATGCTAGAAACCTAAATTCTTGTATATATTTCTTTGATTTTGCTGGAATTCAGTGACCAACGCCGCTTAAAAAACAAAAATATTTTGCGTCAGTGGAAGTTTTCCGAGAATTAATATTTTTAATTTTGCCTAATGTCCAAAACAATAATAAAATGTTTGATTTGTGATAGATTTGAATGTGCATCGCCATCTTCAGGCTGATTTTTTATGTGTTTTATTACTATTGTTTCTTTTGTAAGTCCAAAATCTGCCGGATAACTGTGCCAAGCTAAGCTATGTGGTCAAAGTTTTATTTTTATCATAAATTTTTAACAACGAATTTAATTCGCCAATATTCCAGACTTTAAACCTAATGAAAATCTAACCTTGAGGTTATTTTAGCTGTGACTCACAGGGCTTTTGTGGCTATACAATGGGTTGAGAAGCAGTGACTCACTGCATTGTCTCTTGCATCTCAACCAAAAAAAATTGTGTGCCAATACTTTTTTGAACCACTGTATGTCTCTCACTTTCACAGTGTCACAGCTCGTTGCGACTTATCAAATAAAAAACATTGTAACTTCTACTTCTACAGGAACCTTTCTGATTGGCTAATCTGACTCCAACCATCTTTGTGAGTAATATTTTCGTTTGATGAATCCAGAAAGGAGCCTAGTGTCTATAAAATTTTGGATTACTTAAATGGTGATGTGGGTTTTGTTTACGTAGTTTCAAATTCGACACGTTTTGTGATAAATTTTGTTAATATTAAATTTGAATATATTTTTTTAATTGTGTAACATTTTAGTATTCAATTCCTATTTTTAGCTTTAATAAGCACCTGAGGGTTGTACTTTAAACGAATTATTTGGATTGTCGCCTGAATATATTTATCTGAAATTGTGTTAAAAATTGTTTGTTTTTGGTTGAAGGTATACAGGGTGTGCTTAAAATACCTGTTATAGTATAAAGAGCTTGCCAATAAGGACTGGTCTATATTGAAATGACGTAAAACAAACTCTGTGAAAAGTATTAACAAAATACTTTTTTTCTTTGAAAACTCCATCTGTCATCATATGTGAAATATGACATAATGATGTCATGTTCCATATACAATGCTTGCCCCTACTTATTTTTTGATCGGGTCAAATTAGAAAGCTTAAATTCGGGGTAATGAAATTGATATGTGGATACTGTTTCAGCATAAAAGCGGCAGTTGAACATTTTAAGATGGATGCTGAGCACCATTTTGGAACATTATCTGAAAAGTATCGCTTACTGACATGTCTTAATAATTAATATCTCTCAGACTACTTGTTTTAGTCTTAAAATTATCTACTCGCCCTTTATTGGAAAACCCTTTATTAAAAAAAACGATGACAATGAGATTGGCGTATCAACATTTTCCAGGCAACAATCGACATCCAACTAACTGTTAAAGCTTTTTTGTTGATTAATGTTACTTAAGTGTTGTCGTTTTGTATTTGTGTATTGTTCTGTTGGAATAATGATCGCGCGTGTACACGAGGACAATAGTGACTTCCAGTCGTGGTTGCCATTAGTGGCCGGCAGTAGTTTGGCTTGTATGTAAACCCAAACCGAAGATTGACATATTCCACCAGAAGGCCCGATTCAATTGAAAACTGTGTCTGTGCAAAAACGAAACATTTCTACCGTGATAATGGTTTGTTCAAAACTCTAAGAGTCAGATTTATAACCCTTACTTGAAGCTTCTTTTGAAGCAATGGATCTCTCCTTGGAAACTGAAACGATGACGCTTCCTTGAGGAACTTCAAGGGAACAGTTGTGATCACAAGCTGTCATTGATGTCAGATGCATTTGATCGAGATACTAGAGAAATTTAAAGGGATCATTGAAAATGAGAACACACAGCAGCAAAGCAGATTGGTGCCAGTGGTTGCCTATATTGTTTTTCACTTCTCTGTGATTGCACTGTAATTTTAGGAAGCAAACACATTATTTTTTTCATTGTTTATTTATATTTAGCACAAATAAGCCAAATCGGCTCAATTTTATCATGACAATGCTAAATAGATACGGCTAGCAAAGAAAAATCTTTTTGACATTGATGCCAGCTTGGGATGACAACTGTTACAGCCTACTGCGAAGTGAAAATTTAAATCTATCTTGAACGTTCCTCGAGCAAGTGTTATTGTTTCACTGTTTCCAATGAAAGATCTCTTTTCAAGGCAGCCTCAAGGAACCTCTATAAATCTGACCTTTAAGACTTATTACGATTCCAAGTTGAATTTTTCATGAGCTTGTTAATCCCTTTAAATTCTTCGAAATAGCAGTTAATTGTGCATAGTCCGGGTACCTACCGAGGGACGCACAGCTTTGGACTAGAAAAAATGCATTCTAGTAATGGGTCAGTTCGAAAAACTGTACCACCGATTTCATCGGTATCTAAGAAGCACGCTGTTACCTAGCTGGCGTCAAGGATAGTTGTGTGATTGTATTGTGTATAGGAGGAAGAACAATCAACCAAGATCACAGCATTTAGGACGCTTGTACGTCCTCCACAGGGGTCACTCAGATCTGTATCGTCGGACAATTATAACAGGTGGTGATGCGATCCAGCGGAGTTTCCCTCACACTAGCCATACAGGGCCAACGTTAACTATGATCATTTGTCAGAATATTTCGAGCATCCGGCAAAATTATTGCAAAGTGTACTTTTGAAACTTTATTCTCAAACTTTTCACAATGGTAAATACCTTTTTCCAATTAATACAATCAACATCTTGCCTATCTAATCCCTTTTTGCCTCTAAGTGTGGATTTTTCCACGTTAACCATGTTTGAGAGTAATAATTTTTCAATTTTTCATAATTATAATTTTGATGTTGACATGGTGGATTTTTGTCACTATTCCTTTGAACTACTGTACCTGTTCGATTAGATTTGTAACACGGCCAACTTAATACTATGGGGTTGTCCAAAACGGACGCAGGAAAGTAAACGCATATTAAAACAAGAAAGATTGATATTCAAATCAAGTTGGGTACTTTATTTTGAAGGTTCATTTATACCATTTATGTATGAAAAATAATATCGCTCAAATGTTCACCACGACTGGATTTACAGACGTCCACGCGATGGTCGAAATTTTCAATGACATTTTGCAACATGGTCGGTTCTACGGCATTTATCTCGGCAATGATGTTGTTTTTGAGTTCTTGGAGGGTGGCTGGTTTGTTGACGTAGACTTTGCTTTTCAAGTATCCCCATAAAAAGAAGTCCAAGGGAGTCAAATCGCACGATCTTGGTGGCCATGGCACATTTCCTCTGCGCGAAATCACGCGATCACCGAAGAAGGACTGCAATCGATGGATATTGACGTTGGTTGTGTGGCATGTTGCACCGTCTTGTTGGAAATAAACATCGTCCATATCCATTCCTTCAAGTTGCGGCAAAAAATAGTCCTCTATCATCAAGTGATATCGCTCAGAATTGACGGTAACGGCGTTCCCGGCCGCATTTTGATGAAAAATTGGCATCAATTTGGTGGTGTTCAAGGAGCCAATCTGAGAACGTTCGGCGCGAAAAATGGTCGGCCCGACGCAGCTCTTGCGTCAATTGGATCTTGTAGGCGTGTACATTCAAATCCTTGTGGAGAATGCGGAGCAAACTGTTTCTCGAAATGCCCAATTCTTGGGATCGACGCGTTGTTGATTGTTTCGGATTGTCTCTCACACTCTCCTTCACAACAGCAATATTTTCCGGTGTGCGAACGCTCCTTGGCCAGCCAGAGCCTGGCAGATTTGCCACAGAACCTGTTGCCTCGAATTTACGCACAAGACGACCGATGGTTGTTTCGTTTGGCCGGTTGTTGCGACCGAAATGTTCACGAAGCGCGCGAAACGTGTTTTTTATTTTTGCACCATTTTTGTAGTGCTCTTGAATAACTTTAATGCGGTCTTCAATCGAATACGACTCCATAGCGATCAATGGTAAACATTCAACTAAAAAAAATGACATGTCGGTGACAGAAAACAAAGATGGCGTCTACGTCAAAGTGACGTTTACTTTCCTGCGTCCCTATTGGACAACCCTTTATATTACCAAAAAAATATCCGATATGACATGAGACACTTTGAAAAGTCTAGTGTCTCATAGATGCTGCAGTGGCTAAATATACTCATAGTCAATCTCGGTTCATCTAGGGAGGAATGTCACAATCTGCTCTCTGGATCCGCCCTTGGGAGATAGTTACTGGCAGTCACCAGTGTAGGTCACGACAAGTACAACTTATAGCCACTATTCGTCATCGTGTACACGCGCCTTAACTGATGTACAAACTGAAACTCGACGTCCAATAATTGATAATTGTTGTCTAATGTAGTATTGTAGCATTTTTATATGAGCATGTTCTTTTAAGGTACGACCGATTAGATTTTTTTGATTTTGTTCTATTATTGTAACTGATCGTTTCGTCAAGTTATTGTAGATATTACAGGACCGTATCGGACCTTTGTATGTGATTGGTTTTAGTATTTCTTTTATTAGTAACCAGAATTGTAATATATAATAATCAGTGTAATAAATATTCATTCAATTTTATTGCTTGTTGTTATTTGAAAACTTGCCTCCAAAACTAAAACGTGCAGTCGTATAGATAGATAAATATGATGTATTGTCTGAAGAATACAATAATTCTTAAAGGCAATTCTAAATTAGAACCAATCTACCTATAACAATTACATATGTGGATCGTGAGTAGGTGAACTGCAGAACTCGCACATTGTATATCTTTGAATTGTTAATTCTTTTGATAGTCTAATCATATTAACAAATTTTCCCGAATTATTGTAAAGTCTGGTTTTATTGGTGCAAGTTGTTCAAGGGGGTATTTAAAACATGATCGCTTAAAATGGGTACACCAATTTTTCTAGGAAATTTATTTATTTGAAAACAGTTAATGAGAAAACGTGTTTTTTGGGATTCAATCGGAAGTGTTGACAGGAACAAAAACACTTTTCATATAAGATTTTTAGGTATTTGTGAGACCTACAAAATTAGATCACACGTGAAAAGATCTGACTAATAGCAAAAATGTTATGGCCGAAAAACGAAACTAAATGCAGGTTTTGGCACTTGTTGGTAATGCGACGATAATTTCACGAAACTACTTGAAATTCTTCAAATCCGTAGGATTCATACTTCTAAATAACAGCAACAAAATTGGAGTATAATGGTCAAGTAGTTTTTAGAGAATTTCGAATTGAACAAATGCGCTACGATATTGGAAAAACATACGTTACTATACACATTTTAAAACAAAGCGGATCTGTCTTATAATCGTTTGTTGTGAATTACTCACAAATCCGAAATGTTTGAATTTGTTTAGAAGAAAAAACGTAACCCATCCTTTTTTGCATAAAAATAACATTTATCTTCCGGAATGGTTTGCGATTCATATCGGCAAGGTAAACTAGTGTATTTTCCTATAAAATTTCCTTTGAACTAACCCAGTATATTGCTCAATAAACTAGAAGTAATGGCCGGAAAACGAGTGTTTTAGGATAAACAATTAGAAATCCTCATAAAACTACTTGACCAATCTACTCCAATTTTGTTGTTTATTTAGTCGTACGGATTCTTCAAATTTGAAGAATTTCAAATATTTGCGAGAAACCATCGTCGCATTACCAAGTGCCAAAACCTTCAGTTTACTTCGGTTTTCGGCCATAACTTTTTTGCTATTGGTCGGATCTTTTTATGTGTGGTCTTATTTTGTAGGTCTCATAAATATCAAAAAATCTTATATGAAGAGTTTTTTCGTTCCTGCCAACACAAAAATTGGTGTACCTATTTTATGTTTTGAATAAACCCTTGAACAACTTACTGCAATAAAACCAGACTTTACAAATTATTTCGTAAACCAGTGGTATTTTCGTCTAATATGATTAGATTAGATATGATAGCATCAGAGAGACACATGTAGATTTTTCAGACCATTATAAATGATCGAGTCTTTCACAAGCGTTGATTTAGGTTCTAATTTAAATTTTTGTTTTCGTCTAATATTTTAAATTACAATTACTCAAGTTTTCAAATTTAGATTTACTTTTAAAAATAAGAGTGGCCGTTTCCAAAATGAACAATGATTCTACAGTCATTGTTTCAAGATTCACAAATAAAGGCCTGCATGTAGCTCTAGGATTGCTTTTAATTAAACAGGGTGACTTTGAAGTTGAGTCATTAATTTTCAGATAATGATTGTAGAAGGAAGATAAACCAAAATATGTGTGTAAAAATAAAAATAAAAATGTTACCTTGTTTTATAAAGTAGCCTCCCGACAAGTATTTCAGTGCGGACCTGTATTTGATCGTGCGGTCTTGGAGCACCGGCATGCCCTCCCCTGTGAGGTCTTAAGTCACCTGATTCACGAGCCCTTTCTAATACATTAACAAAGGCACGAGGGGTTGGTTGCACTCGATTGGGAAACCGATCCGCATAAATCCGTGATGCCGCGTAAATAAGAATCATGTCCACAAGTTCAGCATTTTCGTAAACATGTGCCATTTTTGATTTCGTTTGAGCCACGCAACAGACACCACTGTTCACTCACGCGTTACCGACTGACACTGACTGTATACAACTGAATAAAATAATTGTAAAAACATCGTTCCAAATTCTTTCGCTTTTTTGTTTCCGATGCGATGAACCGATAAGGCGGATTATATCCGTTGTTGCCAAACACGAGCACATAATATTATTATTGAGACAGTGCGGTACTCAAACTTCCAAAGGGCTATAACTTTGTTACTTTAATTTTACCAGAAAAATGTTAAAGGAAAAAAACATTTCTTTTGATCAGATCTACTCACTATTCAAATAAATGACTCAACTTCGAAGTCACCCTGTATATCTAATGGTTCATTTTTGTAGAATAAGCACTTTTTTAAATGTTAGGAACAGACACACCAAAACGGATTCTATATCTCAATCTACTTTCAAATAAGGTAAAGTTAACTACTTACCGCTTTGTTTTTCCCTACGTTAGTGTTGTAACTAATTGTTCTTATAATAAAGGAAATGATTCATAAAATCCAATGTATGAGCAATGGTCAGTCCCAAAAATTTGATGGTGTCTGTTTTGTGTATCAATTCATTATTTAAATTTATAAAATCAAAGGGGCATTTAAAAGTCATACAGTTTGTCTTATTTACATTGAAAGTCAAGTAATTGTTGTCAGATCATTTTTTGAGTGATTGTACCTCACTATCAATTTTGGTCTTCATTTAATATGTTTGTCTTGCTAAATTATTGTGGTATTATGAGCAAAAAATACTAATTTACTATTTATGTTTAGGTTTATTCAATCATTGATATAGACTAAGAACAGGATCGGATTCAATACTTGTAATTTTACAATCCTGGATAGATTATTTAAATATGTTTTAACAGGTAATTCCACCTTGTCATGGCGGTCGTATGCTACCGCTCCATACTTGCGTTCAAAATTCATTTATGCTGTGCCAGCGGTCGTTGATAGGCATATAATTATTATGGCAAAACACCACTGTGGCATGCACGCCTAGCTCAAGTTACCGGGTTTGAATGTAGCTTGCAAGGGAAAGTGAAAAATATGTCTGTAGTCGTTTTTGAACTTTTATTGAAAAATATATATAAAAAACATATGCAAGGTGGAACCTCCGGGAATTTAGTACAAAACAAGGCTATTGAATATCTCGATTTACATAAGGCTACTGAATATTATTTTAATAAGTGAGGTACCCCTTCGCATGATGCACATTAGGTAACGACTTTTCTCACCCTGCTTTTTGGAATTTCCCTTGCACATTTTTAGCATAGCAACCTCTGCAGTATTCTACGCTACGAACGAAGAAAACAAACTAACCTAATTGCAAAGGATTTTTATTTCATATTTCTGACCCGAAGTTCACAAGGTCAAACTCGCAAAAGACGACCGCTAGATCGACCGATTGGCACTAAGAGAATGATAGTGTCAGTTATGCGCGACGGGCGTATTCGACCGCTGACTTATTTTTGCCAATATGTATGCTAATAAAAAAATATAAATAAAAGTAATTAGTATAGCATCTGATGCAAGAAGCTTCACTTTTTTGAAGTTGGCACCAGAGAGATTTACTACGATCTTTCATGGCAGTCAAACTGATAAACCAAATGAGTGAAGTTCCAGTAAAACCATATTTGTCTAATTTTTTTCATAAAATATGATTTACACAGTCAAACGGATTATAAAGGTCACAAAAAAGAGCTAATGAAATTTGACTATAACTGTTGGAGTAATCTGAAAATAGCATGTATGGTATTTTTTGTTTTTGAAATCCAAATGGGTTGTCACTGATAATTTTGTTGGTCTTTAGAAATTCTTTTCTATTATCTTTGCTGAAATAGTAATTAAGCTTATAAGTCTATAATTTTCTGGTAAATCGCTTGGACCTCGACGACTATTGATCTTTTTAAAAATTCTGGGTAAACACCTGTGTTAAGAGAAATATAAGTTTTGTGAGCGAATTAAGAGCTAGATTAGCTAGAACATTTGCAGATATTTCACCAATGCCTGATGAAGTCATTCTGAGCCGTACTTTTGTTGTTGAGGCTTTTTTGTCATCTCAGGATCCAAACAATATGAACATGTTTACTTAATATTCAGTGACTTTTCTGTGTTGGTTCCATTTAGTTTCATTCGATTATGATACTTAGAGTTCGCAGACGCGCTAATTTCACTCAACTTTCCGAGTTTGAGAGGGATCGGATAATCGGGTTACGTGAAGCAGTATTTTTTTTAGAGAAATCGCTAATCGGTTGTCGAGAGTGGTTCCAAGGATGCAGAAATCGACGAGTAAGAGGTACTGGACGTCAGAGATAGACTACAGAGCAACAGGATCGTTATTTGAGGCAACTGGCACTTAGAAATCGATTTTCCACAACAAGGGCAGTTGCGAACCAAATTCAGATGGCCTGGGATACGATACACGATACACCAAGAAGACATCAATCAATGCCGCGACGACTTAACGAATGTGTGGCGAACAGAGGAGCATTAAGGTGGGATATCTCAGCTATTTTGCGAAATTTCGAGTTCAAATTTTATTCACTTTCTATTTATCAGTAGTCCTTAAACTTGGAAAAATATGCTCAAAATTACAGCACTCCTAGTCGGTATTGCAGTTTCTATGTCATTTAGTATATTACACGATTTTTAACGATTCGAATTCAGCGCTAAAATTACTAAGTGTACAAAGTTTAATTCGTTTGTAACAACGGAAGACAAAAAAGGAAATTTTGTACTACAAGTCCTACAACATTCTTGTGGTTCGTATGAGAAAACTGTCAAAATCCCCTGCCCAACAGTGATGTGTGGATGAACGCTTGTTTTCAGGATGAAATGATTGCGTAGATTCCGACTCAGATGATTGGCGCTAGGAACGACAGGGAGCTCAAAGCGACCCATTTTATACAGATACGCAAGTCCCCCGCGCCCACTTCTAGCTGCACTACTGTGGCTACTTCAGAAGTCAAAGGTTGTCAGACACACACAACCACATCCTAACTCGGGTGACAGTGATGCTATAAAAACGTTATTTTCGTCGTTTCACAATTGAATTAGCATCGATAGCGATAATTTATTATGTACGGCAAAACAATGAAAAGAAACAAAAACATGAAACTTTGGGTACATGCCTTCATCTCTGGTAAGACCAAAGAGGAAGAGAGATAGATATTATCATGTTCTGAATAAGCCAAATTAATTCTGATACTGTTAAGAGTACTCATAATTTCTGAAAAAGAAGCTCAATAAAAGCACTCTATATGTCTATAAAAAAAGATCCACGAGTCATATCTATAATGAAATATAACTGTGTAACTTGCCATATTCTGGAAAAACGCGATTTTCCCGAAAAATAAGTCGACTAGAAAATTCAGAACTTATCTCGTAAGAACTACAGAAAAGTTCCAACAACGGATCGATTCAGACTAAACGCCGATCTCTGATAGGTACCTGATGTTGACTCACGATACACACATACACTGAAGATAGGATATTGCGCATGTGGGCGGAGCTTCGTGACGTCACCCAGAGAGTTATCGGCTCGTGGTTACCAGCGGCAGGATTGTCGTAACGTTACTGCAGTTCACGTGTATCGTGGTTAATACTATGCGATTTGTTGGTGTTTTTTGGTGGTTTTGTGACTTGTATTAGTTATACATCTTATATACCCTGTATGGTTGATAAATTGATAAAAATGCGGTGTGCTGTTGTGGGATGTAATTCCGACAATCTAAACGGAATCTTTGCAAAGACCTGAGGTTCCAGTTTTCCTCAAGACCCAAACTTTAGCAAAAAAATGGCTACATCTCACAAAAAGATAAGACAAAGTCAATGTAAAAAGCGCTAGGGTTTGCTAGAAAATGCTCTAGAGGATCTGAATCGACGAAAGATAGTCTTCATGACCATACAAGTCCTCTAGAGTTTAACGGAGGCGCATACTCAGAGTACCTATTGCAGCGTAGAGTCAGAGGATACTCCAGACATTCCTCTAACCGCATCATTAACGAGAATAAACTGAATGCACCTGAAGTATCAGCTGACTATACTGAGCAAGTTTTAGTGGAAGAAATAGATGAGCTCGAGTATGACGGGCTGGAAAATTTGGCCGGCTTTGTTTGCAATAAATTGCAGGTTCAGAAGTTGAAAAGTTCCTCAAATGAAACTTATTCATGGATAAACCATCTTAGTGAGGGTGGATTATATCAAAACCTTCCACAACTTTCATGAATCAAATTGAGAAGCTGAACAAGGTATTCACTACATTCAATGGGGACTGAATAGTGACAAAATAGCAAAATTTTATAGGTGAACTTCTGTTGAAGAGCAACATTGACTGCCCTGCAAAAGCTAAAAAACTGTTTTTCAGGTCAAGGATGTTCTTCCGGATCAAAGAACTGAATGAAAGTTTGAAAGACCAGAAAAATCGTAAAAGGAAATGGAAAAAAATTGTTGCTTAGACTAAGTCATTTCCATTTATTGTTATACCACCACCTTACTGCAAAAAGAAGATAACTCCATTTTTCTACTTTTCGAGTTGCATACTTACATGTACTTAGGATGTTCTGTGAAAAAAGGATAAATGTAGTACAGTATTATGACATGAACATGTTAATCCTGCTCCACAGAACATACCAAAATAGAGGTAATGTAGAAAAATGGAGTTATCTTGTTTTTACAGTGAAGAGACGTTACGCTCTATTGTGGAGTTAGAAGCCGTTTAAGCTATAGCTTGTGAAATAGGAATTACAGGGTTGAAATCTTTTATTAAAATCCACCATTTTGTTTTGTATAAAATTTTAATGTAGCTAGTGTCACTCGCACCGCTAAGACGAATCCAACGACACCTCATATGTGAAAATCTATCAAGCCGTTTGATCTGTAGGTGAAAATATGCACGTCATCCAAATCAACCCAAATGATAATGATGATGTCATGAGCGCCGGCGGACGAAAATCGAACAGCGGACCATACGGCCCTGATGTTGGCTGTTTTTCACAGCTCACTTAGTTTTTTCTTGTCTGCGCAGAGCATTCACAAAAGACTAGTTTTTTTCCAGTAATGAAGTTCTTCGGCCACGAACAGCTTTTTTAAATAGATCTTTTTTGCAACTAACTGAATGTATACAGAGGGCTGCACTATTAGCGATACTGCATTGACAAAATTTGCAAACTTGAATAATTCGTCGTTTGAAAAATAATTCTTTTTGGTGACAAACAATTTGTGGTCGTTAAGGTGCGATTTTTGCTGCTGATATCAATGTTCCATCAGTATTTTGATCGATTTTGCAAAGGTCTGGTCGAATATGCGTAACCCATCATTTTTTGCATAAAAATAACATGTATCTTCCGGAATAGTTTGCGATTCATATCGGCAAGGTAAACTAGTGTATTTTCTTATAAAATTTCCTTTGAACTAACCCAGTATATTGCTCAATAAACTAGAAGTAATGGCCGGAAAACGAGTGTTTTAGGATAAACAATTAGAAATTCTCATAAAACTACTCGACCAATCTACTAAAATTTTGTTGTTTATTTAGTCGTACGGATTCTTCAAATTTGAAGAATTTCAAATATCTGCGAGAAACCATCGTCGCATTACCAAGTGCCAAAACCTTCAGTTTACTTCGGCTTTCGGCCATAACTTGAATTATTCGTTGTTTGAAAAATAATTCTTTTTGGTGACAAACAATTTGTGGTCGTTAAGGTGCGATTTTTGCTGCTGATATCAATGTTCCATCAGTATTTTGATCGATTTTGCAAAGGTCTGGTCGAATATGCGTTTTTCTCGTACACAAATTTCTGTAGTAAAGCATTCTAAATATTATTTGTTTGATCCCAAATAAAAAACGATATTTCATTAAAAAAGTATGTATTAAATAGTAACGTTCCAAATAGTTTTTAAATAAAAACAATATATTTTTTGTTGCTGACAACATTCTTATGCATAATAATACAGATTAAATAATGGGGTATTTCATAAGTTTGTTGATGATAATTGATTAACAATTTTATTTTTGAGAGAAATTTCCCTTCTTCCATATAATAACTAAGCCCTGTAGATCACTTGTAGCAAGAAGAGATTCATCATAGTTAAAACTAATACCAAGGACAGCACTAGAATGTCCTTGTAGGGTGTTTACAACAGACTTGCTGCCTATCCTTTCAATATCGATGAAATAAATGCACCCGTCTTCGCTACCAGTCACTAAAAATAAAATAAAAATGGCGTTGCTGCTCACAATGTTGTATGAAAAAATCAACCAAGATACATACCAACACACGCTCCTTCTCTAAAAGACATTATTGGACAAAATGTAGATCTGACTGTATATCTCTGGTGCCGATTCTGAAATTTCCTTTTCAATCCTAAGTAACCTTCATAGTTGAGAACACTAAAAATAGGTACATTATATAATTTATAATGGATTTCCAAATTACGTGGACGTTGTCTTTGAATAAAACCAACAATGTTAAAAATATCGGATCCGTCAACGCCAGATAGACAGAGCCGTATTTTGTTTTGGTTTATTGTACGCTATAGATTCATTTTGTACTTGCTAACAACTCTTTAATTTAGAATAGTTCATTTGCATTCAAAAAAAAACTCAGCAAGCAAGTTTTACTAGATTTACACCCGATTCATTACTGCCAATGTTACACAATAATATAAATATGACGCTTGCTATACTGTTTTTTGCGTGCAACAGGTCAGCAATGAGAAAACCATTGCTCGTCTGTATTTAACTGAATATTAAATCAAATTATCAGACGATGAGGCTTCAAGTTCGGGGGTGAAACAGAAAAATATTCAGAATCTTATAAACAAGACTGGCAAACGTAGTTTCAATTGTGGTTGCAAAGGAGTTTGAAGAGCGACCTGTAGGCTAATTGTACATGCTGTAATGAAGCATTCAAGATTTTTTCAGGAGCAGATGCCCCCAACAAAACCTGTCTTGTGTACTAGTATGTGCGCAAGCAGCAAGTCCCTTTAGATCCATCGCTGATCTTGTGAAGGTCCTGATTTTTTCCTTCTATCGATTTTGTCCTTGAATCTACCGAATTTCAACGATACTGTCTACCGATTTCGTCTTTTTCGGTTCGACAACACTGGTTTCTGGTCGGTTATGGTAATAAAGTGCTTATCAATGTTTAATTAATACCCACAAACATAACAGGGGCCACGAGATGTTTATAGACTAGAGAGTGAGGATGAATCTTGAATCTTTCTTATGTATTTGCAGAATTTTGCTGCGTTTCTCCATCGTAAAATGACCATAATTAAGTCCCCCGGTCTCTAGTTGACATGCGCAATAAAAAATCTTCATAGAAAATTATTGACTGAGAACACTTTTATAAATTCGCAGTATTTCAATCTAAATTTCGACTTTGGTTTATTTATTTACCTGAAAATATAGACTGAACTGTCTGTTGCATTGACAAGCAGAAGCGGATTTCTTCCTTCCCGACTTATCCAAGCTCTGTAACTTAAACTGGTGACCCAGCAAGAAGTTGGCAAAGAGATCTTCTTAGTTCTGGTCAAACTGCCATTAAGCTCACAAAATACAGAAAATATTTCACCCTGGAAATATATTTTCACTACAAATGTGAATTGATTCTGTTCAAGTTTTATTTTTGCTCTGAATGAAAGCCTATACACATAATGTAGCACGTTTTGAAAGAGCAATCGTATGGCTTATTGCCGTTTTATTTCTATACCTAGTCATACGACATGGTTTGGCATGCTTGGCAGCCCTGCTAGGCAAAATCGCGAGCGATGCTTTAGGCATCGCATGATTGATAGGTGGTACGATCGTTCTTTTAGAACGCGATACATGGGCTCTAAGATGCAATAATTATTTTTAGACAGAAACATACCTTGTCATTGCCAACCCAAAAAACATGACCATTAGTGTCCGAAGCAATACTCAAAACTTGACCACCTATTTTACAAACATTTTTCAAAAATCTTCCAGTTGACACATTTGCGATTCTGAGCTCTCCTTTATTATTTCCTGTCTAATAACATAACATTAAGGAAAATTACTCATATTTTGACAAATATAATGATAATATATTTCTCAAAAAAATGTGTTCACTCAAACTTCTGTTATGTTATAAAAGGATACTAGTATCAAATTATTATTTGTTGGTTGAAAAATACAGCACAATATTTGTGCGTTATTTGGATCATTGAGTGTTCTCAAACAACTATAGTCCTCCACCTTCCATACTTTTGCTGTCCCATCTAGAGAGCAGCTTACTATAGAGTCATTGTTCACAGACCAATCAAAGCCTAAAATAAATATTTTTTTTAATGATCAAGAAGTATCTTTTGCAATAGAAGATTTGAACTGTAAAGATTGAAGTTACCTGAAACAGCACTAGTATGTCCTCTCAGAATTGAAATGACAGATGGTGGGTTACTTGAGACATCACAAATGGACAAAGTATGATCTAGAGACGAACAGCAAAGCCTTGACTTATCATTATTAGCAAATTTGATCATGGTAACTGCTTGTGTATGCTAAAATAAGTAATCATCATCGAAACTCATTCTTGTATTTGAGAAGAATTTTTAGATGTTTAATGGGCAATAATACAAAAGAAACACAAAACCAGATAATACAGATTTAATGCTGAGGGTGCGCAAAACATGGCGTCAAATAGGTTCACTGTACTTTCCACATAATTCTATCATATTAATGGGAATCCAAACATTGTGAAGTCTTTAAACTGAAGTGTTCCAGCAGTTTCGCTAGTTCGAGCTCGCGCTGTTTGTTGTGTTACTATCAAAATGTTCGTGGGTTGCGTCAGCTGTCATTGCATCAACCCGGATTTGTCGCTAATCGCTCAACAACCACAAATCTATTTATAATAACGCAGTACGTCTCGGAAGCCATTGATAGTAATCAGCAAGTTGATGTTATTTATACCGACTTTTCGAAGGCTTTCGATAAAATTAACCAGAAAACTTTATTAATTAAGTTAGGTGCACTTGGTTTCACAGATGATCCTAGGGAGTTGATGAAATCTTACTTATCCGATCGTAGACAATTTGTTAGCTATAATGGCTTCCAATCTGAGACCTACTTGCCACCTTCTGGAGTTCCTCAGTGGTCCAACCTGGGACCATTACTGTTTTTGATATTTATTAATGACCTCTGTGACTCAGTTGAACGCCTATGCTTTGCTGACGACCTAAAAATTTATTCGCAGATAAATACTCCTGATGATTGTATCAAGCTACAACACCAATTAAATTTTGTGCTGTCTTGGTGTGTAGAAAACAAGTTGGAGCTTAATGTGAGGAAGTGTAAAATAGTCAGCTAAAATCAATGTTTGCGAATATCCGTACTCTATTGATGGGTCTGTGCTAGAAAGATGCTCTGATGTACGTGATTTATCTATGATCAAAAGTTAACTTTTAGTCAGCATATAAATAAAAAAGCATCAGAAGCATTGGCGGCTTATGGTTTCATAGTAAGGAATTGCAGGAATTTTCATAACATAAAGTCTATTAAGTTATTATATTATGCTTATGTTAGATCTAAAGTCGAATATTGTAGTATTATTTGGAGCCCTTACTATAAATGCTATAGCACAGCTATTGAAAGAGTACAACGGAAGTTTATGAAGTTTGTTCTGTTTAGGATTGATGGGACATATCCAGACGAGGTACAAGTAATGAGGAACTATGTAGTCGCTTAGACATGTTGACTTTGAAAAAACGTAGGTACTGTGCCTCAATAATATTTGGCTACAAAATGATCAACAATTTAATTGATTGCCCCATGATCCTGGAACAGATCAAGTTTCGTACTCCAACGTTTGCATCTCGCAATCATAAAATATTCGGGCTTCCTAGAGCTAGGACAAACATGCTTCTCAAGTCAGCGTTATATGTAATGTGCTCTAACTTAAACAGAATTGGATGTTACTGTGATATATTTACGACAAATGTTAATTACCTGCTAAAGGCAGCTAAGGCTTATTCGGACCAATAGCTCATGTTACAAATTTATACCTGTGTTGCATTTGAGGTTTTCTTTTCGCTTTTTTTTTGCTTTTGTATTATGTTTATAAATTGTCCTATAAATGGGAAACTGTTGGACAATAAAGCTATTATTATTATTATTATCATTAGATTATGTACAGTTTGTTTCCAAACATAACATAATTGCATGTGGAAAACAGAGTCGACCTACTTGACGCATGCCAATAAAAACAGGAAGCACACTGCGATCACGAAATGAAGCTAACGACACGCGGTGTTCCCAAGTGGTCACCCATCCAAGTACTAACCGCGCCCGCCGAAGCTGCTTAGCTTCGGCGATCGGACGAGAGCCGGCGTTCTCAGCGTGGTATGGCCGTTACCTGATGTAATTTACTCTGTTTGGTGTTATATAATTTAATGGATAGAAAATATTTGTTACTATTTTGTCTTATTACTAACAAATGCATAGGATTACTAGGATTTGAAGCTTAATAATAGAATATGATGATTTTTATTTATCTTTTTGTTATTGCTCATAGCTCCCCGAATGGTGGCTCGATTTTAAAAACCTACTACCCTTTTTTGTCCTTGGCATAGTAGCATATAATTGTGAGAAACATCCCAAAATGATAAAAAATAAGCATTTCAGGAAAAAAAATTGCAAAAATGAGTAGCGAAAAAGCAGTGAGTAAAATGAGTCTGTGAACACAAACTTATGATAAATTTTTTGTTATAATACCTGGTCAAAAATGTGATGAACCCCAACAAATGCATAGTTTTCACCAATTGTAGTTCCACCAACAAGAGCTTTTGAGGCCTCTGCATTTTTTGTTGGTACCACAGATCCAGAGGGTGTAGAGCCAATGCCAGATTTTTCATTTGACTATACATGAAGCAATACAAATAATATTAAGATATATAGTATAAAAGGATAGTATAGTTATTTTTTTACCTGGTTTCCTAGTGAAGCAAGACTACCACTTACTGAACTGTGTTCTAGTTTCAAATTTCCATATCTCTGCTGTAAGAGCTGTGAACGTATCTTCAAATACTGCTTCCATTTTTCTGTGGATCTACTATTAGCTTCTCGCAATAGTTGACTACGTCTTCTGATGTACAACGTTCCTGGATAAAATTTTATCATCAGGAATACTTGTTAACCGAAGTATATGATTAAACTTACGAAAATTTGGGCTCTGTGGAGCCCTATGTGCATTATACCGTGCATCCAACGCAAAAACCTGCTGTTGTAGGGCTGTCGTCATACTCACGATTAGTGGACTGACCAGATCAACAATAGCATTTAAATTATAAATAACAGGTTAGCACATAAATAATACATCTATATATAAATACCAACGACGATAAATACACATCTCACAACAAAACAAACACAGCTGATAATGACAGTGACATGACTCGATGCATAGACGCAGTTGGCGTGCAGAGTTGCCATATCACCTCAATTTTCTATGAAAGATAGAAAAGGAAAGTTGCAGATGTGCCAAATCCTCTTCTACAATTTCGAATCGAAATCATTCATTGATTTCAAATGATTAATACTACACAACGAAAAAAGTTGTTTCGAGAAACAAAAAGCAGTAGGCACATTATATGCAATAATAACAGGGTTTTTAAATTATATGCGTTGCGATCATCTCGATTTCGAGAAGCAATATCAAAAATTTAATAAACGAACTGCATCTCAGGGTATTCCTGCTGTATTTGTACGCATCGTTTTTAACAACGCATGCCACCTACAAATGAATTATTTGTGACGGTAAAACTGCTTTTTACTTCTTTAATTTATGAAATTTTGCACATGTGCGCTACTCGAACACAAAATTTTTAACACCTGAGTGGCACGAGACCGAGAAGAGATAAAAAGCACTTATACAAACGGTTGAAGCATTGTGGTCTACGAGTGGTTCCCATGACCTTTGAATTAGCAAAGTTTTTTCAAAGATTGGATTCATAAAGTGTCAGAATAAACACTGAAAGTTCACAAAATGAACATATCATCTTTAATTTAATATCTTGTAGGCTATTGTTTGAAAGCAATAATTAAATTCATATTCTTAGTGTTATTTTTTAAAAGTGTGAGGGCTTAATAATTGTGGTGTTGGACGATTTCAAGACATGGTACTTCTTAGACAATTTACAAAGAACAACACACGCTTAATGAAGGTAGATATTTCCACCGGTAAGTATTACTGTTGCGTTGATACAACGCTGTCACTTTCGTAGGCGTTGGTTGACAAACGAGTCAAAAGTAATTACCAAAACTAGGATATTTTGACGACAAACAATGCAATCAAACAATATACAGGGTGTAAACGTTATGGTAGTCATTATTGAAATGGTTAATAGGTGGGGGGGGTCAAAACAAGACAAAAAGTTCATAGGACCCATGGTCCAAAAATCAATAGATTTCTGTCTAAACGGCTTTATAGTTTACAACTTTAAGTGCTTTATATCGACCTCAATCACCATAATCTTACTAGTTTTTATAATCTGATCTAAAAAGTTTTTAAATTGGGTAATTAACAAATAAATGGCATTGGGTTTTTCTAAGTTAAGCCAAAATTTGTAGTGAGTAAGTAAATTTCATTGAATTAAATATTTAAACCACACATGACAATAGCGCGTCGTCATCACTCTTATTGAACCGACAATCGATCGCAAACGGTACGTGGTTAGTTATCGGGCATCGGGCGTCGTGTTTTGCTTTTGTTCGCGTACGTCGCCGTGTTTGTTTACGAATCAAGAGTTCGCCGACATGTTGTTAGTTTACGGTGAAGCTCGTCAGAATTCAAATCTTGCAGCTCAAATTTAGCGCGACAGATTTCGTCAACGGGTACACCCAGACAGAAGGGCATGTGTGCAAGTGTACCAAAGACTTCAAGATACAGGAAGTGCTCAGCCCACTAATATTCGCACGCGTGAAAGACAGGTTACTGTAGAGCAGGAGGAACAAACTTTAAAAACCATGGAAATCGATGCAGATATCAGCACTCGGGAATTAGGCCGCCGCGTAGGACTATCGCATACCCTTTTCGTCGGGGGCCTTTTTTTCGTCTGGGGACTTTTTTTTGGCCCTGAAAGAATCTTACCTCGGCCAAGACTTCAGGGGCCCCTAAAAATACTTCAAATGAACAATTTTTTTTTTCAAAGTGGAACAATTGAAATTTTTTTTCTTAGTTTTATTAGATTATTGTAGATTTTGATAACAATAATTTGACCTCGCAATCTTTGCCATTTTGGGGTGATTCTGTCTGTGCTTCTGTGGCGAATTGAAATTGATTCTGCGTTGATGTGCTTGGTTCAGGTTCTGAAGATGTGGATGTGGATGATAACCAATTCACAATTTTACCGGAAATCTTTTTTGCTTCATCTTCTTTTTTTCGTTTTGCTTCTCTTTTTTTCGCCCCACTCAAATAAACACGTTTCATGGTACTGAATAACGTGAGAATGGATTAAAACACACAAAGCACTTGAAAACTATGTACAAACTTTTAAATTATACAGTTGTTAAATCCATTGTTTGTCATTAACATTGATAAACAAATGAATGCTGAGTACGCTCGAGCCGCTTTCTGAAATAAACAGAATGTCGTCGATGAGGTGGGTATGGCTTATCCCGCACACAACAGCACACAGTATTCATCCTCTCTCACCGACGCTCGCTTACGCATTAGGTATATTCTGGTATATTCTTTAATTCACGGGTTGATTCCATCACTGATGGATCCGGTGAACTCATGGTTGACAGCTGATGTGATGACGTCAGCAACCGGTTCCGTTGAATGGTCGTTAATAAAAAGACGCATTTTTAGCCTTCAGGTTGCTCTGTCATATGAGAAAACCTAACCTTTGTTTTATCGTAAATGGATACTTGTTAATTTGAACATCGAATCATTTAAAGTCATTATGGAAATGTACGCAGCAGTTGGTATTGTCGTGGAACGTTTGTTAAGCGATTCGAGTGATGATTCGGATGAAGACGTTATCCAGCGGAGAGAATTTGCGCTCCGAGAATCAATATAAGAACTATAAATCTCAAAAACCAAGAAATTTTCAGATATCCACGATCTCAAATCACTACGAGGCATTGATTTGAGATCGTCGATGCTTCCCGAATAAGAACCATCGATATGGATTTTCTGAGAGCATTCCTGTTTTCATACAGGAATAAAAACAGAACAAAATCAGAAAATCAACATTTTCGGACTTACGAGGTATTGATTTGAGATCGTTGATATGCATAATTCAAAACAAATTGACTTGCTTTCAGATGCTCTGTTTATTTCAAATTGTGTTGAAAAAAAAAACATTAAATTTCACGCGACTCCTATGCTGCTAACGTCAATCTTTTCTTCTTCCATTGTTTTCACACAAAACTGTAGTTGTCAAAAACTGATAAAATGTAGAGGTTATAATATCATGGATCAACCGAGCCGCGAGCCCGAACGTCGGTGGATGCTGTTGGCACCGGTGTGGCATATACACCATCAATATAGAGACAAGTTTGATGTACAACCGGTCGTTCCAGCGGAAATTAAAGGAAGCAAACTTGGCTAACCGGTTGCTCAACCGTGAATCAGTGAATTAAAGAATATACCTATTTACACACTCGCTAAGCCACACCCACCGTCTCGACGTTTTTCTGTCCATTTCTCGCGCAGAGTCGGCAATTCTGATTCTAGTAACTTTGACTCTTGGTAACACTGACATCAGACACAGACATCAGCAGCTGATGCGTCGAACAGTGCTCGATCTCCGTATATGCGCGGGAAATTCAAACGTTATTTAGGCAATTCTAAGGGTAGAGTTGAAAAAAAAAATCGTATAGGGGGCCCCAAATTTCCTTGCTGCCCCAGGGCCCCCGAGGCTCTAGCTACGCCACTGAGCGCAGGCCTTGTTACCAGAAGACTATCCTCGCAGACTAACATTCTGTCAGTGGTTTTTGCACAAAAACATTGAAAATCCGGATTTTTTTTAAAACATTTTAGCGACGGACGAATGTACTTTTACGCGAGACGGGATATTAAATTTCCATAATACTCCCACGTGGGCCCAAGAAAATCCTCATACCATTCGTGAAGGTCATTTCCAACGACGTTTTAAAATAAATTTTGGGCGGGTATTCTTGACGATCAGGTAATTGGCCCTTTCGAGTTACTCTAAAAATTTTTCAGGAGAAGGATACCTTAGCTTTCTGGCCAATAACCTACCCGAACTTTTGGAGCAGACCTTAGACAACATGCCATTACAACGGAGACAGAATTTGTGGTTTCTTCATGACGGGGCACCACCACGCATTTTTAGAGGCGTCATTCAGTATTTGAATGAACATTATCCAAATCGCTGGATCTGTCGAAATGCTCCTGATCCTCGAAAATGGCCAGCAAGATCTCCTGACCTCAATCCAATGGAGTTCTGGTATTGGGGAGAACTTAAAGGGATGGTTTATGGGGCTGGTCCAATAACAACTGAAGCACAACTTCGCGAAAAAAAATGTAATGCGGCTGAAATAATAAATGGACAACTTCGAGGACCTAGAGTAAGATGAAACTGGGTTCGTCGTAATGAAGCTTGTATGGAAAGTGGAGGACGACATTTTGAACACCTTCTTTAAACGCAAAAAAAAAGTGTGGGTTTTAAAAAGAAAAACAATGTATGTATCAAAATTGTGTTCCCTATTTATAAGTGGATTTTTTTAATAGGTTAAATAAAGTTTCATACACCAGGTGGAGCGCTGAAACAGTTGGTTGTAAGTCCGTTTTTTTAATTGTTTGCATTTTACGAGCACATTATCAAATAATGAAATAATACCTAAGAGTCAAAAATAACAAACTCGATTTTTATTTACACTGCGTTCCGTCGTAATTTGCGTCTGGCATTGCGGCGTTGTCAGATTTTATTTTACTTTAAAGTCGTTTTTCTCTAAAAAAATGCCGTTTTGACCCCATGTTATATGAATCTTTTTGCTTCTTTTAACCCCCTCTATCGCCCATTTAAATAATGAATATCATAACGTTTACACCCTGTATTATAGACTTTGCCCCTAATCTATTCGAATTCGTTAAGGCTCGATGACACGAAGCTAGTTTACTCGCCACTAGTGCGCTTTTTTACTAACCGGCAAGTGAAATAGTTGGCGTGTAAAAAAGCATACATGATTACACGTAGCTATATAGTTAACAAGCTAGATTTTGGTCCGCACACTTCTTTCGTGTTTCTCAAAGCGTCAATATGGAGTGGAATGGAATCTATGAAAACTATCCCATATTATGGAATATAAAACAAAATAATTATATGGATGCAAAATTGAGGGATTCTGCGTTCAACAAGTTATGGGACGAATTAAAAGCCGAAGGTCTAGTGGAAGATATGACATGAAAGTAATAAGTGAAAGCAAAAATAAAAAGTATTAAAGATGCCTACCGCCAAAAATTGGCCAAAATTGAAAAGTGAAAAAAAGCGGTATGGGAACTGATGATATCTATAAACCCAAATTAGTTTGGTTTGGTAAAGCTTCTAACTTGTAGCTAGTTATTTCGCCGATATAATTACACGATGCTTTTTACTATCCCGATAGTGAAAAAGTCAGCTAGTAGCTAGTAAAGTTGACCGGTCTTCAACTTTACTCGCCAACATATTGGCCAGTAATCTATCCGGATAGTTTACACGCTACCTAAATTACACAATTATAGCAGCTAGTCAAAAAGCGGACAAGCAGCGAGCAAACTAGCTCCGTGTCATCGAGCCTAGCAACACCGATGAAATATATTTACCTGTGAGCATACATGGAGCATGGAGTTTTCCGTTGTAGATACATAGGCAGCCAGTAAAGTAATTGTATGTAACCAAACACACCAAACCAAACCAAACCAGTCGCCAAACCTGAATTAGTGGTGGCCTATGTGTCTTAACATGACGTTTCCATTTACGAAAGCTGATAAAAACGCTATTTGGATGTGATTTAACTAAAAGGTTAGATATGGAAAAAAAAAACACTGAGAGTGTTATAAGAAATATTTATTTTTATTTTGTATAAATAATAGAATCCATAAAAAAATAAAGTTCTATAAAGATAATATATTGAATTGCTCTATTTGTTTAGCATAAAATCGACAGTGACAAAAATTATACAAATTATCGACCACGCTATGACAAACATGATCCACAAGGAATTTCTGAAGGGGCTAGAATATTTGTGCTTAATGGGACCGAAGTCTCTAGCGCACTGTTTCCTCGCATAAAGTACTAAGACAGCAGGGACAACATATTGTACTATCACCCCAGCATAAGTGCCTGTTATCTCCACTAAATATTTTATGTTGTGCGTTGATAAAGCTACAACAACAGGTGGTAGTACGGCCATTGTTGGAAATACTAAGTGGTTTATAAAAAAATTGTATCGCGCGGTATCAGAGCTTTGATCTAACATAAGGTTCTTTAAGTTACTTTGTAAAGTTATAGCAATAATAGGAAAACTTGTCGACATGGGAAACAAAGGGAATGCTCCTAAAAAGAACCCGATTATTTTTCCAAAGAACGTTGAATTCGTCATGTGAATGAAATTGAGAGAGTACAAGTCATCCAAAGACTCGAATGCGAAGGACCCTGTCATCGCGAGTAAAAGATAAAATGAAAAAATGAGTAAAAAATCAACGCTGAGTTTTGGCATTAAGTGGTGTTTATTCGAAATCGGAGCTATCAAGCCTGGTAATGAATGGTGACACATGAAGCTATATACACTGGAGCCTGCTAAAGCAGGTACTTCTTTCAAATTGATCATTTTGGGGTGACCTTGGGGACCGTGATTGATCAATCTGATTGCCGCTAGGGACACCATGATTGCAAATGCGAACCATCTAATACTGATTGTAAATAACTGGAGATATTTGGTTTTTTGTACGTTGAAATAAGTAAACGGACCAACAAGTAAAGCAAAAAGTGTGACGTATATTCTATACATATCCATTCTAGTAATATCTGAAGATTCCCAACATCTTACGTCATAATCTTCAGTGCTGTTATCTTCATTACAGCTCAAATTGACTAAGGTTTTACCTGATGCAACAGCGTAAATAGCTAAATCACCGAATAAGTAGATACATAAAGATGAGAAAAAAAGGGTATGACCTATTTCAGTCAAATATAATGCTGCTATTTCACCCAACTCTACTTTTGTGCTTAAATTATAAAATCGGCAAAACCGTCTGCTATTTTGCTGCAAAATAGCAGTTTCTTCGGTTGTTATGTTTTCTTCTTCCGAGTCGGAATCCACTGGAACTTCACTTTCCTACAACAATAGTTATTTGCGTTTTAAAAGAGCAAATTTCTACTTTACCGCTTGATAAATACGTTTGCAATGCAAGCAAAGTGAGGAAATATTTCCAAGGCGGCAATTGGGGTTGCAAAAGCATATCAAGTAATAGTTGTGATTAAAAGTACTGAAACAAGAGGGAGCTTAAGATATAAAATAGGCAGGACGCATATACTCAAGGTAATCATGGTTTGAGGTGGATGTTTTCTGAAGTAGCTGAGGTTACTATTGGATTTGTATCAGGATACAGTCTATAACAAGAATATCGATATAAAATTAATTAATGAATAATGAAATTTAAGAAATCGCGATTGGCATTTCCCACGTTTTGTTATGTCTCGAAAAATAATGGATATAGAGCAAAATTCAAAAGGGATATTTTACTTGTATTGGCATATTGGTCACGCATTGTTATACTTTTGTATGAAGCTCACAATAAATCCACCATAAAAAAATCGCTGAAAAATTAAGCCTAAGTTTGATTAAATTTATCAGACAATCATAACCTTGGTATAGGTGATTGAAATACCCCATTCGTAGTCCATTTACGCCCAGACAAAACACAACACGCCCAAAAGCGAGATTGTACAGGTCCCTATTTTCATCAGTGGTCTTGGAATAATCTACCAAAATAAACGATTATTTTTATAGAAAGAAGTGCACATAGATACTTTGCACAATTCTTTATTCGCTGGAAGTACTTGAATCAACGTCCGAATGATTAATATCAATTATTACAGGTTCAATTTGAGTGGTACAATTCCAATGGTTTGCCATCACTCTGTTGACAGCTTCATAAAACAAATTTTTCACGTTAGAAAATTTAAATGTTCTATTGTTTGAAGCGACATAGTTTTTTATATTTATATTTTAATGGGATTTAATTCGCAGTGATCTTATTTTAGTTTTTAGCCATTTCGTCAATAACATTAAGATTATATTTATATTCGTGCTGCCTGACTAGATATATAAGTTCTGCTTTTATCATATTTTCATTGAAACTAATGTCTTTTGATAGGAGCCATTGTTGAATTTCTGCTTTTCATAAATGACGAATTGCTTAAATACACTCAGATGACGGATTCTTTAGGCCAGTGGTTAGTCCATCTAAGAAAGCTTATCTTGCTGATTTAATTGTAGAGTCAGCTCATAGTTTAGGTTTCGTATCTCCTGCATTTATACAGGTTTCATCCAAATAATAAATCTTCCTGTCCTGGTCGCCGTATATCTTTATTGATTTTAAATAATTTCTTCTCGATAAAATAATCTCTTGACTGTTCATCAAAATACTATTTCAGCCCCGTTTTCTATGCTCAAAATGAAGTTCTTTGAGTGAACTATGAATTGTGGTCCTTTTGAAAGTAGGTAAGTCTTCATCACTATTAAGCTCCTGTAATACTGTCTATGGTGGGACTGTTTTTTATATTCTTTAACAATATTGAAAATTGTCTTAGGACATAAGTCTGTTTTGTTCGCCACACGTCTTCCAATACCATGAATTTTCATTTCAGGATGCTCTAAAATTTCGCTCTTATAAACGTTAAGGACAATTTCTCTTGCCTGACTATTCAAATGTCCCTTCTTGTCACGTTTTCGGGGAGGAGACATCACTAAAGAGGAAGCATGGCTGAAGGAAGCATTGGGAGAAATATTCTGTTTCATCTGCTGTATCCATAGACGACATGCTAATGTATAAACACACGCTATGTATGCACCGAATATGAACAGCAACTGCCGGCGATACCCCGAGTCTGGGTTCTATCCTGTTGAAGCCTACACTTGTTCATAGTTTTATGGCCAAATGACCAATAGCTATTGCAACACTTAGGCGCCTGCCGATTTGCCGCGCTGCATCTTTGTTGTGCTGTGGCGTAAATGATCTATGAATAGGGTATAGTTTTGAATATGTTGTTAGAAGATTTTAAAAATATTATTAGGATCTAAATGACAAATTTTAAGATAATTTTTTTTGAAGAGCTTCCTAATATTTCACAAAGCATGTTCAAAAACATAAGATTATAAAATCTGCAAAAACTGTAAATTCATTATGGTAGTTATACAGAGTGGGAAAGCACTTTTACTAAAATATTCGTAATTATTATCATTTATGAACTACATGACAAAATTGCATTTTTTAAATGGATTACCCTATTTTTTGTTTCATGTTTGGATTTGGGTAAGTCCTTTTAGAAGAGCAGCATTGCTATAACATAGCTATTGGTTTAGAAGATGGTTAGTTACTAGTTTATAGGTTGTACTGTGATAAAGTTTCTACAAATCATTGGTTAATTTGATAAAAATGGAAATAAGTGCCTAGATTCTGAATCTAATGTTAGTTTGATGCTATAACCCACGGAAAACCCCAAAGTGCACCAAGTTTTATTCACTTGTAGTACTGGAAGACAGAAATTAAAAATTTGGTGCATAAAGTCCTTTAACTATTCATAGAGCTTCCTATGAGAATATTTTCAAAATGTTCTGCATAACTATGATCTAGACTAAAACTTGTTTCTTAACTAAAATCCATGGGGAGTACCAAGCAAATTCAACAAAGACTTAAAACATATTAATAGAAGCTTAACAAGAAGTTAAGAAGTTCATAGGTTGATCAGGGTTTTTAAAAAGAACTTACTGGTCACTAAAATCCAATTTGTCTTGATCTCGTAAGCTAGACTTCGGATTAAATTGACCTTATCAGTAATCCACTCATGGTAATCTTTCTTCAGTACTTACATCAATTTTATGTGTTCTCAATTGTCTCCACTTTATAGTAGCATTAGCGCAAGCCATGCTTTCAATCACAAATGTTACAGTAATGAAACTCACAAATGCAAGAAACATCATAAGGAACATACTGAATAGCCATCCTGCTGCTGCAAATGCGGCAGGCAACGTCAGGGCACCTGTGCCCACAATCAGGTTGAAAACATACACTAAGCCCACCTAGAATTAAATTTACAATAGAAATGTTGTAAAATAGAATCTTTAGGAACCATTTTTTTGAAACAGTATTCATTAGCAAGTAAGATTATTCTACCAATGGTTACAGAGAATCACTATTTTTCTTTTAAGCAATAATGTTGAAACAGAGAAGACACAGCAATGTTGCGATATATTTATGTCTTTACGTTATTTTGAAACAAAAATCTTGTAGGCTTACCCATGGTGGATATTGATCCGTTTGAGCTTGAGGCATTTTCTCAAATCACATTTATCTTAATTAAAATAGTACGGATTTCCTTTATTTTGAAATAACACGTAACTTTACCACGTCAGCTGAATCCGGGCAGCTGTTAATAAAAACTGACTACATATTTTCTTTTCATTGATGTTTGATTATATTAATTATACTCCTCCTAGTACACATTACTGACATTACACGATTATTTGATGCTACGTTTATGCATATGCAATGCATTCCTTCGTGTAAAAATCTCTGGTATTATGGTCTTGGTCGTTGTACTTGATGTTATTATAAAAAATAATAACATCCGTTGACATCATAAGCAGAAAACAGTAAGCAGTGTATAAATAATGTGGATGTGTGGTTGCCTATACATCAGCTGCGTATAATCCTTATAATCTAGGAACCAAAGGTGTGTATAATAAAAATAAATGCATACACAACAAAATGAAAACGAATTGACACTATTATATAATGATTTCGGCAATTTTTTAAGATTCTTTTTAGAACGTAGAATTCTGATCGATATCTCGAATTCAAGGCATTAGCGAAAAAAAAATGGGGAAAACTTTGAGGAGCTCAAAGGGCCCGTAGAAATTTTCCACAGGGAGGTCCATTACATCGGCATGAGGCAACTTTTTGGGTACTATGAAAAAGCATCAGCCTCGTATTACAAACTAGAACGCTGTTCAAATGACCACCACCGTACGTGTTTTGGGTCGTTGATGAAATCGCGAATCCGAACAGTCTGATCCTGTTTTCCGTGTAGTTGTATAGATCCTATTATTTAATAGAAAATTGCACAAAACTACCTACGTGCCACAATTTTTGTTATTTGTATCTATATTTATGAACGTAGCTTGGTACAGTTGGGTAATTTTTGGGGCGCTGAATTCAGAAATTGTCGTGAGAAAATTCTCGGGTATGATGATCTGAATTTGGGGTAAAAAATTGGCTCATTGGTAGCTGCCTGAGGCCACTCGTAGATCTCCTGCAGCAAACTGATATCAGATTCAGAATCCCCCGATATACCCAGGAACAGTTTCAAATCGAGATAAAAAAACGTATTATAAGTTTGGTTGGGCTTACACTCCAGAGTGACCCGTTTTAGACCCTTTTTGTACCGTAATAAGATGGCTACTAAAAGTAAAAATACGGTTCAAATGTTCACTATCGTATACACCTTGGGTCGCTGACAGCAGATCAGAAGTACTAGTGAGAATAAACAAATAGAAAAATAATGTGCAATTCCGCAAAAAGAAGGGAAGTGAATTCGAGCAGAAAATAGGATAGGTAACCCGAACGATACGTATTTCTGCTTGTTGGCTTCATCAGGCCCGAAATGTATGAACATATGCAACTAAAAAAATAGATACACATGCCCATACATCCGGATACTGGTGTAACCCACGAGGTGTAACCTGAGGAAACGAAGATGGAGAGGGAAATAAATTGATACACGAAGTCACAAACAACAGCCAACCTACACATTGCAGTATAAAATGGCTAGAAGACCTCTTGTTGTGGAACTTCAAGCCCAAAGGACCTACAAGGAGAAAATGATCATATGGAAAAAGGTATATTAACAAATAGAAAAATAATGTTCAATATAATTATGTAAATAATTGCCCATTATTTTTCTATTTGTTATCTATGTAATTTTTTCCTGCTTTCGATTTCCAAGTTCAAAAGTATAGGGTCTCATTAAAAAAATCGCTTTGACCTTGATATGACCCCTAAGTCAAGACCAATAATACACACAAACTTAGAAGTTTCCCCTCCTTCGATTCCCTGGATCAAAATAACCTTGAAGGTTGGCAGATGCCAAAACTGGCGAGGAAGTATTGTAATCGCGAAAAATTTCAAAACTGAGATATGTGTTTCGAAAAACCATGTCACTCATTACCGTCGGTCTGTGTGTCTGTCAGACTGTCCGCTAATTTAATTACCGCCTATAACTTGAGAAAGTACCGCTTGGATTTTGATGAAAATTCGACATCATGATGCCATGGATGAAAAAATAAACTTCGCTCAAACTTTGTTTTTTGACGTGTTAGAGTGTCCTGAATCGTTTTCGATTTTTTTTTGCAGGGGTTGAAAATAGGTTTGGCCCTTGTAGGCACTGGGGGGAGGGGTATATGAATGTTTTATGAAAACATAATGGACTCTGCATTAAATGAAAGATAACTCGCTGCAGCGATGCCGCGCAGATGTGGAAAGGGACAACGATGTCACATGGTCGTTAACTTTTTGAACACCTTGTATATCCATGCCACGATTCTCAATCTCGAATTTGAAACCTGACACTACTCAATCAGCCACTCCTGCCCGGAGCATCACTCCATCTCTGTCTTTCCTTTCCAGACCCATTTTCTCGCTGTTCCGCGAAACTTTTCCTGGAAATCGATCTGCATGTGCGCAAATGTGACGCCCTCGTTCCTGATTCGGGCGCGCTGTTCCTCAAAGGGCGAGAAACCCTGCACGCATTTTGTACGCAGATCCACCGTTGTCTAGGGATTATAGTGACTCGATACGTCATCTTATACCAAACAGGTACTTGTTTTTATTTGTACTTTAGTGTTTATGAGCAAGAGCTTTCTAATAGGGCTTGTGCTTTATTGGCGCGTTTATTATCAGTTGAATTTGTTGTTGGAAGGGACAGCGCAAAAAATGATGACAATTAGAATGCTTTTCAGTGGATGACTCACTTCACCCTCTATAGGTTCAACCAATTAAGTAACATATAATAAAGAATGGTGCTTACTTTAGGCTTTTCGTTTTTTGTTTATAGAACGTGTAGAAATAAAAGAATAGATTATTGTAAACAAACATTATAATTTCAAACAAAGGCCGCGGAAGCAGGTCAGGGTAACCAAGATTATTGGGAACGGCTATAGTACAGAATATTTCCCCGACTTCGTATAGTTACTTGCAAAAAGTTACCCTGCGATTTTAGTTTCCCGACTGTTCAAAGTCATGCTAAAATAAACCATTCCAATCAGAATTTGAGTGGCTTCGGAATTTCTAATACAAGTAATAAGAGAGTACCTATATAAAAAATTGAGGTCACGATAGTTTGAGGAAACGGTACGTGTTTTATTGTAAATATAAAAAAGTTAGTCCATTAGAGCTAAGAAGTAGCAACGAAGTGTCTTTTATCTTTTTGATATACAGGATTGATTTAGTGGCAATATTTCCAGGGTCGAAATTACATCCAAAAATAACAAGAAAGCTCCTATATAAAGATGTAGGGTTTAGTATATTTCCTATGCTCCAAATGACCCAAAATCAAAATATCTGAGTACCCCCCCCAGCTCTTTAATTTTCCTCAACAGCAAAATATGGCCCTGGATTTCGCTCTGGGGCCCCTTCAGCTGCAATCCCTGATCTTTCTGTAAGCCCCTAGTGAATATAAAAAATGTTTCAAAACTCTCAAACCAGACAATTTTGTATGTGTTTATTATGCTGCTACAAGTATATAATTTTAAGTCAACATTTAAATCCACTCCACATATACATTTTTTTTTTATTTAGAAATTATGATTTTAACATATCCTATACATCTCGATAAGGTTCATGAATTTTACGACCCAACTCTCAAGACCGTCTCGTGTTATTTATTTATCTAGTTTCCTAAATCTAAACATGAATTTAATCTCATAGACATAAACAATAAAATGGTATCCAGAATTGAAAAAAGAACTTTAGTACCCACGGCATCACCTGGCGGGAAAGCGTTGTGGTCCCGAAAATTTATGAAATACGGTTGTGTTTTAGATTACATGTATCTGTATAATTATTGTACATCACAAAAATCTGTCATTTATTTCCGTCTGTATGTATATACGTCGTCTGTTGTGTAATTCTCACCAACCTGGAAAGTGTACTGTGCGAATTTTTATGAAATTTTGACACAGGGTTTCAATGACGAAAAAGCTTTGTAGCTTTTGAAAATTGGTCCAATAGCAATAGAATTATGTAGGAAAACTAACGGTCTCTCGCTTTCGTTTCTCGATGTAAAGTTTTTGGTCCTTTTAGGGCATACTCCAAAGAGTTTTACACAGAAACATGAAATCAACAATTTCTCATATTTCAGTTATCAATAAACGTCGCTTAGAATTTACACTTGTCTTAAATTTTAAATATATTTATATTACGTGAAACTTAGGGACTTTAGCGCAATTCTGTAAACATCATGCTAACGATACTTAAAGTACGCAACATCCCCCTCATTTAACAACATTGTAACTATCTTTGAGATCATTGTGCTATCACGTATTTATTGAAGACATCCTGCCATCTCAAGTGGCAATAATTCTAATCTCACATTGAGTCAACTGATATATCGATGTTTCGTCTTGCTCGATAACATTTTTGTGTACTTTTGTATGTGTGAAGTAAAAATACATATTGACGTATTCCTCTTACATATATATTCTCTCACACACACCTATTTTTAGGTATGACATAAGCGAATAATCCTAGATACCCAACTTGTATTTAATTAACAGCGACTACATAACATATTTATTTTTTATTCCATAGTAGGTATACGTTTTGTGTTTGCCGAAAAAGAATACAGACAATTGTTTGATAGTGAGTGCTGTGGGTGTTATTCTCGTGAATACATTTAATTTTTGGATTTCAGTACTACTGAACGGTAAGACTGGAAAGAGAAAAAATTGATGATTCAAAATTTGTACATTTTATCGTTATTTTGATATTAAGGTGTATCTGACAGCAACATAAACAATTGTACACTCAAAAAATGGCGTCAAGTAGGTTGACACTGCACTCCGAAAGCAGTGGCGTCAGCAGTTCATAAACGATTATGTTCACAAGTTATACCCTATCGAAAGGAGTTAGCTATAAAGCTTATATCCTGGATAGACCATGCTGATAAGTTGCCAAAAAGTACGAAACAGCGGCCTACAAGTATATGCGCCCGCAGGAATCTGGTTGGAACTTAGCATAATTTCACGTACAATTTTGAGGATCTGCCAATACCTTGGAGAGAGGCCAATTTCTCCATTGTGCTAAGTTTTAAGGGTGAATGTAAGGGGAAATCCATGTGTGAAATATGTCTATAACATGTGCGAGTACTACCGGGGTTGGAAGTGTATTAATATACTAAACATCAAACATTTCGATACTGCCTACAACCCCCAGCGTCCAGTTTTTATAAGATTTTGAAAAATAATCAGGATCCTCTGAAACCAAATAACGGAGATCGAGCGATTTTTGATTATTTTTTTTTGTTTTTGGAATTTTTCTCCGCCGTCGCTAGACCGACATTCGAAAACTAAAAAGGTTTTTCGTCCTTGACCTAGTAACCGCGTGTGAAAATTTCATCCAAATCGTAGCAGTACTTTCCAAGTTATAGACGGATTTGTGGACAGTGATTACATTTCTTTCATCGGATTAGGGCTAGTACGGATTTTTTAAATGCATAATTTGATTTCTGGATGATATTACTGCGATGTTGGCATTTTAACAGCCTAGTTACAACAAACTAAATTGTCCACGCTTAACATTTTTCACAATTCGAAAGGCCAGTCTTCCTACTCCGAAACGGTTTATCGTAAATTCAGAATTTTTTGGTGGTAAAATAAATAAAACAAGCGTACGAAATTATTATTCTTTAAAATCATTCGATCGCAACCACGGAGGATGAACATGGAAATTTTAATTGAACTTTATTTAATATTTTTTATTTACAGGAAAATGTCTGGAGACGCAACGGCAGAAGCTACAACAGGCGTAGAAAAACTCAAACTGGAAAATGGCGACGCAAAATCCGACACCGAACCATCGTCAGTAACCTTTGAAAGCAACTTCAAGGCCTTTGCAAAATTCGGCGACCCGAAATCTGACGGAAAGCAAATCACTCTTTCGAATAGTGACAAATGGATGAAACAGGCCAAAGTGATCGACGGAAAGAAAATCACTACGACAGATACCGGGATCTACTTCAAGAAGCTGAAGAGTCAGAAGGTCACCATCACGCAGTATTTGCAGTTTTTGGAGGATTTGGCTAAGAATAAGAAGATTGAGCTGGAGGAGTTGAAGAAGAAAATGACGTCCTGCGGACCACCTGGACATCATGGAGTGGGGGTAAGAATTGAAATTCGCGGTGTGGTAATTACGTTCCTGGAATTTCTCAATGAAAAATGTCGTCAAGTAGGTTGACTCTGCACTGATAACGCTACTAGTCATGCTATACTTCAGCAAAGCATTTGACATGGTAAATCACAGAGTTTTGTGTGAAAAACTGCACCATTATGGTTTAACCGGAAATGCCATGCTGTGGTTTAGTAATTACTTGTTTGATAGATCTCAATGTGTAAAATTGCGTGGTAAAGTGTCTACTTTACGAGCTTTGAAGTCTGGTGTTCCACAAGGCAGCGTTTTAGGCCCTATTTTATTTACTTTTTATATCTCAGATCTGATAAAACATATATATCATCTGACTGGAATGTACATTTGTATGCGGATGATGTACAAGTTTACAAACCGTGTCAACCAACCGATGTAAATTTTTTAATATTAGAACTTAATAAACATTTAGACATAATTGAACAGTACTCAAAAAATCATTGTTTGAAGCTCAATCCCTTGAAAACCAAAGTATGTTGTGTTGGTTCTAGACTAGCGATTCTGAAGTGTAAACAAGTAATAAATACCAACATATTTTTAGAAGGAATTAACATTGAATTTGTTGAAGAAACAAAAAATTTGGGAATAGTACTTGATAAGAATTTAAGTTTTGAAAGTCACATTATAAATAAGCTCAGAATATGTTATTATAAATACAAATCGCTATGGAGATATAAGTATATATTAACAAGTGATATCAAACTAAAACTTGTTAATACATTAATCCTCACACATTTAGATTATTGTAGTACTGTATATTACCCTTTTATCACTGAGGAAATGCAACAGAAAATTCAAGTTTTACAAAACCATTGTATGAGGTTTTGTTTCAATGAGATAAACAGACGCTAACACATTACTGGGTATTATGTAAGGGAAAATATTTTAAAGTTCAAATATCGCTCGTTACTTCTCTATGCTGTTCTACTATTTAGGGTTTTAAAATATAAATCTCCGAAATATCTTTTTGACACATTAGAGAAAAGATCTTCACTCCGTCAACTGTTCCTCCGTAATGAATATTGTTATAATATACCAGCCCACACTACCTCCAAATTTAAAAAATGTTTCTATAACATAGCTCCCAGTATACTAAATGATTACCCAATTTTCTTTAAATTAACGTCCATTCACAGCTTCAAATTTACAAGTGGCTGAATAAATCTCATTATTAATCTTATTATATTTTAAAGTTTTGTTAGCATTATTATTGTCAACTACATATCCTTTATGTAATGTATATGATATACCCTAGTAAGATAAAGTAATGCACTTAATGAATTTACCTTAGCTATTCAGGCGGGGGTGAAAAATTGCTATGCCAATCCCCAGCCCTTTGGAGTATTATTTTTTTTTGTGTTATATTATTTGCTCGTATTGTGATTCTATTATGTATTAATACTCCAACAAACATTATTATTATTATTATTATCAATTCATAAAGGATAAAGTTCGGCGCAATTGACATCTTCTGAGAAAAAAGCTAGTTACGTACATGTACAACAGGAATTAAACAGATAACTGAGTCAAATAGGCCCCTACAATTAGTCCATAGACATTCTTTCCCTGCCCTACCGGTAGCACTGTCCATCTGGCAACGTTGATAACATCTGCGCGGCATCGCTGCAGCGATTTATCGTTCATTTCGTGCATGTTTTTTCAGCTGTAATAGATAGCAGGAGTACGCGGATCGAAAAAATTTCCCTATCAAGTTTTAAAAATGTACTTGGAAATCTATGATATGTGAAATATGACTAATAAGTGCATAGACGTACGAATTACCCTCACCAACCCCCTATAACCTCCAACCACCGAATTTCAACCCCTACAAAAAAAAATCCGAATATGAGCAGGCGCCTCCGAAACGTTAAACCACGAAGATTGAGCATCTTTTGTTTTTTGTTTTTTCTACACTGGCCCGATTTTCAAAAACTAAAAAGCGTCCTTGGCATAGTAGCAGCTTTGTATCAAAATGTCATCAATATCTGAGTGGTGCTTCTCAAGTTATAGACGGGCAAAGGACTAACGGATAGTCAGACAGACCGGCGGAAATAATAGTGACATGGTTTCTCCTCATTTGCATGTCCTATAACATCAAAAAAAAAACACAATATCTCATTTTCGAATTTTTTCGCGATTAGACTACTTCCCCGCCCAGTAGACGTGGAAAGTAAAAAGACATAAGTCAAAATAAATGGTCAATTTCTCAATACAACTTTTCGGGAGACGCCTTAAGGATTTTTTTGTTTCTCATCCGTATCCCTTGACGATTTTTTTGTGTTATCATTTTCGTATAATAATAATAATCTTTTATGGGCAAGGTCAACCTATTTGACGCATTTTTTGTACTTACAAATTTAAGACCTAGAATCTTTCATAAAAATATACTGGATCTGAGATAGGGATGATCTAGGAAATAGAGTTTTGGAAAAATTAATATTATCGATTATGGTTAAACTTTGCCTTTTATCATAATATTTCTTCTTCTTTTCAGCCTGTCAAAGCAACAAGCACAGTTGAACGACTGACAGATACCTCAAAGTACACTGGATCGCACAAGCAACGTTTCGACGAAACTGGAAAAGGCAAAGGTATCGAAGGACGAAAAGACATTCCAGACGGGTCTGGATACGTCAGTGGGTACAAAAATAAAAACTCTTTTGATAAACCCGCAGAAAATAAGTAAGACGTAGTGTTTTTGGTTGAATAACATAATTCCTTCATGATACTCTTAAAACAACAGCCTGAATGAGAATATCAAAATAATCGTTCCTGTTGTGCCTATAGGGTTTGACTCTAGTTTTTAGACGATTCAAATTTTGTATATGTTTTGTATATGCAAATATATTCCACCACAAAGTGTAAATCTTCGTGCCATTTGACAACTCCTCAGCATGGCGTAGGTTTGGTCTCGGTTGACAACATCTAGGTGATGCTGCAACAAAGCACTGTTCTTACTAGAGTGGAATGAAATGGTTTTGACTATGAAAGAATTAGAGAGGCTTCTCCAACATTAAGCAAGGAACCTATATATTGATCAACTCTACGACCAAGGAGGAATGATCATTTTTATATCATAATATAACAATTATTGGTCAAACTGGTGACTGATGACTAACAAGAAACCGCCAGTTGAAGTCACATGATCAATACATTGTGAGATACAACTTTATATCATTAATGATTCCGAATTATTACAAATCCGTCTGTTAACATTTGACATGCCAAACAATGAGCTTGGCTGGTTTTAGTAAAATGTCATGAGGGAAGTTATGTTGGTTATTTCTTGTGTGAAGTGCGTGTTTAAATTCTGTATGGACATCATTTTTCCCACTTTTATTACTTCTTTTTATAACTTATTTTTCAAATATATAAATCACACATCCATTTGTAAATTATAAATGTTTTAAAAATGCAAGCGAACCAATTAGCAATGATGAGAAAATCTTACACCAGAATTTGATCACCCTGTATAGTGTGTATAGGCTATACAGAGAAAGAAGAATTTTGGATCAAAAACACGTGGATATAGAAAAATTTGGAGAATTTCCAGAAACAAGTATATTTAAATAGATTATTATAGTATATTTAGTATTGTTGCTGATTGTTTTGCTGCTTTACCGATATTTTGTCACGTCTTCAATACATTAATAGGGAACAATTGTTTGTGACACATTTTGCAATATTTTGAAATGTTAGTTTTAGGAGAAAAATCTGGGAGTAAAGATATTTTTGTATTAATATTCTAATTTCACAAACGTATAATCGCACGTTGCTTTGTGATGTATTAGTAAAATATGTATTATTTGTGAGTTTTGTGACAAGCTAGTCAACTTATTTTAGTTGTAAGATTTATACGTAAATATTTTAGATATAGAGATATTTTTTAAGAGTAACTATACATCTAGGCGAACTAAGAAAATATTAAAGAAACATTTTTGACGAATACATCTACAACTTTAGAGATTTGAAAGTTTCGAACAAATTTTCTACCCAAATTGGAATATAGAGTTCGCCAACACAAAATCAAAATAATGCTATTCAAATTATTTATATTTTTTGTCTTCCATTCAGTTGCTAAGTTCATTATTTTGTTGATTGCTGAGATCAAGCAGTGCAATATTCATAAGATTCGAGTCTTCCTGAGTTTAAGTTAAATGATATAGGCACTTTACTTGTACCAGCATGAATTTACATAAATAGTGACTTAAAAATACAAATGCATTTTCTAGGTTATTAAACATTTAAGTTTTTGTTATCTTTAAAATTTTATAAATGTTATTTCTGATTTTCAGCATGTATATTATATATGTGTATATGTAGTGTATAAACACATTTTCAATAAATTCAGAACTGCAAATTGTATCATTCACAAATATTTTCCATCGACTTTATTTGAGGTGGGATTTTAAAATAATCGCACATCAAAACTGCCGCTTTTCACCACGAAAAGGTGGTATAATGGGAATTTCAATATATGACGTTCCTTATCTTGTGCTCAATCATCTACTTGGGGCTCCATATTGGAATTCTGGTAAGGTGGAAGGACTTATTGATTCCGATTTAAAAGACGTATATGGCTTTACAAAATTATTTATAAATATAATAATTTCGTAGTTGGCTTTGAAAATGACTGCTTACATCAGCAATTGAAGATTGATTTAGTTATTGAAAAGCGTCTTTGAAAGGCATTTGCCCATTTATACTGAGTGACAAAAAAAGGTAAACATCTACGTTTATTTATCCATTTTAAAAATTTTTGGCATATATGTTCAGTGTCCCTTACTAGTGAAATGATTAAACTTTCAGCTTGATTCGTCAACTGACTGGAGAAGCTGGTTCAATAACGTGTTGAGGATCCACAATTTCTTATACACTCACTGACACGCCTGGGCATCGTGCTGATAAGGTGGTCGATATCCTGTTGGAGTATCTCATTCCAGGCTACTGCAACTTCGTGAGTAAGAGCTGCTAAAGCCTGTGGCGGGTGTTGCAAATTCAAGAGCCTACGACCTATTATGTCCCAGACATGTTCAATTGGAGATAGGTCAGCCGATGTGGTGGCCAAGGGAAACGCTTGATGCGACTTTGATCCATGAAGGCCAACGATGCTCTGGCAACATGCGGTCTGGTATTGTCTTGCTAAAAAAGCGGGTTTTGGATGGTTTTTAGGTATGGAATACGATGAGGCTCCACTACTTCCTGCATATAGCGTTGGGCTGTCTCATTGCCTCTGATGAAAATTAGTGGTAATCTGCTACCATAAGCAACAGCACCCCATACAAGATCGCCCTGTACAGGTTTTCATTTTTGCGTACAAAAGGTGAGAGAAAAAATGGTCGTGGACCCGGAAGGGTCGGTCTTCCTCCAGTAATGCAGACTCTACCAGAATTGGAAAACAAGATGAAAACTTAGCTATGCCAGATGACAGCGGCAACTCTACCATCCAGAGGCTGACAACTAGCATTGAAAAGCAGGCCCACCAGATGCTGCAGCAGGCCCAGCAGATTGCAGACCAGGCGGATCTTATCAAGAGCCTCAATCATAGTATTGACCGCTTGACGGCCCAGGTTAATTCACAGCTAAGTAGAAATTCCCGTAGTGACAGCCTTAAACGTAGACCTGAAAATCAGGATCCAATTGACGACGACGCGCTTTCTGATGCCAGCCAGACAAAGGAAAAGACGAACAACGGCTAGACATGCGACAGAAGACTTCCCTCCTTTACCAACTCAATCTGCTCCTACAGTAAATCAATCAATCAACTCATTGATACATCGCACACAACTAAAGGGTGATTTTTTAAGAGGTATAGGATTTGATTTTCAAAAAAAAAAACACAAAAAATTTGAAAAAACGATTAAATCTTTATTTGAGTCGATGGAACGGTCAATATGAATAAATGTTTAAAGATTATTTCATGTAAATGTTAGCCGCGGCTCCGCTTTAGATGGCCCATGCGCAAGGTCCAATTTTGGCACACTCTCTCCAACATATCGGCCGGTATCTCACGAATAAATGCTTCAATATTGGCTTCCAGTGCGTCAATCGTTGCTGGTTTATCCCTGTAGACATTAGCCTTAACATGGCCTCACAAGAAATAGTCCAATGGCGTTAAATCACACGATCTAGGCGGCCAATTGACGGGCCCCAAACGTGAGATAAACTGTTCACCGAACTCGCCTCCCAATAGGGCCATTGTTTCGTGTGCGGTGTGGCATGTGGCACCGTCTTGTTGAAACCACATGTCAGCCAAGTCTAGCTCTTCCATTTTGGGCAAAAAAAAGTTTGTTATCATCGCACGGTAGTGCTCGCCATTCACAGTTACGTTCCGGCCATTGTCGTCTTTGAAGAAGTACGGCCCGATGATGCCACCGGCCCATAATCCACACCACACAGTGATTTTTTCGGGATGCATTGGTAGCTCTTGCAGTGCTTCTGGCTGGTCTTCACTCCAGATGCGGCCATTTTGCTTGTTAACGTACCCATTCATCCAGAAATGAGCTTCGTCGCTGAACACAATTTTTCGATAAAAATGTGGATCTTCCTCCAACTTTGCCAGCGCCCATTCACCAAATTGGAAACGTTATGGGAGGTGGTGTGGCTTCAATTCTTGCACCAGGTGTATCTTATAAGGTTTTACACCCAAATCCTGTCGCAAAATTTTCCACGTAGTGGAGTAACAGAGGCCCAATTACTGCGAACGGCGGCGAATCGACATTTCACGGTCATCACTAACACTGGCGGATACAGCCGCAATATTTTCTTCAGTCCCCATTCTACGTCTGCGTGTTGGTGGTTTAATGTCCAATAATGTAAACTGGGTTCGAAATTGAGTCACAAGCTTCCGAATAGCTCCCTCAGTAGACCGACCAAATTGCCCATAAATTGGAAGCAGTGCTCGATGCACTCTCTTAACCGAGCATGAATTTTGATAGTAAAATTCAATAATTTGCAATCGTTGTTCGTTCGTAAGTCGATTCGTGGTTAAATTATAGACCAAACTGAACAAGTTTGACAATGACACAAGACACGATTCACGCGTCATCTGTCAAAAACAGTGTTGCCAAAAAGATACTAGCAAAAAAAATCACCCATTACTTCACATATACAGACCTACTACATTGTAGTGCTGCACCTTGTGGTTCTGCCAGCACAGCGGCGCAGCAGCTTCAACCAAGGCGCATCACTCCGGTCGTGCTGAGGGAGCCAAAAAAGTGGAGAAACGTCAATTATCGATTTATTAGTCTAGGGATTAAGATAGATCGCGCGGTAGCGATTGACGCGGGGATTAGAATCGTCGCCAAAACCGAGGACGATTACAGAGAGATAATTCGGCATTTCAAAGAGCAAAATATTGCCCATCATAAATTTTCTCTGCCATCGGTAAGAAACATACATGCTGTCCTACGTGGTATCCCCGCGTCACTCAACGGGGAAGAGATAAAGCAGGAGCTGAACCAGAAAAGATATACCCCTTTCCTCTGATCAGATTAAAACGTAGTGGGGGCACTCCCATGCCGTTGGTAGTGGTGATACTGCCTAAAACCACATGAATTATTCAATGAAAAAGGACTATTAGGCCTCTCAATTAAGGTTGAGGTTCAAAAGAATAATAAACTCATTGGCCAGTGTCACCGCTGCCAGAGATATGGGCACGCCCAGTCTTACTGTACAGCGCCACCCAAATGTGTAAAATGTGCACAGAACCACTTAACACATTTGTGCCCCCAAACAAGACAGGAGGTACGCAAATGTGCAAACTGCAGGGACGGGCATCCTGCCAACAGTCCTACGTGCAGGTTCCCTCCTAAGAGGAACCTACAGGTTGTAGCTGAAAGGCGCAATAAATCTTATGCTGAAATGACAGCCAAGCCTTCAGCTCCTGCCACTTCAGCCGCAGCTCCTGCTTTGAACACTCAACAAGCAGACCATGCGACCGCGCTCAAGTCACTCCAACAAATTATTAATCCTCTGATAAGCGCAACACAGGCGTTGCAAGCAATCTTTCCGCAGCCTATAGATGGCTAAGTATAATAGACAGCCTGCTTTTCTCAAAATTATGTTCTGGAACTGTTGTGGGTTGACAGACGTCGGTAAGAAACGAGAATTTTACCAGGCCCTTATGGACGAGTCTATAGATGTGGTATTGATGCAGGAAACCTTTTAAAACCCGGAGATCGCTTCGTCTTCGCGAATTGTGATGTTATTCGTGCTGACAGGTTGAACGGGAGATGTGCTTGTTAAGCATGGCATTGATTACTACCAATGCTGAAATGAAAAGCATTGAAACTACCTCTGTGGTGTTCAATATGCTGGGAGGCATCCCATTGAAAATCACAACGGTGTATGTGAGGTGCGGTCCTCGGCTTCAAGAAGCGGACCTGGAAATCCTCTTTGATTGCTCGGGTCCCCTGATTGTGGCAGGGTATTTCAACTGCCAGCACCGTGCATGGCATTTCAGGCTCAACACTCCTAGCGGTGTTCGCCTGTATACCTACGTGATGCGAAATGGATGCGTCATTCACAGCACTGATGAGCCGACACACCACCCCTTTAACACCAGGCACCAGATGTTATAGACTTCGCGATATCTAGAAACTGCGGTTTCCGTGTTTCTTCTAGAATTATGTATGACATCTCAAGCGATCACCTTCCCGTTACTCTTGAGGTGGGCACTGAGGATACCTTGGCGGCCATCAGTACTTCTTGTGCAGCGGCCTGGCAGACCTTTCCTCCCTGCGGACATACGTCAGAAAATTTCTGACAAAAGAGCTGCAATCAAGCAGGCAAACAGGTCTTGTCATCCTGATGACATCCGTAGAGCTACGAATCTTGTTCACGAAGTAAGAAACGTACTTCACGAATTCCGAAACGAGCAATGGAACGACTTTCTTGGAGGAATGCTTGACAACGCTACTCCTCTTTGACAAAAATGGCAAACGAGGACAACTTTCGTATATCCAAGGCCCTGAAGGCGTAGTTTTTGCTAATATCATGGAAAAACAGTTCTCGCCAAATTATGATCTCGACGAGGAACGAGACATTGTAAGATCTGTTAGGAGGTATTTTGCTGTTAATGACACAGAAAATTCTGCGTATTTTTTAGATTTGTACTTTTTAAAAATGCTATATTTTGATAACCGGAATTCAGGTACCAGTGAAACGCTAATAAAATTTCACAAAGATATCTATTCTACTCATGCTTGGCTTTGCATACTTTGCACATTACCAGCCACGTACACTAATGCTGAGAGGTCTTTCACTTCGTTCTGTTGAGCAAAACTTGGTTCAAAAGTACAATGATTCAGAATAGAATTAATGGGGAATTATGGCAATGAGATTACATCAGAAGAAGTCTTGGAAATATTTTATAAAATGGGTAAATATGTCTCGAATTGCTGTTTATACTTGCATTTTCAATAACTCATTTCTCACAGATATTTACTAATCCGCACTGGTACTACGTATTTTGAAAAGTGACATTATGTCGATTTTTTTGACATTGTATTGGCTTTTCTACAAGATGTTAACTTAGCACTAGCTGATGGACACGTTATGAACTCGTTTTGTAGTTGTACGTGTTGCCTAAACGTCATGATACTTCAGTTATCAATGTTTGGCTCTGATGTGATGTAAAATATGCTTCATAGATGGCACTACTGGAGGTCTAAGCTGTAAGTTGTAAATGTAAACTGTAGCTATACTCTGGGCGCTGAAGAAAGACATTAAACGTAAACAGTGATCAGCACGTGAACAGATCCCTCGAAAGCATCCACGGATATACTCCAGTCACTTTAGGTCTAAACATCCTCGGCAGTGTATTTCTAGTGAATCCACAGACCCTTTTTCGTGTCATCTTGAGACTAGAAAAAGGATGACTGTTAAAATAAGTTACCTTGATCTTTCATGAGCTCCCAGTACAAAACATCATCGATATATTTTTGATGTAGGAACAACAAATTGGTTTAGAAAACATCCACTTTGAACCTAAATTGACTGGAGTAACATCGATCTACAGACAAATTCAAGGTCACTAGCAGTCGTCGGCGCTCTACGAATCTGCACAGGTTTGGACTTGTAAACGTGATTGTAGATGACACGACAGGCATCTAACAGTTAATTCACGCACAGGATTGCATTGCATACGCATTACGCATTCAGTAGCGTATACTCGTTTTTCGCGAGTGGAACGTTTTGTTTATATATTGCCTAAGATACGATGTCTGACACAGATACAGCCGACGAAGTGGTTGACATCAGCGCAACCCCACCCAAAAAAGGGGTAAGAAGCTACATTTAAGTGCAAATGAAAAACAAATAATATTAAATATATACAAAAACCAAATTCAAGAAAAACCCGATTTGGTCGTGGACGAAGATATATGTAAGGTAGCACATATTTCTGGAGTATGTCGGTCCAGTGTTTATAGGATCATTAAGGAATATAGGAGCACTCACTCACTTTCTGAGCCAAACCGTATCCTGCAAGAAAAATGATAACGGACGGAGTAGATGACTTTGACAGAACTGCCATCAGGAGGAAAGTGCATAATTTTTTCTTCCGAAATGAGATACCTACAGTAGATAAGATATTAAGATTAGTTAATGCTGATGAGGATCTTCCATCATTTAAAAGAACCACATTCCGAAAACTTTTGAAGGAACTTAATTTTCGATTCTTGAAACGGGGAAGAAACAGTATGTTAATAGAGAAAGAAGAAATTGTTGTGTGGAGAAGGGAATACCTTAGGAAGATTCGGAAGTTTCGCGATGAAAAAAGAAAAATTTACTATTTGGACGAAACGTGGGTGAATGCTGGACATACTCAAGCGAAAGTTTGGGTCGACAAATCAGTAACATCATCAAGGCAGGCTTTTCTAGACGGTCTTTCGGCTGGATTGAAAAATCCTGCAGGTAAGCTCCTTCATCTATCCGGCAATTTAATTTTGATAAATTCGGGCAAATAATATGCTGTGATAGCAGATAATGTGTGATATTCTCCAAAAATGGTGCATTCGAAGTGTAGTCATTAGGAAAAAAACTTCGACCCTCTTTTAAGCGTTATTTTGAAATTTATTATCATTTTTGGGTGCAGTCAATTTGCTTTGAATGGGTTTTGAGAAGTTGCAAACTTCAATTTTCTACGTTTTTCAGTTTTTGATCAGCATTCCGTGACTCTTAAATTCAGCTAAATGAACTCAATTGCCTCATTCCTTCAAATTTAATCAATCCATAGTGTAAGGAATAATTTATTTCCAGGAAAAGGCAAACGGCTGCTGATCATTTGTCACGTAGGTAGTGAAGACGGCTTTGTTCCCGAAGTACTGTGGGCCTTTGAATCAAAAAAGACAGGGGACTATCATGAGGAGATGGACGGCAATTCCTTTGAAAATTGGTTCTCCAAAATGTTCTTCAAAAGCTGGAGAATAACGCTGTTATTGTACTGGATAATGCCCCGTACCATTCTAGAAAAATAGAAAAAATTCCCACAATGGCAACTAAAAAAGCAAACATACAACAATGGCTGGCCTCAAAACAGATCGATTTTGATGAAACAATGGTCAAGGGTGAATTGATAAGTTTAGTCAATAGACATAAATACAAATACGATTTTAAAATGATCGACGAAATGGCCAAAAAACAAAATAAAACTGTCTTGAGACTGCCACCCTACCATTGTGAGCTGAACCCTATTGAGCTGATTTGGGCCAACATAAAGCAATACGTGGCGTCGAATAATAATACTTATAAATTTTCTGATGTTAAAAATCTCTTTCACATCGCAGTCAATAGAGTTACGGCAGAGGAATGGAAAAACTGTATCCGCCACGTTCGGGAGAAGGTTGAGGTCAAAATGTGGGATTTGGACAATGTCATCGATACCCAAATTGAACCTCTAATAATTCATTTAAACGATTCAGAAGATTCAAGTTCCTCTTCTGAATGAGTGCGCGCAGCTTACTTACTAATAACTAAAAAGTGTAGTTAACTCATTTGTGAATCTCTAACTGAAATTTACTGTAAAAGATAATAATTATCTTGTATGAAATTTTTGATGACTACCCATAATATCTTGATGCGGTCCTGTAATGTCTCCTGCGCCTAAACACTCACTCACGAGCAATATGCGTGTATTTGTTTGGGTTTAGTTTCTTTCTTCAGCGCCTAGAGAATAGAAGGAAACGGCGATGCGTAGGTGCATAGTTATATTTTTGTTAATATGTGTGGATGATAATTACATTGGATTCTTAACTCAAATACACTTACTTGAGATTCAAAGCTAGAAATTAGTTACGCATCCTTTTCTTATCCATCTTGGAAATTACATATGCAAATTTGCTGAATTAGAACATAGAGAAGAGATAAGAAATAATTATACATTTTACACTGTCGAATTACAAGTCATATACATGCTAACAGTAATTACACACAACGCGGGCGCGGTGGTGATGTCCCCTAATCCTCCTCAGTTTTTAAAAACACAAAAAATGTAAAAAAATCGTACTTTATAACTTTGAACATAACCTGTCTTCAGAAAGGACAACATGTAAATAACCCGTCGGGCACAGCTAATAGATATACTTCATTGGCAGCATATTCAGTAATGATTTTCTCACACAGCAAATATCACTGATTTTATACACATGCAGACCAGTACACATAATCATCCAGATGCGATCTTGCTATTCAACCAACTTTCTTCTCAGAGACGAAAACTACAGACTACTCGGCTTTACAAAACATAGGCAACCAACAATGCGTGTAGTTGAGTAATTCCTCCATAGATGGACGCTCACAACGATCCTAGTGAGCAAACGTGGAATGACTGTTTGCACCCTATAAAATCCCTAGTCTGCAAGATGACATTTTACTGGTTTTTTCTATTTATTTTATTTAAATACAAGATACGTGCATCGGTTAAGATATGACGGATATTAAATTAGTTTAGCAATGCAATGATTACTCTCAAATATTTCAGTTTCGTAAAATTAGTGCAAACTACTTGTTCCGCTCGGAATTTTACCGAGTACCGTTTCGCTTTGCACCAATCAAAGGTATTTATCGGGCGGTAAAGTACCACTTTGCGCTCTTAATACACAAGTAACTTGTAATAATTTAAAAATATTTTATTATCACCATCCTTTACACAGTCTGTTAAATTTATTCAATAATATTATACAAACTTTGACAATGAAGCAATATAACCTTAACTTATGATACATTACAACTTTTGACAGAAGGGAATGTTCCAAAAATTTTAACAGATATGATGAACAAAAATCATATAAATAAAAAGTTTAAAAAACCTATGTTTGACTTTAACATCTCTAAGTATATTAAAATAATAATAGCACATAAGATTCTAATGAGATATTTGTAATATATGTATATATATATAATGCTAATAACGATTATAATTACAACAGTATGATTTTATTAAATATAGGTAAGAAATATTGACTAAATTGCAATCATTGACTTGACATTATTTTCTAATCAACTAATAGAGAGTTTAATATCTGCCACAAAAATAGAATCTGTCAATCAGACATTTTTAATCAGTGTCTCAAAACTCTCAAATATGATGAAAGTGAAACATACTTACTTTCGTAGTAACAATTTTTTAAAATTGCAATACTGCTCAGTGATACAGAACTCTCAAGTCACCCTCAAAGCTGTCTAATAAATGCGGCAATGTAAAAAACGCTGCTCATGAGATGTGAGATAAAAATTGATACGAACGTTCCACAGGGATAGGTTTTGGGGCCATTGTTATGATAAGCATCAAAGTCGTCTCTAGTCAATGATTACAACACTTCACTTTGTACACGTAGATTAATGCTTCTATGTTTCAACCTCCAAATAAAATATGTGTGATGCAAAATTCACACAGTAGTGAGTAAAGATGCCGTTTATACACATTTATTACGCCGAGGTACTCTTCAAAATTGTCTAAAAGCATAATACTAAAACATGCACAGACAATGAACATATCGTTGTCATATCATCTAACAAAAAGTTTAAATGTCTGTGAAACTTTATATGTAGACCGTTGGAAACCTATTCCATTTAATACTACAGGGAAAAATAAGGATAATTTTTCGGGCTTCTATTGACTCTAAACAATTTGTTAGATGAAATTAGTCATTGGCTGTACTGAAAGGTGGTTTGATAAATGGCATAACCAATTCCTAGACTAGATATATTCTGGCTCTGGTACCAACTTAGTTTTATTATCCATCACAATTCATGAAAGCAATATTTATTCCTAATACTGTAAAGCAACCGCGATTAGTAGACAGTATAAATAGAGGAAAAAAGTAAAGCAAATCAACAATTTTCGATCGACAAAGTAATCAAAGCAGGGCTTTTTTGGACTCGGGTATAGTCACACTTTCGTTTTCACCAATCCGCAAAGATACGCTTCTAGCAGTCAGCCTACATATCAAGTGTGACCCATCTCCAATATTCAACCAGAAATAAGTGAAAACGAAGACCTCTCGAGCTCCTCGATGCGATAGCAACTTTAAAACAACTGTTCCAGAATCCAGGCGTCTACTTGGCGATTCAGTTTGTTTGACAACCAATGTAACTTCTGTAGAGATGTGTTGTTCATCAATCGTGATAATTTTGTAACTGAACAGATTTTAGGGAAGCAGAATATGAATTTGCGGTTCTGTAAATCATCAGTCTGATCGCGGTTGTATGACACCGGATTTCCAACGATTGAGAATTGTGTGTCATGTCAATGTCAACTTCTTCTGCTAACCTTAGTCAGTTCAAAAATCGGATTAACAAAGCGTCGCAAGGAGTCGCGGTGCCCTGTTCTTTAGGTTTCTGTCTACGCGACTTCAGTATATATATATAAAAAAAAACTTTAGCAAATTGCTTGCAGTAAACAGAAATACGTTTCATATTGCAACCCAGATCAGCAAGCCTGAAGACAGTATCATCTTCAGTTCCACTTCGCCATCATCAACCCATCCCGAATCTTATCTCCTTTTCACAATGTCCTATACGCACTATTCGCAGATTACATGGGTCCCTCGATGATGCTGACCTTCATGAAGTAATAGTAGAGGCTGCGCACGAACATGACAGCGGCCAAAAGGAATGCCCCAACGTAAAGCACGTACATGCTGCTGTGCGTTCTCGCGTATCCGTACGTGCCAGCTGTCACTGCGATTCCCACGATAAGGAAGACGAATGTAAGCACCATAAAGATGTTGCCGCGTCCTCGCGCGTAGTCTGGGCCGACTGAAGAGACTTTGCGGCAATGTGGGCAACGAGCTAGAGCGTTGTTTAGGGTGTTGAACTGGAACAAATTGAGAATCGTAAAATATAAAACTATTCTTATGACCCTTTTTATATAAATTTCTTCTAATTAATTGAATATGGGGTCTAAAGAAACACAGTGTCCTGTTATAAAGTTGCCAACGTTTTGGAGAAATGTATTTCCTTCCTCAAGACTCTACAAAAAAAACACTAACTTCACGAATAAATTAATTAACAATTTGAATAATAAAATCGAAGTAAAAGATACTTAATATATATATATATATATATATATATATATATATATATATATATATATATATGAAATGAGCTATTTAAACTCGCCAATAAAATTTTATGAACAAGATTGCAATTCCCAACAACACAAAATACATAAATAAAAATGAAATAAAGATAAACTGATAAGCGAAATATTTAAAAAACGAACAAAAAGTTCTTTCCGTGTTCGATTATCAGAAAAAAAACTAAACTCACCCTTTCACTTCGAAACTATGGTGGACAAAAAACAATAAAAACGTTATGCACATCTCAGATATCATTTAGACTGCAGTTGATCAATATAACACACAAAAGACTACTATGAGGTACAGATAGATACAGATTGATGGATATATTTTGTTTTGCCTGTATGTTGATAATATTATGTGGTGGTAGTTATTTTGTCTTAATGAAATAAGTGATGTTATGGTACAAAATACTTAAATCTGCTGTCTTTTGTTTACTGCATTATTGTTTTTTATTTCCTGGAAAATCCTTTTTTATAATTACCATTTCTACATAGGACCCGGCCAGAATAAAAATTAAACAAATGATATTCTGAAAACATGTGCTGTACTAGTTGTGTGTGTCCATCATTCAAGTGGAAATTCTTGCAACCTCTTTTGTGCTCTGATATTCTGGTTTTTAAGTACCTTCCTATTGCCCCTATATATACAATACGTGCACTGAATTATATATACAACATTCAATTGTTGTTCCGATAGAATTTTGTAAAAAAAATCTGATTGTATTTTCACTTGTACACGTAATCCTAATTGTATCTGATCTTAAAATACCAAATTTTCCGGCAAATTTTTTACATACTGACGTTTTAAGTAGTTTTTATTTTTGGAGGAGCTATTATCTTGCTTATTGTTCTGTAATAATGTAGTAATAGTTTCTAAAATACGTTTCTTCTTTACATCTATTTGTGTCTAGCTGTACCTCGTAATAGTCCATTTTTTATGTTGATCAGTTGCAGTAGAGATATTATCTAAGATCTACATAATGTTCGATTATTTTTTAACAACAGTTTAAGTAAAAAGGTGAGTTTACTATAGTTTTTTTAATAATCATCAAGGAAATAACTTTTTATTCATTTTTTAAATATCTATACAATCATTTTATCTTTAGTCTTATTTTTAATATTTTTGTGTGGATATGTTTGGAACTGTTACCATGTTACGAAATTCGGGGTAAGTTCAAAAACCTCATTTTATAAAGGGCGACCGATATGTAACTGACTGGTTTGTATCTTGAATATTTGTGAAATTTAATAAAATACGTTCATTTTTTCATCTTAATCTTTTATTGAAACTTAAAAATTATGTAAGAAAAACAATATCCGACAAATGTCCGCCTCTAGAAGCCGCGTAAATCTGAGCCGTCTTGATTACATTTCCATCACTTTTTGGTAGCTTTTGGGAGGAATATTTTCAACCGCTTCCGAAATATTGTTCTTTCGCTGGTCTAGAGTATTTAGTTTGTTGGCATAAACCTTATTTTTAAAAAATTCCCATAGAAAAAAGTCAGAAGCCGTTAAATCCGGTGACCTTGTTGGCCAGTTGGCATCACCAAATCGAGAAATTAAACGTCCCGGAAATATTGTTCGCAAAAGATTCATTGTTTCCCTAGCTGTGTGACAAGTTGCTCCGTCCTGCTGGAACCACATGTTTTGCAGCTTAAACTGTTGGATTTGAGGAGCCAGAAAGTTGCACCATATGACGATAGCGCTAGCCAGTGACAGTAAGAGAATTACCTGCAGCATCTCCAAAGAAGTAAGGTCCAATGTTTGTGACTCGACGAGGATGTAGTGGTCGTTGATGGATGGCACGAGGGCTCTCTAATGCCCAGATATGACAATTCTGCTTATTAACAAATCCGTTCATATCGAAGTGCGCTTCATCGCTCATTATCAGTTGTCGGTAAAAATTATTATTTTGTGTATTAACCTGTAATATTGCATGACTGTCTTGTCGGTGACTTTCATGGTCACTAGGCTGTAGTTCTTGGGTTAACTGAATTTTGTATGGCCGCAAATGTTTTTAAAAGTTTTTTTTGAAATAGTGCATAATGACGTACGACGAATATCCAGTTCTTGAGAACGATGTCTGGTGGACGTCTCAGGGCGCTCCACTACACTTTCGCGAACTCTCTCGATATTTTCCGGAGTACGAGCACGGCCCGAACTAGGCAAGTCTTCAACTTTAGCTGTTTGTTCAAATTTCCGTTCCAACTGACGAATGGTGTTGATACTGGGAACATTATTTTCTACCGAACTCTTGTCGTAGCTTCCGAATCGTTGCAACAATCGACTCATTATTCAAGTAAAACGTTTTAACAATACGGACGCGTTGTGCGATCGTGCAGCGCTCCATGATAAATTGGACACGTGCTTTAAACAACTACTATGGCGCCATCTACTGAAATGCGTGTACCAAAAATGGCTCGCAATTTAAATCAGTCAGTTCAATTAATTATATTGTTAATTATTGTATATGTATAGTTTGTGATTTTTTTTGTGGGGCACTGAAGAAGGAAATAAATGTTTCCGAAACGCCGGCAACTTTATAACAGGAAACTGTGCTTCTCGAGACCACATATCCAATTAATCACAAGAAATGGAAAATAAATACATCAAAAATCTGAGTTGGAAATAACAAAAAGTAAAACTTGCCATTGGTACGATTATAACTTTGAACCCACAACTGATTAAGAGCCTTTGTACGGTCAACAGGAATAACTAAACATTTTGTTTTCGTCCATACGACCAAAGACAGTCAACCATTGACAGCTGTTTTGTGATTTTTGACAACTCATCAGCATGGTCTAAGATTGGTTTTTGAGACGACGAATGAAAGCATAGCAACTAACCTCTATCCAAGGTATGATACCTATCAACAAGAATGATGTGACCCTCACCAAACGCCTGGTCTCAAAACATATCGAATGAACCCGTAAAAAAAACGAGATAATGACCTTTCAATCGCAATCACAACTAAACTTCTAGATTTAGGGCTGTGATTTTTTTTGAGATGAGCTAAATGGGTAGTTTTAGCAATGGTTATGTCACTTTTTAACGCAAAAAATCTTGAATTCATTTTTTTGTGAAAAATATCTTCCATCCCTCAGCTTTGGAGGGCGGTAAGAAAAAACTCAGGTTGTATTTTATTATCTATTTTATTGTAAAAACCATTTTAATCCATGTAGAATAAACCCTCAAATTTTCAGCTTGCTACAATAAGTGCCTCACCTTAAGAAATCTGTATGTTTGACGCAGGTGGGCATGTAAACAAGAAATTCTATTTTACGAGCTACAGTCCGAACGACTTGATGGATTGTGACATATGAGGTACTGTTAGATTCTTCCTAGCAGTGCGAGTGATACTGTGTGTATTAACATTTTGTAAAATCAAAATGGTCGATTTTTTAAGCAAATAGCCAAATTAGCTTAATGAGCTTGGACGTTCAACTCGGCATTCCAGGTGGGGGAGCATTCAATCTTCGGTCCAACCGAAATTACTAAGTCAGGCAATGGTCCAGCACGGAATTTGTATCTAACGTTTGGCATCTGAGTAGAATCATGTCACATTCTCCGCGAGATTATGCAGAAATGCATTACTATTATGGTGCTGCCCTAAGAAATGCTTGGGCAGCTGCTCGCATGATCTGGAGTTGTGGTTAGAAGAGGTGGACCACAACCGGCGGTATATCCCGACTACCGCGTTTTTCTATGCGTCCATAACGAGTGTATGGAGTGCCGCATACTAGGCCCTCATCGTCAGCTAGGAGCGCTGAGGATACGCCCAGAAGAAATAGAAGATATAATAGAAGCAGCCAAAAGAGATCCCTCTATAAGTACCAGAGCCATTGCCCGAAGCAGAAACATATCCCATACTTCAGTGCACACAATATTACGCTCGGAGAACATGTGTCTTTACCATGTACAAAAATACAAGAATTGCTTCCTATGCACAACGGGTTGAATGTTGAGAAGATGCGAAGAGGATGAAACTTTCTCGACAGCCTCTTATGGACAGATGAATCCAACTTTAACTGAAATGGAATATTCAACATGCACAATTTCCATTCATGGAGCGTGGAAAATCCACACGCTATTCGCCGACACAGCTTTCAACGTCAGTTCTTCGTTAATTTATGGGCTGGAGTACTCAACAAAAAATTAATTGGACAATATGAATTGCCCGTCAGGTTGAATGGTCAGTCAATATCTTGCTTTTCTACAAAGCAATTTGCATGAGCTGCTATACTACAACTATTTAAAACTGTAATGACTCATACGCGTGATCAACACGTGATCAGAGCTCGATCCCGGCTTCCTTCCAGTACAGCCGTATAGCGTACGACATATGTCGTTTCTGTGGCTTTGCGGTGTTCAACAGCACAGACAGAGATGGAAATAATGGCTGATTGTTCTCCGCCGGTAGAACCAATGAAATCAAAGACGCGCCTCGACCGGCAGACTCATATGTGTCGGCAACGCATTGGAACGTGTTTCGTTGAGCGATCGCATATTGTGTGTTTTTATAAGAATTGTTGTGTGATTGTTATTGTTGTGGTTTCTGTGGTTACTGTTTTGGTTATACTTAACCATAGAGAGTACAAATGGCACGAGTGGAAGTACTGAAAGCCAGGGAACAAGTAGACGGCTTCGTAAAGCACTGAAGAGGGACGCGAAAGAAATCGTGCTCAACGTGTCCAATTATCTGAACAGAACTATGTCGCAGGGAGATGCACTCGCGCGTTGTGAAAGTATGACAGGCGTTCCAGAGTGGACCATTCGCAGGGTGGTGCATGAAAAGAAGAAAACTGGAGCTACTACTGATCCAAAGTTTAATTTGAAGGGACGAAGGGCCGTTAAATTGGATGACGATAGCAAAATGGCGTTAAGGCAAACCGTACATTCATTCTTCTTTAGGAATGAGATACCAACCCTCAAGGCTGTACATGCAGCGATCAAGGAAAATGAAATTATACCCCAAATGAGCGTCGAGGTAATGAGGAAATCCCTACACGAAATTAATTTTCGTTACGAAACGCGTAATCGGAAGTCAGTATTGATAGAGAGACCTGAAATAGTCGCCTGGCGTCGAAAATACCTACGCGAAATGATTGAATATAGGCGACAAAGCAGAAAAATCTATTATTTGGACGAGACATGGGTAAATGCAGGTCACACAGCTAAAAAAACCTGGATAGACAAAAACGTAGTGAGTATCCGACAAGCAAGCATTGAAGGTTTGTCAACAGGTCTTCGTGGACCGTCAGGGAAAGGTCAAAGATTGATCGTAACTCATATTGGTAGCGATAGTGGCTTTTTAGAAGAGTGTGACTTGATTTTCGTCTCTAAGAAAGGAGGTGATTACCATGACGAAATAAATGCCAGCTGCTTCGAGAGCTGGTTTCAAGGGGTGCTTCAGCGAGTTGAGCCCAACTCTGTGATCGTCATGGATAATGCTTCCTACCATAGTCGTCGAGCCGAACGTGTACCGACTATAGGATCTCGAAAAAGTGACATGCAGCAATGGTTGCGCGAAAAAGGAATCCCGTTTGACGATTCATGTGTGAAAGCGGAATTGTATGAAAAAATTAAACAGCACAAACCTGCGAACATTAGTTACGTGACTGATGAGATGGCCCGTCAATGTGGTGTCACTGTGCTGCGGTTACCGCCCTACCACTGTGAACTGAACCCAATAGAGCTCATCTGGGCTCAAGTGAAGGGTTATATTACGCGCCATAACACAACCTTCAAATTACCAGACGTTAAGGTTTTACTTGAGACTTCCATACAGCTAGTAACGCCCGAAGCTTGGCAGAATGCTATCCGTCATGTTGTGAAGGAAGAAACAAAAATGTGGCAGCTTGAGCACCACATCGACACCATCATAGAGCCAGTTATAGTCAATTTCAACGAGGAAAGCGAGGGCGACAGTTTATTACTGTCAGATGTAAGTGGAAGCGACGATGAATAAAGGTAATTCCCAAATTTTTGACTTACAATATGTTTCAAACCACTCTTTATTAAGCATGTGACAAATCTAGTTCACCCATGTTAAACATTCATACCCCGCCTATGACCAGCCGACTACTGGTAGTTAAGTGATGTTCTCGTGAACATCGATGAGTCATTACAGTTTTAGATACCTTTGGACTTACGAAGCCGCATGTATTCTCAATGCGATGGTGCCCCATGCCACTTTGCACGGGATGGGTAGAGGTGGACACATACGATAGGCTAGGCAGCAGCGGTGGCCGCAGTAGTAGACTCTTCGGTCTCCTGATCAGTCGCCGTGCGCTGTGCGGGTTCGAGTCCCGTCCCAGGAGAAATTTTTCTCTTGGCTATGCATGTTGTGATTGTCCGTAGGTGGTAGACGGTCTCTGACTGTCGAACGCGGAGGTGCCACCCGGCGGATCTCGTAGGCGGAGCCAGAATGTGTGCATGTTGCATGCACACGTGTTCCCTCGCCAGAGTCCGTGTGGCGTTCCCCCTTTCCCATGTATCCCCCTATAGCCCCACGGTACCCAATGGATGCTTAGGCCTTAGTGGTAGTTGAAGTATAAAAAAGCCTCCAAGGTCACCCGATTTAAATACTTTAGATTTTTTTATATGGGGGTTTTATAATGGGATAATCTATACATCTAAATATACAAATGTCAACCAACTGCGCCAGAAAATTGATGAAGCAAAAATAAAAATTATGGAAAACGCAAATTCATTTAAAAGACTAAAGGACAATTTTATTAGAAAGTGTTGCTTGTGTATAGAAAATAATGGAGGCCATTTCGAACATGTTCTTTAAAAGTTAGTTAAATTAAATTATCTTCCACATTTGTCGGTAAATCGCCACAAATAGCGGCTAAACACAATAGGTTCTGTACTTGTAGGTGGTAAGGATTCTATTGCTTTTCTTACGTTTATCGCATCACAACAACGAATGTAACATACACTCAATCGCAAGCTGAAATTTTCAGAATCTATTCTACATGGATTAAAATAAATTTGGCAATAAAATGAATAACGAAATATCACCTAAATTTTGTTTATCGCCCTCCAAAGTTGAGGGATGGAAGAGATTTTTCCCCCCCAAAAAAAAATCAAGTATTTTTTGCGTTGATTTCTAATAAGCTGTTAAAAAGTGACATAACCATTGCTGAAACTAGCTCATCTAAAAAAAACACATCCCTAAACCTAATGGTTTAGTTGTAATTGCGATTCAAAGTTCATTATCCCGTTTTTTTTTTCGAAATTTCACAAAATTGCAAATATCTCCTGAAGGATAACATTTCGGACCACACATATAGGGGTTCATCCGATAGGTTTTGAGGCCATGTATCACCTGACTTCCGTTGATCCACAACTAACTTTACACCCTGTATATGTGGTATAAAAATGTAATACAAAACAATAAAGATCAATAAAAATTTAACAATACATATGAATGAATGAATAAATTATTACTATCTTTATCTACTCAAGTCCATGTTCATTAGAAAGTACTCAGGTACATTGTGAAATGAATTTTTTAACAATAATTTCTTAACTTCTTTTTCAAATGAAGTATAATTACTTATTTGTTGATATTTAACTGGTAATTTGTTGAATAATATCACATGGTTGTAATATGGGGACATTTTGAAACAGGAGGTAGTATGTTTTTGAACAATAATTGTCAAATTTTGATATCTACTAATTAACATAGATTATGCATTTGAAAATGCAATACAATAAGAGATTCCTTTGACTCAAAAACTTCTTTGTAGGAGGCATTCCAAAAACTAATCAAAGATTCTTTTTTGGGCCACACATACTCTTTCATTTTCACATGATCTTCCTCACACCAGTATGTTGTAATATATGTGGCAATATGCCAGTGCATTATATATGTTCACTAGGGCTTTATCGTTTAGAAAATATTTTACCTGCAGTATTGCAAAATAATTATGCTTTACCTAGGTTTGTACAAACATGATCAATATGTTCCTGAAAATTTAGTCTGCTATGAAAATATGACCCGAGTAATTTACAAGAGTCACACATTATATTTATGGAAATGTCATTATTTACTTTTAATTGAAAATTTAATACTCCAATATCAATGACGTTGATTTAAACGACACATTTGATTGTTTTTTGGTAAGCTTGCTGTCAAGTTTTTGATATAGCATTTGTTAGTAAAATTACAAAGTATTTATAGGTTTTATTTATTACTACAAATTACATTGGCAAGACTGAAAATAATTTAAATAAAAAATATGTATCACTTGCTCACCTTGCAACATTCATTGCCCTAACTTCAGCTTTTGTAGTTTGTGTTTGAGGCAATATATATTGAATCATCATAAAATCATCTATTTTCGGAAAATTATCTAAATGTGCTTTTAGAATGCCACTTTCAGTCATTGTTCATCAGTCATCACTAAGGAAAGTTATATCTTAAAAACCAAGTATGTGGTCTAAAGTATGCAAGAAAGCTGTAAAAACACTCCGATAACAGCAAACTAATCAAACATCAAACTGTCAGGTTGACTATCAATGACAGTTAGAACAAAGGCCTGCCCTTTTAAATAGAACAGACCAATAAACAAAGGGCTGGGTTGACTAGTCACAAGCTGCAAATGTTCACATTTTAAATTTACCGCGAATTCTCTCCACTTTCTATTTGTACGCGTAATTTGGTAGCGTTTAAGTAGAATAAGGTTAAATCTGTTAACATAGCAGTATCGACTGAAAATAAATGTAATTAACCGATATTTGAATCACATGCGTATTCCCTATTAATGATCCGTCTTACCAAAAATGTGTCGTGGCAGTGTCCGCAAGTGACCCTGCACATTCCAGGCATGGTGGGTACTGGTGGTGTCACAGGACTGGGTGCCAAGTTGATGATGCGTTTGCAGTTTGGCCTCGGACATGCAATCCTCTGGGAAGAGCTTTTGCATATCAACAGGCAGTTGCATGGACATCTCACGTACTTTTTGCCTGGTGGAGCATTCCTTATAGGCTGAAAATGGGCAAAAGCTTCGTAGAATATATTTTTTTCACTCGAACTTGGAAATTTAGCATTACTGACTTTAATCCTCCAATTAGGTATAACTCTTATCTTCACAGCGAAATAATAATCATAAAAGACATCTAGGTAAACAATGAATGAAATTTAAAATTGTAAAATGTAATATCTATTAGTTTGCCACAGAACTTTATTTTTCAAAATATTTGATAACGATTCAATATTGAGTAATGTTTAGTATAGCTTCTCATGTAGCTTCTCTTTCTTTTGTGCAGCTCAAGAATCGATATAATATTTGTAAATAGCTTTTAATGTTGATAGAAGGAAAGCACAACCAAGCAATATTTGCACTTTACTCTCCTTTAAATGGATCAGATTGTATTGCATTCATTAAATTGATTACTGATTTGCCAACAGATGACTAAATATTTTGAAGTTTTTGTAGATCGAGTTGAAAATGCTATGATTGCAATTTATGCCCATATTCACCGTTCCTTGAGAAGTACGATTAATGACTAATCCAGATTATTGCCGCCTTTTCATATGCACCGATACATTTAACACCTGCTAATCGCGTTTAGGCGTAATCCTAGCATATTGACAGTATAATCCGAAAATTGACGGATTGGGGTTCTAACCTTATTTCGAGTTGTTGATGTCTCTGCGAAACGGTGCTTTCTTGTAAAAGAAATGCAGATCGAAGATGAGATTTCCCTTGACGATGATGGTAACATTCTAGATATTATTTGCTTCGGATTTCCAAAACACTGTTATGAACGTACAGATTTTTTTAACGAGATGGACGACCTATCGTTTTTCACGATATTTCGGTTCCAAAAAAACACTGTTTTCAGATTGGTAGAACAAGTAATGCATCAACTTGAGTTTGATAACAACTTGTAAGTATTTTTTACCAAATATTAAATTACGATAATCAATTTCCTTGGCCAGAATTGAAGTTTAGTCTTTAAACACATTTTCCTCTGGCTGTGGATCTGAATCACTTAGGTATTTCCAAGATTTCAGTCACTATAAAATTTTATTTTTTCCAGGAATAATAGTATGTCACCCATTAATCAGCTCCTTACATGCCTACGATTTTATGCCTGCAATGCACATTAAAATTGTATGGAGACTTTATTAGCATGCATCAGACAACAGCATCCTGTATAACTGCAAAAGTTTCAAGAGTAATAGCAGGTTTATCAAATCAATATATCAGAATGACCAATGAAGCTGATGAAATAATAAGAGTTCAGAATAGCTTGTATAGGATCTGTAGATTTCTACGAGTCATTGGATGCATTGACGGGACGCACATAAAGATGCAATCACCAGGAGTTCAATATGGAGAAGTTTTTCTCAATAGAAAGTCATATTTTTCTATAAATACTCAAATAGTTGCTGGGACAGATTTGAAAATATTATTGATTTTGTTGCTCGATGGCCAGGATCTACCCATCATTCAACTATTTTCAATGCCTCCCAGCTAAGAACACGCATTGAAGGGAGACAATTTCAGAACGCGGTGGTCGTGGTTACCAGCTGAAAGTTCTAATGACACTTCTACAAAATCCAGGCAATGTTGTCGAAAATCTTTATAATGAAGCTTATGTTCAATGTAGTAGAAACATTGATTGGTGTTTGGAAACGTCGGTTCCCAGTATTAGCCTGTGGTAGTCGGTGTCGATTAGATAACGCTTTAACTACAATTGTTGCCACTGCTGTGCTAGCAAAATATGTCCGTGAATATGCTAGAGGATTTACCTCCCTATCCAAAAGAACTCAATGGCCAAGAGCTGGATTACCTGCTTTTACAAGGAGACATTCCTCATGTACATGCAGCGACTGTTGGTCAAGACCCATTTAATTTTCGCCAAAATCTGATAGATAACTACTTTAGTTATTTATAAAACATCTGGATAATAAACACAACATTTTTGGAAAAACTAAATACTTTTTAAAACTTTGCTACAGTATCTTTATTGTATTGAAAAAAAAGTAACATATAGTATATTACCACAAAGTAATAATTCTCATTGTAGAGCATTCGAATTTAAAATTAGTTTTTGATTGGAAATTTTTAACTGATGCAAATCCTACTTTAAGTTTTCTTTCCATTTTAGCTCTTTATCTATAGCTTTTGTTTTTCCAATAAAGTCAGTATTTTGTCTAAGAGTAGATTGTATTTAGAAGCCATATCAGAAGATGTTAAAGCAGTCACAACTTGTTTCGGTCTTTTTTTAGACCTCTGTAGAGTCTGGCCAGTCATTTGGAGAGCGACTCAAGACCCTCACTTCATAACAGGCATCGCTCCACCTCAAGTTAAAAATCTTTGGTTTTTCTCCTCACCTATTTTCCTTCTTAATTCTTTTTCCTTATATTCATACAACATTATCAATGACTCGGTTTTTCTGTATGCAGTAGAGGGAGAAGAGGAGGTAAATTCTTTTTCAATTTGGTTCCAAGCATTGCTTTAGAGGCTCTGTCGGCCTTCTTATCCTATAATATTTTCGCATAGCCATGCACTTTTGCATTAAATAAATGCATCTTTTCATTAGCATAAAATTCGGTTATCATTTCTTATGATTCCTTTCCATTTTGACAACCCTCTTGAACATAGAGAAACTGTCACATTTCAAATTTTTTTGACAGAATCTACAAATTTGCAATATTGCCACGTTTTGTTCAACGATTAGGTAATCACGATTAGAAAGTGGTCTGTGCACCACATTCGAATCTGCCGTTCCTGATCCGGATTCCCCAATCTGGATTAAAGTGTCAAACGATGCATATGAGCATAAAAGTAGAATATGATGATGTACGAAGTCTGAAAGTTAAGTGATGAGACTGGCAACGTAGCGATCGATCTGGCAACACTGGGCATATGGGAACCTGTGATCCTGCTTCAGTATAAGATTGAACTCGCTCGAGTCATTTGGTTGTCCGTGGTGATTTCCTTTTGTGAAACAGTTTTTTCTAACGTGTTCTAAAAATGAATGACACCAATTACAGTGTGCTATCAAGTTTTGCTTCAGACTTGCGCACAGCACAACGAAAAATCTTGCTAAACATCAGCAGGCCTATGGAGATGTTCTATCAAGATCACATATTTTTCAGTGGTTTAAGGCATTTTTAGAAGGGAGAGAGTCGACGGAAGATGAACCACGAAACGCAAGGCCTTCATACACAAGAACCGATGAAAATTCCGACAGAATCCGGGATCTTGTGCGTCGTCAATAAACGATGCCAATCAACGAGTTTTTGGCCAGTAAAAATATTCCTCTGGCTCCTCAGCCTCCGAATTCGCCTGACTTGAGTCTGTGACTTTTTTCTCTTTCCGAAGTTGAAAAATCACCTCAAGGGAAGTCATGTTGGGATAGTCGATAACGTTCAAACGGCTGCAACCAACCAGCTGAAGGCTATTCCAGGATTGGAGTTCCAGCATGGCTATAAGAAGTGGAAGAACAGTCTCCAGTGCAGTGTGGCTTCAGAAGGAAGTTACGTTGAGAGTGACTATACAGGGTGACTTGTAATGTCACGTATTCCTGTTAAGGGGTGATAGATTAGGTCAAAATCAACCGATTTTGTTCTATCATGTCTTATACAAGAGTTAACCATTTTTGAGTTATTTGAATTTTAAGTTTTTTATTTTTTATTCAGATTTCAGACGGTTAAAATTGAAATACAAAAAAACTGCAGTTTTTTGTATTTCAAATTTAACCGTCTGAAATCGGAATAAAAAATAAAAATCAAATAACTCAAAAACGGTTAACTTCTGGATAGGACATTATAGAACAAAATCGGTTGCTTTTGACCTAATCTATCACTCCTTAACAGGAATACGTGACATTACAAGTCACCCTGTATAAAATTGTAATTATACTTAAATTTAAAAAAAGTCAGCCTCACCACTTAATTTACAGACCTCCTATATTATTAGAAGAGAAAAATATTATACAGAGAAATCCATACCACTGACGTCGTACTTTGTACGGCAGAGAAGCGCGTAATACGTATGTTAGAATGAGATAGAAGCACCACGTTGCCTAGCAACCCGAGTGACCAGGCCACGGACGCAGTTGCGGCATGCTACGTTGCCAACGGCGCACTCTTTCTAACATACGTATTGTATGCGTTTCTCTTACCTCGTCAGTCATATTTGGATTTCTCTGTATACATATTTTGTAGCTGAATTCCATTATTGATTATGATAGGGGTGGCTCATTTCTCAACTTTGTATGAACTATTATTAATTTATTCTATCTACTGGCATAATTATTAGTAACATCTTTTACTTCTGACGCGATACAATAGCCACAAAATATACACATCAATTTCTCTACAACAATAAAATCATAGTTGCCTATTTCCTCTGGTTTGTCTGTTTATTAGTTTCTGGCAGCATGTAATCTTAGAGATCACTGGAAAGGAGTGACATGTTGTTTCAGCCTTTGATGATGAATATGACATGATTCACGAAGACAAGATAATGTCTTGATATATCTAAATATCAATTCATTATAATTTATAATAAATGAGATGCAATGCTATCACTGACCACTTACTATATTACAAAAACAGATTAGATATGAATGACAAATGAATAATTTAACCAGTTAAGATATCTAGTGTGTGTTTCAAACAGGTTCTCTATCAATTCACATTTACACATAAGGCTAATACAATGTAAAGGTGTGAAATTACGGATCATAACTGAATAATTATTTATTATATAAATTGTTATACAGGTACTTTGTTGAAGTGAACTGTTTTTACTTCCCTTGAATTTTTCAAATCCTATATTTTTTGGATTAATGTAATGTGTATGTATGTATATAGAGTTTTTTTGGCTGAAATGCACTTTAGAACAAATTGCAAATATTTAATTCTCTTGTTATTAAATGAAAATTTGGGTGCAACATGGATATGGCAATATCAATTTTTTTAAAGGACATCTTTACTTACTATTCTATATTATGGATGGTAATACTGTGGTATAAAATATTGTTTTCTAAGCAGTTTTTTACTTGTTTGATACTATTATGTACTCCAAGAATCTTGTAGTCAAAACCTAGATTTCTCTTAAAAGTCTGACTCATGTTTATACTCTTTGTGGCTTCACAGATAATTTTAAGAAGTTGCATTTTGCTCTAAAGTATAATATCATTCATGCACTATATCAAAAATATTTATAATAAATGGCAATATTTCACTTATAACTTATGCCTTCCATTTGTGACGTCAAAGCAGTGATAGTGATTCAAAAACACAACTGCTATTAGAATATTGCACTCATTATTTTATCGATTTAACCAGGAACTGATAAAAAATTGTAATAAGATTTGTAACAAAAACTTAAATACATATTTTGAAAGTATCAAAGTGGTTGTTTGCAGATAACCTTATCAGACAAGCAGTTGCATATAAATTTTTATAGTGTAAGGTATGATTCATTGACTGACTGTAGAATAAATTTTATCATACAATATAAAACATTTTCTCGAATATCCGCGTTCAATCAAATATCGTTCTGTATTGGGAATAAAATGATTGTAAAACTAGTCCTTAAATAGAGTGGCATCCATCCAGTCATTTTTTTGATTTTTATACCACACTGGAAGAGCGTTGGGGTGGATGTGTTTAGATGCTCTTGGTTTAGCTGATTTTCCAATTATAAAAAAGGAAGTTTGTGTGTGCCGGAAGCATTGCTACAAGCAAGGGTAGTCACATTCTTTACTGTGTTTGTAACTAGGAGTTTCAGATTCTTGTTTTGAAGCTAAACTTTTCGCGGGTAACATTTTATAGTTTAGACCCATTTCATCTCAGTTGTAGATTTGTTCTGGATACCATACCGCTTCAATCATTCATTAAACTGTTTTCCAAATTTTGATGCAGCCGACTTATCGGCAGATAACTTTTCTCCGCAAACTTTTAATTCTCGTATACCGTGTCTTTTCTTCTATCTACGCAGGCAACCATCACTGGCTGTAAAGTTATCAGGCGCCTCAATAACTGGCAATTTTTCACTCAAGTTGATTGCCTTTTGCTTTAGAATTGGTCCTGAAATTGGTATTCCATGTTCTCGATTCTGTGTAAACCACAGATATAAAGCATCATCCACTTTTTGATATTCCCCCTCTTTCATAGTTTTCCATGATGGTTGCGATTATGTCAGAACACTAGACCACTTTTCAATTTTCTCGCGTTGTTTTTGCCATTCTGAAATGGTACTCACGTCCACACCCACACCTGCCATGTTTTTAAGCAAATCACCTCCATCTAAACATCTGATTGCCTCAAGTTTCTGTTCTATGGTAATAACAACGCATTTACGTTTCTATGCTGCTCCATCTTAGCAATTATGAACTTTACTGAAACAAACATACACGCACACATACCAGTGAATTCAGCAAACGCGCTTGTGGAATCACCGGCAGCGAATCTAATGACGCAAACGATGAAAGAGGAACTTCCAGCGGCTATTTCGGATCATCCGCCGATTTCCCGAACAACTTCGGTTAAAACGGAGAAATTATATCTGTTTCGGATAAAGCGGATTCCGGATAATCGCGATTCAGATAATCGCGGTTCTACTGTACATTATTAAGGTTATGATAAACTCTTAGTTATTATGAGATACAAAAAATGAATGGTGTTAGGGATCAGATTGTTTAAATGATACCACAATTATATAAAAAAATGTAAACTATTGCTAAAAATGCTTTAGGAAACAACTAGTCAATCTGTTGAGACAAAAGAAGTTGTCACTTACTGTTGCTTCATTACACTGGGAGCACTTGACAACATGCTGATCACGTTTCCCAGAAATGTCAATCATTGCTTGACAAACACGACATGTCACCATAGGTACACCACCAGCTTCCAAAGGCTGATAGAAAGCTGGGGGCAGTTCATCTGGGCCAATTGGTGATACTGTGGCTTGTTGACCTATTTGCGAGATTTGAGAAAAATATAAAACCTAAGAATTACAGGATCTCATTATGTAACATATTAACCAAAATTTTCAAAAGTAACAAACGATTTTAAATGCAAACTTTAACTTTGAGATTTCTATTTCATAGACTACAGCCCAAGCAGCTTGATGGATTTTGATATTTGAGGCATCCTTAGATTTGTCTTGTTTGTATTTGTGTTATATATATATTATATATATATTATGTATGTATGTGTTTTTTAAAATGTATGTGTAGGGATGGGGCACATCTCCACAATTCAGATTTGACAATTTAATTTTGGCGGATATTTTGAAAACAAAATAAAGCATATGCCACTCATTGCTTAAGAAATGGATACCCTATTGTATATATTCTTGAGCAGAAGACTGGGGGCATATGCCCTTCATACCCCCCACTAAGGAGTCTAAGGACGCCTATAGATAAAATCAAAGTTCATTTTAGAAGTATTTATATGACAGGCTTTGAGCTTTAACAGGAGCATTCTATTCCAGATTCCAGAACTGTGAACATCAAATTATGTATAACCATGCAGTACTTCTTAAAGAATTGATTTAGCATCAGACTTATTGTAGTCGATTAATAGAATTAACTATGCACACAGTCTGGATCTTTAGATAAACGCTTATTATTGTTCCTACACAATAAACAAAAAAAATACTCACCAGACACATCCCCACTGTAGTTGGTGTTTTCGCTGGTCAGCAGGGGTTGCTTTTCAGCTTCGTTGCCGTCCCCCATTACTAGAGAGCTATTCCAGGTCTATAGATACACAAATTGGTGAATTGAAAGCCTCCGGGAAGGCAAAATCGCTTGCTGATTTACGTTGTAACAAAAAACTCAAATAATGGAAGATTAATGAATGACAGCATTGACAGCCACTGTCAAACGTGACGTGTGGAGGGAGTGAGGGGGATCATAGAATAAAAAATGTGTTCTGTGGTGTAGTATTTTCAATGTTCATTTTTCTATGACCGCAAGGAGTCCGCTTTTGAAGTTTTTACTTCTGTACAAATTTTCCCTCAGATTTTTGTATGCTTCTTCCTGACAATTTATGTTTGAATTTGGGCATGTTCACGATCACATTCTGGTTGTCCGTCCATTTATCACATGAGAAGTGGCAACGCTGACTAAATTTGTTTTTTGCTTTACATCTGTTCTTGACGTTTGACATAAACATAACGTGAATTCTAAGAAGTAAGAAGTGGTTGTCAATTTTTCAAATTTGAAGAATGTAAACTAAACGCTAAATATTTTTTGTGTGGCAAAATGATAGCCAAAAATGTGCTCGAAATCATTAAATTAATTGCTAAGGAACAGTTTATTAGATTCACTGTTATTATCGTCACATTATTTGTTATATTTTTAGGTGTTACGCTGAGGTGAGCTATCTGTCTAAGTACTCATTTTTCAGATGTTTTCCCTTCCAGCAGATTTCAAGGAATATTTATTTCAGTCCCGTTGCTGCTATTGTAATATATTTCTCGTACATATTCGGATATGTGGTATCTGGGCTTCTGCTAAAATACAGGAACAAAACTGGTATCTACTTCCAACGTCTGAACAGTTTCTACAAAGAAAAATTCTCAACCAAGACAGCAATAAAACATTCATGCAGCATATGTGATAATTTGTCTTGCAGAAGACACCAGCAAAATGCAAGTGTCACACCATGGAAACACTTGCATATTTCAAAAGAATTGAACTCTGCAGTTGAAGATGTAAGTACAGCTCAACTAGGTTTTCTTTCACTGTTATGTGGAGCAAAACAAATGACTCAAAATTATTGCTTAAATTTGCTATATTCTCCTCTTTTTGCCTGCTCTTTAGGTCAGTCGACTTTGTAAGATGCATGTATGCATATGAAAGATTTGTATATTCTTCAAGAAGATATGGATGTTCAGATATAGTGTCTGATCATCCCAGATTAAATGGCCAAGAATTGGATTGGTTCTGTGGATGGGCTAGACCGATTCTACCCAATAACAGTTATGCTCCCCTTCTCTTGAAGTATATCAATGTGCTGATCGCATGATGAGTACTGTTTTGGTTTAATGTCTTTCTCGGGTACACAGATAATAGTAAATAATTTAAGTGAAACATATGCCATTTTTCTACATAAGGCAAAAAATGAAAATAGTCTTACCACCTTTCTCCTGTATCCCCCTATAGCACAATGCTACTCCTTAGGTGTATAGCCTTCGCTGGTGTTTAAAAAATAGAAGTCTATTTCAAATTGATTTTCCCAGTTTCTTTGACAGCTAGTCCTAAAATTCTGGTTTTCTGTAAGAGTAATGGTTCTTCATTCTCTCTTATATATTTCCATTCTCATGAAGGTATACTGTTATATTGAGCTGGGTGTCTTCTGAAGAGTAGTGGAAATGCAGACATTTTTTGTTATTGACTTCTTAGTATCAAGATTTTCCTACTTGAACCACCACAAAGGCCTAAGGCCTGAACACCTGTGGGTACCGTGGGCTATATAACAGTTATAACCAAGAGAAAAATTCTCTAGGCATGAAATTGTGCAGCTCACGGCGAATGATTAATAGACCAATAGTGTCTACCATATCTACCAAATTCCTGTTTTAATTTTCAGTTTTATGAACAAATACTCGAAAATTTTGTCAAAAGTTGGTACACACCATTGACAGATGACACTGACTTCATAAATGAACTGAGATATTGCTTTCGTTATGCTGTGGCATCAGTGGTGAACAGAATTCTTGAACTCGATGTTGCTGATGTAATAGCCAATAAACTTGTGCCATGTGCTATAAAACATGTGGAAGACTTTCTCTACATGCAACAAATTGCTAAATTGAGGAATATTAGGTTCAATGAGGTTATTATTGAGTATATGGGAAAGAGGTTACATATTGCTGCAACAAATAGAAAAAGTGAACTTGAATACTTGAGGCATTTGTCTGCAGCTTTATTGGTGAACATTTCACCAGACTCATATTTGAAATGCAAGTAAGTATCTTTTGTTACATTGGTGTATCTTTCTTCTATCGATGTACTAAATACTTGCATTTGACTTTGTGGTGCAAAAATTTTATTTTTATATCTCATTGTTGAATTAAACATTGTACACTTACAGTTTGTTTGTACAATAGTTGGTGATTTGTCGGTGACAGAGTCTGGGATCTGACCTTGTAAATAAACAATGCAGCATGAATGGAATTTGTGTGGTGGCATCTTTGACATGATCACTGACAAGTTGGCGACTGCTGTACTAACAGGGCTTTAGTAATTTGGGACACTGACTTCCAACATTGCCAACAAAAAATGTGGAGTGTGAATTGACGTTAGACTAGAAATCAATGCACCTAATTTAATTTGAATTTTCCTGTTCTGTGATTATAGAGAATTCTAAAATAACTGGCAAAAATCACGCATCATGAGACACTGTGTTTTCATCGCATCATTGAGCAATTTGTCTTACAGGAATTATTCATTGATAATGAAAGAAATATTAGCAGGATGGGTATTTCTCCCTCTGATGGACGTGTTAGCAAACCCAAATATAATAAACTCTCTCGTTATTTTGGTAATCACCTACAAATCAAAAACGATCACAAAGGTTCAGAAGAAAGAAGAATATGTTGAATTTCTGAATAACTATGTAAAAGTTGATAAAAAAGTCTCATCCTTTGCTACGAACTTGAACAAGATCAAGAATAACACTGAATTATTATATGCATTCATGCAATTTTTGAAAAAGCAGGACAATGTGAACCTCTTGCAGTTCTGCTTGGATGTTGGTAAGGGCCAGCCTAGATAGAAGGAGCCAGTCAAGGATTCATTTGTCTCCTAATTCTCATAGTCAGTAGTGAGGATCTAAGTGCACTTGAAAATAAGTCGATTTTATTACAGTTGCCATTAAATTCGTATATTTAGCGTTATTTTTTAAACTTGCGAGTGTTTGCAGATAGTTATGGTGTTAGACAATTTCAAGACATGGTACTTCTTACATAATTTTCAAAGAATAGCACAAGCCTAATGAAGGTAGATGTTTCCAGTGGTTATTATTATTATGTTGATACAACACTACGCAATTTTGGCGACAAACAATGTAATGTAAACGTATAGGCTTGGCTCCTTCTCATCTATTCGTATTCTTTGGTAATGGCTGTATGCAACTTTTTGTTTTCAACTTAATTTATCTGAAACACATATTTTTGAATATTTTTTTATTTTAGACGACTTCAATTCAAAACTTCTCACGCCTAATCTACCGAAAAAACAAATAGAAGAATTACATTCGGATATTATAAAACTGTACAATGAGTATATTGACAATAGTAGCTACAATTTCATTAGCTGCCCTTCTAGTATATCTCACGATTTCAAAAAGTTGATAGATGATGTCTACACAGTTGACAAACTTTCTAATTTATCCAAACTGTTATACAAAGCTTATGATCATACTTTTACCACATTGGAAAACACTTGGTTACCACAATTCTTCCACAGCAATGAGGTAATCAATCACTTATCATATTTTCCAAAATTTCGAAATCAAATAATTTATTTTTAGTTTTATGCCTATATATGTGGATCCAAGATTATACCAACTTACAACAAACATAACGTGAGGTAAGTGTTTCTTGAAAAAAAAAAAAATAGAAAAAGAACCAGGCACAAAACATATGGAATTGAATTTACAATCCAAGCTATTTGCTGGATGATTTTGGCCACAGCAATGACACTGACCGATTTGTCCAGAAGTTCGTTGCACCTCCATAGAGATAGCCAAGCCCATAAGTTCACGCTCATTCAAAATGTCTTGAGACTTGGCTACGGCAACTATAAGAGGCATGGCTATTCCGCCATTCTTTTTTAAAGCGAATTATATGAAGAGGGTAATATCCTCTTGATATCAGCTCTTCCGTCACTTCACATTCCTCCGCAGTTGTTGGTATTCCTCTAAGGACCTCGTGAATGTATGGTGTCCATTGCTTTTTCTTTCTGGTTCGCGCAGTACTAACGGCGTGACCCGCTTTGCTGCCGGTAGTTTCGAAGGCATATTGCTCGAAGCTGGAGGGCTTGGTTCTGAATTTGTAGTTTGACTACAGTCAGTAGCCGAGGTTAGAGTTTGAATCGTAAAAGATTTTGTTTGGGGCAAAGGAGAATAAGCTGAAGTAGGACGCTGGCTGGGTTTATTTGGCAGTGGTGGAATATCGATGGAGCTCTTCTTGGACCTACGTTTTTTCGATATTTTGAAGCTATCTTCTTGCATGTCTGCTATGTCCATTTCGTTAATTTTGGAATTTTGGCTGTCACTGTCATATTGACGTTTGTATTTGAAGTGACACCTTTTCAATAAGTTTTGTCTGCGTTGTTCTCGTTTCTTGCTGCTTTTTATTCTCCAACAGCTGGCTGATGAAGGCATCCTTGTAGGGTGGACTATCTCGATCTGGCGGGTCACCTTGACTCTCACCAATATTGGGGCAGCTAGAAGTCGCATCTTGCTGATCCCCAGGATCTTCCATCTTATTTTTCGCTTTTTTCCTGGATTTTCGCGAAATAATTCCCAGAGCAAAAAATTCTGTCAACTTGACAAATATCCTACACAGCTTTGCATTCAATCGGTAATCATTGTAGATTTCCAAATGCCTTAAAAGTAAGAAAGCTACCTGTCCTTTTCCGAATTCTCGAGCAACTCGTTCTAGATCTTTCCTGCATAAACAAATAAAAATCAACTTGCCCCGAAACTGACCTTGTAAGGATCATGGTCACGATCGACATATGAGCCCTCCCAACACCTTCCTGCAAGGTGTTTTAACGGAATATTTCTTTTAGTATTCCGATTCCCAGAGTCAAAACTACAATCGGCACATTCACCATTTATCTAACTCAGGCAAAGTTTATTCGACTATTACTCAGAAACCACTCATAGGATTGCTTTGGTTCCACGGACACTTTTTTTCGGGAAGGTAAGAAATATATCATGCTGAATTCTTAGACAAATCGCCTGGGACTCATTTTTTATATGTTTTGTGCCTGGTTCTTTTAAGTTCATACTAATCAAGTATACCTACACTGCCAACCATGGACAGCTGTTTCCTGGTATTTGCCGACTCCTCAGCATGGTCTAGGCTTGGTTTCAGGTAGGACCATGAACGAAAGCTGAGCTGTCTTATTTCAATAGACCTTATACTCTGGATAGAGAGGAGAGAATAGTTGCTAAGCTTCTAATTGTTGTCCTACCTGAGACCAAGTCTAGATCATGCCGAGGAGTTGTCAAATGGCTCGAAACAGCTGTCCATGGTTGAACGTCTGTGGTCGTACAAACGAAAGCTATATTACTAGTATATAATACACTTATTTTAGAACGAAAAAAATGAGCGAATATTCTAACCAAGGTGCCGTATCAAAACTAGGTGTATCAAAACTAAGTAGTGGTTTTGGCAAGATTAAAGGAGTTTTGAGGAGTACCCAAACTGTAGAGGGAGCATTCTTCCCTTTAGCACCTCAAGGCGTTGAGGACGGCACCGTGGATGACATGCTTCTTTCTGAATGCAAAACACTCTTCAGAGACTTGAGCACTTGGAGAGTTACGGTTCCTTCTTATCAGGTATCATTAAATCACGATATTTTATTTCATAAATAAAACAATCCGGTTTTTAGGCTAGTCCGTCAAGTAAAGTGATATATTTTTATGTGAATGTAGAAAGATTCGATATGTTGTCTGAAGATAATAAAAAGTCATGGGTAGTGCTCAGAAAAGATCAGGATTTCTATACTTTGAAATCAAAGCTGGTCGAATTTCATGGTGAAAATATTATTAATGATTCTCCACTACCTTCAAGAAAGTAAGTAGATCAATGATCTATTTATTAAAAATACCATCAAGTAGAGTTACTCAGCAGTTCCTACATAGTTTTTTTCACTTTCCAATCGTTTGAAACAGGGGACTGTAAAATTCCCTTGTCTAAGAAACAAATCTTATATTACTGAGAATTTCAGGGCTGGTTCATCTGTAGAGAATCGAATGGTCAAATATGAGGAATTTTTGAAAAACCTACTCTCTAAGCCCACATTAAGGGGTAGTGATCTGTTACACTCATTTTTAACGACGGAGGAAGACTTCAGTATTTTCATAGCAGCGAACGCATCAAATATTCAGGATATAGGGAATATATATCAGTCAGTGGCACATAAGTTAAGGAAAGAGAAAGGGCAACATTTGGATCCTTTCATGGCAACGTTTTTGAACTCTACCGGAGCTGGAAAACAGAAAACTGAGTAAGAAAATTGATATTTCGATTTTTAAGTTTCAGCAAAAAATGTAAATCGACTTTACTGATGTTTCGACTGACTCGATATTCTTCTAAACCGTTTTTAGCAATCGATTAGCCAAAGCTTGAACATCAGTTAGACCGCAGCATATAAACACTGTATAGCAATGCTGCTTTCTAAAAATCACCCTGAATTTTTGGGCGAATTATGATTTTGAGAGCTCGGCACGCATTGCGAGAAGCTGCTACCTGCTGCGGTGATGCGCGTCTAACGCTGTGTAGCCTTCCGCGTGGTACACATTTTAAGATCTACCCATGGACAGCGTATACAATAATAATTTCTCACATAGGTATCAATGACCAAATAGCATGGATCCTATGCCCATGCAGATAAATACAAATAAGCATTCAGATGCGATATTAACACTCGACTATATTTTCTCCGTCACATCTTGTTCAAAAGCATAATCTATAGACTACATCAGCAGCTTGCAACCTACAAATCATGCTGGCGAAGTCTGGCTTGCAGCATTTTAGGCAAAAGATGACCGTTGAGTCATTCGTTCATAGGTGGCGTTCACAGCGAGTAGGCGAGGCATGGAGTGATTAGTATACAAGTGCCAAGTATAAAATGTGTTTGGTCTCGACATACCGATATTTAAGGGGGGTAATCGCAACGTAAAAATAAAAATGGACGCCATTTCAAGAGGGGTGAGGTAGGACATTGTACGGGGGTGGATTTGTCGATAAAAATAGCTGAAAAATACCCCCCTTAAATATGGGTATGTCGTGACCAAACACATTGTATATTGCAAAGCCCCACAAGAAAATCATGGGCGGGATCCGTAAGCCATACCATTATGTATTTTTTCGATGCTGAATCCGAATCCGTGACCAGAAAAAGTTCCTAGACACCTAGAACTCACCACCAGTTCCAAAAACTACACCTAGGAGGCGTGAAAGCTTAGTTTCGGATGTCAGATGCAGGACACTGAATTTGAATTTTTGGTCGAAATGACCTCTACAGCCCTAGAAGTTCACCCTCGAGCCCAAAAACTACAACCCTGGGTGAAAGTCGGGTTTCGGATGCTGGATGCTGGACCCATGGTATTCCCATGTATTTTTTGACGCGGAATCTGAATCCGGGATCAGTAAAGTTCCTAGACGTCCACCCCCAGGGCGCTAAAACTAGCCATGGAAGACGCAAAAATTGAGTTTAGTGTGTCAGGTGCACTGGCATGGTGTTCCTACGCATTTTTCGATGCTGAATTTGAATTTGTGGCGGAAAAGATTCCTACAAATAGAAACTGCAATAGAGCTGTTAAATAATGGTATGAAAAACATAATTAATTAGTTGAATGTGAATAAACTTTAATCATATTCTTCCTCTTTTTCAAAATTACAAATGATACAAAATGAAGCTATGAGAATCATCTTAAATAAAAAAATCGACAAAAAACAATCAAACAACTTCACCCCTGGTCCCAAAAAGTACCCCTAAGCGGGATGGGCATTGAGATTCGGATGCCAGATGAGGGAGCATGGCATTCCCATGAATTTTCCGACGCTGAATCCGAATTTGGGGTTGACGAAATTTTCATTCCCCTGGAATTCGCTCTGGGGTCCAAAAAATACTATGGGCGGAAAATTTAATTTTGGATGGCAGATGCTTAACGACGATACTCCTATGTATTCTTAAACACTGAATCCGAATTTGGGGGAAAACCATCTCCCCTGAATTCCCTCCGGTGTCAAAGCAACCCGTAATTACGGGTGAAAATTGAGTTTGGAGTGCTGAATGCTAAATCATTCTATTGTTAAACGCGTATTTAGGCAGGACGCTCTTGACAAGACTAGGGTTGGCTCATCCATAGGTGAAATATGTATCGGAACCAAAAATTTTGAAAAGTTACAAACTCATTCCAGTACAGCATCTGGCATCTGAAAATCAATTTTCCACCCCGTTCTAGAGGTAGTTTTTGGTCCCAGGGGTGCAAAAATTTCAATGATCACAATTTCGGATCCAGCATCGAAAAATACGTGGAATACCATGATCCAGCATTTCGCATCCAAAATTCATCTTTCACGTCTCCTAGGAGTAATTTTTAGTCCTGGTTGTGAATTCTAGACGTCTAGTTTTCTGATCCCGGATTTGGATGCCGCGTCGAAAATGATATGAAAGACTGTGTTGAACCGAATATAATCGTTTTATTCTGAAAAACCTTTTTTCATATAGTTTGGATTATTTCAGCAAACCAGAGTTGGCAGAGGAAGGAGAAGAGACATATAGACTAGGCTTTAAATTCACTGAGAACATTCCGCCACCAAAAACATACAGAAACCATGTTTTCAATGACAACTTTGGTGTTCAGCATAAAAACTTGCAAGAAACGATGAGTGGCTCCTTCAATCCAGAAGGTTTTTGCGAATGCTTTTTTTATTTGAGTAAGTTTTTAATTATCTCTCAAAGTACAGTGGAAAATTAGCATTATATTTCATATGTGACATGTCCACACCAAAAATATGGTCAACATTTTTTTACACCGAGGCAGTCGCGCAGGCAGAAGCCTAAATGCCAGAGCATCGCGGCTGCTATGAGTAGCTTGAAAAAACTTTATTAATCCGATTTTTGAATTCCCTAAGGTTAGTACAGCTGGGAAAAGCCTTCTCATGTACGTTGTTCCACAATCTCGATACCCTAGTGACAAAAGAGCGGTCGTATCGGGCAGTTGTGAATGTTCGACACGGTTAGGATGGGATGCCGAAGTCAGGCGGGTCTGTCAGGCCCGCACATCGCGCGGCGACATCATAGAGGAGAGCTCTGAGAAGCAAAGCTCATTGGTGTAGGAGAGAGTTAAATCGCCGACGGTCCGTTAGAGAAGAGTAATCGATTAGTCGGATAATCTTTCTACAGGATCAGTCAGAAAGAACGCATTTTTTTCGAATTGGTACCTACTACATCGAATGGGCTGGTCTCGTGTCGGAGGGGAAGGGCGTGTTGGATATTGGGAGAAGTGCCGTTTCAGTTAGCAAGATGGTTTGGAACGTTGAGCATCGTGTGTTCACTGTACGACGGTACTTTCAAAATGGCGAGTCTGTCGTTCGAACGCAACGTGAATTTCGCGTTCACTTTCGTGATCCACGTCGTGGGACAGTACCAGACCGTAACACCATTTTGAGATGGGTGGAAGCATTGAACACAACAGGTAACGTGATGAAGAAAAAACCGCCAGGACGAAACCGTACTGTTAGAACCCCTGAAAACGTAGACAGAGTGAGAGTTGACACGCTGCAAAGCCCGAATCGTTCCGTCCGTTTGCGTGCCAGTTCCCTAGGGATCCACGCGTCCTCTGTACGTCGCATCTTGAAGAAGGATTTAGTATTCCATCCTTACAAAATCCAAGTTTGTCAACAACTGTTGGCAGGGGATTATGCACAACGTGTTAATTTTGCACAGCTCATGATTGAACAGTTGGATAAAAATGACATGACGTTGTTTATGAGTGATGAAGCACATTTTCATTTACATGGATACGTCAGTAAACAAAATTGTCGATATTGGTCTCCAGTGAACCCCAAACAGTTGCATGAGCACCCTCTGCATACCTCGAAAGTCACAGTTTGGTGTGCAGTAGGTGCAACGATGATTATTGGCCTTTATTTTTTTGATGATGATGGAGAAACAACTACTGTGAATTCAAAGCGTTACATCCACATCCTGAACAACTTTTTTTTCGGAACTTCGACGTCGGCGTGTCCGTCTCAGAATAGTGTGGTTCCACCAAGACGGGGAAACATCTCACACAGCTCGAACTTCGATGGAACTTCTTCGGTAAAAATACCCAGGACGTCTCATTTCACGTCATGGCGATGTTCCATGGCCCCTTCGCTCTCCGGACCTGTCAACGTGTGATTTTTTTATGGGGCTACCTGAAACCAAAAGTTTACTAACTCGTCGATTTGAAGGAGGAAATAAGAAGAGAAGTAACCCAAATTCCTGCACGAATGCTGGCCGACGCAATGGGCTCATTTCGGGAGAGGCTTGATTTCTGTATTTTGTTTTACTCAAAAAAATGGCATGTATTTCTGAGTATTTTGATATAATGAAATATTTTTTCCCATACTTATTTTGACTGTACTACTCATTTAAAAAACATGCGTTCTTTCTGACGTACCCAGTACGAAGAGCAGCGAGCAAGTATATTGTATTCGGGGCGGCAGCTTCACAAACACGTGATCAGTAATCGAGGCTAAGTTTTATCTGGACCTTGCACAGAGTGAGAAGGTCATGTGGAGAAAAGTACTTCTTAGTCCTAAAGAAATAGGCCAGCTTTGTCCCAGCAGCTGCCGCTGTTGACGAGATGTGTTCGTGCCAGATCAAGTCCTCAGTGATATGGACTCTGACCAGCCGAAATGCATGATTTTTTGACAGAACTCGGTCATCCATCGAAACCGGATGAGCTTTGGGACGCTTCTTTTTTTGTCAAGGTACAGTACTGTATTTTGGAAGCATCAGAGAGGAAGTCGCTGGTAGTCAGACTGTGACTAGAATTTTCTGCCTTTTGCATATTGAATTTCTTATCCTAAAACTGGTAAATCACAGTCTGAATTTTATTATAGTGAAACAGATTTTCAAAATTCCAAATGGAATGTTGCGACTATATGCTGCCATATCTAATGTCGCACCAAACCTAGTGGATCTGTCTTGTAAGATTATGATTGATAGAAAGTTGAAATCCGGATTGTGCCAATCAAATTTGACGTACCTGCTCAAGCAGTTAGAGGGTGAGTTGTATTTTCAGCTTGGTTCATAAATAAAAAGGCATGACATTGGCAAATAGTATTTATATAAATTAGTTGACAAGGCGGATAAAATTAGAGAGAGAGAGATAAGAGAATGACTCAAAAAACACGGCGTCCACAAAACCGCTGATGGCGTCTAAACACGGCTGTTCTCATTTAGTCGGAAATGAATGCGTTTTTGTTAGATAGATAATCCTTTTTGGGTGAATTCAGGATGGAGATATTTGCCAAGTACGAAAAATATTTTTCATAACATTATAACTCACTCGACTTAGTTTTGTAATAAAAGAAGTATACCCTATTTCACGAGTATTCATCACGTTTTGACGTCTAGTGAGTTGAACAGCTGATCAACAAGTAACATCTTTGTATTATTTTGTAATCGTTGGCAAAAATGAATCGGGTGCAAAACTAGTAAAACTTTATTGTAGCATCGTTTTTTGTATGCAAATGAACTTTTATAAATAAAAGAGTTGTTAGCAAGTACAAAATGAATCCGTTGCGTACAAAAGACCAAAACAATATACGGCTCTGTCTACCTGGCCTTGACGGATCCGTCAGTATTATGAGTCATTTGGCGATATGGGGAATTTTGAAATAAGTCTAAATAATCAGCTGTCATTCTACCGTAATGGACACTCGTGAAAAAGACCATACGTAGCTTGAAGATAAAAGGTTTTCTAACCTCAAAATTGCATATTTGATCAATCGTCTGCCTCTTTGATATGATCGCGAGTTATCAGAAAGCCTGCCCTTCAGACGATTAGTTTTTCAATTCGTATGACTTTTTGACGTAACCCCAAACCGTGAAAAGAGCTAAAACCTCCATTCTGTTTAGTATAAATGTAGCGTTTTATGAATGTTTCATGGCAGCCTGGCAACACCGCTTCCTTAGCCAATACATAGATCGCCGTTTTTTTGGTAAACCAGTGATGGTCCAAGAGCCGACGGCAGAATTTTGGTTACATCGCGTACTCGGCGAATTTGCTGTTTAGTATCAAAATACTTAAGATGTGACTAGTTTTTAACTTATCATATCTGTACGCGCTGATGTAACAAAAAAATTACGATCTTCTTCCCTAAGTATAATGCAGATGACTCCCAGTGTCATTGGGACCGACCGGCGGATTATAAAGGCGACTATAACACCGTTATATTTTGCTCTTAAATTTTTGCAAAAATAGAGCATTAAATCAATATCGAATACACCATATTCAAGTGATTTTCCAACTAAATACTCATAACACCATCTAGTTCCTAGATTATTTAGACATTCTTATTTTTTAGCTGTCATATTCAATGTCCATGTAGCTCCCACAAAAGAGGAATTGGCAAAACGAAAACAACGAGCTTTTGAAGAGCTAGAAAATGTTGTTCCGATGTTTGTCAAAAAAGTGTTGATGTGCGATATTGATAATGGTTTGAAGACTCTTTTAGAGATTTTGCAATATCCTCATTATAACAAACAGGTAATTTTGATGTTGAACTGTTTGATTGCTTATTTATATTCTTTGTCTTTTTTTAGTTGGTGTACAATCTCTTGGACATAGTGCTGATCGAGATGTATCCTATGCTAGAAAAAAATGAAGATTATTACTGAAACATTCCTTTTGTAAATAAGCTGTATTATTTATTGGTTAGTATTATATATTTATAATTATAATGAGCTGTGATCGTATTGAGTTTTTAACCACATGCATGTAAATATTATTCATTAAAATGTGTTGAAACTTTAATATAGAATCGTGCTATATCTTAAAACCCCAATAATGGTTACAATTATGATTTGTTGATATATCAAAAAACGAAAATTGTGCGATTTCTACTTTTTCCGTTTTTTGTCCGTAGTCCCGGCCCAATGTGTTGATTTTTCAAACCTAATAAGCTTTTACTTCATACGCCACTGGAGGAGGAAGTATTGTATTCCCTAAAACATGAGATTTTTTTTGATGTTTTATGTACATGTAGAAAAACCATGTCACTTATTTCGGTCGGTCTGCGTATCTGTCGATCTGTCTGTGTGTCTGTCTGCTAATCCTTGGACCGCCTTCAACTTGGTACTTGGTACCGCTCGAATTGGATGAAATTGTTACACAAGGTCACCACTACGCCAAGAACGAAAAAGCTTTGTAGTTTTTAAAAATCATTCAAACTTCGTTTTAAGTTTCAGATCATTTCCAGGAAAATATTTGGTTGAAATTTGAGGGTTGGGAGTTGGAGGGGATGGAGGAGCATATGCAAATTTTTTGATGTTTCTATATTTATCTGCTTCCAACCCCGTTAATTTTATGCAGCTATACTTTTGCCTTCAAACTTAGAATGATAGAGAATGTTTACAATTCCGGGCCCTCCTGCTATCTAAGCTTACCGCCCGGCGTACCGGACCGGCTGACTAATCTATCCATATTGCAGCGCACAAAACAACTCGCTGCAGCGGTGCTCGGTGAGCGCTGCCACGTAGATGTGGAAAGGGACAATGTTGCCAGATGAACAGTAACTATACAGGTAGGGCAAGGAAAGAATGCCTATGGACTAATTGTATGGGCCTGTTTGGCTGACTTGATCCGTTTAATTTCTCTGTTGTACCTGTTTGTAACTGACTTTTTTCTCAGAGGATTTAAATTGCAATGAATCAAGTTAATTCTATGAACTGATGATTGCATTGCGCAGGAAATGCAGAGGCCACCTACTTGACGCTATTTTTGTTTTTGACATAGTAATAAGCTTGTGTAAAAATCCGTGCGGTACTTTTCGTGCGGACAGACAGACCGACGGAAACGACTGACATGGTTTTTCCAAAAAACATATCTGGTTTTCAAGATCTATTACCAAAGCATTAGATAATCTTTAACGTTGCATCGTGCTTTTTCGGAAAACAAAAATGCACATGAACCGAAATACCGCAAAACATAGGTAAATATTTATACTTTGTATTATACATTTCCTGGTCAGTGGCGCAAACTGCGAAATATTATTAGTACATTGCATTGGTGTTTGGAGTCTAATAATAAGATTAGGATTAATTCCTTGGCCCAAAACCAGTTTTTGGAACAGTACAGTGCACTTAAGGTGATAGGTAAGTCATATTACACAATTAATTATTGTACGACAATATTTCAGCAGAATCACTCGATATTTATCTTTAAACTAATTATAATGATTTCTATTTCTATTGGAAAAATATTCTGATAGATTTGCGTTGGCTGTTTGCATACAAGGATATGTTCGTAATAGTCAATATTGTCAATTGGGATAGTCATAGATAACGCTTGTTTTTATCATTATTTGATAATAGAAATACTAGCATGCAATATTCAAAAATACAGCCTCTACATTTCGGATATAAGTGTTACAGAATGGTGTCAAAAAAGGACGAATATATTTAGAGAAATATTTCTTCTCTATAATGCGAGTTATTGGCTGTTTACACTCGCCCGTCTCTGACAGTTCACCTTACATTTCTTTAAAACATACGATTTTGCAAAGAAAATTAGTAACAATATCCTAAATCTAAACCGATTCTACTTATTTCGAAATGATTTTTCTATTTTGCCCTATCAAGAAAGCCCCCGTATCTTCACTTGAACAAGTTTTGAGGAAACCGCGGCGAAAGATTTTTGCTGTTTATGTTGTACTTTTACTTGACTAATAAAATAAGATCATATTCTCATATAATATCATATCAATCATTTTTAAGAAAAAAATATCCAAAACTAAGCCATAGCTATTAGTTATGCGATATACGGGCTAAGAAAGCAACGCATTATGTTAAGAATAATTAGTTAAAACCACGTATAATTCAAATTCGGCTTATGCTTGGTTTTAACTATGTAATTATGATAAAAATTGATATCTGCGCCAAGAGGCAGTCATTTTGTATATTTTAATATCATATGTATTTGTATAAAAATAACTTTACAACTAATATATTAATGAAAAATGTAGAGGGATTCAGTTTATAATAAACATGCCTACAAGTTAGTCGAAAATCGAAAACCAATCAATAAAGTGACGATTTACTCCGCAAGATGCCTACAGAAAACCTGGCATGGACAGCGCCGATAGCGGAGCTGCTTTATCCTTTAGAAAATACCTCGCAAATCAATTTCCCTTAGTTAAAAGCCCATATCTACTGAGTACATACCAGGGTCTTTCTAAAAGAAATGTAATACATATGCGGGGTTTATACTAAGTGTAAATGCAATTTTTGGCGTTTACGGGGAAACTATTATCCTTCATAAAACATTTAAAAATGTAAAATACGGAGTTTTCTCTATGTAAATATGTAGCATAAATCATGATTATTCGTTTCGTGCAAATATCTCAATTTTTGAAATTTTTGGAGATACGGGGTCTTTGTTAGTATTGTCATCAACTGTTTCTCGTTGTTGAAAAAATGGCGCCAAGTAGATTGGCCCTGCACTTCCTACACAATGCTGTCATCCATTCATAAAGGATTATATTCGACGCAAGTTAGTCCCATTGCGAAAAGGTTGGATCATGTCAGTCAAACAGGCCATTACATTAGTCTAGAGTCCCCACAGATTTTCCAACACTGCGATCTAGCCCACCGACAGTACTGACCACCCAGCAACGTGGCAACCCAGTACGGCGTTACATTCACGAATACACGCATCATCATTCAGTTATCTCTCGGCATTCGAAGTAGACAGATGGACTCGTGTCTCGGCTGACACGATTTTTAAGCGGAATGGGTGCTCATGTGATACCTCATTTTGAAGCTCCTTACGAGTGCTTTTTAACTAAAACATAAAATCACTACCTTTGAAAATACCGAACTGGCGATCTGTCCAAGTTGTGTGTTTTTGAACATTTAATCGCTTGTAGCTCAACAATCAATCAATCGATCTAAGAAAATGCAAAAATCTGTAAAAAATGTTCAAACTATGAACCATATTCTATTGAACCAAAAGAAGAATATCGATTTAACATATCTTAATATTTTGAAGATAAGTTGTTGAGTTATAAGTGATTCAATGTACTTGAACGATCAACTTTGATAGCCCAACAATCCGCCATTTCGGAAGGCAGTAAATTGATTTTCTAAGGTTGTAAAGTACTCATAAGGAGGTACAAGATGAGGTATTACATGGCCTCCTCATTCTGTTAAAAAATGTTCCAAGATGGCACCCGGCCGCTATCCTGAAATTTTCATCGGTATTTTTGATATCAAAATATAGTAATTACGTAAGCATTTTATCCCGAATTTTAGCTTGCTTACTTGACCCCTTCAAAAAATAAGTAGTGGATGGGATAAAAATTCCAATCACGGCGTAGAATTCTTTACGACGTAATGTCGAGATCGGTAAACCTCAGGGCTCGATCGTAGGCCCATTACCTTTTTGCTATTCATTAAAAACTTGCCAGGAGTAGGTAGCATAACGGATGATGCTGATGATAACACTTTGCTATGTTGTGAAAATAATATAAAGTCATGCATTGATAAATTACAACGCATAATAAATAATTGTATAAGCTATTTTTCTGGTAATCACTGAACGCAAAAAGGTCTTCATAAATTTCACTCTTCGTTCCACCACAATCAATGAGAACCAATTAGTCAAGCTCGAAGGCAAGTCGTTGGTTCAAGTAGCAAATTTAGTGCAAAATTTCTAGGAATTTATCTTGACGCAGGTGTTCAGTGGGAGCACCACATAAGCAAACTATGTGAAAGCCTGTCATCTGTTTGTTTTGCAATCTGAAGGCTCCAACAAGAATCCTCATAGAAAGTTATAATTTCATACTACCATGTTTATTTTGGTTCAAGAGTAAAATATGGCATCAATTTTTGGGGTACATGTGAGGGTTCTTATATTGCAGAAAATGCCTTTGAGAACAATAGCTGGTGTATCACCGCGTAGCGTAGATCATGCAAAGCACTTTTCAAGAAGTATAAATATAATGGCAGTTCCAAATATTATGGTGATAGAACTTTTAAAGCACGTAAAATCAAATTTATACAACATTCCATTCAATTCAGATTTTCATGCCTATAATACACGTAACAATACTGCAATAGTCATCCCCGCACATAACCAAGTTTATACAACTTTCCTGTCAATTCATATTTTCATACCTATAACACACGTAATAATACTGCAACCGCACATAATTCGTCCAATTTTGAAAAAAGTCCCAACTATCTCCGCTAAAAACGTTTCAAAAATTAGAACATTATTTTAAAGATCTTAATGATCTGAGAGTGTACAAAAAGACGCTGACGACCTACTTCCTGAATAAGCCTTTCTACAGTGTGTCGGAATATCGGGGACCTTGAAGGTGATCTGTTAGGCCTCTACTGCAATGTTTTGTCCTCTGAGGTAGCATGTAGTCATCATATGCTACATTACCCCTCTGTAAAATTATAAGTATGTATACTATCCTTTGAGTGCGCATCGACGTTTCCTAAGCCATGTATATAGTAGGTGGATTGGAATAAATTATTATTATTATTTCTATATTCCAATTACTTCTATAACTTGTAACAAACACAAGCAACAATAAGCTTTCGGCCTTCATGGTGGCTCAAGAATAAAAATAAGGCAGTAAGGTACTCAGGTCTTTCTCACTCCAGTGATTTTTTATGACGCCTTTTCAACTATGAGCCAATTCTCGTAACCAAAGGAATCGATACATAGACAATCCATCTGGCATTTCTGTGACCCTTATTTGTTCAAATCAGGTAAATTAGCATATCGCGCACATTATGAAGAAAACGGAAGGTTGAT